CCCCCNCCCCCCCCCACATTTGTAAACAATTTCATAGTTGTTCAGCTCATCAATAGGCTGGACTCAGTCCTCGATAATATCTCTTTGTAAACCCTACCCATCGTGCTGGCAAGTTGATGCGTAGCGCGCGCAAAGTCAAATTGAAATATCTCAACACATCAACATAGAGTGGGAGCAATGGAGGAAAAGTTGTACGATAGCCATTTCAAGCCGCTGCTGCTGCGATACTCCTGGACGAGATTGACTGACAAAGTCAAAAGCATTACCCAACGGGCTGGTGACTCGTCCACGTATCACAAGATTCTCATTGGCGTGGCCACGCTATTGTTTCTTTCACTTTTTACACAAGTGCCTTTTCTACCACACTTCCGCACAGCCAGCCCCAAGGTGGTGATAATCCTCGCCGCCAACGAGGGCGGTGGAGTGTTGAAGTGGAAGGGCCCCCAAGATTGGTCCATCGAGCGGTCTTCCATTGCCAACAAGAAAAACTATGCTAAACAGCATGGATACGCCCTTACTATCAAGGATATGACGGTGAAAAAACGGTACTCACATGAATGGCGTGAGAGTTGGGAGAAGGTGGACCTCATGAAGCAAACCATGCGGCAGTTCCCTGAAGCTGAGTGGTTCTGGTGGTTGGATTTGCATACGTTTATCATGGAGCCGGGTTTATCTTTGGAAGACCACTTCCTCAACGATCTCGACAACGCCACCTACCGGACGCTCGATCACTTCAACCCCTTGGCGCTTCCCGAAGACTTGCCATACGTGGACTATACTAAGCAGATCGACTTGATTGTCACTCAGGATTGTGGAGGATTCAATCTTGGGTCTTTCTTGATGCGCCGGTCGTCGTGGTCCGAGATGTTGTTGGATGCGTGGTGGGACCCGGCCTTGTATGAGCAGATGCACATGGAGTGGGAACACAAAGAACAGGACGCTTTGGAAACCCTATACTCCACATCACCATGGGTTAGAGAAAGAACCGCTTTTTTGCCGTTAAGGAAAATCAATGCTTTCCCTCCAGGAGCTTGTTCTGACAATGCGGACGATCCTCAGTATTTCTATCGGCACCATGATTTTGTAATTAACATGGCTGGATGTGAATACGGAAGAGACTGCTGGGGCGAAATGGAGCATTATAAGTCTTTGTCCAAACGTTTGACTAGACCATGGTGGCACTTTTGGTAGCTAACTAACCTCTATAAAATGCACTGTACTATTAATCAGTTTTTGATCTACTATCAATTCACTCTCACTACTAAGCTTCAGAGCCTTCTTCCGCACCAGCTTTTTCGCGCTCGCGGTTTCCAACTTTCTCAAAATAAAATAACATACCAGTCTCGATATGGGCGACAACTTCTGGTTTAACGATGGAGAATTCAACGCCTTCAGCGGCCCTCCACATGCTCCCCAGGCTGGGGACGACTTCTTGAACTCGATTTTCGACGATCACTCTGCCGCTGGCTCCCCCCAACCACAGGGCCAATCTGACCTCCCATCCGCTGCTGTGTCAAACCCCGATATCAATCCTTCTGCAATTAACCCCCAGATGTTCATGCGCCAACAGCCACCCCCACAGCAGCTGCACCAATCACCACAGGTCCCACCACAACAGTACCAACAGCACCAACAACACCAACAGACCCAACAACCACAGTCTCTGTTGGAGCAGAATAAAAAGGAACAATTCTTCAGGATGAGACAACAAATAATGCAACAACAAATGCTTAAACAGCAGCAAAGCTCACTGACTTCTCAGAACACAGGTGTATCACCGCAGGTTACCCTGTCTCGGTCTCAGATGGGCACGCCAGTTTCAAGTGTACCTTCTCGGGTTCCTAGTGGGCAGGCTTCATATGCAAGTCCTGTGAACCATGCGATTTCCCCTACGGAGTACAACCAGAGGCAGCTTCTGCAGCAGCAGATACAGCAGCAACATCAGATACAACAACACCAGATGCAACAACACCAGATGCAACAACAGCAGCAGATACAACAACAGCAGCAACAAAAGCTTCAACAGCAACAACAACAGCAGCAACAACAGCAGCAACAAGAGAAACTTCAACAGCAGAAACAGCAGAAACTTCAACAACAACAACAGCAACAACAACAGCGGCAACAACAACAACAACAACAACAACAACAACAACAACAACAACAACAACAACAACAACAACAACAACAACAACAGCAACAACAACAGCAACAACAACAGCACCAACAACAGCACCAACAACAGCAACAACTACAACAATTGCAATTACAACAACTACAAAATGCACCTTCTCAGTCCAACGCCAACCAGCTTCCAAAAGGTCTGACCCAAATGGCTCAGCTTCAAATGGAACTTTTCTTAGTAACATTGTACGACTTCATGACACGTCGGGGTAGCCCCATCACTTCACCACCAGTTATCAACGGTAAGAAGGTGAACTTTTTCCTCCTTTATGTCATGTCTCAAAAGTTGGGTGGCCCCCAAGCCTTGATAAAAGCGTTACAAAAGCTAGGCCTGGGACAATCTCCATGGACTGCTATGGCCTATAAGCTCGGTTTGTACGAAGGCTTAACTGATCCTAATGCCAAGGGTCGCGTGGATAAGGAACTCGGTGGCTGCTATGTTCAATACCTAATTCCCTTCGAACAGCATAACTCCACTCCTGCTGGCCACAAAGAGATCCAGGAGCGTAGGGCGTACTTTCAAAAGCAATTCATCGCTCGTTTTCAACACCAACGTCAAAGTCAAGGCCAGGATCAAAATCAGAACCAAATACCACCTCGCCAAAGCCAAAGCCAGAGTCCCCCATCCCTGTCGATGTCACAACCACCGCTTGTGCAGCCACAGCAAATGCTGCAACACAATTCTCCCATGACCAATTCTCCAATGGTCCAGCAGATACAACAGTTTGCCCCTTCCCAGCTCAGTGCGCAGGCTTCCGTACGTCCTAGTCCTGTGATATCTCACGACCCAGCACCTTCTGAGTCCAGACATGTGAGTCTTGCTAGTGGCGGATCTATGAACTCTCCCCAATTGAATACTCCCCTTCTTCAGCAAAGACAATCAAGATCTTCTAGTGTACTTAATCGGCAAAACTCAAATTCTCCTCAAGTGGATGCTAAGGGTGAGAAAGTTGCAGAGAAAGAACGGGTACCGAACATCATCAAGACATATATTCCTGCTACCAAGTATGTGGATACGTATGGAGGTATTGATCTTAAGACGGTTTCTGGGATTGCTGGTGAAATGGAGGTAAGCAAACCAGTGTACTTGTTTGCTCCTGAGTTGGGTGCCATAAATATCGATGCATTAACAATGGCATTGAAGAACAATACCAATGTTGGTAACGGTGAAGTAATCAGTGCTTTGAACACCTTGTTGGTGACAACCTCAGATGCAAACTTTGCATTTGAAGTTGATTCATGTCTTGAATTGGTAGATGCTTTGGCGGACACGGGATTGAGAGTTTTGAATCTGATTGTCTACGGTGACCCTGGGGAGGAATACTTCAGTGATGATGCTGATAAAGTTACTAGCAATGACAGAATTGAGGACATTTTTGCCCGATACGTTAATTCCGATGAAATGATTGGTGAAAACATCCAATTCAATGTGGATTCATTGACGGGAATTGTGGTCGAAGAGGATTCAGATGTTGACATGGACGAAGTATTCTCAATTCCTGAAGAACGAGATGTGGCCATGAACAGTTCTTCTCCTGAGGACGTCGATGATCCAATTGATCAATTCGCATTGTTGGATTACCTGACCATATTGGACGAGTTCAAGGCTGAAAACAAACATCATTTCAGCACTTTGCAAACAAAAAGTGCAACTAACGAACAGGTCCTTCTTATTGACGAGTTGATCACCGTTACCATGATTTTGCGAAACATCTCATTTAATGGGTTCAACAAGTTCAAAATCACAGGAAATGATCTTCTTAGAGATTTGATGTTTAGAATTGTCAAGATGATTGGCTCACACTCTGAGAAGTTTCTCTACCATAGGAAACGGTTGTGCTTGTTGAAGGACTGTCTCTTCTTATTGTACAACATGTCACAAGAACTTCAACTTCGTTCCCTAGAAGAGGCCTTCTTGTCGTTTGCTTTGGTTGCATCGTTTGGACCCAAGTTGACAGATGATCCCGTTGTTATCCCTCCTGCAAACATTGATCGATTCACCTATTTGCCATATGGTATTGACGCATTGACCAAATTATTGGTTAGGGAACCTCACAACCGGTCTTTTATGAAGGCTGTACTCACAGGAGATCTTTCGAACTCCAACTTCAGTACTATTGTTGATGACCCTGCTGCCGATAGAGCAAACACTAGAGCACTTATCACCAAGTACCTTGGTACCAGTGTAATCAATGATGGAAGCCTTTTAACCCGGAGTTTCCAGTTGTTCCTTAGTGTAATTCCATTCGATAAAAATAGCATGGAATTATCTAAATTTGCCAGTATCCGTACTTCTGTGGTGGTTCAGTCACTTTTTGGAGCTAAGCTTATCATTGACTTGGTCAACGGCGAAGACGAAGTTGCCCGCTTACGTATTTTACCTGTGACATGGCTTTTGAAAAACAGCAGATCGATCCTTCTTAACCTCAACCGTCTGAGCGTATCGATGATATCCGAAAGTGTCAAGAACGAATATATCGCATTGGTGGTCCTCAAGGCATTGATAATGATAAACTCGCTTCTTGGGAACTGTGTTTTGCTTGCCGAACAGAATGTGCTTCCTAAACCAATCGAAGAAGAATTACACAAGCTCGTTCACGGTCATCGCATTAATCCCGACTCAGATATCACTCTTGAAACGCTTCTCAACCCCACGGTTGACCGCAATGTCGCTAATGAGCTTGTGAGACAATTCGGTCTCTTGACACAACTTGGGCAATTGGTGAAACCTTAGGTTTGTATTACTAGAAAGGGTCATTTGATACAGACCAGCAATCCTAAATTGGTAATGTCCCAACAATGGGTACGAAGACAAGGCCAATTTTTCCATATTGTAAATTGAAGTAGGTGATTAAGTTCACTACTTCGAACTGTACTATAAGTTTGTTTAATAAATGATAATTCACAATTCCTACGTAATTAAAATTATCCTTGCAAATCGGCACAGGTTTTTTATTTAATAGTACTTGAATTTGATTAACAGAAACGGACACCAAGAACCCCATATAGGAGTATGATTAAATCCTTTGATCCCCTGTTTGATATGCACAAGTTTGCTGTTCTCTTATGTGAATGACTAAATGGTTTTTAATCTGATTTCCTCCCGTATCGCAGTTAAGAGATTCAAAAAGATCGGACTTAATGCTTACATTTGAACAGAGCTAATTAAATATACCCAATCAATCCATGATATCAAGAAACGTTCTGTTAAACACAGTCTAGCAATGCTTGATCCAATTTGGTGATGTTTTGTTGGAACCAAGGCTACTGTTGCTCGAAAGGGCCAATTGATACAGAACAAGCCCAAACCGGCAATCCGTTAGACCATCACCGGATACCACGTCAAACCTTTAACATCTCGGAATAACCAACCATTCTTAACTGCATATAAAGTTTACAACCTGTATATCTGATACAACCCCCCTCAAATGTTGCTGCGAATTTATGCTTCTTCCAGTACCAATCTTGGCAATGGTTCTATCATTGAGAATGTATGCAGGAACACAAAAGGACCTGACTACTGTTTTGGGAAGTGGGTCCCATAGATAAGAATAATCTAATTGACACTCCACAAATCGTTAAATCCTCCAGCTCCTAGCCAATCAGTGGGAAAGTATAAATAAACATCAAGAACTCTCTTGAATCAAGATTTCGTAGTTGTCACTTCTTCAACAGAAACACATCCCAAATATGGCCTCTACCAAAGTCGATATTGCCAGACAGGTGCCCAGTGCACCACCAGCAGATGAACCCGCTGCAAGATTATTGCCCGGTGAACACACCCTTCCCGCCAGTTGGTGGACTAGTGAAAAGGTGTTTGAGCTTGAGAAAAGATCTATTTTCAACAAAAGTTGGCTTTTCTGTATCCATTCATCGCGGTTCAACAAGGCTGGTGATTACTTCAGATTCACATTCGCAGGAATCAACTTTTTTGTTATCAAGTCCAAAGTTGACAACCAGATCAAGGCCTTCCATAACGTTTGTCGTCACAGAGCTTATCCCGTGGTACGTAAGGATAAAGGATCTTCAACCGTGCTTGGCTGCAAATACCACGGCTGGTCCTATAACTCGGACGGAAAATTGCTTAAAGCTCCTCACTTCAACGATGTAGAAGGGTTTGTCAAGGAAGAAAACTCATTGTTTCCCGTCAACACCCACGTGACCGAGCAAGGGTTGGTATTTGTTAACTTCAACAACGACCCCGAGTCGGTGATTCCGTTTGACAAGTGGTTTGAAGGTTTGAACAGCGAGCTCAATGAATTTGATTTCTCCGACTATGAATACCACATGTCTTACGAATTGGACGGGCAGTTCAATTGGAAAACTTTGATGGACGGGTACCAGGAGTGCTACCACTGTCCCACCGCCCATCCTGGATTAAGCTCAGCCTTTAAAATGGAAACTTACAAGGTTGTTCCAAAAAACAGGTACTGCCGTCACTATGCACAAATCGTGCGTGAGGAACAACCCGAATCCGAACCTGAACCCGAACCCGAACAAAGTAGTTGGTTTGGTATGAGGAAACAGGCTCAACCGCAACCAAGTCCTCAGAAAAAACCAAAGAAGGCCAACCCAGGGGGTGAGTTCAATGGTTTGTGGGTATATTTATTCCCCACCAACGGGATCAACTGCTATTCTCCCGCTTGGTATTCGATTAGAGTATTGCCAGTGTCTCCTACCCACACGATTTTGCAGTACGATATCTTTACTAAAAAGGGCTTGGATGAAGATACCAAGAAGGAGTTTGTGGACTTTTTGCAGTTGGTGGAATTGGAAGATTTTAATTTGTGTCAGTTAACACAAAAAAACTTGAACGAAGGGGTGTACTCTTCAGGCTACTTGCACCCACTCAAAGAAAGAGGCGTATTGTTTTATCAGAATTTGGTGAGAGATATGGTGAAAGAGCATTTCGCTCTTGAGCAAGCAGCAGGAAAGCCCATTAATCCAGCCATTATTAGCAATAAAAAGGCCAATAAAGATGTGCAGGAGTTGGAGGAAATCTGTAACCAGTTGGAATGTGGCAGTTCTTCCGGGAGTTCAGAACTCCAGTGGTAAATACGTAATAGCTTGACAATAGTGATGTTTTGTACTGAGGAAACTGTAGATGCTGCAAGTTGCCAAATGTAGGTTATAGGGTTTATGACTCCCAAGGAGTTCAGTGGGTGTAGGGTCCATCGTCCTGGCCATGCCATAGTATGCACAAGACTGGACAGTCTACTTATGTGTCCCTAGCCTCATCTCTATCTTAATGTCTCATGTCTCATCGCCATTATAGGCTAATCTTCCCCAATCCTCATCACATGACTGCGACCAACCCACCGCGGGGCTGGCGCCAGCATGGTGCCAACCTGTCGTGCCAGTGAGTCCTCGGCGTAAATCGTGTTCGCGCTTCCGAGGCATATGATTTCCTCAGTGGGGATTATAAATCATCATTCTTTCCACACTCCACCACCACCCTTTACAAAAGCCTTTTTTTATCCCACACTCCCAGCTAAACAGACCTACACACCATAATGTCTTTTGTCGGAGGCGGAGCAGACTGCTCAGTTAACGGAAATGCCATTGCTCAGTTCAATAAGCACACTCAACAGGATCGATCACTCCAACGTCAAACTGCTAATCAGACCCAGTTTATCGGACAAAATTCCTTCAAAAGCGAAAATGGTGCCATGAACCAGGCCGACCGTCGCAATATGGAAGCCTTCATGAACGGTGGTGGTCAGCTGTTTCAGTTTCTGCCCATGCATCATGAGTTGGACGTAATCCACCGGAGCCTGGCGCAACCGGCCTTACACCAACCACAAATACTTTCTCAAAAACAAAACTGGTCGACCGAGTTTCAGGCACACTCTCCTTCACCGTCGGCACAACAGCACGCTACCGGTAGCCCTCAGTGGGGCGCAGAGTTTCAAACAAGGCCAGAGCTCCAACAACAGCCACAAATGCAAAATTCTGGACTGCCCCAGATGTCGATGAGAATGGGTTATCGCCCCATGATGCCCATGATGGGCTCTAGTTTACACCAGCCAGCTCCCCAGGTGGCAGCCCAGCCGGTCAGCAACCAGGAACAGCAGGTGGACTGGGATAACCAGTTTAAGGAGATTGAAGAGCTCTCACAAACGGCAAATGCCCAGACAGACGAGACGGCCCAACGCGAAGGCTCACCTGAGATCGTAGTGGACGACAAGTACGAGGCTACATTCCAGGAAGTCTGGGATAGTTTGAACGATGAGGCGTTAGAAAACGACTTTATCAATCAACAGTATGAAGACTTCAAGACTACCCAGAGAGAAACACTTCCGGCAGATATGAGCCAATGGGAGCGTGATTTCGCCAAGTATGCGTCCACCCGAGCCCATTTCGGCGAATATAAGTCTGAAGACAAACAGAACAACCAATTTTTGGATCTTCCGGCTGACCAAGATCCATACGAAATCGGGCTTCAGTTGATGGAAAATGGTGCGAAGCTCTCGGAGGCCGCGCTAGCATTCGAGGCTGCCATCCAACGTGATGAGACTCACGTAGATGCATGGTTGAAATTAGGGGAAGTGCAGACCCAAAATGAAAAGGAGATTGCTGGGATTTCAGCGTTGGAAAAGTGTTTGGAGTTGAATCCTGAAAACAGCCAGGCATTAATGACCTTAGCCATCTCATATGTTAATGAGGGTTATGACAATGCTGCATTTGCTACTTTGGAACGGTGGATTTCCACCAAATACCCCCAAATCACCGAAAAGGCCCGTCAACAGAATCCTCAAATCACCGACGAAGACCGGTTCTCTTTGAATAAAAGAGTCACTGAATTGTTTATTAACGCAGCACAATTATCGCCCAATCAAGCTAGTATGGACGCCGACGTTCAATTGGGATTGGGAGTTTTGTTCTACGCCAACGAGGACTTTGACAAGACCATCGACTGCTTTAAAGCTGCCTTAAGTATTAAACCTGACGACCCGGTCTTGTGGAACCGGTTGGGTGCTTCCTTGGCAAACTCCAATAGGTCAGAGGAAGCAGTTGATGCTTACTTTAAGGCTTTGGAACTCAAACCAACTTTTGTTAGAGCACGTTACAACTTGGGAGTTTCGTGCATCAACATTGGATGTTACAAGGAAGCTGCCGAGCATTTGTTGAGTGGTTTGGCCATGCACCAAGTTGAAGGTCACGACACTACTGCCACCACATCATTATCCCCAAACCAATCTACTGCATTAACCGAAACGTTAAAAAGAGCATTTATTGCCATGGAGAGAAGAGACTTATTGGAAGTAGTCAAACCAGGAATGAACTTGGACCAATTTCGGGGAGAGTTCACCTTCTGATCAGCTGATGTTTGTTTACATAGCTTTGAGTTTTACAATCCATGATCTCTATTTACTCATCTACAACATGCTCGCAATGTATAAATATATAATCTCTACTCAATTACAACAATCCTAACTTCTCCATTCTCACATGAACTGCGTTTCTGTGAGCTTCTAATCCTTCAACGGCAGCTATCGTCATAACAGCCTTCCCAATACTCTTCAAACCTTCTTCACTGACTTCTTGAGAAGTGATAAACTTCTGGAACGTCGCGGTATTCACACCAGAATACTGTCTGGCATATCCATATGTTGGCAAAGTGTGGTTGGTTCCACTAGAATAGTCACCACATGATTCAGGAGACAACTTACCCACAAATACAGAACCAGCATTATCAACGTAGTCTGGAACATAGCTACCAGCCTTTTCAATTTGCAAAATCAAATGTTCTGGTGCGTAGTCGTTGGATAACTTGAAAGCTTCTTCATAAGTGTCCACCAACAAAGTGTAAGAGTGTGCCAAACATTTGGAAACAATTTCCCTCCTTGGCAACACAGATGCTTGTGTAGCAACCGCTTCTTCAATACCAGCCAAGTCTGAGGTAGAAAGTCCAACTCCAATCAAAATTACTTGAGAATCAACTCCGTGTTCAGCTTGTGACAACAAGTCACTAGCCACGAAGTCAGGATCAGCATTACTGTCGGCAATCACCAACACTTCGGAAGGTCCAGCAGGCATATCAATAGAACACAACGCTTGAGTATCGTTTTGCACGTACATTTTTGCAGCCGTGACAAACTGGTTACCTGGTCCCAAGATCTTATCACACTTCACCACAGAATCAGTACCATAAGCCATAGCAGTAACAGCCTGAGCACCACCGGCCATTAAGATACTACTAGCTCCCAACTTGTGAGCCACATAAACCACTTCTGGGGTTAATTTTCCAGTAGCACGAGCTGGAGGAGACGCAATCACAATGTTTTTGCACCCAGCTACCTTGGCTGGAACCCCCAACATCATGGCAGTGGAAGGCAACACTGCAGTACCACCAGGAACATATAAACCGACGTTTTCAATTGGTTTGGCGAATCTTGAGCAAACGACACCAGGAGCTGTTTCCACACTCATGACCTCTTCCTTTGGTAATTGAGCGGCGTGGAAAGTTTCGATGTTCTTCATGGATAAGTCGATGGCTTCCTTCATGTCTTCAGAAATTTGCATCAATTCGGGTGGGAAAGGAGCATTCAACACAGGTGATTCCAATTGAACACCATCGAATTTAGCAGTCAATTCAAGCAAGGCCTTGTCACCATTCTCCTGGACGTTTTTAATTATAGGAAGAACGAGTTTCATGATATCTGAAGTCTTCTGGTTGGGTCTGGTTAAGGCTTGTTGAATTAAATCTGGGGATGTGGTGGCTGCCGTAATAGTAGTCAATTTGTAAGAAAGTTCTTGCTTGGGTTCCTCTTTGGGTTCTGGTTTCTTCAAGTAGGCGGCCTTAGCATCACCTTTACGTCTAGTAACTTTGAGATCCTTGATATCCAAGTTCTTCTCGATATCAGATAATCTCACGCCGTTCTTCACACACCACACCATTACAAAGTAGATCAAGTCGGCCGCTTCCCAGGCAATCTCTTGCTTGTCGTTGGCCTTTCCAGCTTCAATCAACTCATCCAATTCTTCTTTCAACTTGGCAACCAACAACTCCTCATCGTTGAACAATCTCTTGGTGTAGGAGCCTTCGGGAGCAGCTTCTTTTCTCTTGACCAAAGTGTGGTCTAATCTGCCCAAGCCTTTCCCAGTGGATTCGCTGTATAAGCTGCCGTCGTTAAAGCAAGTATAGTTCTTGTCTTTGTGGCAGAAGCCGAATCCATCTCTCTGTTCAACCACAAATTTGACCACATCTGAATCACAGTCTTTACTGATAGAAATTACTCTTTGAGTAGCACCACTGGTCTTTCCTTTATACCATAATTCTTCCCGGCGTTTACGAGATTGGTAGACGCCTTCTCCCGTGGCAATGGACTCGAGAATCGATGCTTCGGAAGAGTAGACCACTCCTAACGCAGTGTAGGATGGAGCACCCGAAGTGATTAAAGTTGTGAAGAGCCCATCGGGCCTGTCAGTAGTTAAGGTGCTGGTGAGCAAGCGTCCCACAGAAATATTGCTGGTATCAGACTTCTTGGTCAACTTTTTTGTTGAAATGATGGGAATATAGTCTGCTTGAGCCAATTTAATAGCAGACGCCTCGTCAACAACGCCATCAAAATAGACACTTCTGTTGTCATCTTGGTTGACTGCCTTCAAGTTGGCCACTTTGGAAGACACCACCAAAGAAGCATCCAAATCAGTGAACTTTTCAGGTTCTTGGGTCTTGATACCAAATCTATAACTAGGTAAACCCGAGGTCTTGATGAGCTCTTCCACTTGTGAGTCACTGATGAAGATGGTTTGCACTCCACTATTCAAAACTTCCACAGCTTGGTCAACAGAAATAAGAGCATCACTGGCGTCCACCAAAACATCTACTTGGGTAGGAAAAGTCGATAACAAGAACTTCGACACTTGAAGACCTTCAAAAGGTACTAACACTTTCCCGACAAATGCATAGTCATTTATGTCGGTGCTGGTGGTTGAATCCACCTTTGGCAACACAGGAAACGTCATGTTCAGCGATAACTCAGGAGTTTTACTGTTATCAAAGATTATCAGTTGAAAATTTTTGAGATTGAGAACCTCAGTTGAATGAGAGTCAATTAAATAATATATAATATTGAGTCATCGCAGCGGCCGCAAAATCACCTCACACATGATACGATGAATTACCAACCCATTTGACAGCTAAAGCCTAGGATATGGCTTTCCATCATCTTCACCATCATCCTCATCCTCATCACTGTCGTCGTCGTCGTCACCGCCGAGTGTATCGTATACAGCCATCTCCATCTTACAGTAACCTAAGAAAGAATGTGGGTCTGCCATGGGCAAAATCTGGGACCCCCAGAAGCCTCCAATCTTGTTCACGTGATCCACCCAGTAGTAGAGATTAGCCAAGCCGCTCCAATAGACCGACCCAACTGGTCTGCCAGTTGCAGGTTCTTCTTCAGTAACGGCCATTCCCGCTAAGGTAAACCCATCTTTCAAATCTGGAAAATCTGGAATATCGAACTTGATGACCTGATTGGCAGGAAGATGATTCTTTACCGCATAGACTGCTAAATCTTCTTGTAAAAGCCGCTTCCCAGCGTCGGGAGAATATCCAAAGTTGATCCAAAGTCTGATAAATTTCAAATAGTCCTCAACATTGCCAAAACACCCTTGGCCTCCCATATCAATCACAGGATCTAATTGAGTTCCTTTGGGATACAAGCGGATCTTGCCATTTCTTCCTCTCAAATGGGTTCTGATCAAGTGTTGGGTATTTTTTACATGGAAAGTACATGAGCTCATTCCCACTGGGTCAAATAGAACCTCCTTCAAGTATTGTCCCAAGGTCTTACCAGTGATACTTTCAATCACCAACCCAACCCAGTCCATGCTGTGGCCGTACAGAAACTCCTGGCCAGGCTCTCCAATCAAAGGGGTCTTGTCGGTTTTAAAAAGATCTCTTGTGGGAGTCCCCGAGCTTATGTGAGGGTTTCTTAGAGATCCCAAAAGCGAATACTCTTTACTCAAAAATGGGTACGACATACCAGCAGTCATGGTAAGGAGATGTTTGATGGTTACGGCCGTACTGGGTTTGCGAGGAGGTTTAGTGAAATGACCTGTGTTGGGATCAACTGTTCCCTTATCCACAATGTAAAGCTCATCGATATCAGGAACATATTTTCGAACTTCATCATCAAGCAGGAGCTTTTTCTGTTCGTAGAGCTTCAAGAGCCCAAAGGCAGTCAAGGCTTTAGTACACGAGAAGTAGCAAAACACTGTATCCTTGGTGACGGGAGTATTTGATTCCAAATCCAATACTCCATTGTAGTTAAAGTAAAGCGTTTCATTGGCATCAGTAACTCCCAAAACCACACCAGGTACTTTGGGTTGTTTTTCTGGCGATTTCAGTTCAGTTACATTGACAAGCAACTTGTCGAGCTTCTTGGCTATAGACCGAATTTGTTCAGTTGTCACCATTTTTGTTGTTGGTATTGAGACAAAAGTTCCCCAGATTCTCAAGAATGTGAAAATTGCAAAAATTGAATTTTGTTGGACACCAGATGCAGAACAGAAAAAACAACCTTTAAACACTAAGTAAATGTTTGGAGTATCATCTAATAAATATAGACTCTATACCTCCGAATCAGATGTCTATTGTTCTCAGCTTAAAACATTTAATAATCCGGTGAAAATATGAATAGATTTAATCATACTTGTGGTTTAGTGGTGTAGCGGCTATCACGTTTCGTTTACAAGTGTCTTAGATGCAGTAAGTTCCGAAAAGGCCCCGAGTTCGATCCTCGGCTAGATCAAGGTTTTTTTTTGAACACTTTTCCTCATTGTTTTCGCATCCATTATAGAGGTGTTTGCTTAATACAAGCGTTTATCACAACTAATCTAAAGAGACCAATACCATATCAAAGCTTCGTTCCGGTCACAAACGCAGCTCCTTGTTCAATCGACTTCTTTAAACCTGGCAAGGCCTTAGATATCAACTGTTTTTCAGCATCACTGATGGTGAACTCCTCAAACGGATTCACAAGCGATTCCACCGCTCCGTTTCTCAATGCAACCGGCACAGCAAAATAGTCAATTCCATCTAAGTACTTCTTGCTTAATTTTTCACCCTTCTCGAAACCAGGCAAATAAATGTATGCCGAGTCATTAATATAGTAGGAGTTGAAAGTACTAGAAAAGTATGACTGCAAGATATTCTCGGCAAATCTGTAGCCAGCATATGCCATGGACAAGGTGGCAGAGCCAGCCCCGTTCTTGGCCTTTACCACTTCATCTCCTCCAAATTGCACCCGGTTGATGAAATTGTCGTAGTCTGAGGTCAGGATCTTCTGCACCTTTTGCGAGATGGAGGTGGTGATGTTCACCAATGGGATGATGGTGTCACCCGAATGGCCACCAATGACGGAAATACGACCTTTGACTTCAGGGGCAGGCTCTCCCACCAAATCTCCCAAAAATGTCTCTGCTCTCACCGAGTCCAAGGTAGTAACACCAAACAATTTACTGGGGTTGAATACGCCCAACTTCTTCAATACTTCAGCAGCAATAGGCACGGTAGAGTTAACGGGGTTCGAAATGATCAATATAGATGCGTCGGGGCACGTGAGGCCGATGTTCTTGACCAAGTCTCTGATGATCGAGGCGTTAATGTTGAACAAGTCAGCACGTGTCATACCTGGCTTTCTGGGGACACCCGCAGGGATTACCACGAGATCAGATCTCTCCAATGCCGCGCGTACAGCCAGCTGGTCGGCCTTGTCTTTTGGCTGGTGTCCAGTGACTTTTGCTGGGGTGTTGATGTGGTTCAAGTCAGCAGCCACTCCATGAACGTTGACAATGTCGAAAAGAGCCAACTCATCGACGTGGGGGTTGAGTTTCAATAAGAGGGAAAGCGGCTGACCGATTCCACCGGCGGCTCCACAAACAGTAACTTTCATATTGGTGGTAGTTTTCAATTTGCACCAAGGGAGAAAATGCCGGTATTTATATGCGACTCACATGATTTTGCGACCGCGGGTTTTTTGTGGAGAAGGTTGGTGCACGAGCATGCGTTTATGAGATGAATATCAAAGTCATGGGGGACAGCCGGGGACCGTGGGCAGGATTTAGCGAGATTGCATTGAGAAGGGTGAGGAAGTCGATGTACCAAAGAAGGGTCAAAAAGAAAAATGACTGAAAACAGTCTACAAATGCATCCGTCGTACCGGTGGCTGCTGCACATACGTCACAGAATGCACCTACACCTTACAAATTTGAAGGCATGAATACCACAGAAGGCTTGGATGCAACAGGGGATCAACAGTTCTTTGGAGCCACTTTTGACGTATTTGAAGGTGGATCTGAACCAACCTGCATTTTTAGTTGCCCAACCTGTACTTCCCCTGCCCAACCTGCAATACCTCACCCGTCTTCCCTATCGCGCGCTTGCCTTCCAAAACTCTCACAAACTAACTGCTTTTAACTATGGGAATCCTCGAGTTACTCTTCGGCCTTTGGCTAGCGACGACTGTCATGGCATTCGCCTGCGACGCCGAAAAGATTGCGAAGTATGATTTCCAGTCCATCAAGGGTGTGTACTCGGCGGTCCAGTCCAAGAAAACACCTCCTAGTGTCTCAGAGACTACCTGGTCTTTAGGAATCTGTGATCGCATTAGTGACATTCCTGAGTGCAAAGATTCAGAGTTGTGTGGAACTACACGTGTCACTTTGGATGGAGAAACTTTTGTCACCCAAGTAATCAAGGTCCATGATGTTGCTGCTCAGTTTTTGCCTATCTTGAAATCCAAATCCCAAAGCGGCATTGCAGACAAAGATAACGGTGGAGTTCGAGCAGAATACAACAACATCAAATGGGGCGACCAGAGGGTAAAGGTAAGTGCCTCGTTTATGTGTCCCGGCATTGATTACGTGGGAGACTTAGATAGTTTGAGCTTATCTCTGTTTTCTAATACCGAGGTGAAGTTAGAGATGTACACTAAAGCAGCCTGTGCCAACAAGCAGCCACACAAGCACAAGGCCGATGATGGCGAGAGCTGGGGTTGGTTCACGTGGATATTCATCTTTTTCGTGTTGTTTTTAAGTATCTACATCATTGGCGGGGCATGGTTCCAGTACAATAAGGGCAATTCAATTGATTTCCAAACTGCTTTGAAAGAAGTGGTGGAGAACTTTGTGGATGTCATCAAGGGGTTACCGATATTCGTCAAGGAGATAATCGAAAAGTTCACCGGGAACGCTAATAGAGGTGAATATAGTGCTGTATAGGAATTGAACAAAACCAATTTAGTCTGACTCTTTTCGCGATGTTGAAGTTCGACCCAAATCAAATTTTGTTTCAGGTACAATGTTCATTACGGATAAAGTAGCCAACATCGACCAGGGTAAATTCGTGTCTTTTGAATTCTTCCCTCCCAAGACCGATGCTGGGTTTCGTAACTTATTGGCACGGTTGTCGCGGATGAAGGCATTAAACCCGCTTTTCATCACTATTACCTGGGGTGCCGGTGGATCTACCTCAGAAAAATCATTGGAACTTGCCGCCATTTGCCAGAAGCAGTTGGGAATCACCACTGTCTTACATCTCACATGTACCAACACCAATAAGGAGATCATTGATGCGGCGTTGGTGCAGGCCAAAAAAAATGGTATTAGAAACATTTTGGCATTGAGAGGTGATGTTCCAAGAACAGAAGAATACTGGACTCCAAATTGTGACTTTTTGTCTGCCACCGACTTGGTCAAATATATAAGATCCCAACACGGTAAAGAGTTCTGTGTGGGGGTAGCAGGGTATCCAGAAGGTCATGTGGATGGATCCGATTATACCAACCAGAACCCAGAAAAAGATATACCTTACTTGATCGAGAAAGTTCAGGCCGGTGCTGATTATATCATTACCCAGTTGTTTTACGACGTTGACAAGTTTGTCAAGTACCACCAATTACTTAAATCGTATGATGAGTTGAAGGACTTGTTAGTTATTCCTGGTTTGTTGCCTATTAACACATTTAACAGTTTCAAGAAAGCTACTAAGTTATCACATGCCACCATTCCTCAGTCAATCTTGGACAGGGTTCTGCGCCATAAACTTAACGATGATGAGGTAAAGGCCGTGGGGATCAAGATTTTAAATGAGATCATTGCTGAAGTCAGTGAGAAAACCGATATCAAAGGATTTCACTTCTACACCTTGAACTTGGAAAAAGCCGCTGCATCAATCATAGAGACATCTTCTGTCTTACAGGACGGCTTAAAAGTCAGGGATGATATAGCTGAATCGGACGAAGAGATTGAAATCGAAATACCTCAAAAGTCATTTAAGAGAAGACAATCATCGGTATCTTCCGGAGTGGACCCTAAACCTCACTTCAAGTCTTTGATAGCAATCAGTAAAGGGAAGGGACAAATGGGTAAAGATGCCAACTGGGATGATTTCCCCAACGGTCGGTTTGGGGATTCGAATTCCCCAGCCTACGGAGAAATTGACGGATACGGACCTAACTTGAAGGTAGAATCGCTGGAAAAAGCGGTAGAGCTTTGGACTACACCTGAAAGCACTCTTGACTTGGCCCGGGTATTCATCGACTACTTATCCAACAAGATTCCTCAATTACCGTGGGTAGATACTCCTTTGGACATCGAAACGTCCATTATTCAAGAGCAACTTTTTGAATTGAATTTGAGAGGTTGGTTTTCCACAGCATCTCAACCGGCCACAAACGCATGCCCCTCAAATGATAAAATCTTTGGCTGGGGACCTGCCAACGGAATTGTATATCAAAAGGCATTTGTGGAATTATTTGTCCCTAAACATGATTGGGACCAGAAGATTTTCCCGGCGTTGAAACCACAAATTGAAAATAAAACCATCACCTACTTCCTTGGGGACAATAAGGGACAGATTCAAACCAACTTATCTAATCACCAGAGTAAGTCTGCTGTAACTTGGGGAGTTTTCCCTCTGAAAGAAATTTTGCAGCCAACATTAATTGACCTCGACTCATTTAAAGCCTGGAATGAGGAAGCGTTCCTTTTATGGCTCGAGTGGGCGAGATGCTACAAAAAGGCAACCAATACCTATACGTTTTTGAACTTCATTTATGAAAACTACTACTTAGTGAGTTTGATCCATCATGATTTCGTCGATGAAAATGGCTTATGGGACTCGTTGTTGGATATCGAATAGCAATTAGAGCCCAAGCTATGAGTTTCTCATGGGACTCATAATTCGGGATTTTGTAAAATATTTATAGATTTCTCCACCAAGTTAGAATTCAATGCTTTGACCAACTCAGAACTCTCGTCTACTCCAATGTATTTACACACTTTTCGATCAACTAGCAAGGCCCCATTGGCCACCGTGGCTCCCAGGCTTATGATCAATTTGCCCCCGAGTTTAATTGGAATTGGAAGAGTGCTTCCTGTTCTTAGAAATGGAAGCTTGTCATTGTACTCATAAGCAAAGCAGTAGTTATCAAAGTTGTCCCTAAGGGTCAACTTATAGACACTCAGATCGAATAACAGCGTTGTTTCCATTAACCGGGCGTTATCATTGTCGGAAACATCGATTTCCCGAATAATGTGTTGGTTGGTGCCAGCACCTGATCTATTTAGCCTGTCGACACCCACCTCGTTAGGATCTTTATATTTCATCCATTCCTCCAATTTGGCTATTTTCAGCTTTGAAATATCATCAACATGGATCACGTTAAATGCCACCGGTAAGCGGGTTTGATCTGACGGCTTATTAGCAAACTCCTGTGGATTGAATGCGTTCCTTTCTGGATTGCTCATGGATGCGTTAGGGTTTTGTGGGATGCGATTGCAACTTGTGCGACTGCATCTTCAATCGCATCTTGTGCTATGTCGTTGTTTGTAGGAGAAGATGATGATACTGAAACCGAGCTCCTCGCCCAAACAGAAGCTCATGTGGAAGTGCCGGTTCAGGAGCTCGAAAGGCTGCTACCGACCACGGCCTTAGAGCCAGATGTTTCAGAACTTCCTGAACCTATTAAGTTGAGCCTACCGCTCAAATATCAGCGAGAAATAGTCAGTGATTTGCTCGCCAAAGACGCGTTGCTTATTCTTGGGAAAGGCTTGGGGTGGGAGATTATAGTTGCCAATATCCTTTATATCTTAAACTTGTCGAATTTAAAGGACAAGCTTCCCAATCCACCTGCAAACCGCAAGAGCTTACTTATCTTGCTCAACGCTAATGAGGTTGAAAACCACAAAATTGCTGCTGATTTGCTTGAATTGCAAGCTTCTATGACTGTGGTAGGAGGAGAGTCCACGGTGGTAGACAAGAGACGACAAATCTACCAGAAGGGTGGAGTTGTGTCAATAACACTGAGAATCTTGGTAGTAGACTTGCTTTCAGAGGTCTTGAAGCCGGAGGAAATCAACGGGTTGTTTGTCCTCCATGCCGAGCGAATCAAGGAGACGTCGAATGAGTCGTTCATTGTGAACTTGTATCGTGACCAAAATGAGTGGGGGTTTATCAAAGCATTTTCTGATGATCCTGAGCTGTTCACTGGATTCACGCCATTAGCAAGTCGATTGCGGCACCTCAAGCTATCCAATACTCTTCTTTGGCCCCGATTTCATGTGGACGTCATTGAGTCCTTGAGCTTTAGACATAAAAAGTTTCACAGAGACTTGAAGACGGTGAATGAGATTAACATCAAGCTTTCGTATAAGATGACCAGAATCCAGTCGGCACTTTTAACTTGTATCGAGCAGTGTTTGAAGGAGTTGATACGACACTGCCAGCTGCTATCCACCGACTACTGGGATATAGAAAATCTATATGATCCAGACTTTGTACATCGGATTCGGAACCTGCTTGAATCTCATTGGCACCGATTGACCCAAACTCCCAAACTGTTGGTCTATGACCTTGGGTTCTTGAAGGGATTACTTCTGTCATTATTGACGAGGGACTCGTTGACGTTCTACCAGATTGTCCAGAGTGCGGTAGATGGTAACTTGAGGCGGTCAGTAAACACTTCAGGAACCATGAACCTAACATCGATGAGTCCGTGGTTGAACTCGGATGTGGCACCGACCATCACGTCATATGCCAAAGAAAGGGCTCTCGGAATGTCCAAATACGTAGGTAGTGATGGAGTTGAATCCGTGGAGTATAACCTTGAACCTCTCCCCAAATGGATCGAGTTAAACAAACTTCTCAAAGAAATTGGTCCAAACTCCCGGATTTTGGTCATGGCATCAGACAGAATGGTTGTTGAAGAGCTTCAATGTCTTATTCAGAAATTTATAATGACAGGTGAGATAAATTCCAGAAGCTACATGGTTTCTAAGCTTAGAGGGTATTTGATGTGGAAAGAATTGAGTAAACTTCGAAGACAACTTAGTAACGATGTGAATGATGATGAGCAAGACGATATAGTTGTATCGAAGACATTCAAAAGAAGCAGAGAAAATGCCAGCATCCGAAGAAGAACGAGAGGTGCCTCATCAGTTGCGAATGTTAATAGGCTCTATTCGGTCGACGATAGCGACCGTAACCCTGAATCAGCTGATATAGATACCGCTGTTCTTGAGAAACTTGAGCTCGAAAATCAGGAGAATGAGCCAAAGGAATTTCTGAAAGCTCACGTCAAGCAGGAGCCTAATGAAAACGAGTTAGAAGATGATGATTTAATAATCATTGATGAACAAAGGTACACTATAGAGGTTCAGTCGTTCAACTCAAAGACCGATGATACACTTCTTAACGAATTCAAACCCACGCATATCATCTTTTATGAGCCCAACCTTTCATTTATTCGAAGAGTTGAAAATTACCAAGGAGTGCATTTCAATGAACCTGCAAAGGTGTACATGATGTTCTATGGAACGTCAGCAGAGGAGCAACTGTCGTTGGTGCAAATGAAAAAGGAGAAGGAGGCGTTTACACGGTTAATTCGAGAAAAAGCCAACTTGAGCAAGCATTTCGAAACTAAGGAAGATACCAAGTTCACCATTACCAAAAAGCACGTTGTAAACACCAGGATTGCAGGAGGACAGAGATTCCAAACTGAGGATGACGAGTTCAGAGTCATAGTGGATGTTCGAGAATTCAATTCATCACTTCCAAACCTACTCTATCGTGTTGGTAGTAAAGTCATCCCGTGTATGTTGACCATTGGAGATTACATTTTAACTCCCAAGATCTGTGTTGAAAGAAAAGCTATCCCTGATTTGATTGCGAGTTTTCAAAGTGGACGTCTATATAACCAGTGTGAACAGATGTCTAGATACTACGAACTTCCCGTCCTATTGATTGAATTCGATGAGGAAAAGTCGTTTTCTTTTGAACCTTTCAGCGAATCCCGTACAAGGCCAGGAGCTCCCGTCAGTAACAACACAAACCGGTTCCTCCAGGACCATATTCAGAACAAGATTACCATGTTACTCATCTCATTCCCCAAGCTCAAGATCATCTGGTCGTCTTCCCCATACCAAACTGCACAAATATTCATCGAATTGAAAGCAGGTGAAGAGGCTCCTGACATCACGCTGGCCATAAACAAAGGATTGAACTCGGATGAGCTGCCTGCCTTATACAACGAAGGAGCTATTGACTTGCTCCAAAGTATTCCTGGAATCAATGCTTCAAACTTCCACTTGATAATGAACCGAGTACGCAATATCGAGGAAATGGTCAAACTCACAAAACAAGATTTTTGCGATATCTTGGGAGAAGAAAACGGAGCTAAAGCCTATAACTTCATCAACAGACTGGTTCGTCCGTAAATGTTGTACGTACGAAATATAAATTATAGCTTATGCAGGGTTTTCGCAGCCCTAAATAAATACGCGGAGTTGTGAAACATAAACAAAAACTTAAACTAAACCTTCTGAGACAACCACTATATCTCCTTCAAAACTCCCCTTAGTATCTTACCGCTAAGGAACGTGTGAAGCGAGCGTGGAATTCAGGACATGCAGAAAGTCAGAACCAGAAACACCAGCACTACCCAGACTGCGGTGCGCTATAAAGAGCTTGAGTTCAAGTATCTTTATTTTAAGATCCAGAAGCTCGTCAATCGTAAGGTTCAAATCAGCTTGAAGTATGAGCAATTGAAACAGCCAGAAATAAACTTGACACTTATAAAGCCCATTGTCACGAAGATTGTGGCTCTTGCCAGTAACACTAGTTTGGGGCCTAAAATCCGAGGGAATTATGGTAGTACCATGCTGGAGTTCCGTGCTGCTCTTGAAAACAAGGTGTCGGTGATGGTGATTCACATACTTATGGTATTGAGGTACGAGTTTTTGATCCAAAGCGACGCCAATTTAATTGTGTACGACTTGTTGATGACCAAAGCAACAGTGTGTGAGCTATTGGCAATCCGAATTTACCGTGAGTACAAAGCGTTTGATCGGGTGCAATTACTCTTTGTGGATCCATTGAAGAAGTTCACCACCTTGGAGTTGGTGGTTTTGACCAAGTCCAAAAAGTTTCTTTCCCAACCCATAATTGTGAAGATTCTTGAGAAGTTCTACAATGGAGAGCTTATCATGCAAGAATTGTCCGATACCAAGAACGAAGAGCTGACGTTTTTGAGGGAGCAAATCACCAACTACAACTATCTGCGGGCATCATTAACTAAGATCAATGACCGTTCACGAATAGTGCCAAAGTACCAATCACTAGTGATCAACTTGAAAAACTTAATTCTCACAATGTTGCACGTAATGATCATCGTGAATCAGCATAAGAATCTTGTTCCAAGCGATGTGCTAGAATTTGTGTTCTACTGTATTGGACTTCACTTGAACTACGAGTTTTTTCTCAAATTACTTTCAATTCAGCACAAGTTCCTTCGTAAGATCCTTTGGTTCTATATGGATTTTGCAATCATCATGTTGATAGACATCAATATCATCTTGAAGGTGCTATCGGTATTTGGATACGTTTCAAATTCATCATACTTTCAGACCTTTAGCATTCTTTCCATTCTTCTCATTCCACGAAACCTATCCATGTTCAACAACTACCGGTTTTTCAGTCTAATTATATTGGGGTTCCGTCGGATGATATCAAACATTGCAGGTTTATTCTGCTTATTCTTTTCACTAATAATTGCCTTCTACATCACCTTTATTTCCATTAACTTTAATCGGTCCAACTCCATGATTGCCTTCGATCTTTTGCAAATTTTCTTCGGGTTTACTCCTGCTGTTTGGACCAACTGGGACACTTACTCGCCCCTTGGAAAGGTGATTCAAATCGGATACTTGTTTTTGAGCCAGTTCATCATTTCCACCATCTTGGCCATTGTTCTTTCCGAGTCCTTTTCAGAGATTTCTCATAACATCAAAGAAGATTTCGAGTACTTTAAGGCCGTAAACCTCGTCATATACTTCAAGTCGGCTCGGCTATATTCCAGCAGAATAGGATTCATAGTCAAGTTGCCCATTCTTGTAACAATTTTAGTTTATGAGCTTTTGGTGACCCAGATTTCATCGTCTGTGCCCGAAGAACAAAAGCACTTTACATTTTTGGCCAAAGATCGAGACTATTACAGCGATAATGACCTCGTGAATATGGACAACATCCATGACGAGTCTGATGTCAGTATTTTGATCCGGTCAAGACAAACGTCTGTCGCACGAGCTCCGGGTCAGCCCTTGGTTCCCAATGGTGTGGGGGCTGGAAGACGGTACAGTCAACTCGATGGGGGTAACATGGCCTTTGTGGTACCACCGGTGCTGTCTGGTACGGTACAGCCATCTGGTGGTAGTTTCTCGGCAGGAGCTCCCCAAACACCAGTACTTATGCCCATCAAGTCCATATCTACGCTTGGAAACTTTAAAAGCGCATCTACAGATTCGTTATTTATTGGCGATCTTTTGGCCAAGCGGTACGGCGTAGCATCAGGTGCCACTAAGCCAGTACTGCGGGTTGCCGATGGAGAATGGGACACCGTCTTAGATCGGTTGGGCCGATTGGACGATAAGCTTGACCAAATCCAACATCAGCAACAACAGGCAACAGTAAAACCACCACGAAAACAGCTTAGGCTCGTTCTGGTTGCAACCACAGACCTTGAGGACATCAACCGGTCGATTTTGGACGATGTTGACAACGAGCTGGTGCAGTTGTACGATATCCGAGAAGGGCTGTATGACCTTTCTGACCATCTGCTTGGGCTGATAAATCTGGATGATAATGTGGATGCATACCGAGACGACGATACGCTCAGTGAGGTTAGCGAGGTTAGCGACGAGGTGAGCGACGATACTTTCTAGAGAAAGTGAGGATGATTATACTGGGTAGAAGAGGGAGTACAATTGGCGAAGACAATAGTTTTGATTAATAGGGCAGTCAGTACATCATCATTGCAGCCAATGACATCACATATAAAGGGAGGACTGAACTTTAGATGCGGCTGCAAATCGCTGCTTAATATAGACCCATAGTGCATAATAAACCAACTCATAATATGGCTTCAGTGCAGGTGTAAACCTAGGGCATGTTTAGTTCTAGTACGTGTATAAGCCTAGTATTTGTAAGCCATCTGTGCAAATTCCGAAGTTACCGCTCTAGAACCCAAAATATACACACATTAGGCCGTTGCGAACGTCTACCCCGGGCCGTGTAAAATGCGTTTGCGCAAACGGTGAGTGGCTAACTTTCCAGCGAATCATCTCAAAATAAAAATACCAAACAAATCAGTAAGTAATCACATTTACACCAACCGGTTCTTAAAAAAGCGCATGTCACACCTAATATGACTGTCCCATGCAATTCATCACATTCGACGACAATCACAGTCACATTATCCATACCCCATACCCCATAGGCTGCGCGACCTGTCATGTGAAGAAACCAACCCTCACAAATTAACCTCTCACGACCCAGCCGTTTCGCAGCCAGTGGCTAAGATTGGCCAGATCAATTATTTTTTCTACCGAACAAAATCCTTTTATGTCAGGTCACCTTTGGGACAAGGAGTAGCCATGGTAGTTATAATATCCAGTATCTCAATTAGTGGCAAACTTTTCCACGAATAGCCCACCAACAGTGGAGGATAGATGCATGTGTTATTAATTCGGGCCTTTTCATTGGACCCGCATTTTGTAACCAAAAGAAGAAACCTCACTCGTTGAAAATTTATATAAACTCATCTTGGGTCGCGGCAAAAAAAATGACAGTTTTTTTACACTAGGACGCCCAATATTGATTATGACCCAAACACCCGAGGTGGCACTTCCGTGCCCAGCTGGCGAAATACGTATTGGAGGCCGTAAGAGTGAGTTGGCGGTGGCCCAAAGTGAAATTGTCAAAAGCCTTATTGAATCTCATTGCCCAGCTACTTCCTGTTCCATTGTAGCCATCAAAACATTGGGAGATGTGAGGTTAGATCGGGCGCTTTACACATTCGGCGGTAAGTCGCTCTGGACCCGTGAATTGGAAGCACTTTTACTTGGAAACGCCGGCAACTTTAAGCAGATCGATCTCATTGTCCACTCCCTCAAAGATTTACCAACTAACCTCCCCGAGGAATTCGAGCTCGGGTGCATCACCGAACGAGAAGATCCTCGTGACGCCCTCGTCATGAAGCGTGGCCTGCCCTTCATGCTGTTGGGCCAGCTTCCCGCTGGAAGTGTGATTGGTACCTCGTCCATGAGACGTCTGGCTCAACTTATGATGCACTACCCCCATTTACGATTCGAGAGCGTTCGTGGTAATCTTCGGAGCAGAATCAGAAAGCTCGACGAAGGTGACACTTTTGCCTGTATCATTTTGGCGGCTGCCGGAATGCATCGGATTGGCCTCAAGCCTAGAATAACCCAATACCTTAACCTGGACGAAATGTACTATTCTGTGGGGCAAGGCCTGTTGGGAGTCGAGATCCGTCGTGGAGATCCTCGCATCAGCAAAATCTTGGCCCATATTGAACACATACCCTCTGCGTACCGGTGTATTGCTGAGAGATCATTGATGAGGCATCTCGAAGGAGGGTGCTCGGTCCCCTTGGGAGTTAACACTCACTACGATGAAACTACAAAAATACTTTCCTTCAAGGCCATTATCGTGTCTCCTGATGGACAGGAATGCGCTGAGGCTTCCATCGAAATGCCCATAAAATGTCGTGAAGACTGTGTGAAGGCTGGAATACAGTTAGGCGATAAGTTGGTGGCTCGCGGTGGGAAAAAGATATTGGACGCCATAGACTACCAACGTATAAACCAGCCTCCCCAATCATCGAGCGAAAACTCTTCGCTTTTCACCACATCTTCCCCCACCACCAGTTAACCTGTCAAAAGACAATCATTTCGCATAACGGCCCACATCGGCTGTCACGTGATTTTTTTGTCCTACACAAAAATAGATCCAGACATGGGCCCATCCTGCCACTAATTTACATGGCCCGTCGTCCCATATGTAATGACCTTGCATCGTGCGTTGCACGCTCTTGTGAATAGAAACCACGCCATGAAGTTATGTATTACTCTCCTTTTAAATCACCAGTTTCGATCCGATGTGGATCGCCGTGGTTTGCGCTGTCCCTCGTTCCGCCTGCATACTCTCCTGACTCTCGTTTGTGGGCTCAGACTGGACGTGGAGTCGCCCCATTTTTCGCACCAGGTCGCACAGTCTCTGGTGCCGCATCGCCCCATCTCTCGTATAAACCGACATCGGATAGCTCTCTAAACGAGCTATGCTGCGAAAAAAAAACACAAGTATAAATATATTTATTACTCGCTTTCTGGTAATTTTATTGATACCCAAACATGGATCTTCTTCTTGAAGCGTGTGACTACTACTTGTTTGACCGTGCATATGCCGTGTTGTTGCCCAGCCCTGGAAACTCCACAACCTTGGCCACTACGCCCTTGTACACCGACCTTAACGTTAAAGTTCCCACTGCCCTCAACTACGTCTACCAGAAATTACTCACTTTAAAAAGTACAGATGTGTACGGAGAACCCTCGATCTTGCCTGCATCACCCTACACGTATGCCTCGATTTTATCCCGTTCCAATATAGTAAGACAATTCATAAGCATTTTCCTTGTTACATGTCTTTTTGGGTGGATTGCCTACTTTTCAGTGGCTGGATTCGCTTATCTCACCGTTTTTGACAAACGGGTGTTCAACCATCCTCGGTACTTGAAGAACCAAATGTCTATGGAAATCCACCAGGCCCTCACGTCCATCCCCCAGATGGTATTGTTGACAGTGCCATTTTTCTTAATCGAGTTGCACGGGTACTCTCGTTTAAATGGAACCTTATACGACATTTTCGACAACAAGACGAAGTTATTGTTACAAACATTAACTTTCTTAATGTTCACTGACTGTGGAATCTACTTCATCCATAGATGGTTACATATTCCTTCGGTTTACAAGAAGTTACATAAACCCCATCACAAGTGGATTGTATGTACTCCATTTGCTAGTCATGCATTCCACCCAGTTGATGGTTGGGCTCAGTCCTTGCCCTATCACTTTTATCCCTTGTTTTTCCCATTACACAAGGTGTTGTACTTATTCTTGTTCGGTTTTGTCAACTTCTGGACGGTGATGATCCACGATGGGCAATACTTGCTGAACGACCCGGTGGTAAACGGGACTGCATGTCACACCATCCACCACTTGTACTTCAACTATAACTATGGACAATTCACCACTTTGTGGGACCGGTTGTGCCGGTCCTACAGACGGCCAGATGACTCGTTGTTTACCAGAGGAATCTTGTCATCAGATAAGAGGGAGACCGAGAAGATACGGAGACGGTTGGAAGGTAAAGACGACCGGACCTACACCAAGTAGATGCTGGCCAGAGATTTTAATTATGGTGTATAGAATAACGGCTTCAATATATTGACTATCATAAGCAAAGAGATGAATTATATCAACTACAATTCACTATACGTCTTCTTAAATAATGGTGGAGGAAACTCTTTATCACCCAAAACTTCAAAGTCCTGGTACCCGGTTCTTAAATATTGTTCAATGTCTCGCATGAACTCTAGTGCCTTGCCCTGGTCAAATTTTGCACCCTTCTCATAATTTTGCAACAACATTTGGCGATACTGACTTAGTCTTTTTTCGACTCTGTCAAACCGGTAACCGAGATACAAGGGATAGAACCGATCGTTGGTAAAAGACGTGGCGACGGCTGGCCTTTCGGTGGTGGCACATGTCAGGTCATACCGGTTGGGATCCTCAGGAATAAAACTGGTAACGTAGGTGATTCTATCAAAATTGTTCACGGGCTTAGTGGCAATGTGCTTGATGACACGACCCTGAAGCATAGTGGCACAGCCAACAGTGGTGTTAGGAATCCGGAGAATGGACTCGTCTCCAAGCCGTATTCCCGTCTCACCTCCAATCATCTCTTCGGGCGCACTGAGCATCACCACACACACAAGTGGTGGAGAATCGTAGTGCCAGTTGACACCGGCAGCCATCTTGTCGTTAACGCTTTTCAAGGCTTTGTAATCCACGTCGGGATCTAATTGCGGCTTGCTACTATCGGCAAGTGAAACATTGACATGAGAAAGGGAAAATTGGTGAGGAATCGTGAGCTTGTCGTTCATGATTTCATTGATGATGCCACGGAGCTCAGGACTATTCCACGCCGCTTTGCAAAAGATGGTATCGTCAATGAATCCACTGATGTTGAAGTCCAAGTTGGAAGCACCGGTAGAATGGCCGGGCAGAACAAGCCTTCCGTGTTTCTTAAGGAGCGCCTCGTTGCTGAAAATCTCATATTTCATCATGTCAACAGCTTCGATAGTAAATAGACTGAACGGGTCAGTAGCTGCAATTTCGTTGATTGGCTTAACATGTGTGTTGGTGATACCAAGGTCGGCAAATCCGTACTTTTTGGCAACCCCTCGGTAGTCCAAGTGCCGTTTGGGATCAAATTTAAGGGAAGAGTCGAACCCAGGCTTGGACGTGAGTTCGTCCACTACCCTTTGGATCTCGGTATCAAACACACTCTGAGGGATATCCAAGCTGTGATTCTCGTTGAGAACGTCTTCGTAGTTCATTTACAGTGATAGGCAGTGGGCAATTGTGTTAACTGACATGCTGCAAATTAAGTATTCTCCGGTGAGATAAGCCAAGGAACCCGCTCGCCAAAAAGTACCTCATTCAGTAACTGGACGCAACGGAATCGGTGATAATAATGAGTGGAGTTCGGAATCTGTACAAAAGTGCAGGGAGTACGGAATAACATAGGGCCCGGAATCTGGTGAATGGGAACCGTGAAGGGACGATTCCATGATGGACTGCAGCACGACCACTAGGTTTATACTGTCACTACCATATTCACCGTTTTAAATTCATCAAGAAAATATGTGGTATTCGCTGTATCAATTATTTGTTATCAGGTAGAAGTCTGTGGTGCCACCGTGACCCGTGTTCTCTACCACCACTGCCACCGCCCTCAATTCATACACACGTCTCTTTCGTGCCCACGCACTTCAACATTCTCACAGTTGGAAAATCTACGCACTTTAAACCACCATGAACCTGTCAACCCTAATGGCGCTGAATTCGATTCTCACCCTCGGACCATATAAACACAGGAAGGACCTCACGCGAGAGTCAGTACTCTCGAAGTATGAGATAGTCGGTTATATTGCCGCAGGAACCTACGGTAAGGTCTACAAAGCTCGGTCCAAGCTTAAAGATAAACGCAAACCCGAAGACGATAACCTCGTCGAGCAGCCAGTACAACAACTTTTCGCCATCAAGAAGTTTAAAATCGACAACAACTCGCTCCTGAAGAACAGCCATTTGACCATTGATGGCCAGGAAGTCCTCAACTATACGGGGATACTGCAGAGTGCCATTAGAGAGATGTCCCTATGCAAGGAGATCACCAATAAGAACGTCATCAAATTGATCGATATCATCCTTGAAAACAAAAGCATCTATATGATTTTTGAGTACTGTGAACACGATTTGCTCCAGATCATTCATAACCATTCACATCCCGAACTCAAACCTATTCCACTAAAGAATGTCAAGTCGCTCATCTGGCAAATTTTGAACGGAGTGCTATTTCTTCACAAAAATTGGATTTTCCATCGAGATTTGAAACCAGCCAATATAATGGTCACCAACTATGGTACCGTCAAGATCGGGGATTTAGGACTCGCCAGAAAGTTCAATAACCCGCTTCAGAGCTTGTACACGGGTGATAAAGTGGTGGTGACGATCTGGTACCGAGCACCTGAACTTTTGATGGGGGCTCGCTATTATACACCTGCAATTGACTTGTGGGCAGTGGGATGTATTCTTGCAGAATTGCTTAGTCTTCGGCCCATCTTTAAGGGAGAGGAAGCTAAGTTTGACATCAACAATAAGAAGCTGGTGCCTTTCCAAAAAAACCAGTTTCTCAAGATCATAGAGATATTGGGAGTTCCCAACGAAAAGGACTGGAGCAATTTGAGTAATTACCCCGAATATTACAGTTTCAAGCAGATGGCAGAAAGCTACACCGGAAACACCAACTCTAACCTACTCAATTGGTACAAGCTTGTGGGAGGCAACAACAAACTCTGTTATAAGTTGCTTGAAAGCCTTTTGTTGTATGATCCAAGTAAGCGGATTACTGCTGAAAACGCATTGATGCACGAGTTCTTTATGGAAGCTCCAAAGGTAGACGAGAATGCCTTTGACGGACTACAGTTCAAGTACCCTAAACGGAGGATATTCACTGAAGACAATGATATTGTGTCGAACAATATCACCAAGAGAGTTACTAATGACGATGGCATGAGAAAGAAAATCCGCCAGTAAATATATATATACGCGCTTCTCGAATTTGCAAATCTCACAAAAACCATGAATGTTATATACAATGGGCCATATTCTAATGTGTATCGCGAGGACAAATACGCTGTCAAGAAAGTAGATCGGGACTTTAGTCTACCACCACACAACATCGATAGGGAGCTCCAGCTTGTGAAATCACTAGACCATCCCAATGTGATCAAGTTTCTCAAGGTGGAAAACAAGCTTGACGATGTGATGATGTACATGGAGTTCTATCCACAAAACCTTCAGGAGTACTTGAAGGCCAATTGCAGAAAAAAGAGCCGGTTTGTGGTCGGCCAAGTGCTGTTTGTGACCGAAAGCCGGCTTTCGCTTGACTCAATTGCACATGTGCTTGACCAGGTCATCGAGGCTATCTGGTTTGTGCACAAAAATGGCATAATTCACCGGGATATCAAGCCCAGCAATTTCTTGGTGACTCAAGAGCCCGAGTTAAGAGTGGTTCTTTGCGACTTCAGTATTCTGGTTGCCGTTGGCGAAAATGATCAGATTCTGGATGTGTGTTCAACCTACTACAAGCCATTGGAGGTGATATTTGGACTTGAGTACGGGCTTGAAATCGACGTCTGGGGATTGGGGATCATGATTCTGCATTTGTATTCTAGAAGTTGCACAAATACGTTATTTGAAGAGGAAGACATCAATGATGGTTACAGAGCCATCAGCGACTTTAAGATCATAGATCGCATATTCAAGCGATTCGGCACCCCCACCAAAGACGACGAAAATAGCATTAACTACTGGCCTGAAATTTTCGAGGTTGAGAATTTCCAATTGATACAGTTGAACTCCCGCCCCAGGCAGCTTGATATCTTCCCTCGGGGTACGGACGAGAAGATGGTGACGCTTTTCAACCGGATTTGTGACATGAACCAGAAGCGCAGGATTGCGATGAGCGAGGTGCGAGATCGGTGGACGCAGATAAGAGAAGGTAGCAGTTAAGCATGAAATGACCGTTGCCACACACCATGGTAATTGGCTGGTATAGGAGCAACCCTACGCAGGTGCCCCAAAAGCGCAAATTAAAAATAAAAACTTAATCCATGCGGCTGCCAAACGCCAAAGTATTGATTTGAGGCAGTAACTAGCAGGAAGTGAATAGTCACTATATAATTCCCAAATGTGACATACATATAACAAGCTGCCAAGTAGCTTCTAGTTCATTGAATATACACGGTGGTATCACTTAGCAGAGACATTAGGATGTAAGGGCACTTGAGGTATGCCTCGGGGTAAAACTTTAACGAGGCTATAGGAGGCTACAAGAATTTGTGACAAGTTTAGCGCTAAAAGCACTCTGTCGCCGGTGGAGCACCATCTGTAGCCGGATCGTAGATAGCCGGCAACGACAATTTCAAGTGCCAACGCGCATCATCCTTCTCCACATTTCGCACACAATTGGGGAAGAGCTCAAGGCCAGAAAAAGTCGAGATGACAGGAATATTTTTTTAGGAAACCCTTATAAGACAAGTCGTACAGTCATCATTTACCAAGTAGTTCGACAGCTTACCTCTTTTGCACATAACTACTTTATTTGTGCCTCGAATTACCTTGTTTCTAAAATCCTCATACGTCGAAGCCGTCTGATCCATATACGGAGCCACTCACGTTCACCGCAATCCCAACAATAACAAGAAGTCTCAAGACAATATTTATATGGCGTCCATTTTCCACAACATCCGTAGCGGAAAACCCGATGATATAAGTCTCATCAATTACGAGGAGCTAGAGCAGAAATTCCACATTCACAAGTACTATCCCAAGTATTTCCACAATGAGCAAGCCTCTACTCCAGATATAAAAGATCTCCTTTTTGATAAACCGATCTACTCCAAGGCTAACGAGCATGTTAAGAACTGGGTCAACCCAGGCATCCGGCAGACCTATGAGACCGAGTTAGACTTGGATAGTGGCAAGTTACATATCCGCAAAGAGAATGTAGAACAGCAGAACCAAAATCTCGGAGACCTCAAGCAAGAACGCAAACAACTCCGCGAGGACCATAGACAAGAACGCAAGCAGTTGCACGAAGAGCAAAAGCAAGAACGCAGAAACTTACGAGAAGAGAGAAGAGGTCTGCGAGTAGATCAACCGGACCCCAAGAAGGATAAGCGGCGGGAGAAGCTTGAGAATAAATGGCTTATGAAGGAAAGACTTCGGCTTATCGAGTCGAAGCAAAAGCGAGACGACCCAGTAATGTTCAAGAATCCTTGGGGCAATCAGGAGTCTCTTGAAATGTATATCAATACTCAGCATAACCCAGAAACCGAGAGAAAGAATAGTGTCACTCTGCGGTTGATCAGCCTCATGTCTAATACTAGTGATGATTTGAAGTTGACCAAGACTAATAGTTTTGACCAAACCAAGAGTGCATTGACCAGCAATAGAAAGAAGAGTTTATTTCGAAAGAGATACAGTGAACAACTAGGTACGTATACTACTAAGCATTCTAGGAAAGAGAGGGAAGAGACAAAATGAATGCCTCAATTGACAAGAGAAGATAACTGACAGATTGGTGAAGACAATTATATCCGTCTTTGTTTGCAGCAGCCATCATATGGTGGCTGGACGAATTTTCGCATAAAAGTCGGTTCAAAAGTGGAGTCGATAAAATAATGCGCGCCCGTCGTGGGAAACCGGCGACAATTTTGGAAGTCATTCATCAAACTGGGAAAACAAATTATTCTTTTTGTAGGAATCTTCACTGATCTGTTGTTAGACCTTGTATTAAGCGAACCAAACCATTCGCCCCAGACCATCTAGCTGCCCGTATAACTAGCTGGAACCATCACCCTGCATAACCTCCCAATTTCCTGGTTTTGCTACTCCACCTTCAACAGGCTGATAATCAACAAACAACAAATTGAACAGGATTTAAAATCGCTAATTTCCGGTTAACCATCCTCGATTGTTGATTTCCCCAATCCCATCGGTGCTAACAACCAGGTCTTGTTCCTACCAGTCACCGCTGCATTTCTTGTCACTCCTTCAACCCCTTTCCAAAATCATCACCAGATAATTGATACTAATGTCTAATAATATAGAAGTAATAACCGAACAGGTTCATAATGGATACACCGACGAACTGGTGACGATACAATATACACAGTCCCAAATGGTCGGCCATGGATCATTTGGAGTGGTGTTTCAAACGCAGATTCTTCCGTCCAATGAAATATTTGCTATAAAACGAGTGTTACAGGATAAGCGGTTCAAGAACAGAGAACTTCAAATCATGAAGTTGATTCATCACCAGAACATCGTGGATTTGAAGTATTATTTCTACAAGTCCAATGATAAAAATGAGCTCTACTTGAACTTGATCTTAGACTTTATTCCCGAAACATTATACAAGGCCAGTCATTACTACGTGTCCAAGCGACTCTCAATGCCGTTACTTGAAATCAAACTTTACAGTTACCAGATGTTACGGGCTTTAAATTTTATCCATGTGCAGGGGATCTGCCACCGAGATATTAAACCACAAAACTTGTTGATTAACCCCGTCACATGTGAGTTGAAGCTCTGTGATTTTGGAAGTGCTAAGATCCTTAATCCCAGCGAGCCCAATGTCAGTTACATTTGTTCACGGTATTACAGGGCCCCAGAGTTGATCTTTGGTTCCATTAACTATACTACACAAATTGACGTGTGGTCAGCCGGATGTGTGATTGCCGAGTTGATCTTGGGCCAACCTTTGTTCCCCGGTGAATCGGGAATTGACCAACTAGTGGAAATAATCAAGATCCTTGGTACACCTTCCAGGGAACAAATTAAAAGTATGAACCCCAACTACATGGAACACAAGTTTCCTCAAATTAAACCCATTCCTTTGAACAAAATTTTCAAAAAAATGCCTAGCGACTGCATTCTGTTTTTATCAAAGCTTCTTCAGTATAATCCCACCGAAAGGCTCACGTGTTTTGCCAGTTTGCTAGACCCATACTTTGACGAATTACGGCTGCAACAAACCAAACTCCCCAACTTCCGAAAGCTCTTCCCTAGCGAGCAGTTCAACAATAACCACCAGAACGCCACCACCAACTCTACCACCACTGATGCCGACGTGAGGGAAATGCCTCCCTTGTTCAACTTCAATGCCATCGAGTTGAGTATTAGTCCTCAGGATAATTCCCAGTTGGTGCCGGACTGGGTGCACGACCAGTTGCAAATCAACTGTCCATTATCTGAGTTTGTGCCATTAAACCATGAAGTGATGCGCATCCGTCAATTATAGTTTATGAATACATGATTATCTTTCAAATCAAACGAATTTTTTTTTTCTTTTCCCCACAAGTGTGAACCCTTCGCAAATAGCAACCGTTTCAGGTTGCCTATTGTTAAAATATTGTTAAGGGGTCTGTCCCAGTAGGTGACATGACCGGGGTCGCTTTTGCGGTGGGCTCCTCCCCCTCGCAATCCTTCCCCACCCTATGCACCATCACAAATGACGGTCGTGCGCAGGCCGGCGTTCGTCATCATCATAAGTATGGGGAAATATAAATAACTTCGAGCGCCGGTCAATTTTTTTTTAAACTCACACCCGTTGAAGCGGCTCCCATTTCTGTGATTATAGACAATAATTTAGGCCTCAGCCACTCTCATTTCCCAAACATCTTGTAAGAAAGCCCCTGTTTTTACCATGCTCACATTAACCTCGGAGTCTTCAGCCGTTCGACAAGCCTCCACAAAGAGCGAGTATGTAACTGAACAGGTTCATAATTGTTTCAACGATACCGTGTCGACAATCCACTACTCTGACCCGATGATGGTTGGCCATGGGTCATTTGGTAAGGTGTTCAAGACCCAGGTATCGCCTACCAATGAGGTGATTGCCATAAAGACGGTGTTGCAAGATCCCAAATTCAAGAACAGAGAACTTCAGATCATGAAGTTGATCCACCACCCAAATATCGTTGACCTCAAGTACTTCTTCTACAAATCGTCAGAACGCCATGAAGTCTACTTGAACTTGATGTTGGAGTACGTGCCGGAGACGTTATATCAGTATATCAAATACTATACCCTCAAGAAAATGCCCATGCCACTTCTTGAAATAAAGCTCTACTTCTACCAAATTCTCAGGGCCATCAACTTCATCAACATCCAAGGTGTGTGCCACAGAGACATCAAGCCCCAGAATTTGTTGGTGAATCCCGCCACGTGCGAGTTGAAGCTCTGCGATTTTGGTAGTGCCAAAGTGTTGAAGCCACATGAACCCAATGTCAGCTACGCGTGCTCACGATACTATCGAGCCCCGGAGTTGATTTTTGGCAACAGTTTCTACTCAACCAAAATCGATGTGTGGAGTATCGGATGTGTGGTGGGAGAGATGATATTGGGTCGCCCGTTGTTCATTGGTGAACTGAGCATCGACCAGCTCGTCGAGATCATCAAGGTACTTGGAACCCCGACACGTGACCAGATCCGCAGCATGAATCCCACCTACAGCGAGCACAAGTTCCCCAAGATCAAGTCCATCTCATTGGCGAAGTTGTTTAAGCGCATTCCTCCAGATTTAGTCCTGTTGATGGCACGAGTATTGACGTACGATCCATCACAAAGGCTTACATGTATTGAGGCCATGTTGGACCCGTACTTCGATGAGCTCAAGGTTCAGGGTGCTCGGGTGTCTACTCTTCGCAACAATAATGCAATGTTCCCTCCACTCTTCAACTTCAGCGCGATTGAATTGAGTGCCAGTCCACAAAACAATACTCGTTTGGTACCGGAGTGGGCGCATAACCAGCTCCTTATTAGCTTGCCGCTACAGGAATTCAGACCATTAAACCATATTGAGTTCCAAATTCCTCCAATATAGATACATAGACCACGAAGAGACGTTTTTCACAATTGCAGCCGTCGTGCCGCTACCAATTATCATACTGCGCGCGACTTGGGCCTCACAAAATTTTCTTACCAGCCAATAGAATCCCCATCAATTATAATAATGGCAGGTCACGGTCACGCTTACGTCAAGCACGGTGCTGTTGCGGTACCACACACAGATCCTCGTTTGAAATGGGGAGCCAAACTCTTGAGTGCCACCATGTGGTTTTACATTTTCTACAGAGTCAAACAAGATGGTCCAGTGATGTTTGGTCAGAAATTACCTTTTGAACACCACCATTAAATTCTTCATATTTGCAACTGCATACTGCTCATACATACACGAATATACACCAGATATACGATATAATACAGACACAATGGGACGTGCATTGGTTTCTCCATTTTGAATTGACTTTAGCTTGTTACTTCAAGTGTATGATCCTCTTTGAGATTTGCGGTTGGACGTCACAAACACTAGAGGAATTTATGGTCTCTTGAGTGATCTAAAACTCTCTTGATGCCAATGGTCTTAATATCCGTAGAGGCATACACTTTACGTATCACTTTTATATTCTCATCTTAACAGCTGATGTGTTGTATCATAATTATTATATCAAGCATTTAGGCCCGTGGCTCTTCTATTGTCTTATTATCTCGATGGCCCATTTCTTCCAACTTTTCCTTTCAAGGTCTCTATGTCCTGTTTTATCTTAATGCTGTCCAATTCCCTACGTTGGGAAAACAAGAACCTTTGTCACATCGTTCTAAACTTACCTCTAACACGGCCCCTGGCACGACTTCTACCTCTTCCTCTAGCACGACCACGACCTCTACCCCTTCCTTTACCTCTACCTCGGGTAGGGAGTTGGAAACCGTCGAAATCGTCGTCTTCTAGGTCTTCTTCAATGTCATTGGTTTCTATGAGATGATCAACATCCTCATCACCAAGGTCTTTTTGATCCGTTTTGAAGTTGAAATCAAACCCACTACTATAACAATGATGGAGGTTGACTTTACCATTGGCATAATCTAGATTAATCACATTTTTTTCGTCTCCTATTTTGAAGTCACATAAATTGAAATGCCATAAATTGTAGAAGTTTTCAAAGTATAACTCATTGATCTTATTGAGCATGGCATTTGTATCATAATCCTTGGAAGTCTTGTGTCCATTTTTCAGAGTTTCATAGCCCTCCAAGATCCCGTTATCGGGCTTGACGTCAGTGTCTTTCAAGGTCAATGGGATTATTTGGTTGGTGTGGATTATGGGGATCACATCCAAAATCTCGAGAGCAGTCTCCAAAGACTTGGAGGTGTCTCCATCTAATTCCATCAAGTCACCCTTAATTAGTTTGAAGAGCTCACCAAACTTAATTCTAAATTTGGAAAACTTCAACTTGAAGTTTTCAATGGAGTTAAGAAAACTCATTTCATTTCCGATGATGGGGAACTTGAAATGAAGACCCTGACTCACAGTGAAATTGGCGTTCGTGACCATCGCCAAGTACTCGAGAATCGGGTTTTTCATAACGGAGTTATAAGTGACAAAAATATTGATAGAATTCAAACTGTTCGAATTGAGCTGGTAAAACTCACTGATTTGAAGTAGAGTCATCCAAAGTTCTCCAAATTTACCATTGATCTTGTTTGTGTAGTCACCCGAATTAAAAAGGTTTAGGAATTTGAACCTACCGCTTAACCCGTAAATCTTTATGTCCGGTTGCCCTGGACTCTGAATGCTGTAGCCTTTAGTATGGTCGATAAGATTCAAGTTCTTAATTTGGATGGTGCCATTGACCAACTTCTCCACCAATACTGGATCATCCATGGGCCCAAAAATGGTGTAAATTGGTACCCTAAAAGACTTTTTACCACTAATATAATCGTCAAGATAGTCATATTGACCCACAATCTTCTGCTTAATATCTTCAATGACTTCTTGGTTTGGAACTTGGTTGATATTAATTTTGTCGTTGATATCGTCGATCATGTCCTTGTCTAATATACTCAGAAATGATATCAATTGTTTCAAATAGTTGAAATCACAGTTTAAAATGGTGTCTGAATCCCAAAAACCAAAATTGCCCGAGTGGATAATAACCTCATCGGGCTCGGTTTGGAGTTCATTAACCTCATCCCAGTTACCTTGGACATCTGCTAGAAGTGTCACCTTCATTGTGTTTCCCCAGTGAAATATTGGTGTTTATTGCAGTTGCAATCGCCTGGCCTCCGTTATCTCAAACCAGTTTTCGCGACTCCTGAAGTTATCAGTCTGTGGATAGTTTTGACTCTAACAAAAGGAATAACATCTCATTAGAGAATTGTCACACCTGTAATATTGATATCTTTAACCACCGTTGACCTCCTACACCTTCATAATATCCACATCACCCTTACTTCTTTGCAGGTTCACTGGAAGTAATACCAAACATGCTAGAGCCCAGTGAGAGGCTAAGAAACGCTATAATAGAAGGTAATCTTTCCATTACCAAGCGGATGCTCTTCAAGTTCCCCGAACTCTGGCTTAACATCAATACCACCAATGGCTGGAACAATCTCCATTATAGTAGCTACAAGGGAAACTATCTCATTTGTTTCCATTTGATCTCATTTATAAACCAGTTTAAAGATGAGAATGCCGAGTTGGCCAGCATTTTGAGTAATAGAAACGACATGTTGAGCTTCGATAAGATCTCTCCGATCCACTTGACCATCAAAAATTCCCATCTCCAGACGCTTCATTATCTCCTTCAAGAATTTCCGGGAGTATACTGGTTGAACCACAAAGGAGGAAAAAATCAGCAAACACCACTACATTTCTGCTGTATCTACGGGTTCAATGAAGGATCGAAGTTGCTTCTCGAAAAAGGGGCTGACTATAACATACTCGATAAAAACGGTAATAACATGCTCCATTTGGCGTTTGAGTATGGGAATTTTGAGTGTATAAGTACGTTTGTGGAATTCTTGTACAACTTGTCACCCAATAAGGCTGCTAACTTGAAGCTCATCAAAACCTTTGAAAACTCCAAAAACAACAACGGATGGCTTCCGATAGAATTGAGTGTCAATTTTAAGTTGACGCGTTACTACGCTAGTTTCAAAGATAAACTCACTTCAAGCAGCTCCAACTCCAATTCTGATTTGGACGAAAGTATTAGCAGAGGAAGCTATGGCACCAGTCTGTTCAAAGATTCCAGTTCTATGTTAGCTGAAATTCCGTTTGTTTTGGGCTCTGACACTCGATCCAACTTGCGACTAGAACCTGACTCATCCTTCAGTATTGACAGTTCTAAGTCTACCACCAACGGTAGCCCCAGTCCCAATAAGATCCTTGCGAGTCCTATTATCTCGGTGAACGAGTTCAACAAAAGATCTCACTCCCAGAGTTTACCTACACAATCTGAAGAAGACATCTATTCGGCACTACGACAAAGAGCCAATACGACCCTCACGCCGGTGGCTTTACCTCTTATACCTCCAACCCCTTCAGTCATCAAGAAAATCCCGTCTTTGAAATCAATAACGATTTCTCCTTCTATGAGGTTAGATACTGAGGTCGACCCTATAGGCATCGAGTCATCCTCTTCTAGCACTACAACTACTTCCAATTCCTCGCCTATTAAGACAACATTTCCTAGTATCAAAACCACTTCCGTCAAAACCGATGTCAAGTCTTCACGCACAAGAAGCGACAGTTCAGCAGCCAATGAAGATACGGCGTTGGTCAACTCGCCTTCGTCAATTGCTGCTAAAATTGCCTTCAATAGCAGTAAATCATCGGCTGCTTCTTCACGAAAGAATTCGAATCCAGAGCCAAGTCCGGTGAGACTTCAAAACTCGAACTCGAATTCGCAAATGAGAAGAGACAGTTCGTCCAGTCCTTTGAGCCACCAGAACTTACAACTGCCAGGCTCAAAACAACATCTTTCACCTTCCAAGCATAAGAATTCCATAAACTCTATCAGCTTCAGCAGAGTGAGATAAAAGTTTGATCGCGCTTCGCGATCGTTTCTGTAATATACCTAAATACATGAAGCACATCCAAATCAGTAAATTCTTCAAGCCCGCCAAACGGAAACTAGAGGCACGTGATACCCACGTCGATGTTAATCACACCGAGCCCTCCAACAAGAAACCAACTCCCAAAGAAAAAGAGACCTGCAAGGCGAGCTCTTCCAAAATTCAACCTGCTGCTAAAGTGTCTAAATTGACTCCTTTGGAAAAACAGATCTTAGATCTCAAAGACGGTCACCTGGACAAGCTTCTAGCAATACAGGTTGGGTACAAGTACAAGTTCTATGGCGAAGATGCTAGAATTGTATCTAAAATCATTAACATCATGTTGATTCCCCATACGGATTCGAGGTTCAACTACTGCTCGATTCCAGACAACAGACTCCATGTTCACTTGAAAAAGATCCTAACTTTTGGATACCGTGTAGGTGTTATCAAGCAGATTGAGCTGACGATATCAAAGACCATGGAGAGCTCCAAAGGAATTTTTGAGAGAAAACTTACTGGCGTTTATACACTGGCGACCTACATGAATGAAGAAATTGAAGACGGCAGAAAGTTGGCAATTGACGACGATAATGGGCAATACGTATGTTGTGTGAACCATATGGATAACAGTACAGGCTTTGTGGTGATAAAGCCGTTGACGGGTGAAATCATTGTCGATTCATTCGAAGACAATGACTTGCATCATGAGCTAGAAACAAGATTAGTATATTTCAAGCCCAGTGAATGCATAATATTATGCAACGATGAGGTAACTACAATGACTCTCACCAAGTTAGTCAACCTGATCAATAACCTCTGCAAAGTGGAAACTAGAGACATAAATAAAGACGTTCTACAGGAATTGGAATCATTTTTTGGGAATGACGATTTGGACAAAAACAACTTATTCGACTACTACAAGGTGAATTTCAATAGTTTGATACTCAATTGCATTCATGGACTAGTGCAGTATTTGGAACCTTTCAAGCTTAATACCATCTTCACAGTTCCTTCAAACATACAGAAGTTCAAGAATGACGATTACATGATATTATCCTCGAACGTACTTAGAACCTTGGAGATTTTTGAAAATTCTACCGATAATACCACTAGAGGTTCACTTATTTGGTTACTAAATCATACACGGACGAAAATGGGTGAAAGAATGTTGTTCAAGTGGGTTTCCAGGCCTTTAACTTCTAGAGAGAAGATTCAAGATAGAGTCGATGCCTTAGACGATTTATCCAAAGAGTTTAATCATTTCATAGACAGTCTCACAAGCTTATTAACGAATGATATTGACTTGGAAAAGGGTTTGATCAAATTGCATTATTCATTGAGCACTGCTAAAATAACCAGAAGTGAGGTGTACAAGATGTTGAGTAAATTCAACAAGATTTTGAAGCTTGTCAAGAGTTTTGAAAAGGAGATCGAGAAGCTTAATGGTTCGTTGAAGTCAAGGGAGCTTAAGTCCATATTCAATGAATTGCTTGACTTGGCAGAGAATTTTGATATCGAGTCTATACACCTAAACTTTATTTCCTCGACATATGGAAACTCCGACTCGAAGGAGCAAAAGTACCAATACTTTAACCTAGATTATCACAACTGGGAAGATATCAGCAATCAGAATGATCAGATCCTGAACATCAATCAAGAAATCGAAGAAGAAACAAAAGCCGTTAGCAAGATTTTACGAAAGCCAATTCGTCTTGTGAAGATATTGAACCAAGAAAACTTGATTGAGGTGAGAAACACCCAGGCAAATTCTGTACCTGTAGACTGGGTTAGAATAAACGCTACGAAAAGCATAACTAGGTTCAGATCGCCAAACCTTCAGCGATTGAATGACTTGTTGATATACAATCGTGAATTGCTTGATAAGGTTTGTGACCGGGTGTTCCTTAAATTTTTGGGAACAATCAATGAAAACTATTTCAAATTCAGCAAGATTATCCACAACCTTTCCAAGTTTGACTGTCTTTTATCATTGGTTGTAACAAAGGCTCTGGGAGTGAAGCCAATAGTTTTAGAGGAAAACTCGATTGTGGACATCAAAGAATTCAGAAACCCAATCATCAATACTTTGACAAACTATATCACAAACGATGCTCATATCACCCTGACAGAGAACCGCATATCACTAATTACGGGCCCAAATATGGGAGGAAAATCGAGTTATATCAAGTCGATTGGTATTCTTGTTATAATGCATCAAATCGGCTGTTACCTTCCTTGTGAGTCTGCAAAGCTCAGTATATTCAAGAAGATATTCATCAGAATGGGGTCGTTTGACAACATCATCAAAGGTCAGTCTACATTCATGATCGAAATGATAGAAATATTGAACATTTTGCAAAACTTCGATTCCAGCTCGTTGATTTTGCTTGATGAAGTGGGAAGAGGAACAGGCACTTTTGACGGATATGTTATAGCCTATTCAATCATCCAACACTTTTGTGGCCATGCTGAAAGTCCCGTAGTCCTTTTCATCACTCACTTCCACAAACTCACCGAGTTGGCAAATGAGCATAAGGTTGTGGGAAACTTCTACATGGATTTCATCAAGAAACCAGAGAGTGATGAGATACAATTCTTGTACAAGCTTGTGCCTGGAATCCTCGATAATCTGTTTGGTTTGAATGTTGCTAAATTAGCTGGTATCCCCGAAGAAGTAATCGAAAGAGCTAAAGTCAAATCGATAGAGATGAAAAATGACATGGATATAAGAGCTATTACTGATGTTCTCCGGATGATCAAGGAGAAGAACTTGGAAAAGGCATTTGAGACTATTAGCTGATATACAATAGATACCTAAATGTGGGCTTCCCTAAGTCAAGAGGCTTCTATTGGTTTGACAGGGTGCAAAAATAGAATTTCAGTTGTATCTAGCCTGTATTTGTCTAGTCTAAATACTTCTACTTATAAGTCGAAAAAGTTCAAGGCAATTTTATTGAACTCCTCTGGATTATCAAGGTAAATATGGTGGCCAGCATTTTCCACAATTTTAAATTCAGCATCTGCACCCAACTCCTTCAACTTCTTATAGATGTACTCTCCACCCTTGAAGTTCATCCAGTCTTTCTCACCGTATAACCAGAGGGTCTTGATTTTGTTTTCGGTGAAAAACTCTGCTATCTGTCGATCACATAACGGCAATTTAGGTAAAATTTCGTGGTTGATGAGTTTGGTTATAGCTAATTCACCTGAACCTTGATACTGGTTGAAAATCGAGTAAGAATAGTAATGCAACTTCAAAAGAAGGTCATGGTTGGTCTCACCATTCGAGTCCTTCAAGTTTCTGAACCTCTGGTACGACCATAAACTCAAGAACTTGGAGAACATTGGACCAAACAACTGGAGCAATTGGAACGGACTAATTTTCCATTCCCATAGCTTTTTCAACACCAAGTTTTCGGGGAACTTGGGTCTACCCAAACTTTCCCATAACTTGGTCAACTCATCATTGTCATGGACCTCTCCATTCTCCAGCTGCTGCTGGACTAATTCTTCCAACGGCCTACCTCCTAATTCATGGTGGTTCACCTGTAGGTCCTTGGAGTTGAGTAAACTGGTGTAATTAGATTCGGTACCCATTGGACTCACCACAAGAAACTCAGACACCTGGTTAAAATTGTACTTGGCAAGATAGCAGCAACTCAAGTATGCGCCCATCGAATGGCTAATGAGCTTGAACTTGTCAATGGAATTTGCAATTCTCCACTGTTCAAACTTATCAATGAACCAGTTTTCTACCCCCAATACCTGGTTGATTTGATTATACTTATCAGGGTAGTTCTGCAACAATTCGCTGGGAAATCTGGGTCGGGAGCTGTTACCAAATCCAGGCATGTCAATCACATGAAGTCTCAGTCCTGGTTTTGATTTCACCAACGCCTCGAAGTTCTTCACAAAGTACCCTGACGCCGCCATGTAACCATGCATTATGACAATGGTTTCAGATGGTGCACCGTGTCTGTTTTCAAGGTTGAACTCGTGAATAAAGTTACCATCTTCCAACTCTGTGTCTTTGAAAGAACCCACAATTATCCCATCTTGGGTGTATTTGGGAAGTTCTCCAGGCTTGTTAATCTTTATGTCATCACTGAGGATAGCCATGTAGAGGTCATACTCGATGAGGAGGTTTTTTATTCTTGCTGTTTGGTATGCTGGAGTGTTTTCGGTAGGCTTCATGAGGGCGGAGGAGGTGGTCCACCAATCGTTAATCGACTGAAACAATGACACGCTGTTGATATCATTAGTGCTAAGCGCACCAGGGGGTGTCTGGGCCCGGTCTCCCATCACATCGATAGACTGCTGGATGATAGACATTAGGTTGAGTACTATATGCGATAAGGAGTTCTGCGAACAATGCGCGTGCGAGCTTATCACGAGCATGAGACTTTGCATGAGTGCAAGAAATTACATAGCGAGACTTTTCACCAGTGAAATTAAACATAGCAATTTCAGTAGGTTGATATTAATATAGTTCTACCCACAAGAGTGATATTCTCCGTTTTGCACTTCGGCTATCGTATTATCCATTAATCATTCACTCTATATAATATTCACATACAAAAGATATCTCTAATGATCTTACCTCTACGTGCTCTTAGGAAGCTCGGTGTATGGAGGTGGGCTGGCAATCACCTCATCACTTACTGCCCCATAGTTGGGCTGAGATGAGCTGGAAGGTTCCTGGTTAATGACGGTGTTGTGCTGGTGATGGTGATGGTGATGGTGACCCTCGGAGCCAGCACCGTGGCCCTGTTCCAAGTCGCCATTATGAATGTAGTAAATCTTAGACTGGGTATGAACCGTGTAAGGAGGGTATTTGGCAATAATGTACCATGAATGGATCAATCCTGGAAAGTATCCTAAAATACACAATAAGATGTTGATGAAGGAGTCGGCAGAACACACCCCTCTTCTTATCCATACGGGCAAAGGTGGGAACAATACCGAGATAATGATAAGGCAAAGATCAGATAAGCAACCGCACATGTTTAAACTTGTAGAATAATGAGGTTAAGGCAGGGAAAAACGATGGTTTATATATTTGAGGAATTTAAATGATCTTCGCAGGGTCGTGCACAAGAGATGAAACCGGCCATCCGGCGGATCATGGGTGTAAAAGGCATTTACCGGCGTTGGAAACCAGCTCTCTCGGGCCTTAAAAAATAGGAGCATTTGTTTCCTGTACTACAGATATTACAAGTACCAGGTCTTATTGGTCCCACACATATTTTTGGTGGAAATACGTGCATGTCTTTTTCTTCTGCTATTTGCAGACATCTCAGATTCGCAAGTCGCATCAATAAAATCTATCTAGTACTGGAAGGCAAATGTCGAGTATATCCTTCAACGTGCGCCACGAGAAAGATACCAAGCGTGTGACTATCACCAGAAACTCGGCTGTCGGCGATCTTTTGCAATTGGCATGTTCCAAGTTTGGGTTGGCTAGCGGTGAATTGATTTATAACAAGAAGATGTTGGATGTGTCGCTACCCATCAAGTTTACTAATCTTTTAAATAATGGGACTCTTGAACTAAAGGCAAAGACTTTGATCCAGAAGACAATTGTTGTGAAAGTGGTGTTCCCCGACAACTCGGCTGTGATCAAGAAAGTGTCAAATACGATGAAATTGGCGGATTTGGTGTCGGAATCTGGTATCACCACCCCTACAAATGAATTATCTGTGGGCTATTTACAGAAATCGGTGCTTGCCAGCGACAATGAATCGAAGGAGTTGCATGAACTCATAGGTGATGTGGAAAATGCGGTGTTGAGGTTTGGTGTGTTGAAGGATGTGAGTGTTGAACAACGTTTGGTTGTGGAGCGCCAGTTGAAATTGCAGCAGCAGCGGCAGGAAGTGAAAAAACAGAAGCTTGAAGAGGAAAATGATAGAAAGCTGGAGAGTATGAGAGATTTGGCGGTGTTGGAGCTGAAGAAGATCCTGGATAATCAGACGGTACTGGAAATTGAACTGGAAACCCAAAGGGACAAGCCGTCTGAAAGTGATGATATGGAGGTCGACCCTCAGACTCGAGAACTAGAATTATCGGTTGACCCTTGGAACCAGGCACCAGAAATATCGGTTGACACAAAAGTTAAGCTGTCCACAAAAAAATCTGTCGAAACAACCGTAACAGCTCCTACATCAACTGACAAAGCATCTGTATCATCCACAGAAACAGCTCAAGACTCCGACGTGGTGTACAAGCCCACCAGTGTGCACATATACGAAAATCCTGATGAGGACTACGAGTTTACTGCTGCTCATGCTCGAATCTACCAAAACTTGGTCAAATACAAGAACCCTAAACGCAAAGCACAGACCAAACAAAAGTTGGAAGCCATATACAAGTTCCGTATAAAGTTCCCCAACAGCTATATTCTTGAAGTGCACCTTTCTAACACCTGTAAGTTCGGAGAGCTCATCAAGAAGATAGATACTTATGTTGCTGACGACTTTAAATCCAACTACATCTTGAAGTTGAGTTATCCGCCCTTCAAAAAGTATGAAATTTCATTTGCACTCAACGGTACTCCATTGGCTGAAATTGAAGAGTTTGACTCCCAGATCTTGCTTATATTCGAACCCAACATCCCTGGTACTAGCTTCTTGAATGGCAGTGTCAACGAAAAGGAGTTTAGTGACATGCCTGAAATTCAACTCGAAGAACACAGACACAGTTTACCGGAAGATGACACGTCTTCGAAGCTGAAATCTAGTTCGGGAGGCAAGAAGACTCCTAAATGGCTTAAACTTGGGAAGTAAACGATATAGGGGATTGGAGTTGTTGAACAGAAAACTAACATGGAACGTTCACAGTAATAGCATATTCATCGAACATTCATCGAAATTGAAGCTTGATTCAAGTTGACTGAATATTATGAATTTCCACTACCTTCCAAAGGTTTTGTCTATGACTCTTAAATTTACGTTCAAACCAGATTTGAGCATATCCAGATAACTAACTAACCAACGAACCATTTTTCCCTTAATTGTGGTAATCTGAGTAACATCTTCTAGTCTGTCCCAAATTAGATACTGACATCAACATGACTTTAGTCAAATATACTCCTATACTCATTCACTGTTATTTCGTATACACTTTTCCCATTTACGAACATGTTCTACTCTCATGCAGTACCGGCGGTCGATAAAATGGGTTATATGCCTCACCCAACCTTAACGGGGAGTTGGAGCAGTATGGTGAATTTCGCGTGCGGCTACCAAGCCCTAATGCGAGGCAGATATACCTTCTGCCGGTAACGGCGAACTTTTCTGGTAATGTATGATAAACACGTTGGAAATTTTGCAATCTGTTTCCGTGACTGCTGTTTGGTTCCAAACAGTCGTAGGAAATAGTTGCTAAACTCTTACCCCTTCTGCCGGTTATTAATGCCTTGTGTACTCATCTGAACATTGTTTTCATGCTTATCTCTTATGAGTCATTCCCCGTGAAGGGTTGGCAAAGTACACGCAAATCAAAGTTGATACGGCAGAGCCTTACCTAAACAAGCAGGTGGGTAGTCGCTTAACCGCCAGATTAATAATCCTGGCTAATCCACGACCGTTGAGAAAAATTTTCACCCTCAACCCCCTCAAGTATTTAAGTCCAGGAATTTCCCAACCTATGGAAGTTTTCTTCTTTTTTTTCTTCATAAGAACAACAACAACCAATTTTCAATTTTCAATTTTATTCCCTTTATTTTTTCCCATTGTAACCGATAGTAAGATAGGAAAGATGTGTTTATAATTGTTTTTAACCCCCCAAAGTTTGAAAGTAAATTGATTAAAGAGTATAAATATTAAGTATTTATTATTTACTTCTACCCTCCAAAGTTGTTGTTAAAGTTATTTCCAAGATGATGCTAAAATGAGTTAAATTATCCCATTGTATGTCTTTTAAAGATTATTAATTGTTAGAGTTATTTTATTATCCCCAAAATTATCCTAAGTTTTTTACACAAAAAAATGTCCAAGATGTTCCTGCCAGTTATTTTGAATGATACTTTTATTGGTTCTAATCCAGTAGAAGGCTCAAACGAAAAGGAAATGAACAAAGTTCCTAAGTTAGCCACTGACGAATCTGCTCCCGGTCTTAGTGCCCCTGACAGTTCGTTAGCATTCCATTCAGAAGTATTGGACTCCGTATTTCTGAATGATGAAGCCGTTGATCACACTCCTATGTTTGACGAGCTTGATTTTATGTTAGAATCTTCTAACAAAGAGGATTGGGTTTCCTTGTTTGATGCCAACAATGAAATTGATAACTCCTTTAACTTCACCAAGGTTGTGAGTGATGAGGATTTGTCAATTCCATTTGAAAAAGAAGTTTCGGCTTCGCCAGACAAGGAATTTGTTGACCTTGGTAGATATGATCGCAAGAGAGCTTTCAGCCAGATGTTAACCCCATCCACTTCTTCTACGTTGTCTACTCCAAACTTAGATTTGCCCAGAAATGAGAAGCTTGATCACTTAGGTGTTGTTAAGTACAGTAAGAAGAGCAGGACTCAGCCATTAGGACCAGTCAAGGTTGGTTCTAATGATCCTGTTTTGATGAAGCGTGCTAAGAATACTGAAGCGGCGAGACGGTCTCGGGCGAGAAAGATGGAACGTATGTCACAGTTAGAAGAGAAAGTTGAAGGTTTGATTGATGAAAATTCCAATCTTAGCTCTGAGGTCTTGAGATTGAAAGAGTTATTGGATTTGCACGACATCAAATACTAAACAACAAATTCATAAAAAAAAATCATGTTTTTTAAATTGAATATATGTCAAAAACAATCAAGTTGTAGATTCGTAAAGGTTCTGTATTCAATTAACTATTTATTGTTATACTGGACTATTCTACTGTTTGGCGAAAGATAATTTCCCTCCAATTCTCTGCATATCATCGAGCGAGACATCATTCAAACAGCTAGCAGCAAATTCCTTCTTTTCAAAGTCTATGAACACAATTTTCTTATTCTTTATTACTCTTAATTCCAAGTATCCTTCAAAGCGATCGAACACCTCCAAAATTTGGTCTTTGCTGATGGTATCTTCGTTGTAGTCGTTTAAAATCAACATACTGCTTGGTGTGTTAAAGAACTTGTGCTTCTTGACTTGTATTCGACTGTCAATGGTGATCTGGTCAAGGAGTTCATACGAGTTTTGTTTGGCATGCGTTACACGGATACTTTTGTTGAGTAGTACGTGGTTGTTAAGTTTTCTGATGATGTTGTCAATATTCTCGTTTTTGAACGAGACAAATGCCTGGCCCTTTTTTCGGAGTGTTTTCTTCACGTGGATATCTATCACATTATATGGTTTGAGAAGGTGTTGTAGTTCACGTTTTAGAGTATTGGCAGATACTTTTTCGTTAAGGTTATTGATATATATAGTGCTCATTGGGAGAGAGTGAAACAAAATTGCGAAGTCGCATTTTAGAGATGAAAGAAGAATGATAGAAATCAAGCCACAAAAGAATAATGTAACTAAGTTAGTAAACTTTAGCGGAATTCTTGTTTATGATATTCATTTCTAGTTTCTTCTTCAGCGTGTAGAATATAAAAAGATTGAATGAGTTGATGTGTACTTGACACATCCAACACCATCAGTACTGTCCTTTTTTTCACTAGAGCACCCTTGTGGATGTCTCAAACTACTTCCTAGTTGGTAGTTGTGCCACGTGACAACCAAACTTCTATTCTCTACTTAGTTTCTAAGTAAGAAAGTCGCAATGGCTGCAAAAAGAGTCTAACAGTATGATTTGTGCCTTGAGTCTCCGTATTATCTCATTCAAGAACCAGAGTGTGTTCTACTTCCACCCCATGCTTCGGGCTATGAAACCATGTTTCAGCGGCGGTAAAATCGCTTGCAACACCAAAGTGAGATTTAACTTTAATGCGAGGCTCTATCACAGCCACTGCAAGCGAACCTATTTATGGAATAACACAACCTCCAGACTTCTACACTTCTTCAAAATAATACAGTAGCATGTATGAGAATTCTGAAATACATCCATACTATTTTTTTCCTATTCCAACTTACCATTCATCACCAAACGTATGATACTATCATCCAATCAGATCGCACCGAATAGTAAGCAACAGGACCCTCACTATTAAAGAACGCGAAGATGCAATGCACAAAAAAAAAATCCTCTTGGATTTAAAAACACCATTATTTTTCATACTACTCGGCAGGATTCTACTTTACTAATTTTGCACAAAGCCTACACATCCTTGATATAAAACGAATGCTTGTAACATTGAAAAATCAGATCGTCAAACTCCTTCAAGGTGACAACAGCCGGGACGAGATCAACCACATTGATTCGTTGATCGATAGCAACTATGGATCCATTGCTGATAGAGGCCAGCAAATCAGCGACGAAGAGCTCAGGGTGTCGATCAGTCGCAAGCTGAATGTCGAGGACGAGGAGGACGAAGGGTTTTTCTCTAGTTTCGACCCCAGAGTCATGTCAGATGTCATTATTGGCTTGAGTGATGGTTTGACGGTTCCTTTTGCATTGACGGCTGGGTTATCTTCGTTGGGAGATTCCAAGTTGGTTATTACCGGTGGGCTCGCCGAGTTGGTTTCGGGGGCCATATCCATGGGTTTGGGAGGATACTTGGCTGCCAAATCCGAGTCGGAGTACTACTTCAACCAAGTGAAAAAAGAGAAGATGAACTTCTTCAAAAAGCCAGAGTTGGTGAACCAAGAAGCAGCTGAGGTGTTGTTTGAGTTAGGAATTAGTGAAACCAACATTTTGAACATCTTGAAGGATTTTGACTCCAAACCCAAGAACTTGATTGAGTTTGTTATCACATACGGAAAAGGGTTAGATGAGCCTGCTGAAGGAAGAGAGTTCACGTCGGCATTGACAATCGGATTAGCATATTTTTTGGGAGGGTTTGTACCTTTGGTGCCTTACTTTTTCTGTAGCTTGGTGAAGGTGGGTTTATTGGTGTCGGTGATTGTAATGATGGTGACCTTATTTATTTTTGGTTATGTCAAGACGATGATCTCGTTGGGAGATTGTGGTACCTGGAAGAAGGTCCTGGAAGGGGTACAGATGGTGATTGTTGGGTCAATTGCTGCGGGTGCCGCTTGGACCTTGGTTTTCTTCATCGACAACTAACCTTTGCATACTTTGATACCCATTTCCCACGTCTGCTGCATTGTTGAAGTTTGGAACACACACGCATATAGTTGTGGTAGGTCTTTGCTTTAATTGTTATTAGCCACTCGTGTTGGCATCTGGTTCTCTGAGCCTTGTATATTAGAATATATTATCAACCACTAGGAGAAACGAGAGATGATTAACGTTTGGGGAAGATATCATATATATGGATCCCGAGGAAACCATCGGGGAGAGAAGCTCATAATAAAACCTCTACTGTTCTGAACAGAACCACCATTAGTTGCAGCCTAAGCGGTCCACGCACGCCGCCGCTTTCTCACTGTTTTTTCGTCACTGTCTCATTCTCACTTTCTCACTTTATTGCCATCCATGTCTTCCAGATTATCTGATATATTTTCTAAAATCGCCATCTCCTTAGGGGTCACCATCACATTGGCCCAGTCTGCACTCTACGATGTCGAGGGGGGGAAAAGAGCTGTCATCTTTGACAGGTTAAATGGTGTTAAGCAAGGAGTTGTCGGAGAAGGTACTTACTTTTTGATTCCTTGGTTACAAAAAGCCATTGTATACGACGTCAGAACTAGACCCAAGACCATCGCCACCACCACCGGCTCCAAGGACTTGCAGAACGTCTCTTTGACCTTAAGAGTGTTGCACAGACCCGAGGTGATGAGCTTACCCAAAATTTATCAGAGCTTAGGTTTGGACTACGATGAAAGAGTGTTACCAGCCATTGGTAACGAGATTTTAAAAAGCATTGTTGCCCAGTTTGACGCCGCCGAATTGATCACCCAAAGAGAAGTGGTGAGTGCCAGAATCAGACAGGAGTTGAGCAAAAGAGCTGAAGAATTTAACATCAAGTTGGAAGATGTTTCCATTACTCACATGACATTTGGTAAAGAGTTCACCAAGGCCGTCGAACAAAAACAAATCGCCCAGCAAGATGCTGAAAGATCCAAGTATTTGGTTGAAAAAGCTGAACAGGAAAAGAAGGCCAGTGTCATCAGAGCCGAGGGTGAAGCCGAACTGGCGGAAACCGTTTCCAAGGCCTTGAGTAAAAGTGGAGATGGGCTTTTGATGATCAGAAGATTAGAAGCCTCGAAGGAAATCGCCACGTTGTTGGCCAACTCTCCCAACGTATCTTACTTGCCCAGTGGTCAAGGTTCTGAGAACAACTTGTTGTTGAATGTCGGAAAGTGATTAGTTAGGTATAACCCTTGTAAATAGAAATAGTTTGACGCACACTGAAAAACCCCAAAAAATTGTACGAGCAAAAACCTCTTTGAAAACCCAATGTTTAGGACGCCATTTCCCACCACTGTGAAATTAGGCCTACTTCGCCTCAAAAATACGACCCCACAGTTGCAAGATGTGGTGATAGTTGGTGGAGGGCCTGCTGGCTTGTCAGTTTTAGCAGCTCTAAAGAACTCGAGCAAAACAGCCCATTTGAGCTGTAAATTGGTTGAAGGAGGAGACTTGAATAAAATCCGAAACTTTGATGAGACTGCCTACTCCAACCGTATCATTTCCCTCACAAACAAGTCAATGCGGTTCATGCAAAAGATCGGTAGCTGGAAGCATTTGAACTTGGACAGAATGCAATTCTACGACAAAGTTGCAGCTTATGATTCTCTGTCTCACGAAGCACTTATTGAATTCACCAACGACGCCATCAACTACGATCCCATGGGTGCCATGTGTGAAGTAGTCAACATCCAGAAGTCGTTGATCGCCAGAATCGACGAATTGGACCAGTCGGACTGTTTGGTGGATAACGTGAAAGTTGAGGCTATCGAAGAAAGCACCAGTGAAATTGACTGGCCCATTGTCAAATTATCCAATGGAGACGCTTATCAGACGAGATTGTTGATCGGTGCCGATGGATACAATTCGCCGGTTCGAAGGTACGCTGGAATCGAATCTAGAGGTTGGGCTTATGATAGTTTTGGCACGGTGGGGGTATTAAAACTTGCTTCTGATCAGTATAACCTAGTGTCGTTGCAGCGGTTCTTGTCTTCAGGACCGTTGGCAATATTGCCGCTCCCTGAAGATGACGCCACGTTTGTATGGTCTGCCAAAACTGAAGTAGCCTCGATTTTGAAGTCCATCACCAACGATAAGATTTTTGTGGCTCTTATAAATGCAGCCTTGCGCTTGGAGGAGACGGACTTGAAGTATGCCTTGAACAAGCTACAAGTCAACCCAGACGATACCTCGGTCATTGAGGACTTACAGTGGAGAATTGAGTTGTTTGAGCCCAATGAACAATTGGACATTCCGGTGGTCATTGGAGTTCAACCCGGTTCAAGAGCCCTGTTTCCCTTGAAAATGTCCCATGCCGATAGCTACGTGGGTCCCCGGGTTGCGTTGATTGGGGACGCAGCCCACACCATCCACCCTCTTGCGGGACAAGGACTTAATATGGGACAAGCAGATGTTGCGTCATTGGTTGCAGCCATTGAAACTGGTATTGATAGAGGTTTGGATATTGGGTCGACTTTGGTCCTTGAACCGTACTTTGCCCAATGCTTCCCATATAACCATGCATTACTAGGGGTTTGTGACAAGCTCCATAAAATCTTTTCCAATGATGTTTATCCCATCATTCTTGTGCGGAGCTTTGGAATGAGATTTATGAATTCATTGACTCCCATAAAAGATTTTATGATCAAGACCTTGAGTGTATAGAGGAGGTGGTTCAGGACCTTGAGTATGTAGAGGAGATCGTTCAACTCGTTGTAAATAGGAATGAACTTGGTATTCGACTCTATTAATCTATATGTAAATCTGTTAGCTCATCGTAGATCCCAGGTGTGGAGCATCTACCAGAACTAATTAATGCTTCAATGTCCTTTACCTCCTTCACACATCCACTGGTGAGGTTGATTGAATCCTTGAACGTCTGTCCGACAGCCACGTCATCTTCGACCCGTACGCCGATACCTTGATAATGTTTGGGCCATTTGTCGTCTTTGGGTATGTACAATCCGGGTTCTATGGTGACCACATTTCCTGGTAAAAGCTTGGTGAATTTCGACACACCGGGCACATCGTGTAAATCCAAACCCAAGTGATGGCCGATATAATGGGGGTATAAGTTCTTGGTGACTTCAGACCGGGAAACATGGGCAAACCCTGGTAAATTCTTTAAATTTGAGTGAAGCTTTCTTACACTGAAATCATGCAAGTCATTGAGCGACATCTGGTTGTCTGCATAACACTGGTCTATACATGCCTTGTTGACACTCAATACCACGTCGTAGATGTCTTTTTGTGGTTCAGTGAAGGTTCCTGAAATGGGCCAAGCCCTGGAGATATCTGCACAATACCCACCCAATTTCCCACCAGCATCCACAAACACCAATTCGTCTTTATACAACAAGTCGTCGTTCCGGGTGTAGTGAATCACTAATGCGTTTTCTCCACCAGCTACCACGGGAATATAGGCCTGTTTATCGCAGCCACTTCTAATAAACTCATAGTCCAAATAAGCTGCCAACAGCTTTTCACTCATATACGGATTCAGACTACCGACCTTAGCAACGGCTTTGTTAATGGCTCTGCTGGAGATCTGGCCGGCCTTGTGCATAACCTTGATTTCCAGGGGAGATTTCACTTCCCTCATTTTGGCAATCACCGAGTTTATTGGTTTAACAGTTTTGCCAGATGCGTGAGTCTTCAAGAGTTGGTGAATATCTTCACGGGTCTGGTCTTTGTGGAGCAGGAAAAACAGGTTGAAATCGTTCGAACTCTGTTTGTCAATGAAAATGTAATCGTGATGTTTGATCAAACTAGTCAAATATTTCTTATAGTTCTTGACGTCTTCCACACTATCGGGGTTGAAATTGTTGTAGCATCCTTGCAAACCGGACTTTTCTCCCTCCCAAATCTCTGTATACGGGTCGTTATCGGGAACCAACATATGAAATACCATGTCCTCATCGGTACCCTTATCATCTACCTTTTCCAAAACTCCTATAGACCCGGGTTCGAGCCACCCAGACATATAAAATAAATTGTTGTCTTGCTGAAAGTCGTAAAACACAGACCCTGAGCTATACTGAACAGAATTGCCTACTAAAATCGTTAGAGATTTCTTGGGGAGCTGTTTGATAAGTTGGAGTCTTCGATCATAGTACTCAATAGCCGAAATTCCGGGAGTCAAGTAACCTGGCTTGGTTAAATAGTGCGGCCGTGTCTCGTACGTAGGTTGGCCAAGCTTGTAAGGAGTTTTAGGCCGTGTTCGAAACAATCTTTTAAAGACCACAAACATGATTTAAGAAACAAAATGGCCCAATCTGGCGCGACATTGCAATTATGTCCGTAGTGCTTGATGAATACAAAGGCTTTTGTATAGACTACAATTGTAGCACCACCAAGCCTGAACCCATAATTACCACTGGAATAGACTGCTTTGTTGAACACAATGCCTCATTCAAAGAGCAGATAGAAGAAACAGAAGATATCCCGGTCCAGTTGCAAAACAATAAAAGCAACAAAAAGTCAAAACAAGAGAAAAAGCTTCAAAAACAACAGAAAAAACAACGTGTAACCGAGCGCAAACTAAGACGTGAACATCCAAATGGGTCGGAACTCCCGACCCCCAACCATTCCTTCAATCCAATCCTCACCACCAACAAGATCAAGAAAATATATTCGAAGTTGCAAACCAAAGAGGAGACAAAGTTATTTCAATATGAATCGGTAGCCCTATACTCTACCGATCTAGATCAGCTCTTACCAGGCGAGTGGATCAATGACAATGTTATTTCACTCATCTATGAGTATTTGAACCAAACCTACCTTCAAAAATTTCAAAAATTCATCAAACTCATCTCGCCAGCAGTAGTGCAGCTTATGATATACACGGAATATGAAATCATCACCAAAAGCGACTTTGAGAAGGGAAAGTTCATATTCATGCCAGTCAATGAAACTGAAGATGGAGACCATTGGTTTCTTGTTGTTGTCAATATCCTTGAAAACTCAATGTTAGTGTATGATTCGATGGAGGGTGATAGTGGTAGCGAAAACCAAAATTTATTGAACATACTAGCAACAAAGCTATTTAAAACTGGTATTATAGCCTCAAGAAAGCTAAATATTCTAAGAATGAAGACTGACCAGCAGTCCAACTTCGATGACTGTGGAGTTTATGTGATCATGATTTCATGCTATTTGACCCATATGCTCTTGAATCAACCCATAAACTTTGACTTATCAAACATCAAGTACAATGCCCTAAAAGGCCGACTCGATGTTCTTGAGATTATAGACGACTTGAACACCCAAATCAATAAACCTAGCTATTAGAGCTGTTGATTCTCGAGACTATTACCCTCAAGTACATTAATAATCATGCCTATAAACCTTAGAATTATAGGAAGGACTCTGTTAATTATACCGACAGGAAAGTAAGAACTTACACTGAAGAGATAAGTCACTGCTACTTTCATTTAGTGCATTACCTGTTCGAATTCGAAGTTTTTGTCGTTATATATTCATTATAGACGTCTGCACCAGCATGCAATTATCAGCCAAATTGAGGCGTATGAAGTATAATTCACATCTAGCATCCCAAGATACCAGCAATACATGGCCAATTGGGTAGAAAGGTTATTCCATCACTGAATTAACCAAGTCATCTCTTAACATCGAAGCGTAAGCCTGGGCCTTGAGTAAATGGTCTGCAGCTCTCAAATCATAATTAAGACTATTCAGTTCCTTGTCTGAATTATAGAAGGTTTCAGTGGTAACATCGTAGCCTATACCGATTTGACTTAGACTCAAACTTCCAATAAGCAACACAAACTGGTTAATATCGTCAGGCATCTCTGCGTCCCCCAACATGTTTCTGACGTCTTGCGTAGAAATCCTGGACGTGAAGGACATCAAATTCAAAAACCATTTGCACTTTAAAATGGTGACAAAGTAGTTGGGAAAGCTCATGTTACATGCTGATGGGAAGAGAAACAGCACCAAGTTAAATTCGGGCTTCACTAACTCAAAGTCAATGAGACTCAACTGCTTTACGTTATTTGAAAGCTGAACAAGGTTGGGTGCCAATTTGGTTAAGGCTTCAATGAAGTCATCCTCCAACTGAAACCCATTGAAGGGTTTTTTAATCAACAGATCAATAAGATACACCATTAAATATTCATCCAAGAAGCCAGCCAGCTTCAAAAATTCTAAATCAGGCATGTGTGAGCTGGGTTCAACACCCATTTGCTTAAAGTTATTAAAATAGTGTAGTATATCAACCAACTGGAATAAAACCGCCAATTCCTTAGAAGGCGTCTGATTCTTCATTCTGTAAGATTGGATCTTTTTGTGGTTGTTCTTGATGGTTTTGGCGGTATGGGTTTCCTCCTCCTCGAACCAAGACTGGTACATTTGGGTGATATATATCCATGTGAGTATTTCCATGTTGTTTGAACCCAAGAGGATTTTGCTCAAGACCAAGTTCAACTCCTTGAACTGCATAGCTATGTAGAACTTGGGCAAGTAATACATCACAAACAGAGGCTTTATTTCCTGGTTTTCTCTCAACATGTCCTCAACTTTGTGATCCAAGACGTCAAGCAGTTTGTGATCCACCTGTGCATCGAGCTCGAGGGTGGTGTTCTTAAGTTCAGAGCCGATGATATTATACTCTATCATCACCGCCACACATTCATCATAGAGGGCTTGGTTCTGGGTGGATTTGTATTGGCTGAAGAGTTTGGGAAATAGAAGAAACCTGAACATAGTGGTAGATTCCAAAATGAGTCGCGAATAGTTTGGTTATGTATTGATCATAGAGGACGTTTGTTCTTCATTGATTATGCAAATTGGTTCATTAGGTATCTTACATTATAGGCGTTAATAGGGTCAGAAATTGTAGATGTTACTGGTTATTCGTCATGGTTCAAAGCTGTGGACTGAGTGGTTCGTTCCATGGTTCTATTATAGAGTGACCAGGCTGGTCAGGTACGACGTACAGATATCGTACATCACCCCCAAAACTGCCCACGTGAACGGAATCCACGTACTCATCGTCATCGACCCAGCCTTGTATATGGCAGACGTCAAAAGCCCCACCACCGATCCACTAATAACTGCCATCATGGTGGAAGTAAAAGCATAGGATACAAAGATCAAAACCCCCCGAAACACAAAGTACTTACTCGGTGTCTTCGAGTGGTAGTTGGCCACACAGTAGTTGACAAACATATACAATCCGGTGACTGAGTAGACTCCACAAAACAAAATAATGTACCATTGAATGGTGAACCGCCATACGTCTCTGCCGTAGTAAAGCATCAGTTGAGAGAACTCCGGGCGATGCTCCCCCAACGGCCAGTAGATCAGTGGGAAATCCGGCGTCGTGTACCCTATAGGAACGTTCAAAGAACTGATGAATATTTTCATTGTGTAAGGTGGGTTGGCACGTACCAAAATAAACCCAAGCAGCCGCGAAGTTTGAAAGTTTGAATTTTAATCTGAGTGGCAATAGTAATGAGTAGAAGATACGACTCAAGAACAACGATTTTTTCGCCTGAAGGCAGATTGTACCAGGTGGAGTATGCTCAAGAGTCCATCTCTATGGCAGGAACTGCGATGGGGATTTTAACCAAAGAAGGAGTGGTATTGGCGTGTGAGAAGAAGTTCACCTCCAAGTTGTTGGATAACGATGGACTGGCAGAAAAGTTATACATTATAAATGACAGAATGGTGGCGGCAGTGGCAGGAATGACCTCCGACGCTAGCATCTTGGTCAACAGAGCCCGGTATTTTGGACAACAATACTTGAAGACCTATAATGAACCGGTTCCTTGTGAGACCTTGATTAAGAGCATTTGTGATGTTAAACAGGGTTACACCCAGCACGGGGGATTAAGACCATTTGGTGTCAGTTTCTTATATGCGGGATATGATGACAGATACGAGTTCCAACTATACATGTCGAATCCTTCTGGTAACTATAGTGGATGGAAAGCCACCAGTATCGGAGCCAATAACTCGGCCGCCCAAACATTGTTGAAAAAAGACTACAAAGATGACTTGACCTTGAAAGAAGGGTGTGAGTTGGCCATCAAGATCTTGCTGAAGACCATGGACTCGTCCACCATAAACTCCGATAAGTTGGAGTTTGCTACCTTGTCGAAGAAGGGAGATAAAATCATCCATAAAATCTGGAGTGATAATGACATCCAGTTGTTGATCAAAGACACTGGGGTTTTAGATAAAGAAGATGACGAGTAGTTAAGAATACATATTGACCCGTGCACCCACTCGTCCAGCCATGTAGAGCGGTGCGCAACCATTTTTTTACTCTCACCTCCACCATGGACTTGTTCAACTCCAGATCGCTTTTCCGGCAGATCCACCAGAACAACCTCATTGCCAACTCTGTGGCAGACTCTAACAATGACTTTAGTACCATCTCCAATGTGCTCATTCATCAGACATTGGTTCTAAGAGAAAATCTCAAATACTGGTCCGCCGTTAAGCACTCGCTCATCTACAAGTTATACTACGGATTACAGACGTTGCCGAAACGAGCGTACGCGTTCTTCCTCCAGGTACGTGCCGACGACTGGAAGGTTCAGCATGTGCCCAACATCGTCAAGGCGGTGGAAGACGACATCAACTGCAACATCTCCACCATCAAACGCCAGTTGCTGGATACTTACAAAAAATTGGGACATATCGTGGCGCACAAAGATAAACTCGGGGAATTGAACCCCGATGACTACAGACTCGCGGCCGTGCAGCTGCTCGAGCCGGGGTTCTGGACCAGGTACTGGATTCCGTTGGTGTTGGCAGTACTCATTGGACCCACACTCTCGTTCAAAGTGGTGCGCAACCGGTCGAGAATCTTGGACTGGCTCAACAACAACGTGCGTGACGTGGCAGTGGGCTTCTACGACAACTGGCTCATCAAGCCGGTCGGGGATGTGATCAATATCATCAAACAGGATTCCAATATCATCGCCGCGAAAGAGTCGTTGAATTCGCTGGTATCGTCATTGGAACGCATGGTCCGTGACTACATCACCGACAATCACATCCCGGTGCAAGAAGTCGACTTAAAGCACCAGCTCGAGCTCGGCGACTTGACGTTGATCATGTCCAAATACGAGAAGGAAATGAAGAGTCCTGTGCGCAATTTGGTGAACGGGACTTTGATTCGCAGCCTTTTGATCCAGATCCAGAAAACCAAGGTCGACGGCGACTTGGTGATCAATGGAATCGACAAGTTGATGAAGAGCCAGCAGTTGTTGTTAGGAATTGTGTCCATTAGTCCATCCATATTTATTGTGTACCAATTAGCCAAATACTTGTCTCGGCCTAACTTTATCATCAACGGCAAGGACTTGAAAAAAAGCTGTTTGGGAAACTTGGTGGGGTTGCAACTCGACGACGACGACGAGCTGAGAGGCGTGTTGTTGGTCAACACCATCAACTTAAAGATCGAGAGCCGGTTATTTTTGAGCAAGTCAGTTTTTACCATGCTCGAGGAGGATTTAAACCGGTTACTTGCGGGAGAGGATACGCTTATGAAGTTGTACGTGGTGTACCTGGGATATTTCCAGTGAGGGCCGAGCGGCCAATGGGAGACGGAAGGACTTTTGGCCGCGAAGGTGCCGGTGCCACACCTGGGTCCTCCCCTCCTTGGCTATCTGGCTAATCTCGAATCAAGCATCGCGGCCGGCGCACGACCCCCTCCCCCACATTTCCCGGTGATGTGGGGAGGAGCACCGTTGGTGCGCCGGCACCACCAACCCACCACACCTTTATCGGGGGTGCTGAAGGTTGAGTGGTTGGTTGGTGGTAACATCAATGGTGAACACCTTCCTTTTTTATGTGTATATATCTCCGTTTCCCCGGATTCGAGCCTGTCGCAACCCTGGAATTTATAAAAACCTACAAAATCTTCTGCCCCTCTTTTTACCTTCATGTGTATAAAACCCACAGGCATTTCTGGTTATGCAATTTTTTGTAAAATTGTCAAGCCCTTCTATGAGTAATTTTGGATCCAAGACCCCTAGCGGTAACGCCCGGATCTTTAACTGCCTCAAATGCAATAAAGCATTCACCAGAGACGAGCACCTAACCAGACACATCTTGTCGACTCATAATAAATTAAAACCCTTCATTTGTGGCATCTGCTCGAGGCCGTTTTCCAGACGAGACTTGCTTTTGCGCCATGCAAAGAATCTCCATCAGGGCCTGGAGAAAAGTATCAATCGGCTCCGGAAGCTGAAGAAACGAGAAAATAGTATTGGCAGTACCAGCAGCGGCAGCGGCGATGAGGAAGACGAACCTTCTCACCACCCAACTCGTAGCCATGCCACCAGCCCACACGATGAGGCATCGAAGAAGATGTCTGTCAGCATGCTTATAACCTGAGACAAGTGGTTGGGTGATTCCCTTGAACTGGTTGTGCGGGGGTCTATTTATTTAACGAGTCCATGAAACTGCGACTTGAGACTTTGCTCCTCGAGTTTATTTATCTATTTATGACTGAATGTATAAATGTACAAATTTGTATACAAAGTCAATGAGTGGTGGATTATAGTGGGCGATGGAGCACACTTTTATTATAATAGTGTGCTGAAGGAGCGAAGCTGGTCCATGCCAAAGGCGGTGGATGCAGAGGTTTTGGACTTTGATTATTTGGCGCTTTTGTTTGCAAAGGCCCGAGGTTTGGGTGTGGAGGAAGGAGCTGAGCGCAACATGGAAGTGGCAGTGGAGGAAACTGGGGAAGAAACTGGAAGGGAAATTGGTGATGTAGGGGATCGTGATGTGGACGATTCTATGAAAACTGATGAAAAGCACCCAAACACTCATGAAAAACCTTCGCATACGAAAGCACACACAGAGCCAATTCATACCACACCTCTTGGCTTGGACTTGGGTTATCTGTCTTCAGATGATGATTCTGGTGAGGAGAAGGCGGATGCTGAACCTGAAGATCTTGGAGCATCTGACCTGGAGAATGACGATCCCCTCACAGATGACCCCCAGGACCTCAACGACATCATCAACGATGTCCTTGGATACTCCGGTGATACCCACTCCGACACCGACTCCGATACCGACTCCACCCAAGCATTCGTCTCCCTTCTCAACTCCCTCAAACCTAGCATCAACATCTATAACCCCTACTCAATCACCGAAGAAGAACTTGCGGAGGAACTTGTCCAACACCCAGTTTTCTATAAGCTTTCACCGGCCTCCAAAGAAAAAATTTACAATGATTGGGCCACCACTGCCGGCGAAACCCCCAGTACTTACCCATCCGCCAAACAGGTATTTATGAACAAACTATTCAGCATCAAGTCTGAAGTCAAAAGCAAGTACTACTTCGATCTCAAGTCTGAATTGGCTCCATTCGACTATCACGACAAAGAGTCTGCATTTCTCATGTACAAGAACATTCTCCAAACTCAAACCAGTTTCGAAAAGCAAATGAAAAAGTCGCTGGCTCCGGGGGTCAACCTTAAGAAACTCAAGTTGCTTGAGTTTCTTGACAAACACCAGGTTACCACCCAACACTACCAGTCTCATGGCTCAGATGACTACCAAAAGTGGATCAATATGTGCAATGATTTGGACCTTCCGGCCGCAATTGTCGAAAACGAAATCAACTGGTTAGTTGGTGATTCCAAGCGACTCGAGTGTTACCTTGAACGCGGTACTTCGCCCTCTGTATAATAATCTGTATCATAACTCACACCTTAGCTGCATAAACCTCTGGAGAATTTTCGCACCCAAGATTTTCCACTCGAATCACAATGAAGCGAGTAGTGATCACAGGACTCGGGGCCGTGACACCGCTAGGAGTCGGGGTCCAACACAGCTGGAACCAGCTCATCGCTGGAAATAGTGGGCTTGTGTCCACGGTCGGCTGGGGCCTGCAGTGGGACAGTATTCCCTGTAAGGTGGTGGGTAAGGTTCCCGAGGGCTCCATCGCAGACCACAAGTGGGACTCTTCAGATCACTTCACTAAATCGGAGCTGAACCGGTTGGCTCTTTTTGCCCAGTACGCGATGACAGCCACGGCCGAAGCATTTGCTGACTCCCGTATGGACCTCTTATCGGTGGATAAACGACGTGTGGGTGTGAATGTTGGTTCTGGCATTGGCTCTTTCCATGATGCTTACGACAACTCAGTCAATTTCCATGAACACGGCTACAAGCGGGTCCAGCCGTTGTTTATTCCCAAGCTCTTGACAAATATGGCTGCAGGGAACATCTCCATTAAGTATGGGCTCCAGGGTCCCAATCATTCGGTTGCAACTGCTTGTGCGACAGGCCTCCATGCCATTGGAGATGCCTACAACTTTATAAGAAATGGGTACTCCGACGTGATGGTGAGCGGTAGTGCTGAATCCTCGATCCACCCGTTGGCTCTAGCAGGTTTTGCACGTGCTCGTTCTGTGGTCGGGTCCTTCAATGATGATCCTCAAAGAGCATCACGGCCTTTTGATAAAGACAGAAACGGGTTTGTGCTCGGTGAAGGTAGCGGTATCCTCATTCTTGAGTCACTCGACCATGCGCTTCAACGAGGTGTGCAACCCCACCAGATATACGCCGAAGTGGCAGGATACGGCTTGTCTGGAGACGGTTTCCACATCACCGCTCCCCCAGAATCGGGTGAAGGAGCACAATTGGCCATGGAAATGGCCCTCAAACATGCGGAAATCGACCCCCAAAATGTCGATTATATCAACGCCCATGCCACCTCCACCAAAATCGGAGATATAGCTGAAAATAATGCCATCTTCAACATCTTCCACCAAAATGGGCACCTCAGTGTATCTTCTACCAAGTCGTCAATTGGCCATCTCCTAGGGGCGGCTGGGTCCGTCGAATCCATCTTCACGATTCTTGCCATGAAACACGACACACTCCCGCCGACGTTGAACTTGGAAAATTTGGAGCAGAACAATCGATTTGTGTTTGACTACGTGCCACAAAAGTCTCGTTCAAAGCAGATCGGTATAGCTATGAATAACTCTTTTGGCTTCGGGGGTGTCAACAGCAGTGTGGTATTCACGACTTATATTCCTTGAATCCCAAATACCCTTAGTATACTGTAAATATGAATCACATCTACCCACCACGCAGCAGCTGCAAAAAGTTCTCAGTAAACACCAAAATATTGCGCGACTTCAAAGTGTTAAAGTCAAACTCGACTGTTGAACAAACGTATGACAGAGGAAGAAGACAAAAAGCGGAAGAAAGTCAAGAAACCAAGCGCAGAGGTGTTGCAACGTCGTAAGGAAGGGCGGATCAAAGCGGCAGCCGCGTTGGCATCCAATCTTAAGAAAACTGGCATCATGAGAGTGGAAGAGCTGAATGGATTCCCGTTGTCCAGTATCAAACCCGTACCATTAATTAATCAGAAAAACTACTTCACAGATTACTTGAAGAAAGACGAGCAGATAGTGTTTATTCGTCGGTGGCGGGCAGAGAAGTTGTTGAAGCAAAAGTTAAAGAAATTGAACCTGAAGAAACCAGATGACGGACAATCTGAAGATGGGCCTAGGAACTTCGACGACTTTAATTTGAATGATATTGAAGAGGAAATGAAGAGAAAAAATGTGGATCCAATCGATGCAGATGACGACGATGAAGACGACGACGACGAGAACGGGGATGTGGACGTGGATGCTGATGGTGAAGCCGGTGAAACCGATGGGGTTGTAACTGAAAAAGCACGTATTGGTTCGGACGTGGTGGTGATACATCCAGGCTCATCCAACTTTCGAATTGGTAAGGCTGTCGATGCGGTGCCGGAGTGTATTCCAGCAGTGGTGGCTATTCGTCATTCTACTCTGCCTAGCGATTATTTACCTGAGGCACCTCAAAGAGACTATTTGGCGACTGACATTCCAGAAGAAGATAAACGAGTTTGGTTTGGTGAAGAGTTTGAAGCCTGTAAAAGTGAAATGACAAAAGACTTCAAGGCCCGGATGCGGTTCTATAAACGTCGGGTGTTGCCTAACTCTCGTGAAGTTGCTGCTAACTTCAATAAACGTAAAGAACCGGAAGTGATCCCTGAACATAATGATCCACATAAAACTGAGTGGATAGATGTTGGCCAGCATGAGGGTCAACGTCAGTTTGTTGGTGAGGATGCTTTGAAATTACCAATTTGTGATAAATTTGGTGAGTGGAAGCTAAGAAGCCCAATCGTCAACGGGAGATTCAATGAGTCTAGCGATTATGGGTCCAGAGAAGAGCTTTTGGGGGATATTTCTTCGATTATCAACCTTGGTTTATCCAAACTAGACATCACCAATGTTAAGGACTTCAAGTGTATGTTAATAATCCCTGACTTGTATGATAAGGTGATTGTTGAGCAGTTTGTTCAAACTCTTTTGCAAACGGTAGGATTTGGGCGTGTTGCTTACCTTCAGGAAAGTGTTGCTGCAAGCTTTGGTGCTGGTACTTCGTCTGCATGTATCATTGATGTTGGGAGTCAAACTACCACCGTGGCTTGTGTGGATGAAGGGTTGGTTATCAACGATTCAAGGATCCGACTCAACTTTGGGGGTGATAACATCACTGAAACCTTGACAAAATTCTTGTTGCAACTGTTTTTTCCATGTCGTGAAATTAACTTAAACTACCAGTATGATTGGCAATTGGCCCAGACCTTGAAGCACGATTTTGTCACGTTCCAAGATGCTGATATTGCAGTGCAGATCTACAATTTCTATCGTCGTAAGCCTTTTGAGCACACGTTAAAATACGAGTTCAAGGTGTTTGACGAAGTGATGTTAGCACCTTTAGGGCTTTTCTATCCCAATATTTTTACCATTCAGCAGAACCCGAAATCCCGGCTTTTTCCCAAGGCTGTTGACCAATACTCTCTTAAGTCCAACAACCCGTCATCGAAGTCGCAAGAGAACATTGTGAATGGAGTCAGTTTCACCAATCTCACCGACGAAGATCTCTTGGAGAGACTTCACAACAGCTACAAGGCGGTGAAGGGTAACAATCCTTTTGCCAAAGCCAAGCTTACATCCACCGATATCAATGAAACGGCAGCTCTGTTCCCTCTAGAACGTGCCATCATTGAGTCAATTACCAATGCATGTTTGGCCACTGATATCACCAAGGTTAAAAAGTTCTACAGCAATTTGTTGTTTGTAGGAGGAGGATTGAGCAAGATTCCCGGTTTTGATACCTTGATGACCGACAGAATCAACATCTGGAGACCCAAATTCTTATCTACTAGTAATGTGGATGAACTTCTTGAATATGTTGAGCAGCAAGAAAAGAAGTCTCAACAACTTCGACAAAAGCTTGTCCGTGAAATCCTTGCCCTGCATGGTCCCGACGAGCCCGATCCCGCTGACGAATCTGCATTAACACCTGAAGAATTGGCGTCGGTTGATGAACAGTGTCAGTTGACTCTAGATTTGGATTATGTGGACAGTCTCGTTGACAAGGGACAACTTCTACCTGTGACAGTGTTACCTCCACCGCGGGAATTTGATCCTGAGATCTTGACGTGGAAGGGTGGTTCTATCTACGGTCGGTTGAAGGTGGTGAACGAGATGTGGATTTCCCAGAACGAATGGGACTTATTAGGAAGTCGGTGCTTGTACTATAAGTCGTTATATAATTATTGAATACCGAGCAGAATGAATAAAAGTTGTGTGAATACTATGTAGTAGAGGTGATGTACGCATCATATACGCATTCAAGCCCTTATTGCTTGCAACAAAACAAGGTGAAAAGTGTGATTTTCACAAATTTGAGAGACGGAACTCGACGCACATTTGCAGCCATTAGAGACATATTACACTAAGACTATATCGACCCAACAACGTCAACAAGGAACGCATTACATCAACATTTCTACAAATATTCCGAACAGGTCCTAGACTCACCGACAAAATACCGATGTTCATCCCTATGAATATCTGGTAAGTCGTTTCATTCAATGAATCGTCTGGTAAATTCATTACCCGAATCGGCGCACTGCAAAAACCCCGGACGACACCCGACCAAAAGTCAGCGAAACCAATCTCCCAAACAAAATGCTTTTACCCTGCAACATGAAGAGCAGAACAGCAAATCCATATTAGCATCACTGTCCGGTACCAGTTTACTGGTTTACACCACCCTAGCCCACCATCACACCCAGTTGACTTCAATGTAGTCGTGCCCCCGGGTCAGAGTCCGCCGACCCTCCTACGCGTGCGACATGCGACATCCCCTCATTTTTGACGCACATCGGGTGAAGGCCGCAGTGGCGGTAGCGGTGGCACGCCCGCGCTCAGGCACCGCACCACCGCTGGTCGACACTGGTCCCGGGGCGTCAAGGGATTTCTTCCTCGGCGGTCTAACACAATCCGAATCAACATTGGAAAAGTCAAATTTTAAAAATTACATATCCTTTTTTTTCACTTGTCTATTCATTGAATATTAAAACCGCAAACACAATCCATCATGTTCAACAAGCAATTCACCCGTGGTATTGCCTCTTCACAACCAGCCAGAAATTACGCTTCTACCATCAAGAACTTGAAGATTAATTCTGACACCAAAGTTATCTACCAAGGTTTCACTGGAAAACAAGCTACTTTCCATGCTGAACAAGCCATTGCTTACGGCACCAAAGTTGTCGGTGGTACCAATCCCAAGAAAGCCGGAACCACCCACTTGGACAAGCCGGTGTTTGCTAGTGTCAAGGATGCCATAAAGCAAACTGGTGCCGATGCCACAGGTATTTTCGTCCCACCTTCAATTGCCGCCAAAGCCATCGAAGAAGCCATCGAGGCCGAAATCTCCTTGGCCGTGGCCATCACCGAAGGTATTCCTCAACACGACATGGTCAGAATTGCCCAGATCTTGAAGACCCAGGAAAAGACCAGATTGGTGGGTCCAAACTGTCCAGGTATAATTGCTCCTGAACAATGTAAGATTGGTATCATGCCTTCTAGCATCCACAAAAGGGGTAAGGTTGGTATCATTTCCAAGTCCGGAACCTTGACCTATGAAGCGGTTGCTCAAACCACCACCGTGGGATTGGGTCAATCTTTGGTCATTGGTATGGGTGGTGACCCATTCCCCGGTACCAACTACATCGACGTCTTGACCTTGTTCTTGAACGACCCTGAAACCGAGGGGATCATTTTGATTGGGGAGATCGGTGGTACTGCTGAAGAAGAAGCTTCTGAGTTCTTGAAACAATATAACTTGACCAGAGACGTGCCAAAGCCTGTTGTTTCCTTCATCGCTGGTGTTTCTGCTCCTCCAGGTAGAAGAATGGGTCACGCCGGTGCCATTGTCGCTGGTGGTAAAGGTGACGCTAAGAGTAAGATTGCAGCTTTGGAATCCGCTGGAGTGGTTGTGGAAAAGTCTCCTGCTAGATTAGGTAACTCCTTGTTGGCTGAATTCAAGGCCAAGGGATTATTGTAATCTACAGGCTTTAATTCTTGGCCTTTTGTAGCTAAAATGCACTCTACTATAGACCCAAACTCGTATTTGATTTCTGACTCACCCTGAGGTGCAGTATTTAAACAGGGCCGCACACTCGCATTCTGTAAACTTATCTTTTAATGCCGTCCCCAGCGATCACATCTTTATTAGACACCGATGTGTACAAGTTGTTCATGCAATGTGCCGTCTACAAGCACTTTAGAGATGTAGAGGTTTCTTACGTATACAAGAATCGGACCCCTGAGAAAAAATTGAACCACCAGGCGATTGAATGGCTCAAGGACCAAATAACCTCCTTGGGTGATCTCTCCTTTACTGCTGACGAAATCTCCTACTTGAAGGAAACAGTGCCTCAATTCACACCGGAATACTTGCTGTATTTGGCCGAGTGTCGTCTTGATCCCAAGTCTCAGGTGTTTTACACTGAAGGAGATGAATTTGAACTCGTGATTAAAGGCCCCTGGAAGGTAACCATTTTGTACGAGATTCCCGTGTTAGCGTTGGTGTCTGAGGCTTATTTCCGGTTTGTGGATACAGACTGGACTTATGATGGCCAGAGAGAGTTGGCCCAGGATAAGTGCCGCCAGTTGTTCGACAATAACTGTAGTTTCAGTGAATTTGGAACTCGGCGTAGAAGATCGTTTGAGGCTCAAGACATTGTGGTCAAAGCGCTCGCGGATTATGCGGCCGCTCATCAGGCCCAACAGAAGCATTTAATTGGAACATCTAATGTGCTTTTGGCCAAGAACTACAACCTCAAGCCCATTGGAACCGTTGCTCACGAATGGTTTATGGGCGTGGCTTCGATTTCACAAGATTATAAGGCTGCTAACCACTTGGCTATGCAATATTGGGTTGATACCTTTGGACCCAAGTATGCTGGTTTGGCTTTGACCGATACATTTGGAACTGATAACTTCTTGACTAACTTCCACAAACCATACGCCGATTACTACGTGGGTGTACGACAAGATTCTGGCGATCCAGAGGAGTACGCTGCCAAGATCGCTGCTCACTATAAATCGTTGGGCTATGAGGACAAGTCCAAGATCATTTGCTTTAGTGACTCGTTGAACATTGAAAAGTGTTTGCAGTACAGGAAGACGGCAGAAAAGTTGGGTCTCATACCGTCGTTTGGAATTGGGACTTTTTTCACCAACGATTTCCTCAAGTCCAGTCTGGGAGTCAAATCGGTTCCTTTGAATATTGTTATCAAGTTGAGCAGTGCTGATGGAAACCCTTCGATTAAGTTAAGTGACAACTTGGGTAAAAACATGGGTGATGCCTCTGTTGTTCAGTACGTTAAACAGGAATTGGGCTATACAGAACGTGACTGGTCCGAAGGGGATGAGTCCAAGCGGTGGTGATCCTTTTAGATTTGTAGAATTAGCACCTAGTATTTGGCTGCGAAATAAGTAGAAACTGTTAGTCAATAATTGATTGAGAAAATTGTGAAACAAATAGCGAAGCAGAGGTCTCACATACTTCAGTGTTCTTCATGATAGACCAAGGTGTTGAGTCAATGAAAACTACTGGCTGTGGAGACATGATTATTGTACATTAGCGTGCATTCCTCGCTATTAAAGGGCATTGTGATAGTAGACAGAAAAAATATAACTTAAGTACCAGAATAACATTCGTGCCTGTTATCACAGCCGTGATCTACAATACAGTCGAAATAAAGTATGCTGTACTTTCCTCCACCTCCTCACCTTCTCAGTTTCTCGCGTGTGCGACAGATGAGATGGTTATTTTTCTATACACTGCTCACGCAAATGCACCTATCAGAAGAGAATCTTGTGAGTGTACTTAGCACAGCGAACGAATCGGAGCGCAGTGCGGTTCAAAATGAAGCGGAGGCCCAGTTGAAACAGTGGGAGGTTCAGCTGGGGTTTTACTATTCCTTGCAGTCGGTTTACTTAAATACTGACTTAGCACTCCAAGTTCGATGGCTTGCAATAATCTGCTTCAAAAACGGCATTGACAAGCACTGGCGTCCCACCCGTCTTCACGCCATCGCTAAAGACGAGAAGCAAAGAATCAAAGCCCGGTTGTTTCTTTTGATGAACGAGAAAAACAATCAGTTATCAGTTCAGAATGCTCACTCCATTGCCAGAATAGTACGATTCGAATTTCCAGCTGATTGGCCTGACTTATTCGATGAGATCCATAAGAGTTTGGAAGAGTTTGTGTTTGTCAAGAATGACTTGACTTCCACTAATAACCTATTAATTGTGTTAAACCATATCATCAAAACTTTGTCAGCCGTGAGAATAGGAAGATCGAGACATGCAATGCAAAGTAAGTCTCCTATAATAATCCCATTGCTAGTGAAATTATATAACAAGTTCTTTCAGAGCTGGACTACGTCATTGGATCTAGGGATCATGGAGATCTGTTATTTGGTGTTGAAAAATTTGAGGAGATTGATTCCTGAGAGCTATGAAGAGATTCATAAGCACCACGAAGTGTCTGATTTTCTTAAAGTCAGCGTCGGTCATTTAGAGATGTTAATCTCCCAACACGATAGATATTCTTCAGACTTAATTGAAAGGTACGCCAAGTGCTACAGTAAGTTGTACTTCAATATCATCAATATCAATCCTACTACTTTTATTCTCATGCCATGCTCCAACGATATTGTTACTTTCTTTTTCAACTACTTGAATTCAGATGCTGAAAAAATTTACAAAGGAACTGAGGATGACAACTTCTGGGAAACTATTGCATTGAAGGGGTTTTTGATCCTAAAGAAACTCATCACCTACATTTTCAAAAAAGGTGCAATCACCCTCAAACAACCTAAGGATAAACAGGACATTGTCAATGCGGTGGAAAAGTTGAAGACTCAATTCTTTAATGTACAAGTAGTACAGCAATTATGTGATCTCATTATCAACTGGTACTTATTGTTGAAACCTTCTGACTTGGAGAGCTGGTTGTTGGAGCCTGAAGAATGGTGCAATGAAGAGTTTTCTTCAAGTTGGGAATACCAAATCAGGCCATGTGCTGAGAACTTCTTTCAAGATTTGATCAAGTATTTCAAAGATGACCTATCAGAATATCTTTTCAATAAGATTTCCTCCAATCTCTTGGGTGCAAATAAAAATATCTTGGTTCAAGACTCCATCTTGTGTTGTTTTCAATTATCTGCAGACTCAATTGCCGATAAAGTGGACTTCAACCAATTGTTGAGGGAGGTTTTCATTCCCTTGGCTTTAAGAAATGAAGACGTAGAAGATAAGATAATCAAAAGAAGAATATGCTTGATTATTAGTGAATGGGTGAAAATTAACTGCTCCAAAGAGAGCAGAGTTGAAATATACCAATTATTGCTTACATTTATTTCGGCAAACGACAAGATTCATGATCAGGTGGTCAAATTGGGCGCTACTCAATGTCTTCGTACGATTGTGGATGATTGGGATTTCGATAAAAGAGACTTTAGTCCCTTTCTTACTGCATATGTTGACAACTTGATTCAGGTATTGCAACAGATGAACTTCACTGAATCTAAATTGTATATCTTGCAAACATTAGGTGTTTTGGTGGAAAGGTGTAACCCATTGATCAGTTATGAGACATTAATGGCTTTGTTGAATATTATTCCCAAGTATTGGGAGATATCCAATCTGGCAAACGAAAATATTCTTAAGAATTCGTTGATCAGAATCTTAAAAAGTTTGGTTATAGCTTTGAATGAAAACTCCTTAGCAACACACTCTATTGCACTTCCTATGATTAGAAGCTGTTGCATGGAGAACTCAGACAATTATCAGCTATTATCTGAAGATGCTTATGATTTGTGGCATTCTGTCTTACAGTTTTTTCCCAACTCATCATCGTCTGAGAGTAAGTCCACTGTTGATGAGCTTTTCGAAATGGTGAACTTTGGTTTAATGAACTCAACTGAGGTTCTTCAACTGATTCTATCGATAGTCCGGAGCTATACTTTGTTGTCGCCAGAAATTTTCACCAACAGATCTGTGACAGATCTCTTGAGAATATTATCTGGATACTTGAATACCATGAGAGACGATTCTTTTGATGAGTTTATTGCCCTAATGGATATTTTATTTCTCCAAAACTCAAAAAATGAAGCATTTTTGAAGGCCATGATTGATAGCGGGTTGGTGAACTCGATGATTTCTATTGTGCTTGATGAAAACCAATCCATCGTCAAGGCAAATGAAATCTTGTTGGTTTTGTCGAGGTTGGCTTACAGTTCAAGTGATTTCTTTTTGGAAATGTTGGGATATCTCTCCAACAATTTATCGAACTTCCTCACCACTTGGATAAAGTACTACATCAACAATGGTAGCGCAAGAAACAAGAAGATCAACTTATTAGCGTTTTTAGCATTGTTGAACACCTCTATTCCAAAGAAAAATGAATTTTTCATCAGATTGTTTCCTGATGTGGTGAATAATGTTTTGTTGTTCTTAGAAGAAATCCAAGAGACCTCCTTGGAGAAGGTTTACAATCTGAGCTTGATATATGACGAACACCGTTACTTGGATCCTGATATTAAAGAGAACGGAGAGAAGATCAGATACATATCACTCTTGCAAAGAGCCGACCCTGTGTTCAATGTGAACTTGAAAGCATATTTGGTCGAGTCAATTAATCTTTTGAAACTGTCGTTGCTGCCACAGGAGTTCAACGAGCTACTTTCTTTGCTTGATGAGTACTCTGTTGAACAGTTGCAAAAGTTCGCAGCCTAATCACCTGCTTTTTGTGTAGAAATACAAACTAATCGCACCATCTTCATTCTTTTATTTTTCAGCACATTACCTTCACGTCCTAATGTTAAGAACTATTGCCCCAAGATCTATATGGGGTCAAAGTTTGACCAGGTTTGTGCCAGGACCTTTGTTTATGATACGTGGTGCACCTTTAGTGTTGACACCTTCTAGGACCCTTTTCCAATCTAGTGTTTTACAAGATCTCTCTAAAGATGAGAAGAGTAACCTATACGTCGAGAACTTTGAACGATTACAAAAGGAGAAAATTGCCCAGCAAAAGTACCGGATGCAGACATCGACAAACTATGCTACGTCGTTGGGGATTGTTTTCTTGGCCCTTGCTTTCATGGCTGTTCCTTTCTACAGAGCTCTTTGTAAGCGAACTGGCTGGGGAGGAACTCCCATCACAGATGCCTCCAAATTCACAAAAGATAAGGTGGTTCCAGTGGACACAAACAGGAGAATTCGAATCTCTTTTACATGCCAATCTTCCGGAATCTTACCCTGGAAGTTCACTCCTCTCCAGAGAGAAGTGTACGTGGTGCCAGGCGAAACGGCATTGGCATTTTACAGAGCCAAAAACAATTCAAAAGAAGACATGATCGGAATGGCCACGTACTCGGTGACACCCGAGCAAGCTGCGGGCTATTTCAACAAGATCCAGTGCTTTTGTTTCGAAGAACAGAGATTGGCAGCAGGTGAAGAAGTGGACATGCCGGTGTTCTTCTTCATTGACCCTGACTTTGCTAAGGATCCCGACTTAAGAACTGTGGATGACATAGTGTTGAACTACGCGTTTTTCAGAGCCTCGTATACGGATGGGGAATTGGCTGCAATGCCGGTAGCCCATCTTGAACTTAAGGCAGAAATGCAATAACTGTACATAGATATACTTGTAATTACAATAAAGATTAATTTTCCTGTCCAAATACACATACAAACACAAATACATACAAAGAACCTGTCATACACTATTAAATCTACATTAGTGAACTTCAACACTTCCCAACACTATCCAATCATTCACATCACCTTCTGTCAACACCAACTTCAACACACCTCCGTCCCAGGACAACCCGTTATCTTCTAGGTCCTCGGCGTCACATTCGTTAATGTTCAAGTAGTCCTGGATCCGAGTTTTAATTGTTCTCCATAATGCACTGTCAATAGGGTAGATGTCACTATACACAAGGGAAAGATGAGGATCAAACTCGTTCAATGTCCATTCGGCCGCTTCAATGGCTGCCTCCTCTCGTAGTCTAGATATATCCAATTCCTTGAGCGGATGCTGTTCGGCTGGGTTTCGAGTCTTGTCTTTCTTTGAAGGTTTACGCTTCACAAGATTCCCATGGCTGTCATTAGTGTATAAATGGGGGTTTTCCTTCTGGTTCTCCTTTTCGATCTTGGAAGGTAGTATGACAAATAACTCACGTATAATTCTCGTCAATGAAAGCAAATTGGGGTCTTTTTTTGCTTGGAAATAAAGCTTTTTGAAGAACTTCCTTTGGCTATCGACTCTCCCGAGAGTCACTATATGAGAGTGATCTTTGGCAAATGAGTCGAAGGCCACGGCACTGGCCGAGAGAATTCGATCCACATCATCGTGCGGAGCAGCCCGGTCGATGACCAAGTTGCTGGTGATGGTGATGTGGGGATCGAATCTGGGGGGCAGGTTCGGGAAAAGAGTATTGAGCGAGCTCATGAGTGTGGTCAATTTATCGTAAAGAGGCGTGTTTGCTCGCGGGCAAAGCCATAAGCTTACTCCTAAATCGGCTGTGTTAGATTAGTACTGTCAAAAGGTTCTATACGTTTGAGTTCACGGAATTTATACATACCCATTTGGTGAAGATGCTGGTTGTGATGGAGATGTGAGATTAAATGTTCGCAGTTGAAAATCGAGACATTATTTATACATTTGCAACTGTACTTAGTATTTAGAAGGAAGCACATCAACACCATTGATGGCGTCGTTGTTGACAAACCATGCAACCTCGACATCCAAGTTATTGACCAATTGCGAAGGCAATTTAGAGTTGGGGTTGTTAAAAATCTCTTTCAAGATAGGTGCTTTACCGGCGCCCTCAGCCACAAATGCCAATCCAGAGGCTTTCTGTAATAACGGGAACGTGAAGGTGATTCTTCTTGGAGGAGGTTTGGGTGAATCCTTGATGTAGGCGATCAATTGAGTCTGCTCCTGTAAGAGCGGGTGGCCGGGGAACAAAGAACAAGTATGTCCATCTGGTCCACATCCCAACAACACCAAATCCATCTTCTTATTAGACGGCAACTTCGCTTCGTAGTCTTGGGCGATGGCTTTGTCTTGCGTGTGGTCAGAGCCGTCGACTTGGCCGTCTTTGCCTGTCAACAACGACTCATCGATCGTGATCACCTTGGGTTTGGTGACTGTGGATGGCAATTGGTCAATCACCAGCAGGAAGAAGAGTCCAGCATTGGAGTCCTCATGGTCCAATGGAACCAATCTCTCGTCACTGAAGTACACTTCCCATTTGTCCCATTGGACTTGAGAGAGAACGTCTTTATTGTCGATTAATGCTTTTTTCAAGGCTTTGCCCAAAGACCCGCCGGACACAGCAAGTCTGAATTTGCCTGAGTCGTTAATGGCTTTAGCCTGATATTTCAAAACGTGTTTGGCAAGTGCCGATGCGACTTCCGCAGAGTCCTGGTATGAGTATACACTGGCAACCATTGTAAATTGATTCGAAGGAGGTTTTAATGTAGTCAAAGATTTTAAAGTGGTGCGAACTTCACCGTGAGCTCTAGCCTCATCATAGGTTCATTAATATACAATACATATACAAGGGTTCGTATCTAGTTATACATCTAGGAAGTGCTGATAATCAGGAGACTCTTTGATCTTATTGGTCAAGAACTTCTCCAATTTATTGGCGTTTTTCCAATATGTGGTGGACTCAGCATTATAGGACCTACAATTGTTGAAAATTAACTTTGCATCATAAAGGAATTGGTCAAATGATTCGTACTTGTCGTTTTCAAGCTTCAGTTCCATGGTGGACAAATCCATTGGCTCCTTGATCACGTCATAGTAGTCTCCCACCTCATCTTTGTTGACTGCGGTTGCAAATGGCCATGCTGATGGGTGATTCTGGAGCTCTGACAATACTGTTACCATGAAGTTATAGTGAGGGCCTCTCTTGGGTTTCTGAGCAATCTTATCCATTTCCTCCAGCCAACCAGCTTCGATGAGTCCGGGGATATCCTCATATTTAAGGGAGATATCTTTTTTGGTCTTAAATATCTGGAGTCCAGAACGCACCACATGAGATTTGGATCGCTCTTTGATTTTCTTCTCAATGGCAGCTCGTTGAAGTAAAAGAATTTTTCCCAGGTCCAAGTATCTTAAGAGACTCGGCAACATCGAACACTGCATCAATGTACCACCTTCATAATCCTTGATATATCCCATCCATACCGACTTATCTAGGGTTATTTCCTTGGTGAACCCTTGCTTTTTGAAGTATCCAATGGCATAGTTATCCGCATATGTTAAAAAATACTTGATGGGGGAAGTGGCCCGTACGTAATCTTTCAAGTGGTTCATGAGATGAGCCCCATATCCTCTGACTTGTTCGGTAGACAGGATTGCACAAAAGACAATTTCAGCAAATTCTCGGTTATTGAAGGGTCTATAAGTGATTCCACCCACAACCGTTAGAGGTTTTCGAACAACTGCCATCGATAGATGGGATCTATCATATACCAATCTGGCAATATACTCACGTGGCATCTTGGGTAATTGTTTCTGGAAAATGTTCTTTAGTCCTGTCAACACCATCATGTTTTCTTTTGTATCGTCGTTGTTAACCACTCTAAACTCAATTTTTCCCTCCTTCTCCTCTATCACTGAAGGCCTTTCCTTGAAAGAGTATTCGATACCGTCAAACTTGAACGTGGTGATCCGTTTGCGTTCTTCGGCAGCTTCATCCTCTTCGTCCTCTTCGTCCTCTTCGTCTTCATCATCGTCGTCGTTTTCTTCGTCTTCTTCTTCATCATCGTCTTCTTCCTTTTTAGTACTCTTTATGTCTTCGTCGGCATCTTCTTCGTCAACGTCATCATCATCGGCGTCATCATCGTCGGCATCGGCATCATCATCATCCTCGTCATCCTTAGGGTCATCAACTTCTTCATCTTCACTAGGAAGTTCGTCGTCCTCAAACTCGTCTTTGACGCCAACCTCTTTTTTGACACCACTGGGACGCTGTTTCTTCACTTGGTGTCCATTCGCGGATGATTCCAGGCGGGAGGAAGCTTGCCGCTTTCTTTCAACCATTATCTCGATTGATTGATATGAATCCCGTGTCACCGGTATGTGTTAAGACAGTTTCAAAGTCGCAGTGCGCGCCGCCGCGAAGTCTGCAAAAAATCAGAGATGAGAAGAAGGAAATTTTTTTTGCATTAGTAACCGCAGGCATTTGTTATACATCATGTCTAACTATACCCAACTTGATACCACCACTCAAGGTGTGGCAACCGTGTTGTGCTGCAACTGTGGTGTGCCCATGGATGGCTCCACCGGAATGGTAATGTGTTACGACTGTATCAAATTAACGGTTGACATCACCGAAGGCATTCCTAGAGAAGCGAATATATCATTTTGCAGAAATTGTGAAAGATTCTTACAGCCTCCTGGACAGTGGATCAGAGCCGAGTTGGAATCCAGAGAGTTGTTGGCGTTGTGCTTGAGGCGATTAAAGGGGTTGAATAAAGTCAGATTGGTGGATGCATCCTTCATCTGGACCGAACCCCATTCCCGTCGTATCAGAATCAAAATCACCGTCCAAGGAGAGGCCATGAACAATACCATCGTGCAACAATCCTTTGAGGTGGTGTATGTGGTTGTGGCCATGCAGTGTGCGGACTGTGCAAAGACCTATACCCCAAACACCTGGAGAGCCACTGTTCAAATCAGACAAAAGGTTCCTCACAAGAGAACCTTTTTGTATTTGGAGCAGTTGATTTTAAGACACAATGCCCACCAAGATACGGTTTCGATTCAGGAAAGTTCTGACGGGTTGGATTTTTTTTACTCGCAGAAGAACCATGCCGTGAAGATGTTGGACTTTTTAACGGCAGTGGTGCCTTTGAAATACAAAAAGTCCGAAGAATTGGTTAGTCAAGACATTCAGTCAGGTTCCTCCACTTATAAGTTTGCATATTCGGTAGAAATCGTACCTATTTGTCGTGACGACTTGGTAGTTTTACCAAAGAAGTTGGCCCATCACCTGGGTAACATTTCCAGAGTGGTATTGTGTTCGAAGATCAGTAATATGATCCAATTTCTTGATCCCTTCACCTTACAGATGACAGATTTACAGCCACTGATTTACTGGAGAAATCCGTTTTCTTCGTTGATTAGTGTGACTAACATGGTGGAATTCATTGTGTTGGACGTCGAACCAACAGGAGAAACCAGGGGAAAGCATGTATTGGCAGATATAACTGTGTCGAGAGAAAGCGACTTGGGAGTTAATGACCAGTCATACTATATCAGATCCCATCTAGGTGCGATTTTGCACCCTGGAGATTCGTGTCTCGGGTATTTCTTAACGAACTCTAACTTTAACTCGGACTTGTGGGACTCTTTGGATGAAAGTAACACGCCCGAAGTGGTGTTGGTGAAGAAATTCTACCCAAGAAAGTCCAAGAAGTCCAAGAACAGAAACTGGAAGTTAAAGAGAATGGCCAGAGAACACCAAGATATTGGAGGTGCCGAAGATTCCAGACAAGCCAAACAAGAACAAGAAAGAGCCGAAAGAGATTATGAATTGTTTTTGCAAGAATTAGAAGAGGACGAAGAAATGAGACAAGCTATTAACTTGTATAAGAGCACGAATCCTCCTGTTCGCGATGTGGAAGAAGAAAGTGAAATGCTCGATGAAGAAGATGCCCCACAAATAAATATTGATGAGTTGTTGGATGAGTTGGACGATATGAACTTGGATGATGACGACAACGAAGCATCACCAATAGTTTAGGACGGTTATAGTTACGATACTTAATTCATGAATCCTCATAGCATTTGCAGCCGCGCATTGAAACTCTCGGTAAAAATTGTTTTGCTTATCACTCAGGAGTATGGCAGACGAAGAGTTTCCGTGCCCCTCGTACAAAGTGGTAGTGCTCGGCGACTCGTCAGTGGGAAAGACATCTCTCGTCCACCGTTTTACCACTGATGAATTTGACACCAACTTAGCCAATACCATTGGGGCTGCCTTTATCACCAAGCTCCACGCTTCCAAGACATCCAGCCGTAATCTCAAATTCGAGATCTGGGACACCGCAGGTCAAGAACGGTATAAATCTTTGACTCCAATGTATTACCGCAACTCTCGAGTGGCCTTAGTTTGCTATGACTTGAGTAATGTTGATGACAGCTTTGTGAAGAGCAAATATTGGATTGACCAGCTCAAATTAAATAATGAAAGTGTGAGTGAGGGTCAAATCAATATAGTATTGGTGGGCACTAAAAGTGATTTGGCAAATAAACCACACACTACGGTGATTTCCGAGTTTACAGAAGCAAATCCTCATGTAAAACATTTTATCACCAGTGCCAAAACTGGCGAGGGAATCGAAGCTATCTTCAATTCTATAATAGACAATATTCCCGAAGATTTCTTCAATGCACACTATGAGAGTCTTCGACAGCAGGCTGAAAACAACCAGAAAAGCCAAAGTATAAGCTTCTTGAACAACCAGTTTACTGGTCCTAATAAGTCGAATTGTTGTTGATTCAACTGCTGACTCAACTGTTTTGATGGATGTCCCATTTATGTACAATATTATTTAATGCTAATCTACACTTACAACCCTGACCCCTTTTGCAACCAATACTCTCGGACCTTTTCCTTATCCTGGGGCTTTCGAGGCAAGGAGTTGGGCTTCTTTTCGTTGTTGGTTTCGTCATCGGAGCTGGAAGTCTCGTCTAGGGACAAATACTTTCCGACATTCACTTTGGCCTTGGCAGGCTTTGGGGGAAGTGCACTCGAAAACGTCGAGTCTTCTTGATCACTTTCAACAGTGGCATCTGAGTAGTATTTATGGGTTGGTAGTACGGGCTGCTGATCGTCTATTATTTCGACCTCTTCATCTTCCTTGTCCGTTACTTCAATAACCTCATCATCATTATTACCGTGTTTGACCAAAGCATGGTTGACAACCAAATCCCTCTCATCTTTAAAGTCTCTCTCTTTACCCTTATATTTGATTATGTCACCCAAAATCAGCTGTCCTATCCTCTTCTTGTACGATGCAGAGTGAAGATAGTAGCATCGGTCTACCAACAATTGGAATGCACCACCAAACGATTTCTTTATGTCCCTCAAGTTGTAAGACGATCTGGTGATGTTGTTACCTGGATCATCTGGATCCTGAACCACCAATGCAAACGGGTTGCGGCTGGCAATTAGGCTGGGATACTTGTACTTCTTTAAGTACTTGGGCAGATCTGTTTTGCCGTCAAACGCTATGACCAAGTTGTCGAAAGAAAAGTTTCTTCCGTATAATTCAAAGAACTCAATCAACAATGTTCCCAAGTTCTCGGATGCTGTCATATTTTCGGTAGACACCCGAGGATGCATCTTGATGAAATGGTAGCATAAGATGATGGTGGCATATCCACCCAACCCTCCGACGTGAACATTATTCAACTTTCTGCTCCTGAGAAACTGTTTCACCACCAATACCAACTCTCTTAATCCAGCAGTTGTCTCTAGCCATTTACGAATTCTTCTTGCAGCATCCAACCCGTTGGTTCTCTCGAACGAAATATCAAGGTGAATATTGGTCTTAGGATCCACAAACTTGATAATAGGCACTTTGGCCCCCGCGATGACCTCGATGTCTTTGGCCAATTTCTTCAGTCTCAAAAAGGATGATAGTTGATACAACTTATGTCTATTCTCGCAATCTCCGTTCTTAGACACCACCACCATGTCGATGTCCGATCCAGGAAGATATAAATCCGTTGCAAACGAACCGAACACATGGGCCTCAGCATCTGGCCAACATACCTTGATTTGCTGCTTCAATGTCTTGACCACCGAATTTCTAGCCATTATTTCTTCTTTGGAAGGTGAAATATAACTGACAAAATCTTTGATTTCCATCGTCAACCAGTCGGCAATTTCCTTTTGCTTCGAGTGGTCGTGAGCTTTAATCCATGGGTATAATGAGGTTGGGGTAAGCGCATTTACCTGTGCTTCATCGTTACTTATCACACCATCGTCAGAGAACTCACCATCCTCTTTTTCTTCTTCTTCTTCAGAGGAGGAGGCGAATCCAAACTCAATGAAGTCGTTGTTTTGCGCCAACTCGTTGGTGCTAGTTTGTTCTACCTGGTTTGACTGGCTTTTAGTACCCTCTTCTTGTTCAGGGTCAGACACTATAACAATGTCGTCCGACTCGTTTCCGGAATGTTCACTTGCTATCTCGTCGTCAAGAACAATGTCTGTGTGTTTCTTGCGGTTGAAATCAAATACAGATTCTGAGTCTGAGGGCTCATCATCGGCTGGCAAAGCGCTGTATGTGTTGACCAGAGGGATGATTCTGGACGTCTTTTTGTTGCGGTTGGAAAACCTCTTCTTAGCCTTGGGCTTCTTCGTAGATACCGTATTTTCGGCAGCCTCTCTCTTCCGCTTATTGCTAGGCATCTTTCAAAGGCTACAGAAAGCTCGAGTTGTTTGTATCAATGAATTTCCACCATCGCGCAGATTTGCAAATTTGTTCATTTTTGTATATAATGCTACGGTTTGGACTGTTTGAGCTGCAACATGAATTGTAGAAGCCGGCACTCAAGTTGGTCACGGTCGTTTGGTGTGAGAAGCCGCATGGATTCTTGATCGAAGTTGTTGAACACATGCATAATCCGATCTAGTTCGGCGGTATTTTTGCTCGAGCCTTCTGACTCAGCTTCTGTGCTGCTTGTAGTGTCATTTGTTTCTTGCAGTGAATACTTGGCTTGTATGGTGGTGTCTATTCTTGGCAAAAAGTACTTGACTTGTTCAATGGTATCCGGTTTCAGGAGAAGTTGAACGTCTTTTTGGATGTCTTGGCCGTTTGTATATGGTTGAATTTCCATTTTGGGACGTTTCGACGATGATTCAGGTTCTCCAGGCGCAAGGGGTCTGTGACGTTTCGAAGGAGATTCCGGGTCTGCTTCTGGAGACTCGGGGATTTCGAGAACCAGACGCTGTGGCATGTCAACCTCAAAACTCTTAACAGACAGTAAATCATCCTCTTCACTAACAAGGTCTTTTTCCACTTCCATGTAACTATCATTCTCTGCCTCATTTGCTGACTCCGGAGAAAACGTATCCATCACCTCAGAGTCTTCGTCAGAAGGTGGCAGACACGTTCTGAAAGGTTTGGGGCTCTCCATCATTTCTTTCAAGCGAGGGAATTGGGCCCATTCATTTTCAGCAATGTCTAGGATCTCAAACCCATATTCCTGGCATGTAGCTAGGAACTCGTCGAGGAGAAGCATATTGCCATTCTGCTTTAAATTGTTGAGGTACCCGTGAAATTCTGTCTTGAACTTGGCGTAGTTGGTCTCGTTTATCGACTGGACTCTCTTCATGATGGCTTTTCTGAGGTTATATAGCTCTAAGTCGAAGCTGCTGGAGATGAGAAACGATATCATTGACACAAACTCATCTGCTTGTTCGAACCTTAGAAGTATTAGGTTGAAGGCCATTTGCTTCATGTAGTCGAATGGAGTATCATGGATCAAAAGAACAAAGAACTTAAATATTGGAGGTGACCATCTCTGAATGGTGACCAAGCTCAATGCCTCTTCAAATAACCTAGCATTCAAAAGCACAATAGCCTGGATAACTCTTTTTGCAAATGGTGTGAAGTCACTTGTCAACACTTCAAATAATGCCCCTATAAGCTTGAGCTCCACCCTACTTCCTATGTCAACTTCACAAGTCTTGAGCAGTTTTTGAAAGTCAACCTTCAGATTCCCAAGCATTCCGAATCTAATCAAGTACAAAATCACCACATAGTCTTTCCTTCCGTTTCGGTGTAGCATTTTCTCCACGATATTATCTTGGACATCTGGAGTAGATTCTGCAATCTTGGAGAAAAGAAGTGACAAGAAGTTGGCAGAGTTATCACCAGCATTGTCCACGTTGGTCAAATTGACTAACCCGAAAGTTTTTTTCAACACATCGAAAACCTTGGGTACAAAAAGAGCCGGGTTGCCTTTGGAAAATGCTTGTTCAATGATGTTGTATGCTAGTTTACGACACTCGATTGCCTCTGGTGACGAAGGACTTTTCAAGACTAAAGAAGGAAATATGTGCAGGAACTTGTCAACCACGTCTAGCTTATACTCCGGGCTTAAGTCCGTCAGATATAAAGGCACTTGTAATAAATTGAGGATTCTGGGATACTCCTTGAACACCCAAGCCGAGTTCAACAGAAGAACATCAGAAAACTCAAACGCTTCGGTCGAAAGACACCTGAATGGCAAGAATTGGTACTCTTTTTTATTTGCAGTGGTATCCAAGAGGGCTTGAAGCAAACGCTCACCAAAATTGAAGAGTTGCATACCCTTGGACTTTTTGAAAAAAACCTCCTGGAATAAAGGAACCATGATGTTGTCCCAGTACACTGACAAGTACTTGGTATTCTTTCCCTGTTGGTTGAAAATGGTATAGCAGATGGCCAACACAACCTGTTCCAGAGCATGAAGTATGTCATAGTTGTCACAACTGACGTTTTTGAGAATCCGAGGTAACACTAACAACAAGTCAAATTTGCGTTTGAGGATGTCAGACACTTCTATACTCTCCCCTAATTTCAAGTCTTCAGACTTGATATATCTATCCAAGTTGTCGAGATCAGAAACGCAAAGATCGTAGACAACCACTTTCCAGGAAGAAATTAAAGCTACTTGGGCAGCAGGCAGTAACTTCAACAATTCAGAAGTAACAACCCCAGTCCATTCATGCACCATATCCCATTGGTCGAACCCAGTTTGTTTATCACAAGCCATGAGCGAGATTCCTACCCAAATGTCACTGGCAGCCTTGTATCTCTTATTGAACATCAACTCTTTGATGGTTTGAATAACAAGGTCGAGTACCCTCACACCCTTTTGAGGAAAGCTAGTAGAATCCAATTCAAAGTCTGATGCAAATGACTTGAATGGCAGTGTGATTTGTGAACTAAGACACTGTTGAGTCATATAATTGACTTCTCTATCTCTCAGACATGCTTTGGCAATTTCCAATAAGGTCAAAACCCCGGATCCAATGATCTTGGAATAAAATGGAGATCCAACATCACATAAAGTCATCAAGTATATTTCGAACCAATGCTTGAAATTGTTCAACATCATGGTAGGGAAGTTTTGAACCAAATTCTTGACAGCAATTAGCCTTTCACTGACAAGAGATTTGCTTGGGAAGTTCTTCATGTTTATGACTGCAAAAAGCATTTGTTCTGGAATATCCATGCCCTTAATATTATTGAACAACAACTTTCTCTTCTTCAATGGATATTTACACTCTTTGACGATCATAAGGTATGGTACTGCCAAAGTCTTGGAGATTTTAGGTTTCATCATCAACGTAGCTGAATGCAGATAGAACCACCTCAAGTCAGTTAAGCTCAAATATTCGTTGAGGTCTTCTTCTGTCATGAAAAATGATATAAGTTTAAGAGCCTGGCTGATTGTACGGGTGAAAAAAGGGTCATTTTTGCCCTGGTTTGGTATGCTGACATTCTCCTTCTCGTCATCAGAAAGTGAAAGACTAGCTTCCATGAACGTGATATCCCGTTGGACAATGGCAGAAAACACACTGATAAGATTCTTTTCCGGTGACTGAGCCAATGCTTGTGCTTGTCCTGGCAGTCCTTTTGAAGGCGAAAACTGCTTGTAAGTGCTCACAAGTAAGGAAGCAACAAAGGTAGGAGTATTACTCTTGAAGTTGTGGTTCAAAGATGCATACACTTCGAATCGCTTATCAAAAGACTTGATTTTCAATACTGCTATGCAACCCTGGATAAGTCTAGCAAGCCGATGAGATTCAACAGGAAGCTGGACAATGTTCCCTTTGGTCCAGAAAGTTGGTTGTTCAGGTACAAAGTTAGCCTCGGTGAAACTACTTTCGTTTACCACCTGGGGAGATTCTACTTCTTCAATTCCCTTTAGAATGGACTTCTTGGGAGTGGCCGTGATACACACCGGTTTCTGCAGGCCATCCTGAGGTAAGAAAGGTACGTCACTGGTCAAATCATCTGAAAACATCACGTTTTTTCTGAGTTTGAAAGGTGAAGAACTCAACACCGGATCGTGAGGTGGAGCGCCAGTCTTCTTTATAGGAGAAGAATTAAGATCTCCCATCACTATACGCATATCTGGAGCCACAATATCCCCGGTGACTGGCTTCAACAGAGGTTTGTCATTCTGGTGCTCGTCTACCTGAGTTGGCTCATTTACTTTTTCAGAAGCATCAATTCGTGTTTCAACAGGCTCTTGGTGTTCTTCCGTGGTGTTAGAAACGACTAGAGGTGTCTTGGAGCCCCTCTTTCTGTTTTTCTTTGATTTGGATCGCTTTTGTGACGATTTGGTGTGTGATTTGGACTTGGGTGTCTCATCGTGAAGGAGTCTGGCCCGTGATCGCGTGATAGGACGATCTTCTAGTGGAGCTAAGGACATGTCACGTGTCTCAGGTGGTGTTATGTTCAATTCAGCCTGGTGGATTAATGTTTGAGTTAATGATACCGTGTAAGAAACCTGCGATGATTTTGAAAAAATGCGTCGCGCTTCAGACGTACCCTGGTAGGTGGTTAGTATGAGGTGGTTAGTATAAGGCGGTTTATGGAAAAGTGGAAGTATAAGGGTTGATGGTGGTCTAAGGTCACTATTAAAGAGGCATCCTTGTGAATTATGGCTTGAAGGCTCCCAAACAGCCAAAAGCACACGTATATCTTTAGATAGATTCTACGGCTGCAAATTACCAAGTCTCAAATTCGCAAGAATCACAGAAACTACAACTTAGGTAAAAAATGCTTGTCTATTTATAACATTATAAACAGATCAATGGCAAAAGACCTTAGGTGATATGCAGCATAGCACGTTGAGTCATACGCCTCTCACTAGCACTCTATAAGACTAAATCATAAGGATTAATATCTTGCTTTGCAGGATCTATCTGGTGATTCACCACTATGGAGTCTTCCTCCTGGCTGGCATAGCCACCATCTTCCTGAGACTCTAGGATCATGTCAGCAACCACCCTGTTAAGGTCTTTTTCGATGGATTCGACGGCTTCAAGAAAACTAAACGTGTTTGCAGTCCGAAGTAGACGATGGTTCAAGTCAACGAGGATTTCAGTGATCTGTTCTCCATAAAAGTAGGAGAACATGGTCAGGGCATGGTCCTCAAACCGCAGGAAGGCCCTCTTCAAACCTCTTGCATGGCTAACAAAGCTTGCACTCATGGAGTATACATCTTGTAAGTTTTCCTTGGTTATTGGTTTTCTAAGTTCAGCTTTGAGACAGTCGAGGAGGAACGACAAGCCCTGGAAATGCTTCAAGTGATGAAGGATGAGATAAAGGATCCCATATTCTTCCAAAGAATGGGAGGTGACGACGAAATCTTTAAGGGTTTGGTATTGCGAGGTGCTCATATGTGTGTATGTGGATGGATTTTTTTGCGGCAAAAAAATGTAGCTTTTGAGATCCAACGTCGTGAAGGACAAAGTCGTTACTTATATTCCTTTGGCTTGAATCTGTGCTTCTTCTATACCTCCGTAGACACTTCTGTGCCTGCTTCATCCTCAGCCTTACTCTTCTTGACCGCAGGTTCATCGTAAACACTGGCAACCACTTCTGGAGTCAAAGCTGTACCAAAGTCAATCCAGTTATGTTGCCGTTTTTGTCGATACTGTTTCCAAAGTCGGACATTTTTTAAGTCTGGGTCAGTTTGTTCCACCTGCATCGAGTTGTCATCACTAAGACCCCATTCCTTGATATTGACATTATCCAACCCACGCACTGCCTTCATTCTTCGAGATAACTGGGGAGTTACGTAGATATTGAAATACCGTTTTGTTTTCACCGGGAAGAGGCCACCAAACTTTGCCTCACTGGCAGCCAACTCCTCGTCAGAGAGTTTCCGGTTGGACAACAACGGAGCCCCAGTTTTTGGATCTTTGTTGTAGAGTAACCACAGCCACCAGTGTCTTTCCACAGCAACGATATTCTGGAGCAAAAATGAAAAGGACGAGTCGGCGTACCGAAGCTCTTTGACGATGTTGGACCTCAAGGCATAGAAGGTCTTACTGGTTGGCTCATGGGCAGTGTCGTCCACGAGATGTTTGGTTTTGGGAGGTAGGTTTTTGAGAAGCTGTTTCTTTGCATACGAGCTGGCTTCTGCAAAGAACATACTGATGAAGAATATTTGCACCAACACCACTTCTCTGAGTTTGTTGTTGTTGAGGAGATCGTGGGTGAAGTCTTGATCGTCTTTGATGTCTTTCTCCAACGTTTGGGGGTTCTTATTGAACACACTTAACCAATACAACTCGGGAAAATACTCTTTATTGGAATATTTCAGTTTCAAGTACTCCATTTCAGACTCCAGACGAGGAGGTTTCACAACGTACACTTCACGGGGGTGTTGTTTCAAATAGTCGATTTCCAACTTCATCAACCGCTCGTACACGCGGGAAAAGGTGTTGGACATGTCCCTGAAGCTCTTGATTCTGGCAGGTCTTAAGTACGAATGAGGGTCTCGTATGGCCTTGAAGCAGTCGATGATGTCGTAGAGTTGGTTGTCTCTTCTCTTCACAAGGGCCATTTCTGGTACTCCTCTTCCCGACACCGAAAAGTACTTGTTCAAACCAGTGTTATCTTCGGCTCCGAGAAGCTTATTGACAAACACCCGTATTCGGGACTGGAGTCCTTCATTGAAACTGTCCTTTTTGTACGAATCAGTAGAATGAAATTTATCGGTAAGTGGATTGCACACCTCTAATATGGCGATTCTATCACTAGTCACGGCTCTGTTGAAGATGGTGCCATTGATGAGATTGAGGCGAGACTCCATGTAGTACCAGAATACCTCCAATTCTTTGGTGGAGATTATGAATAACGTCTCCAGCACATACGCCGTCAAACGGTGGAATATCTTCTTATAGCTGGAATTTTCGGTACCAAGAAACACCAAAAGGTCCAACAAAATGCTGATTTTGGAGTAATATATAACATTAGATTCAGGCACTTGAACACCACCAAGAGTGACTTTTGGGTCTTCTCGTTTGTGTGAGGATATGATCGCATCAGTATACGATTCTACCGTTTTGATGAATGCATTCAGCAACACAAAGTCCAACGCCCGGGAGTCTAAGCCGTCATTGAAGACGTCTACTTGTTTCTGGATACTCTCTTTTTCATCGTCATTTGTGTCTTGTGGTACAGATAAACGATATTGTTCAACATCTATAGTAAAACTCAGCTGGATGGTTGAAAGCAGATTTTGAAACACTTTGAAATCATATGGGCGAAAAAGAGCATCGTTTGCTGTTTCAGAGTCAAATATCAGCAGAACTATACTGTCAATGGCTGTCTGGCAGGCGGTGATTTGCTCTGAAAACCTGGTTTCTTCAGACATATGTACGACGCTAGCAGGATTTGAAATTCAAAGTTGTGCGAGTTGAAAAATTCTATGTACAGAGCAGATCAAGCCCTAAAGGCAAATGGTTACAATGGGACTCAGATGTCGAAGTTCTTTGAACGGCTCTTCTTCTTATCACTAGTCCGTTTCTTTTGTATGAGCCGTTTTTCCCGGCTCCTTTCCTTGAGTTCTTCCCACTTTTTCTTGTCTTCTTCAGTCATTTCCTCTTCGAAATATGCCACTTTCTTGATTTCTATAAGGAGCTTGTTCAAGCACTCTGTGGTGTTGACATCTCGGTTCCGTGACGTATCACTTTGAATCAAAACACCGCCTGTTTTTGTTTCGTATCGTATCTTATTGGTCTTTAGTTGAGATCTGATGGCTGCGGGAATCCAGTAACAGAACTGTGGATTCAACCATCTGTCAGGAGCCAAGGAAACAGTGGCCTTAGAAGAAGTCTTATTAACCTTCTGCCCACCCGGCCCTGAAGCTCGGCTGTACGCAACCTCAAATTCTTTTATGGGTATACTGGAAGCTGTGAACTGTTGGTGCCATTGTTTGGCTTTGGTTATCTCAGCCTCGGAAAAGGCCTGAGACGAGTAGAAAGCAGCAGGCACGCATCTCCTAGACCAGAGATCCCAGCTGAAAGTATGACGGATCACATTGGGCGTCAGAACAGGTCGTAGAAACATGGTATATGGGAATATGTATTGGACCAGAGATGAGAAAAGTTCTAATGGTTGCGACAGTTTTGATTGCAAATACAATCATGTACTTTAAATTTAACTAACAACAAAATCGTAACCTAGATCTGGGACAAGACCTTAGTTGCTTCAGACACGTCTACAGGAGTGTTTTCAGGTTCAACAAATGCCCCGATGACACTTCCATTTTCAACAGCAAGAGCAAATCTCTTAGATCTTTCGTTACCGAAGAACGCAGAAGCATCGAACTTCAAATCCAACGCATCAACAAATTCACCCTTAGGGTCTGCAAGGAAAGTAACTCCCTCAGGGACGTTGGCGAACGATTTAGACCAAGCATCGACCACAAATGCGTCATTGACAGCCACAAAAAACACTTTGTTGAATCCTTTCCCGGAGAATTTGGAAAAGTTTTCCAAATATCCTGGAATATGGGAAGCAGTACATCCAGGTGAAAAGGCTCCTGGCACTCCGACAATCAAGGCTTTTCCAGACTTGATTTCGTTTGCGAGCACGAATTGATTACCGGGACTTTCCAATGCCAAAGGGATTTGGGGGATTTTATCGCCCACCTTAACCAAGCGAGGAGAGCTAGAACTAAAGAGACGGGTCAATTGACCTTTGGAAGCTTGTCTGGAGATGGAGGAAAACATTCTGTGTGTATTCAACCGGTATGTAGCGGGAAACAATTGCTTTGCCAGTGCGAAAATTTATTCAGGTGGAAACTTCAACTAGAGCAGAACTCCTCATGGCCAAAACTAAAAAGCCTGAATCAGGCCAACAAGAAACATTATCGAGAAAGAAAGCGTTGGAGCTTTATAAAACCACCATTAACTTCAATGTCATCAACAGATATGACCCAGCCGTGAAGAAATTATTATATAACACCTCGTATTGTGTGGTGTACAAGTTTGATGACAGCACTGAACAATGGAATAAGACGGACTATCAGGGCACTTTGACGCTTTATTTGAGGAGTTTCCAAGTGTCACAGCAGAACTTTGAGCCAACCTTGCAAAGTCTTCAAAATTTGTTCTGTTACGGCTTGATACTCTTAAACCGTAATAACCCAGAATGTTTTTCCATTGGGCTATTACCCAACAATGTCACCAAACACTATTTTCCTCGAGGAGTTGACCACAACGGTATCCTGCAAATGGACGTGGAACTCAACGACAACTTGATTATCGTCAAGAGCCTTCTAGGTGATATCTACGGGTTGTGGGTGTTCAATGAAGTGGACAGAATGAAACTTTTCAAGTTGTTACAATTCTGCTTGACCACTGACTCATCCACCCTTTAGTCACAAGCACTCTCCCTTGTGGCATGACCGTTACGTGTATAGAATTCATATATAATACAACCTGAAACCCTGGCTTAACTGCAAAAACATATTTGTAAGAGCGAGCACTCGAAAAACAGAAAAAAATATCGACTCCAGATATAGACGTTATACCTACACGCTCCAATCAATAGAATCCATCGAACTCAATCTAAAATAGACCAAACTTGTGTTCCATCAATCCTAGGCACCTCATAAGTTTTGTTTTCATTGAAGGAATCCCCTTTTTAGTCTATTGTATCGGTGTACCATAAGCGTATGAGTGAGGCTAAAGCACCCAATGGGACCAGTCTGATGGCTCCGAGGAATGGTGCTCCACAAATGAACGGCCTAACGCCCCAACAGCAACAGCAGATGATGTTCATGAAGCAACAGCAACAATTGAAACAAAAACAAGCCAATCCCAAAAACTATGAATTTGCGACCACTTCAGAAGATATCTTGAAGAAGTATGCCAAATATCCTCCATCTTTGACTTTTCACATCTACGAGACGCATTACAAGTTCAACAGCTCGCAGGACTCGACGGTAATCCCCAAGAGCTCGCCCATGGTCAAGGACTTTTTGCATCATCTATTAAAGGAAGAGATCCCACTAGAAATGAGTGAACTAATCAAGGACTTTGCCATCAGATCGTACGATGGATGCCTTATACTACAGGTATACGACCACAGAAACATGGTGGTATCAGGCGGTGCTGTGGCCAGCCCCAAAGAACCTGCTGCCAAACCTGTTTCGAGTGATTCCAACACCACTTCTGCCGCTCAAACCGCTACCACTGCAGACAACACCGCAGACAACACCACCACGAGCACGAGCACCACCACTGTGTCGGAGGCTCCCAAGCCAAAAACATACCGAACTTTGCTACGTCCCACCCAACTTTCGCTATACTTTGACTTGTTGTACCATACGGACTCAGCCTTAACCAAGTTTACCGATCCACTTTCCTTGCAAATGGAATCAGAGATACTCACATTGACAAACAGAAAGTTGGACTTGTCGGTGCCTTTGAACCCATATCAGCAAGATGAGATATTGAGGATTGAAAGCGAATACCCCAAGCGAGTGTGGGACGAAGAGTCTCAGGACTATGAGTTGGTACATCTGCATCGTGAGCTTGTGGAGAAACCCCCAAGAAAACTACATCAGGAGGAAATGGTGCTCCACAAGTCCTCGGATTACGAAGAAATCATGTTCTTATTGTCCAATAAATACAAGAGAACTGACGAATCTGACAGGAAGTTGGTGGTTGTGGGAGGAATGTCTTCACTTGGAGGTTCGGCTCCAACATCTTCGTCTACCACAGGTGCAGCCGTTTCAAACGGTACTGGAACCCCGGCACCTCCTTCAAAGACTGCTGAAGGATCGAGTACTTCAGACTTTGCAATGCGTTCAGAGGTTATTAAGTCTTCTTCGCTTTCTTCAAATATGTCTGCCACCGGCCAGTTTATGAGACTACGGTTCATTGAAGATATTAGAAAGAGAAAAGAGGCCCAGAAGGCCCAAAAGGATGCCACTGTTGCATTACAGGCCCATGGTAGTGGTATCAATACCATCAACCAGAATAACAATATCAACGGTCAAAGTCCCGAGAAGATGATGAATAATAGAGCCTCATCTGCGTCCAACAGCTCCACTCCCCAAATTCCTCAAGCCAACCCTGTTGCCGCTGTTGCAAACCCAAGAGCACAACAGTTACAACAACAACAGGCACAACAACAGGCACAACAACGGCAGCAACAACAACGGCAACAGCAGGTTCAAGCTCAGCAGCAGTTGAGAATGCAACAACAGAGACAGCAAGCTCAACAACAGCTTTCCAACCAAGCTGCCCAGCAGGCCCACATCCAAGCTCAGCAAAAGAGACAAAAGATTTCTCCTCAGGTTAACCAGATGCCCCAGTACAACCAACTGTATCAATCGCCCCAAATGGGTAACTCGCAGCCAGGCTCCAGTATGGGAACTCCAGTGATGGATAGGAGCATTCCTAACCAGAGAATGCAGCAAGTACAACAACAAATACCCATCAATAATCAGAGGCCTAATTCACGAATGGGTCAACAACAAATGCAAATGTCACAAGCCCAGCAGCAGTTCAACCAAGGTGGCCAACAAGGTGTCCAGCAGGTGAATCCCCAAAACCAAGCGATGCGGCAGATGCTTCAGCAGCAACAGCAGCAGTTGTTCCAGAGTATGTTAAGCCCCAGCGACCAGGCTGCATTTAAGCAGGTTCAGGCAAAAGTGAGTGCACTTGTATCGATGGCCAACACGGGAATCGCTCCAAACAAGGCCCGGTTAACTCCTCAGCAACAGCAGGCAGCTCAGCAACAGGCTAAGGCTTTGCAACAAACATTAATTCAGAAGTTTCCCCTTTACTTCCAGAGACTTCGTCAATTGCAAGTCGCTAGACAGAGACAACAGCAACAGCAGCAACAGCAGCAACAACAACAACAGGTTCAACAGATTCAACAAGTCCAACAAGTCCAACAGAGACTGCTGCCTCAGTTTAGTCCCAACATGATGATGAATGGACAGCTGTCAATGAACATACAACTGCCTATGAATGTGCAACTGCCCATGGGCAGCCAACTGCCAATGTACATGGACTTTAATGGAGATGAAGATAGCAGAAAGAAAGGGTATCGTAAGAGGTAGTTCCATAAGTAATCTTGTAATAATAATATATTAACTGTTGACTCAATATCAATAAACATAAACAACAAACCGAAAACCAAAACAAGTAAGCCGCATCACTTTCCTTCCCTAAGAATACCATAAGCGCCCACGGCAACAATTGTAGCCGTCAGGTATAAAGCTGCTTTGGCCGACTCTTTGATAATCGACTTTGCCCAGCTTGACTTGGGTTTTGCCTGAGTAGCTTGGTTGGCACTTATGGGTTTAGTGACTTTACCAGGAGCTTTGGAGGATTTCGTACAAGACAACGTAGGAGGCTTACTGGAAACAAGATGATTAGACTCAACAATATCCTCCTCAATATATTCGTCATCTTCGTCAGCGGTATCCTCTTCGTAGACTTTGTTGTAGAACTGACACAATTCAGACCTACCTTGGCCTGTGGTTTTGGGTCTTCTGGAACAACATTTGATAACACATCCAGTCTCAATGTCAGAATATTCATCATCTTCGTCACCAACTTCTTCTTCGCCTTCTTCATTCTTTCTGGATATATGCTGCAAGTACTCAACTAAAGCATCTTCCTTGTCTTCCTCAAATCTGACGTTCAAGTCTGGTTTGGCTTTTGGAATCATCATTACATACAGATCCTCAGATTCGCAGCCAGAGTCATCTTCTTCGTCCTCATCGTCTTGGTTATTCTTGGATACTTGCTTCAAGTACTCAACCAAAGCATCTTGCTTGTCTTCCTCAAATCTGGTGTCGAAGTCGTAGTTGTTACTCAAGACGTTTTTACTGCCTTTTTGCTTTAAGATGAAGTTGACGTACAGGTCATCGGTTTCACAACCAGAGTCATCGACTTCATCGTCTTCTTCTTCGTCTTCAACTTCTTCATCTTCATCTTCATCTTCATCTTCATCTCTCTCTTCACCCCTGGCATTAGTTCCATCCTGCGACAGGTCATACTCATAGAAGTCCTCAACATCCGACATCTTGCTCTCTCTCTCGTACTCTTCGTCGTCATCCTCAATAACAATCGGAGCAGTATTATCACAGCAGCTAATGTCTTCCTCCGACTCTTGAGCTTCATCGACATCACGAACCTCATCGGAAACATCTAATCCCTCAAAAAGAGTGGCGTCATTAACGCCAAAAGACTTAGATCTGTTTGTATTCTCAATAGGTTCAAACACCACTGAAACAGACAGCTCATCACTAGAACGTTGCACCGAAACCACAAATGGAAGTAACACATCGGGATTATCAAACACTGACAAGGGGACCAAGTCAATATCGATATAGGCGTCTTCATCCAACTTTTGTCTGATGAAATTGTATGGCTTATATATGACAAATCCAACAGAATCGCCATCTTTGATTTCCACTTTGGAACCGAAGTTCACATACTTATTGTTCAAAACGGTTCCGAAACTCGACTCGGTATCCTGAATGTATACCTTGCTGTTTGTGTATGACAAAATTGCATGGTTTTTGGATAATAAGCTGGACTTGAAGAACAAATTATCTGGAGCAGCAGTTCGATTAAAGTCATTGTCAGAAGCTCTTCTCACGGAAACCAAGTCATCGCGATAAAGGGTAATCTTTCTGGTCGTAACACAAGAGGGCTGTGACATAGTTCACACAGAGTAAGTAGTTTACTGTCAGTAGGGGGCTACTTATATTTTGTCTTTGATCTGGATCCGCGCGCAACCACGATAAAGAGTGTGTGTGCGTGTACCGTAGCATTCGACACGAGATTATAAGGGTTGGTGTGTTGGTCGGCCGAAAAGCAGGTAGCGTCTTTCATTTGATAGAGCCACTTAGTTGTACGGCCATTAGCAGCAGACTCAACAATTTTGCTAAAATTTGGGTTGTGCTTTTGTTTTTAAATTACGGATTTAACACTGTCACTTCTTGAGAGACGCACTGATAAGCATCACTCTGCGAGTTTTTCGAATAGGTAATGAAATAGGAAACAAATAGGAAGTGCGAAATCTGCACTGTAAACAGTGTGAATTGTTCCTGGGTGATGCTGGGATCCGTCTCTTTTGGTGTTTTGAATTTTTATGTTCTACAAGTTGATCGGAGGCTTTTAGTGCGGTCGTGCGCCTACCTCAATTATAAAACCTTACAGAAAGTCCCCTTTAAGGTACACTGAAATTGAAGGTTGGGTGGTAGAAGATCTGAAGAGTCATGGGTCGTTTCACCGAAATATGGTGGTCTTTACAGTAAATTATGGACCGGTAGCAGCAAAAATCAGAAATGTCAATACCTATTTTTTGATCTTACAAGCTGCACACGGGCCTGAATGTCCCTGAAAGGATCTACACCATTGATTGATGCCCTATTTATCCCATATGCCCACAATCGTTCTCATTTCGTCTCCCAACCTCCCTTAAACCTATATCTCACTCCCCAGCTTCCATCTCATCTGCGCGCTAAATTCAATCCACAAAAAAACATCTTTGTGTTGTTTTTACTAAAAGCTTTCCAGACTATACACTCAGACAAAAAAACATGGTTTTGCCAGCTAACTTATGTCCCCGATGTGGAGAGCCTTCTTTGGTCTCCGACATCACCACAAACTCGGGGAATTTGACATGTAGTAGTTGTGGAACAGTGGTTCACGAAAACCCTATAGTCAGTGAAGTTTCCTTTGGAGAGAATGCTTCGGGTGGTGCTGTCGTACAAGGTACAATGGTGGGACTGGACCAAGCCCGTGTTCCCATCTCCGGGCGCCAGAACGCAATGGAATCCCGGGATCAGACAATGTTGACAGGTAGGCGTAATATCAAGGATTTGGCGGCTTCTTTAAATATACCAGATTATATTTCCGATGCTGCTCATGGATGGTTCAAGCTAGCATTGAACACCAACTTCGTACAAGGACGGCGGTCGCAGAACGTGACGGCGGCGTGCTTGTACATTGCATGCAGAAAGGAGAAGACGTCACATTTGTTGATTGATTTCAGTTCACGGCTCCAGATCTCTGTGTTTTCCTTGGGTGCCACCTTTTTGAAGATGGTGAGAACGTTGAACATTACCAAGTTGCCGTTGGTGGATCCTTCGTTGTTTATTTCACATTTTGCTGAAAGGTTGAATCTCGATCGGGAAAAGCCTAATAGCACCAACCAGGTGATACTGGATGCCATTAAGATCTCGTTTCGAATGGCCAAAGACTCCATTGTTGAGGGAAGAAGACCGGCTGGTGTGGCTGGTGCGTGTGTAATGATGGCTTTGAGAATGAACGGGTTTCAGAAGGATCCTTCCGAGATTGTGGCCATTGCGCATGTTTCAAGTGACACTCTTCAGGCAAGAATGGACGAATTTAAGAGAACTTCTTCCGGGAAGTTGCGGATCCGGGAGTTCAGAGATAAGAGTGAGCAGGCCGAAGCAGCAATGCCTCCTTCATATACGAGGAATAGAGAACGACTGAAGAAGGCTAATTCAAGGCATCAATTGAGATTGGCCAGTGTGAACCGTGCTTTTGAGTACTTGAAGAACCCACCAACAGCAGTGCCGAAGGATTCTACCGGATCAACACAGAAACCTACTGGTCGACTCGGCTCATTGAACGAATCTGCATCTAAGAAGCCTCGTGTCACAATTCGCCCAGCTGCTGTGAAGCTGATGAAAAAAACAAAGGATATCGCTGCTGCTGAGGGCTCTCTTGTAGAAGTCAGCGAGACGGATAGTCGGTCAGCTACAACTCATCTAGAAACTCTGGCAGACACCCAGCCGCAGGAAACAGATTCACAATATGTCCCACAAAACACAGACTCGACGGTCACAAACTCTCAGGTAACCTCCCTAAACACAGACTCACAGGACGAAGATTACATGGAGTCAAGGGGTGAGGAAACCATTTCGGAAATCAAGGTTGCCAAGGACGCTCCATCGTTTGTTCATGAAATGGCCCTGTTGGGATTCAACCCCGAATTGCTCCAGCATGACTTTGAACGTTACAAAGACATCATAGAAAAAGGATATTCGCTTGACTATCCCGAGCCTGAGCCTACATCTGATTCGGAGACCGCTGATAAAGAAGAAGAGTTCGACCCCAATAAGCCGCAAGGACTCGTCAAGTACTGTAAGCCTTCACTGTACTACTTGGACTTGGTTTCCTCCAGTGCAGATTTAGACGATGTTGAGCTTACTGAGGCAGAGGAAAACTGGTACCTTAATTCGGATGAAATGGCTAAGGCCAAGGAACAGTTGTGGTTAAGTATGAACAAGGACTACTTGCTTGAGCAGGAGAGAAAGAGATTGAAGGCTGAAACCGATGAGTTGACTGGAAACACATCTGGTAAGAAGAAGCGTAGAAAGACGAAGGCTGACCGCGAAAAGGGAATCATTGATGAAACTCTCGAGGCCCTTACGGGTGAACCAAGAACTCCTGCTGACAGTGTTAAGCAAATGATGCAAAGAAAGACATTTTCCAAGAAAATCAACTATGATGCCTTGGACAACTCCGGGTTGTTTTTATAGATAATTATGTATAATGAATGAAATTTAGAAATTCAGAGGTTTGTAAACTTAGGTCCTTCAGCAATAATTATATGTCTAAGACCTTCAAAGATAGAAGACCCCGAAGATTCTTTATTTGCAACAATTGAAGAGACACAGAAAACTTCCAAAGGAACAGGAACAAATCCTAACAAGTGTTTTGCTTGATTAGTGCATACCGTATGTTAGTGACTACAATTATGAAATCTATTGGCAGTGGCTATCCCATAATGGCTCCTGCGGTGGACACATCCACACCACAAACATCTTTTTGTAACAGTTATTTCTACAAAAGTGCGATGCGAAGAATATTTTATCTCATCGCATCTTCTTTATAATCATGGCCAAGAAGAGAAGAGTTGCTATACTCCCCACAAACATCATCTTGCTCCAGAATGTAGTAAAGCGTGATCCCGAGTCGTACCACGAGGAGTTTGTCCAGCAGTTTGCTCACTACGAGTCTTTACGGGATATTTTTTTGACATCTCCAGATTCAAGCAATTTCCAGGAATTTGGGGATCTTGTTGGATTTGTATCTGCCGTATGTAACTGCTACCCTAAAGAGACTGCTAAGTTCCCAGATGATCTTAGGCAGCTTCTTGTTAACAACCACAAAGACCTTTCCCCTGAGTTAAGAGAAAAAATAATTCAGTGTTTGACGATGTTAAGAAACAAAGACATCATCAGCGCCGAATTCTTGATCCAAACCCTCTTCCCGCTCTTGACGGCGTACGGTAGTACGACTGCTGGCCAGCATGCTAAGTCGGTCCGGCACCAGATTTACTCGACGTTGGTTCTGTTGTTGAAAGCCGTCAATATGGGAGCAAAAAACCAGAAAATCAACCGGTCTACACAAGCATTGTTGTTCAACTTGTTAGAGCAACGAGATGCCCAAGGATTATGGGCAACTAAGTTGACCAGAGAATTATGGCGCCGAGGCATTTGGGATGACCTGAGAACGGTTGAACTTATGACTCAAGCTGCTTTACATCCTGAAGCCAAAGTGGCCATAGCAGGAGCCAGATTCTTCTTGGGTGCTGACAAGGAAAGAGAGGAAAACTTCGAAGAGCAGTCCAGTGACGATGACGTTGACATGGGTGCGTTGCGTCACAAGATGCAAATCAACAAGAAAACCAGTAAAAGAGGTAAGCGATTAGAGCAGGCAGTCAAAGCCGTCAAGAAAAAGAACAATAAAAACACCCAAGTGTACTTGAACTTCTCGGCTCTCCACTTACTTAGAGACCCCCAGGGTTTTGCCGAGCTGTTGTTTGATGGCCATTTGAGTGGAAAGAACAGTAATAAATTCGACTTGGACCAAAAAATCGTGTTTATGAACTTGGTTTCGAGGTTGATTGGATCACACAAGCTTACTGTCTTAGGAATTTACTCCTTCTTCATGAAGTACTTGACGCCCAAGCAAAGAAATGTCACACAGATCATGGCAGCAGCTGCCCAGGCCTCCCACGACTTGGTACCACCAGAACAGATTTCGACGGTGGTGAGAAAAATTGCCGACGAGTTCGTTAGTGATGGGGTTTCTGCTGAGGTGGCCCTGGCAGGGTTGAACACCATCAGAGAGATTTTGTCGAGAGCACCATTGGCTATTGATGTCACTTTATTACAGGATTTGGCTGAGTATAGAGGACTGAAAGCTAAGGCCGTGACAAATGCTGCAAGGGGATTGATCACCTTGTACAGAGAAGTAGCACCGGAAATGTTGAAGAGAAAGGACCGTGGTAAAGCTGCGAGTATTGAGATGCAACATACCGAGAAGGCCAAGTTGCCTGAGTTTGGTGTTCAGAATACGGTTACGTCGATACCTGGTATTGAGTTATTGGCCCAGTGGAGAGAAGAACAAGGTCTTGGGACTGAAGATAAGGACGATGATTGGGAGGTCGAGGAGATCGATAGTGACGAGGAAGAGGAAATTGAGGAGATCGAAGGTGACTGGGTTACGGTTGAGTCTGACAAGGAATATGATGTGAGTGATTCTGAGGATGACAAGGAAGAGGACCAAAAAGAAGAAGAGGAGGCGGACTCGGACGACTCGGAGATTGAGCTTTCTAATGATGAAAGTGATGCTGAGGATGCTTCTGGTAAGAATGCTGCTGATGATGACTCTGAACCCCCAACAAAGAAACAAAAGCTCACTAATGAGCAGGCCATGAACGCGATCCTCACCAGTAAAGTGTTGACTCCCGCTGACTTTGCCAAGTTGGATGAGTTGCAGATGGAAGCCGGAGTTCAAAAGCACATGGGAATCAAGACAGATGACACTGTGGATGGAGACTCGTTGGTTGGAACCGTCAAGTTCAAGCAGACCAAGGAAGAAAGACTTGAGCATGTTAAGGAAGGTAGAGAAGGCCGTGAAAAGTTTGGATCGAGAAAGGGTAGAAGAGACGCACCACACTCGACTACCAACAAGGAGAAGGCTAGAAAGAAGAACTTTGTTATGATGATCCACAAGAGAAGTGTGCAAGGTAAACAGAAGATGTCATTGAGAGACAGGCAAAAGGTGTTGAAAGCACATATCACGAAGCAGAAGCGGAAGAGTTAGGTCAGTAGTTAATTATAGCCCTAAATGATATAGCAGATGACGATAGCAATGCACATATAACACTGAATAGCGCAAGAAGAAGTATCGCCCTACTGCTATTTTTGCAGCCATTCGCACCAACCGATTGGTCCATACACCCATAGAATCCATAAACCACAAAAACCCAAGCCACAAACATAACTCAACATATCTACACGATAATGAACACACAACAAGGGGATACCCTTTCGGTTCTCTCACTAAATCACATATATTCAATAATACTACAGTACTGAAGCAGTAAGTTAATAGGTTACAAACATTAATACAACCGCGGCCGGGAATTAAAACGATACAAGAAACAAAACGTCTTACTTCTTGGACGACTTCTTCTTCTTCTCACTCTTGTCCTTCTCCTTGTCCTCGTGCTTTCTCTTCTTCTTCTTGTCCTTCTTTTCCTTCTTCTCTGGGATTTCTACCTCGACCTCGCTTTCTGAGGACGAAGAGTCTGAAGAGTCTGACAGTTCTACAACCACATCTTTAGGCAACTCAATTGGAATCTCGGGCAATGGAGGCTTGATACCGTTCTTCTCAGCAATGTAGATTTCCTTTTGCTTTTGGTACACCTTCAATTCCAGCTGATACTTCTTTTGCCAGGTGGACTTCTCAGCCTCAGACAACTTGCTCCAACGTTCTTTGACATAGGCGTTCATCTCAATAGCCGACAATGGAGGGAGACCATTGGCTTTACGCTCGTCACGGATTTGCTCTCTAATGTGGAATGAGTATGCAAAATACATCGTGAGAGGCTTCTTGGGTGCGTTAGGGTCCTTTTCTGGCTTCTTCTTCTTTTCAGGTTTCTTGGAGTCAGCGCCGCCGTTCACATCAATGTACGACACCAAGACATTAACGGCCTTGGAAAGGCTGTTTAAGGAGTCGACATTACCGGTGTTACCTTCGTGGGAAGCTTTATATAAGTTGGCGGTAGCGGCAGCGGCATCTTGGGCTGCTTTAGATAATTCGAATAACGAGGCCACCAAGGCGTCTCTGGCAGCTTTAACTTCAGACATTCGTTCAGGACAGTACGTTCTTTCAGGTCAACTAGGGTTGTGGTGGCAGCTATTACAAAAATGGTGCCAACTATAAAAACACTTTAGAAGAGCTGGTTGTTGTGGAAGGAAAAAAAACAAATGGACGAAAACAACAATTGGGGGGACGGGGCCTTAGCGCGAGTGGTGGTGTTTGCGACATTTATTTTGCTGACGACGACGGGGAGTGCACCGGCGCACGAGGGGACGCACCTGGCGCAAAAAATAATAGTAGGCCGAACCGGACCCACACTTTGTGCGCAAACCGGTGCGACCCGTCCAGCCACATGGGAGGGAAAATGCCCATGTCCTGCAAAAAAGAAATTTCGCGGTACCTGGGGACGGCTCTCGTCCCAGCAATTGGTGTGGACCCACCAGGTCAAGCCCATATGCCCCCTCTGCGGTCCAGCGGCGCGGGCTCATGGGTAGTCGTCATGGGAGGATGCCGCGGGAGTCTAGATTCTCACACCTGCCCAAGCGGGCCAATGGGAAGTTCGAGCCACGTCCACGCGTCTGCCACTGCCTGCCCGACCATTGCGACATTATTCTGGCCGTGCATCACATGACTTCCCTGGGCCCCTACCGCTAGTAGCTCTTCAGCGCGACAGCATCTAGCTTGATCTGTTGCAAAACCATCATCACTACACTCATTAGCACCCACAATGTTTGCGATAACATGTCCTGGCCAAGGATTCATTCGAGCATCCCTCATGTCGCCCTACGCACAGTATGGCCGCATTCTAAGTCCCATTTGTGCTGCTGTCGACGAGTCACTTCAAGCTTCTTTCTCTCAACAGTTAAATGATAACAATGAACAGTTCCTCCGCAAGACTTCCAACGCCCAGCCCGCGATGCTTATGGCCACTGTTGCTGTGGCAGAGATATTACGGTCCCATTACGGGCTTGATTTTGTGCTGCGAGCTACCGCCATTTGTGGCCACTCTTTGGGCGAGTATACCGCCATGGTGTTGAACGGAACTCTCGATGTAGGCACCGCGGCCCGCCTCGTGCGACGTCGAGGAGAGCTCATGGAGAATCTCCGCCTACAGGATTATACGATGGTGGCAGCGTTGATTCGACCTGAATTCCTTGATTTGGTGGTAGAAACATGTACAGCTGCTAGAGTACTAGCCAACGTCAATTCGCATAAACAAGTGGTTCTATCCGGTCCAGAGTCTACGGTGAGCAATGTTTTGGTGAGGCTTAATGCCCAGCGGCGCGTGGTAGTGCGTACCGTCAAACTACCGGTGGAAATTCCGTTTCACCATGAGGTTTTAGGTCAGATTGAGACTCCGTTGCGCGAGCTCGCGGCAGAATTGGTCGATGGCTTTGCCCCAGCTGCCGCCAGGCCCGCGCCCGTTCCGGCGCCCGCAGTAGTGTGCAATCTCACGGGCGCGGTGACTCTCCCCACGGAGGTGGTAAACACCGTTATTTCTGCCAACAGCCGGCCTGTGCAATGGGTCAAAACGATGGATACGCTCGCGCTATTGGGAGTAAAGACCCTAGTAAACTTTGGTCCAGGACAGGTTCTTCAGGGTATAAACCAACTGTTTCCGTTTAAAAACGTATCGGCAGATTTGCTCAACGCGGCAGAGATGGACCAGCTTGCGGCGGTGTACGAGACCGCGGTAGTCGGCATACTGCCTGGAACTAAATAAAGAACCAGGTGCAGAAAAGATGTCTACAACGATTAGATTCGCATCGGATTGGTTGAACTGTCACAGCTCCCTTCCTGGTTGTACCTTCTTTTGGAGACTCGCACTAATAATTGCAGCTATCACGGCTGCGAAAAGAACAAACCGGTTATTTAACTGCAAAGTCATCCAAGCACCAACACAAACCTGGTAAATGATGTTTTATGTATATTCCTCGTGGCAAGATTCATACCCCAAAGCCCGAATAATAACTAGCTTCCTGGCTGCCATCGCTAAATTGGTTCCCCAAACCACATTTCACACCCACACTAAATACACATCCCGGTCCCCCCCTCCATCTGCATCTTCATCGTTCCCATGTGTCTCCGTGTACTCTCAGCCCCTCGTCACCAGCCTCGTCCCGTTTTTCCCAAAACTGTTCTCTTCACTCTTCACCCATCACCACCAAAATGACTCTTTTCCTGACTCCGCGCCCACGCATAAAAGCGTCCAACATCGCACATTTTTTCAATAACCTCCAACCAAATGGCACAATTAATCGACGGAAAGGCGATTGCCGCCGGCATCCGCCACCAGATCCACGAACAGATCGACATTCTCCAGGCTAAGCACGCCGACTTTGTCCCCAAGTTATCGATCATCCAGGTCGGAGAACGTGAGGACTCATCCACCTACGTGAGAATGAAGTTGAAGGCCGCTAAAGAAGCCAACATCGACTGTGAAATCATCAACCTTCCTGGCGACGTCACGCAGTTCGAGTTGTTGAGCCACATCGATTCCTTGAACGCAGACATCTCCGTCGACGGGATTTTGGTCCAGTTGCCATTGCCAGATCATATTGACGAGACGGCTGTCACCGCTGCCGTTGCAGCTGATAAAGACGTTGATGGATTCGGACCTTTCAACGTAGGCGAGTTGAACAAAAAGGGCGGGCGCCCTCACTTTGTGCCTTGCACCCCCAAGGGAGTGTTGCAGTTGTTGCAGGCCTCGGGCGTCAAGGTTGACGGTGCTAATGCGGTGGTGTTGGGCCGCAGTGATATTGTGGGTAAGCCCATGGCCAACTTGTTGACCGACTCCAATGCCACCGTGTCGGTGTTGCACTCGCACACACCGATAGAGGAGATTGCCAAGTACGTGTCGCACGCCGACATCGTGGTGGCAGCCATTGGCCAACCTCACTTTGTCCAGGGTCTGTGGTTAAAACCCGGTGCGGTTGTAATTGACGTTGGTACCAACTTCATTGCAGATGCCTCCAAGAAGTCAGGTTCACGCATGGTGGGCGACTGTGACCCCTCGTGTGCCAATGCCGCCAGCTTGATCACCCCGGTACCTGGTGGAGTCGGTCCTATGACTGTTGCATCCTTATTGGATAACGTGGTGGAGGCTGCAAAGTCGCACTACACCAAAAACACCGTTACTCCCAAGTTCACCAACCCATTGAAGTTGGACTTGCTCAAGCCGGTGCCGCTGGACTATGAGATTTCTCGTGCCCAAGAACCCAAGAAAATCACCCATGTGGCATCGGAAGCAGGGATTTTGGACCTGGAATTGGAACCTTTTGGCAGCTACAAGGCTAAAGTGTCGTTGGACCTTTTGAAACGGTTGAAAAACAAGGATAACGGGAAGTACGTGCTTGTGACCGGTATCACCCCCACTCCATTGGGAGAAGGAAAGTCCACCACCACCGTGGGATTGGCCCAGGCGTTGGGGGCTCATCTCCAGAAGAATGTTTTTGCCAACGTCCGTCAGCCCAGTATGGGACCCACCTTTGGTATCAAAGGTGGTGCTGCCGGTGGGGGATACTCCCAGGTGATCCCCATGGATGAGTTCAACATGCATGTCACTGGAGATATCCATGCCATCACCATGGCCAACAACTTGTTGGCAGCAGCCATCGACACCAGAATGTTCCACGAAACCACCCAGAAAGATGCTCCCTTGTACCGTAGATTGGTGCCGGCCAAGAAAGGTGTTAGAACCTTCCCCTTGTGCATGTTGAAGAGATTGCAGAAGTTGGGCATCAACAAGACCAACCCAGACGATTTGACTCCCGAAGAAGTGTCCAAGTTTGTGCGTTTGGACATCGACCCTGACACCATCACCTGGAGAAGAGTGGTGGACTGTAACGATCGGTTTTTGAGAGGAATCACCGTTGGTGAAGCTCCTAGTGAAAAAGGTATGACCAGACACACTGGATTCGACATCACGGTGGCTTCTGAGTGTATGGCCATCTTGGCTTTGGCCAACTCGTTGGAAGATATGAGAACCAGATTGGGTAACATGGTGGTTGCATCTTCCAGGTCCGGTGAACCCGTCACCTGTGAAGATATTGGGTGTGCTGGTGCCTTGACAGCCTTGTTGAAGGATGCCATCAAGCCCAACATCATGCAGACGTTGGAAGGAACCCCTGTGTTTGTGCACGCTGGTCCTTTTGCCAACATCTCCATCGGAGCCTCTTCCATATTGGCCGACAAAATGGCCTTGAAGTTGGCCGGTACTTCTCGTGACTTGAGTGCTGAGGAAAAACTGCAACAAGAAGGTTATGTTGTCACCGAAGCTGGGTTCGACTTCACCATGGGAGGTGAACGGTTCATTAACATCAAGTGCCGGTCTTCTGGCTTGGTGCCCGATTGTATTGTGATTGTGGCCACCGTTAGAGCCTTAAAGGTCCACGGTGGTGGTCCTGAAGTCAAGGCCGGTGCGCCCTTGGCTGCTGCCTACACCCAGGAGAACTGTGACTTGTTGAGAGTCGGATGCTCCAACTTGGGTAAGCATATTTCCAATGCTCGTGCCTACGGTTTGCCAGTGGTGGTGGCCATCAACAAGATGTCGTCTGATACTGACAAGGAACATGAAATCATCAAAGAAGAGGCTCTTCGTGCCGGTGCCATGGATGCCATTGTCTCCAACCACTGGGAAGAAGGTGGTAAGGGTGCCGTAGACTTGGCCCATGGTGTTATTGCTGCTTGTAACTCTCCCGACAAGAACTTTAGATTCTTGTACGACACGGCTCCTAGCGTCGAGGAAAAAATTGCCACCATTGCCAGGGAGATGTACGGTGCTGCCGACGTGGAGTTCTCCCCCGAGGCCCAAAAGAAAATCGATACCTACACCAAACAGGGATTCGGTAACTTGCCCATTTGTATTGCCAAAACCCAATATTCCTTGTCCCACGACGCAGCCTTGAAGGGAGTCCCCACGGGATTCACTTTCCCCATTAGAGACGTGCGTGCCTCCATCGGAGCCGGGTACTTGTATGCATTGGCAGCCGAGATCCAGACGATTCCCGGGTTACCTACGCACTGTGGATTCATGAATGTGGAAGTTAATGAAGACGGAGAAATCGACGGGTTGTTTTAAACCCCGAGCCCGTCCCGTTTGTCGAGTTCAACCTTACGATGCTAACGATAACTTCAATCCCCACCCATAGATGTTTCCGGGGTTTCAACAACATAGTAATATATACAAATATTTTTAGGTGCGCCCACGACTATCCCGTCCTTTTCGATCCCAGTTCCACCTCGTTCGGTCTCGCGCTCGATCGGATAACCCTGAAAGTTTTTCTATCGTCTTTTACCAACACACCAGTTTCTATCTCCGCTTGCATCGCATCCTGGGAGACTCATATAGACTTGCATCCCCCTCCTCCCTCACCTCACGTGATGATGGCGATCAAAAGAGCGTTGGCTATCCCGCTCGCATGCAGACCTGCTGCCTCCATGTTATCACCCGTTTTGTACCAACCCATTAAACTCCAGGGTTTGATGGCTATTCGTGGTCTCAGTTCCACCCAGACCATTTTTGTGGGCCGTGCCACCACCGGCACGGCTCGGCGCTTCTACAGCGTCATTTCTGAGGAATGCAAGGCCAAGTTGTATAACTATCCGCAAATCAAGAAATTGACTCAAGCCCCCAATCCTGATTCCATAATTGTGGATGTCAGAGAGCCTGTGGAATACGAAGAAGGACATATTCCAGGAGCCATAAATATTCCGTTCAAGTCGAGCCCGGGGGCTTTGGGATTGAATGCCGAAGAATTTGAAGAGAATTTTGGATTTAAGAAACCAGACGCTGACAAGGAATTGATTTTCTACTGTTTGGCCGGAATCCGGTCCACTGCCGCCGAGGATTTGGCCAAGACGTTTGGATATAAAAAGAGAGGAAATTACGTTGGTTCGTACGAAGACTGGGTTGCCAACGAAATCAAGAAAGATACGGTCCCTGCTACTTCCGTTTAATAGAGTGTTAATTGTTACGACCTTGTCAATAGTGTCCGTTGTTTCTATCTACAAACCATCTGACTGGGCTAGTTGCCAGCATTCACGATCTCTAGGTCATTTGATCATGTCTATCATTTGATCTCCTCTCAACTTCAGTTTAAATTACACCAAGCGCACCTCCAACTACCGTTATGGCCAGGCCTATTACAAAAAGCAATAAATTCATACTATAGAGACAATACTGTTTATGAGAATAGAAGAACATCAATAGTATGTTCAACCGTTCAAATGCTCCTCAGCATGGGCATTGTACCGATATCCGTGCAATGGGTTCTCCTCCATGATCTTGTGGATACCATCAATGTCTTCTCTAGACAACTTCACAAGTCCAGAGTAGTTTCTGTCCACCTTGTCAGGACTTGATGCTGAAGGAATCGGAATAATCCTGGTGACCTTAGCAATACCCATGAAGTTCTCAAGCCCTGATAAACTTTCAAGATAGCTTAAGGCCAAGCGTTCCAAAGAAAGATTTTTTGACTTTGCAAACTTGTACAAAGCCAACAGACGAGCCTTATTCTTTTCAAAGTTCTCGGGTTGGAACCGATCGAATGTCTTTCTAAAGTCATTATCTGGAATAGTACTAAGGAAATCTGGGTGCTCTACCACATAGTCAGTCAACATTCCTCTTCCCACTGGAGAATAGGCGAGGATTGGAATTTGGTGTTTGGAAGCTTCTGCTAAAATTCCATTGTAGAGAATGTCTTCCACAACTAAGGAAAATTCCAATTCCACTGCAGAAATGGGAGCCACCGCAACTGCCTTTCGGATCGTCTGCGCACTCACTTCACTCAAAGCCACCCCATCGATGTCACCAGCCTTAACTCTGTCGTAGATCCGGGAAGTCACATCCTCCACCGTGTACCGCTTGTCAACACGTGCAGTTTCGTAGATGATTTTGGGCCTGACTTTCAAGTCTTTGAAGAAATCGACCACTCCATCGATGGAGTTTTTGAGACCATCGGGTGAAGCATCGGGACTCATATTGGCCCTATTAAGGGCACCTTTAACACATAAAACAATGTCCTTATCGTTTTCTTGTTCACAGAACATTCTTGCTAACTTCAAGTTGGCGAACTCGGGATTGAACTGATAGAATTCCCCACAGTCAAAGAACTTGACGCCATGAGTGTGTTTCACATACTTCATGGTTTCAATGGAATGTTGAAGGGGTTGAGGGGTTGGGCGGCCGGTTAAACTGAGAGTGCCAAACCCTTTGGTGGTAATGGGAACTGCTTGCATGATGATAATAATTTTGCAATACAGACGGTTTGAACATGGGGTTTATATAGACTGAATAACGGATCCGTCGTATTTGGGTCTCCTCCGCTTCCGTTTTTTGCAATCATTTCGCATGGGTTAGGTCGAATTTTGCACAGTATCATTATGCAGCCCTATATTTCCCTCGATACTGGATGGGTGGCCGAGTGGTTAAGGCGGCAGATTCAAGTCCTGTTGACGTAAAGTCGCGCGAGTTCGAATCTCGCCTCATTCACTATCTTTTTGTCCATTAAAATTTGACTAGGCTAGTATTATATCAAGTACTATAGTCGTGTGCTTCCAGGGATTCGTGGTCCACGGTGGTCCACGATATTCCACTATCTTTACGAAGAGGCTGCGAAAAAGCATAGAGTTCTAAAATACCGCGATGTATCAGGTAGCATTTGTGAAACCATCGTTTACAAAAACCGCCTATGTGGAAGTAAAGAACCTTTTACATAAAGCGAGTAAGTTAATGTATATTTGAATGTTGGTCTTGAACTTTCTAACAAATATATTTATCCCAGAAATATGGCTTCTGTTCTTCCTCGAGAGCTTAATCACTCCAAAGAATTCAAACAGTTACATTTATCAAGATTACGATATTGATATCAAACATTACTAAAAAGCCGAAAACACAAGTCATTTTATGAAATGTTTCATCACTCTATTATCCTGTAAAACGCTAATTTAGGGAATGATGGGTTTATCACCCAACTGCTGATCAAATGCAAAAATTGTCTTCAGGGTGCACAGAATCATAAACAGTGGTGACCAGCTTGCCCATTTTCCAGTGGTGGTTTCTAATTTTACTTGAGCAGTACTACTTAGAACTCCATCTGCTTGAACTCCCGACCAAGCTTTCTCTTTCTCTTTCTCTCCATCACCTTCTCCCGCTGGACTGGCTTCATCGACTCGAACTTGGCCGTTTGAATCAATTTACGCTGTTCACTTCTCTTCAAGAAATAAGGATTCGACTGCTTACCGTCACGGAAGTTTTGCATTTGTTCTTTCTTATAGTCATCCAAGATTTTGTGTTCAAGATCACGATTCTTAAGGGTATCGAGCCGAGACTTTAATGATTGGAGCCTGTCACGGGCGTCGTTCTGCTCGCGGATCAGAAGCATGCCAAAGCTCTTTCGGTCTTTGATCAATGCTTGCAACTCGTTTATCTCACTTTGTCGATAATCATCCAAAAATGCATAGTTTTTCCGGGCTTCTCGAAGGTCGGCCTTCCCGTACGCAGCGTCAAACCGGAGGTCTTGATGGAGGGTTCCAGCGTACTTAGGGGTTACAACGTCACTGAGGTTTCTAATACGAGACACTGGTTTTTTGGATGAGGTTTCAGTAGGAGCGTGTTTGTGTTTCTTCTTCTGCTGGGGGCCCTTGGCGGGTTTATGCTTATGCTGGGGTTTGTGGGAGGATTTGTGGTTGTCATTAGTGTCATCTGAGTCGTGTTGGCTTTGGTCTTGGTACATCTGCTTTTGAGCAGAGCTGAGAGAACCAAGCGATAACCCGCCAAAGGCGTCGTTTTCGGCATCGTTCTTTTGGGAGTCTTGTTTCCTGCGCTTGAGGGTACGTGCTAGCACATCTTCGTCATCGCTGTCGTCAAAACGGCGGTTGGTGATGGATTTCATGGGGTGGTAAATGTTTTTTGTGATGCGATGAGCGCGACATTTGCCCCGGGCAGGAACTGGAGGAGAGGGGAACCGCTGCGAAAACACCCAGTACCGCCAGCCCACCGCCAAATTACCGCGAACAACAGCCGATAGGGCCAGTCGACCGCGAGATTTATCTGACCTCGCGAGCTAGCGACAACGGGTGCAAGACCCCCGCGAACAAAAACCACCCGGGATATAATCACCCCGGGCTCCACCCAAATACCTTCCCAAATTTGCCCCATACACACCCACCAACATTTCAAACTACAATCCACAAACATCTTCATCCCCCCCTCTTACCTCTAGAAACCCCATGTGGCTGTCTCGGTTCCCCAGCTTGTCCCGGTGCAAATACGTCCGTGTCCTGACACAAAACCACCCAACTCCCACCTCGGACATGGGGCGCATATGCAGGAGGCAAAGCCGCCTAATTCATTTTCCACAATTAAAAGGAACATACTTCGACAAAAAAAACTTTTGTTATATATATCCTATTCATATATATATTCTAAAGTAGGATCCAATTTTCCTCTGTTGATATCTATACTCCCATCCTCTAGGTATATCCCATCCACAATGTTATCCAGATCCTTTGCCCGTGCCACAAAAGTATGTACTCGTGTCCACCAACCACTTCGATCCACAGGGATCCGGTGATCAAAACATGCCTTTACTAACCCGAATTATAGTCGGTCGCCCACCAAAAGAGACTCTTGTCATTGCACGAATTCCGTTCGGCCGCATTGTTGAAACAATACGGCGTTGGCGTTCCTGCTGGTGAAGCTGCCACCACCCCAGAAGGCGCTTACCAGGCCGCCAAAAATTTGGGTACCAACGAATTGGTCATTAAAGCCCAAGCCTTAACCGGTGGAAGAGGTAAAGGTCACTTTGACAACGGCTTCCAAGGAGGTGTCAAGGTGATTTCCTCCCCTGAAGAAGCCCAGGAATTGGCAGAAAAGATGTTGAATCACAAGTTGATCACCAAACAAACCGGTGCTGCTGGTAAAGAAGTCACCGCCGTGTACATCTGTGAAAGAAGAGACGCCCTCACCGAGGCTTACCTCGCCATTTTGTTGGACAGATCCACCCAATTGCCCATGATTGTGGCCTCTGCCCAAGGTGGTATGGACATTGAAGGGGTTGCTGCTGCTGACCCAACGGCCATCAAGACATTCCTGGTGCCTTTGGGCGGCGGTGTTTCTGACGCCTTGGCCACCGAGGTTGCCTCCGTGTTGGGATACACCCCAGAAGCCATTCCTGAAGCCGCCAAGGCCGTGCAAAACTTGTACAAGGTGTTCCAAGAAAGAGATTGCACCCAGGTAGAAATCAACCCATTGTCTGAAACCCCTGACCACCAGGTGTTGGCCATGGATGCCAAATTGGGTTTCGATGACAACGCCAGCTTCCGTCAAAAGGAAGTGTTCTCATGGAGAGACCCTACTCAAGAAGACCCTCAAGAAGTGGAAGCCGCTGAGTACGGATTGAACTTCATCAAGTTGGACGGTAACATCGCCAACATCGTCAATGGTGCTGGTTTGGCTATGGCCACCATGGACATCATCAAGTTATACGGTGGTGAACCTGCCAACTTTTTGGATTGTGGTGGTACTGCTACTCCTCAAACCATTGAAAAAGCCTTTGAATTGATTTTGTCTGACAAGAAGGTCAACGGGATTTTCGTCAACATTTTCGGGGGTATCGTCAGATGTGACTACGTTGCTGAAGGTTTGATTGCTGCCACCAAGAACTTCAACTTGGACATTCCTGTGGTTGTCAGATTACAAGGTACCAACATGGAGAAGGCTAAGGAATTGATCAACAACTCCGGCTTAAAGTTGTATGCCTTCGAAGACTTGGACCCTGCTGCCGAGAAGATTGTGGAATTGGCACCAAAGGCTTAGGTTCAAAATATGTAGAGAATAAACGTAAAGCTCGCTCATTCAAAATCTCAAATTTACCACTACTGTCAAAATCTCAACCCGCGCGCTTGCCACCAAATTTATTCTATAACTATGTTCTTGACCAGAAGTGAGTACGACAGAGGGGTATCGACCTTCTCTCCCGAAGGAAGATTGTTCCAGGTGGAATATTCGCTCGAGGCCATCAAGTTGGGCTCAACCGCCATTGGAATCGCCACCTCTGAAGGTGTGATTTTGGGTGTCGAAAAAAGAGTAACTTCTCCGTTGTTGGAGCATTCATCAATCGAAAAAATCTTGGAGGTCGACAGACACATAGGCTGTGCCATGTCAGGATTGACGGCTGATGCCCGGTCTATGATAGATCACGCCAGAGTCTCGTCGTTGACCCATGACTTGTACTATGATGAAGAAATTCAGGTGGAAAGCTTGACCCAGTCAGTGTGCGATTTAGCATTAAGATTCGGTGAAGGTGCTGGCGGTGAAAAGAGGTTGATGTCGAGACCGTTTGGAGTAGCTTTGTTGATTGCCGGTATTGATAAGCAAAACGGGCCCCAATTGTACCATGCAGAACCTTCTGGGACCTTTTACCGGTATGACGCTAAGGCCATTGGATCGGGCTCGGAAGGTGCTCAGGCTGAATTGCAGAATGAGTACCACAAGTCGTTGACGTTGAAAGAAGCCGAGTTGTTGGCGTTGAAGATCTTGAAACAGGTGATGGAAGAGAAGTTGGATTGTAAGAATGCTCAATTGGCTAGTGTCACGGCTGAAAAGGGTTTCAGAATCTATAGTGACGAGGAAACTGACGAGATTATCAAGGCATTGAACGAGCAGCAGGCCGAGACTGAAGAGGCCCAGGACTAGAGGTTTATAGGTTAAGTAAGTTTTGTTAAGCTACTAAAGATACAATATACACGAAATGCCCCATTTTTCTACTGATCCGGGAAGCAGTTCTCCAACGATTGGAAAAGGTTTAAGAACTGCTGACTCGAATTGTCGAGATTCGAGTTGATCGAAGACATAAACCTTGTTAGCAGGTTGTTGAAGCCCTCAAAGTATTTGATCAACTCGTCGTTGAGGTTGCCATATATCGTCTCTACCAGGTTCGAGTTGATCTCCTTATCTTCCATATAAACAGGGTACGCTTCTTTGTATTGGAAGAAAAGCTCATCGTTCATCATGATCAACGACAGCTTCAACTTGTTAAGAAACTGGTTGTACAGCACTATCAACACCAACAATTCCTGGAGTTCGTTCATCACCTTCTCATGCACCAAGAAAGTGTCTCTCAAAATGTTGTTGAGAATCGTTGCCATCTTACTGGACAAGTTGTTCAAGTCAATGATGTCTACTGGACTGGCATTTGTGTTGTTGGCCTTACTGTTGAAAAGTTCATGGTAACTATTGGTCATTCCCTTGACGAACGACGAGTTACCATTGAACCCAGAAGCATCCGCCTCACTGAAACTTGACTCCAACGGCTCTTCCTTCAACTGATGAGCCACACTCTCGAGATGGCTCTTCAATTCCTTGTGGTTCTTGTCAATGACTTCTAACGAAATGTAGTAGTGAAGCTCGTTGACAAAGTCTCTCATCCGATTAAGCAATACTCTGCTACGGAGAATCCACTTTGAGATCTTTCTGTCAAAGCCGGGAAAGTTCCACACATGCGATAACGACACTTCTTTCCATGTGTTATCGATTAGCTTGTTGATAAACTTGAGGAAAAGCTGGTTGTTGAACACAAGCTGGTACTGGAGGTTAAAGTTATAGTTGATTACCAAGTTCAAGGGGAACTGTAAGTCCATGCTAAGATTGACTCCCAAAATCGTGAGTTGGTCAGCGTTCTGTGGGTCATATCTGAAGTTCCCGGTGGATTCGGGACTAATGTTGGAACCAGCACTGGCAATATTCTGACGTTTGTTGTCTAGGTTCTTGTGGACAATTTCTTCAAATGTTTCGCCTCGGTTTATATCTCTGATAGCATCCTCTGCATTTATAGGCTCCACTGCTAACACCTCTTTGGCTAAATCATAAAAACTAAGGGAATTGATGGAAAACTCGAGTTTGCTGTTCAAACTCTTGTTCAAGGGGGAAAGGTCATTATTTTCATCACTGAGAAGGGTATTATTAAAGCTCTTTATGAGCTTGGAAATCGAGATCTTGAACTTATTTCTCTGCAAGTCGTTCAAGTTGGCCTCAATAAAGTTGTCAACCCCACTGGAGTTATCAAGTAGAAATTGCTTCAGGTAGTATTCCACTACAAAGTTGAAATTGTATCCTTCGAAAATTAACTTCATCAACAATTTATTGGCTCGTTTATAGAAGTTGTCGACCTTCAACTCAAAGTCCTGACTGAAGATACTCTTTATGGGCATGAGATTTTCATTGAAGCTTTCGAAGTTCTCGAGGCCAGTACAATGCTTGAATATGTTCAAGTACTTCCCTGTCAAAAGGATTTTATTCTGGATATCCTTACTTTGAAGTTGGTCAATCAACCCATCGTACCTGAACTTGAAGATTTCGTCCCAATAGATCTGCATCAGTGGCTTCAAAAAGCTCTGGAAAGACGTCTGCTTGATCAAGAACTCTTTGAACGGATCATCTATTATTCCGTTAACCAACCACTCATTCAACGAGTTCAAGTAGTCTTTACTCACCTCCTCGAAAAGCTTCGTGAGAAACGTCGTGGACACCACATCTCCCTTGAAAGCCCTGATTCTCTGCTGGATTGCCTGTAACACTAATCCTCCTTTGCACACATTGAACTTTATTGGATCCACAAATAAGTCGACAGACCCAGGGTTGTGGAAGTCGTCTCCTATCTGCGTCTGAGCATATTCATCCAAGTACTTATCTCGATTGTGGAAGTACTCTCGTTGTCTCTTCAATGTCTCGTTGTGTATCATGTTTACGATCTCATAGAAATGGCCCATCTCACTCGAGATCTGCTTGTTCAAGATGTTGTCAAACCAATTCAAGTTAAAGCTCGCATCATACTTAAACAGATTCTCAAGCTCTATCACCACCTTCTCGTACTTATCCTTAAATGCCACAATCGCATGGCAAAGGTTCTGTACCGCTTTTCCAAACAGCTCGTTGTCGTAGTGTTCCAAGAAGTTGTTGATCGAGCAGTAGTAGCGGCCAAATTTAATGATCTTTTTGGTGACGAGCTTTAACAGAATGTCCAAGTTCTTTGCGATCTTGAACTCGGGCCCACCGATACTCACTTCCAAGTCTCTGGCGCTGTACTTGTCACTTAGGCGAATGAACTGGCCCTCATGGCCCAATAATGTGAAAAGTAAGTCTTTGGTGATAAGCGCTTGTTGGACGTTGATATCTGTTAAATCTCTCAATCCATGGTACCGGGCTTTCTGAAACCTTAGATCATGTATGACACATGTCTGAAGAAGCCGCGGCTCGTTCAGGAGTGTCACCGTGTCTATGGGGGTATCCATGGTGATGATTGAGTGTTAGTACTATCGATGTGTGTTTTTCAAAACAACAACATCTCCGCGAAAGCGAAATCAATTGCGAAGCGTTCCTCCTTCCGTTTTGGGCAATCACATAATCTGCTGCAAAAAACTATAGCAAGTACAAAAGCAAGTTCTATTGGTATGCATAAATATATAAGTTGCTACACGTTATCAGTGCTGATAGATAACAACCAATTCGTCCACATCTTCGATAATCTCTCCTGCCCAGGGTGGGCCTTCACTTCTCAGGATCATTCAACGTCCTACTGCAACCCGTCATCTTCTTCCTCGAGATCGAAGTCCCCAAAAAGCTCATCCAACCGCTCTGTATCCTCCTGAACCCTCTTCAACCCACAAACATCCTCTAAAAACTTGGAGTCAGAAAGACACCGCAGAATGAAGCTCCAGCCTTCTTCCTTGTACCGGTTCACCACTTGAGAAGAACAGGCCGAGCAGAACTGGTACCGTGGTGTCATGAGTTTCATCTGCTCAAAATTGTGCAAAAATCCTCGTATTTGGTGAGGAATCTGTCCCAAGACTCCGGTCTCATTCGCACTAGCATCTTTACCCTCAGCACTTTGTAGCACCGATACCATGAGCTCCACAGCCAATGAAGACGCCATCAACGCCGCTCCCGGCCGTGTCACTGTACACATCTGGTCCAACGTCCGGTCGGTCAAACTGTCGTTTGGGGCCACCACATCGTTGCAGTAGTAGCACCCCAAGTCCTGATTCTGGGTCCCATGTCTTAATACGAGATAACTGTCGAACCCTAGAGCGGCATTGATCACGAGCTTGTTCTTGGCTAATCCAAGGACGGTGGGGAGCCAACGAGACTCGCGCGAATCCATTAGCAAGAACACCACGTCGTGGTTATCGAAGAGCTCACACAATTTATTGTAGTTCTGTTCACTCGACTCATGTCCTACCATAGGCACCTCTAATTCCACACCATGCGAATCTACTCCAGGAAATACTTCTTTCAAGGTTTGACTAGCACGAACCGCTTTTTTTGTTCCCTGGCCATTGTCTGCAAAACAGTCGTTAAATGTGAAAAGTGGTTGTCTGACAGGATTGGAAAAAGATATACGGCCATTATCAACAAAGGTGATTTTCCTGACACCCCATCCAAGTAATGCACGCGATACGTAGCTTCCAAGAGTTCCAGCCCCAAGGAGCAATACTTTTTGGTCCTTTATGATGTCTAGGTTCAAATTGGGTGCAATTCTCCATTTCATGAGCTTCAAATTCAAGTCGACTGCCTGATCGGCAAGCTGGTGGGGGTCGATCAATGATCCGAGATTTGCAAGTTTAGGGCCCAATTTCCCCTGGCTCGTACGTTCCCACCCCGTGACTTTGAGAGACTCTTTGCTAACTGGCTCTTTAAGTTTTAAATCATAAAATACCAGACCCTCTTTCTTGAAAACATGGACACGAACCTTTTCGACACCTTTCAAGGCCAACACTGTAAGATTGTTCTTTAACTGACTTGAAATCCGGCTATCAAGGCAGTTATCGATAAAAGCGTATTCTGATTCGGAGACTTTCGTGAACTGATGGGAAAAGTCAAATTCAAAACTACTGGTACCCTGCTCTTCAACTACCCAATCACTGTTTGCGGTGGGATAGGCCACCCAATAGTAGAACTTGTACTTCTTCAAGTCTGCAAAAGATAAAATGTGGAATTGACCCTGGTCATTGCCATCGGCCAATTGAGACACCAATTGTTGACCCCATTCCAGCATCAACTGCTGCTTCCCAACCGACTTGAATTCCTCAATTGTGTTCACATTATGGATATAACCGCTTATATTGTGATGGTCCTGCTTTTCAAAAGAATTGTAATCAAGGTTCAAGATGGGCACGTTATTGAACTTTGTGAGTTTCTGAGGATCGGTAAGGGAGCCAAATATCAACTGCGGTTTGGACTCGAGTTTGTACTCGTTGATCTTGAGCTCCGAGAGACGTGTGAAGAACGACGAGTCAACAAACGACTGGATTGTCACGTACGCTAATTGTGTCATTGTGATGTAAGGAATGTTTAATGATTACACTTCCGCGATAGTGCGATGGTCGCGGTCCCTGGTTGCAAAAGGGATGACAATGAATTTTAGAAGAGAAATAGTGATTTATCCAAGAACACGCTGACTTCTAGGGGAATCCACACTTCCTCATACTAGCTTGCAATACAAATTCCCTTGATCTTAGACTTGTGAGATAAAATTACTTAAAGGACTGCACTAAAATTAGCCATTCCCGGGGGGGCTACAGATGCCTATCTTGTTCTTCTGCAACTAGGAATATCAGTTTCTATGTCGGACCTTCGGACCGACCTCCAAGATTTATCTTTCTTTTTGTCACCACGAACCAGAAAATAATACTTGGGGAATACGGGTCTCTTTGTCCAGATGACGTAAGTCGCGCAATAATATCCGTCTATCCACCAAAAATTTTCACCTACTTGGTAAGCTGCAGCATGAAATAAGCAAAACCTTATCCAAACCACTATAAACTCGTACCTTTCCTAAAATGCAGCTATAATTAGAAACAAGCAACCTCCCACTCAAAAATTGATGCCCCACAACCCTCGCAGCTGCTCGAAAACGTAAACGCAAGCCCATCGTCAACGGGGCTTTGTGTCACTTGACGGATGGCTTTCTCAACAGGGTTCAACTGCAAGCCATTGAGACGCGCAGAAAAACAATACTTAGAGGACAAAGCTCACATCTGGGCGGCTTTTGCTAAGCGGCTTTTGCTAAGCGAATAAGGGGGTTCCCGCTGATACTCTCTTTTGCTCTATAGCAGTGGGAATATTATACTTACTGTCAGCAATATCATGGATACTCTCAGGATCAGGTAGCCAGCTGACACTACCAGTATTTTTTGACATGCACCGCGACTTATTTTCGCAGTCGAGCTAATAATAGCACCATCTCCTGACCTTAATTACACTTCTCAGTTGGGACCTCTGTGCAAATACGAGCCTATTTTTGGAAAACTTGGCGTTTGTTTAGGTCGGCATGTTTATGCATTTCGCAGTATATAAACCCCTGAATTTCCCGGCTTCTGTCAAACTATCAGCTCCTCACTTCTTCTTTTAACAAAAATTATCATGAGATCATTCGCTTTATCTATGTCATTAATTTCTGTGGCTTCGGCCTTGCAACTTCAGATTTCCAGCAACGGAAACTTGAACGGCAGAAACCTTTACACCACCCACGAAGGTGCTGGTATCAACTACTTTTTCGTCAGTGATGCCGGTGTGGCCGGTCAAGAGTTGGAATACGATGCCGACTCCAAGGTACTTTCTATTCCTGACACCGGAGACATTCCATACGATGTGACCTTTGAGGGCGACGTTTTGATTGCGGGGGTTTTGGGAGCTTCTGAGGTTGACATCAGCGACAATGGTGATGTTACCATCAACGGTACCAGCACCTTTTTCAGTTGCAACCACATCAACGACCCATACCAATACTCGGGAGATATCTACGCGGTGTTGAAACAGGAAACTGGGGATAACTGTTGGCCACTCACCTTGAAGGCCGTCTCCGATGATGCTAGCTCGACCGCTTCTGCTCCTGCTTCTTCTACTTCTTCCTACGTGGCTCCATCGGCTCCATTCGCCAACACCACTGTCACTGACGTCTCCACTGTCACTGACTACACCACTTACTGCCCATACCCTACCACCATCACCATCACCACCTGTGACACCACCTGTGCCCCTCACGTGGTGACTGTTTCTGAAGCAAGCACTGTGACGGTTACTGGTACTTGTGTGGTGCCAGTTGCTTCCACCACCACTCCTGTTCCAACCACCGTCAAGGCTAGTACCACTGCTAAGGCCACTTCCAGTGCACCTAAGTCCACCGTTGCAGCTATTTCAACTCAAGCAAACGGAGCTGCTAAGCAGGTTGCTGGTATGGGGGCTTTGGCATTGTTGGCCGCTTTGGTGTTGTAGACTGCATTTTTTCGTTCATAATTATCTAATTGACATTGTTTTTACTGCTTGTAGTGCTTTGGTCTCACGATTAATTCTGGCGTCTCCGGTTTTGCAACCTTCGCGGTTTGTTTGCATTCCCCGCGCCACGACCGTCAAATCAATCGAGCGAAAATTCGCTTGAAATTAAAACCCAACACAGCAATCTCCTCCTGCTAGTAACACCATGTCTCAACTAACCCCAAAAAAGCACACAAAGACCCAATCTGCTTATGTATGTATAGCTCACAGTGGGTCAATCACGCCCCGTGTCGCTTTTGTCTCGTGTCGACCGGTGCCCTATGGCCCCAGTTACAAACCATTGTGTATCCACAAATACTAACACCGTCTAGCAATTTGACAACACCGCCACCAACGTGGCAGCGTCGCAAATGAGAAACGCTTTGAACAAGTTGGTAGACAGCATCGAAGGTCAAGAGGAACAGAAGAGATTCGAAGGCGAAATGGACTCATTCTTTGCCTTGTTCAGAAGATACTTAACCGACAAAGTTTCCGACAACTTATTGGACTGGGATAAAATCAAGTCTCCTTCCAAAGACGAAGTCGTGAACTCCAACAGCTTGACCAACGACAACGCCGACAACTTGTCAAAGTTGGCGGTATTGAAGTTGAATGGGGGATTAGGTACCTCCATGGGATGTGTGGGTCCAAAGTCTGTCATTGAGGTCAGAGACGGTAACACCTTTTTAGACTTGACCGTCAGGCAAATCGAGCATTTGAACAGAAACTACGACACCGACGTGCCATTGTTGTTGATGAACTCGTTCAACACCGATGCCGACACTGCTAAGATCATCAAGAAATACCAGGGCCATAGAATCAGGGTCCGGACTTTCAACCAATCCAAGTTCCCCAGAATTTTCAAGGACTCGTTGTTGCCAGTTCCTTCCAGTTTTGATGATGCTTTGGACAACTGGTACCCACCTGGACACGGGGACTTGTTTGAGTCATTGGTGAGTTCAGGGGAATTGGATTACTTGCTCAACCAAGGTAAGGAAATCTTGTTTGTGTCCAATGGAGACAACTTGGGTGCCACTGTGGACCCCAAAATCTTGAACCACATGATCGACACCAACGCCGAGTTTATCATGGAATTGACCGATAAGACCAGAGCTGATGTCAAGGGAGGTACGTTGATCAACTATGATGGCCAGGTGAGACTATTGGAAATCGCCCAGGTGCCAAAGGAACATGTGGAAGAGTTCAAGTCCATCAAGAAGTTCAAGAACTTCAACACCAACAACTTGTGGATCAACTTGAAGGCTATCAAGAGATTGGTAGAATCAAACGGTATCCAATCGGAGATCATTCCTAACCAGAAGAGTATCTCCAAGGGCTCTAGTGACATCAATGTTTTGCAATTGGAAACCGCTGTTGGTGCCTCCATTAGATTCTTCGACAACGCCCATGGTATTGTGGTGCCAAGATCCAGATTTTTACCCGTCAAGACTTGTTCCGATTTGTTGTTGGTCAAATCAGACTTGTTCTACTTGGAACATGGAGCCTTGAAGTTGGATCCTAACAGAGACGGGTTTGCTAACCCATTGATCAAGTTGGGTTCTCACTTCAAGAAGGTTTCCAACTTCCAGTCGAGAATTCCTCATATGCCCAAGATTTTGGAACTTGACCATTTGACCATCACCGGTAACGTCAACTTGGGGAAAAACGTCTCCTTGAAGGGAACGGTCATCATTGTGTGTAATGAGGGAGACAAGATTGATATTCCAAATGGATCTATTTTGGAGAACGTCGTTGTTACCGGCAGCTTGTCCATCTTAGAGCATTAAGATGGAGTTCCAGGGAAAAAGTATACCCTTGCAAATAATCTCTAGCTAATCAATATCATCATTTACAGTCGTAGTTTTAAGGGCAATTTCTACTTCATCTACCTCGTTCTGTTTTTGCAACCGTAATACCCAGTGGTTCCAATTGTCGCGATCGCAGTATCAGCCAATTTTATTAGTCATAGCTATCTTAACTAATCACTACAACAAATGCTTCCTCAACCCCTAGATCTCCAGAAATGGATAAGAGAGAATGAGGACCTCCTCCAGCCTCCTGTCAATAACTTCTTGGTTCACAGAGGTGGGTTCTCCATCATGATCGTGGGTGGTCCCAATGCTCGTACCGACTACCACATCAACCAAACCCCAGAATACTTCTACATGTTCAAAGGCACCATGATTTTGAAGGTGGTAGACGACGGAGAGTTCAAGGATATCTATATCAAGGAAGGTGAGTCGTTTCTATTACCTCCCAATGTCCCCCATAACCCTACTCGATTTGCCAATACAATTGGATTGGTGGTGGAGCAAGACAGACCAAAAGATTTACTTGACAAAGTCAGATGGTACTGTCGCAACTGTAAAGAGCCAATCCACGAGCTTGAGTTCTACTGTTATGACTTAGGTACCCAGATCAAAGAAGCCATTATCAACTTCGATAAGGATATCGATGCCCGAACTTGTGAAAAGTGTGGGACCTTGAACTACTCCCGCCCTCAGGAGTAATATGCCCACAGCAAACCTACTGGGTATCAAGGAAAAACAATAAATATATGTATATACATGAAAACTGATATGGCTTTATTTTAATCTCTGGGGCTTGTTGAAAGCTTATTCTAACTTCTGGGACTTCTTGTAGAAATCCTCCCCTTTATCAAACACATAGTCGATAACATATTCGACAGGCTCATCGAACACATATGGCAAGAGTGGCACGATTCCCAATCCGACAGCTACCGGGCCGTAGGTCTTAAGCGGCTTGGACTTGGACTCTTTGAACATAATCGAAGAGTATCTAACCGCGTTGTGAATTGTCCAGGCAGGCAATCCCATAGAAGCAATACTCTGGAACAACCCTCTCTTCACAAACGCAAGTCTCCAATCCTGTTCCACTAAACTTTCGCTCTTCTGCTCGTAAAGCACTTTGGCGGTGTCGTTGGGTTCAGGATAAGGATAGTTCCATGGCATTAAGTTATTGGTGTATCTGCCTTCACTCTTCATCTTGACCTTCCAACTGGCATACGATACGTCTCCCAAGATATACAACCACGAGATACTGTAACCAATCGTCACTATAAACGGATGGGCCACTGGTCTGAAACTTTCACCAATATCAGAGGTGTAGGCCACATATCGATGAGATGCTTGTAAGATTGTTCTGAACCTATTAGCGTAGGCGGCGTATCTCAACGACGTTTGGTCGACGTCGGAGTTCTCGACTTGGGTGTTCAATTGGGGCACGGAGCCAGAGACGGTATCGTTGGAACTGTTACTCATGGAAGGGGCAAGGAGAATATTGTTTTGCGGCTGGATGTTGAGTGAGCGCGAGGATGATCAGTCGTGTGCAGGCCGGATATGTTATCTCCGACCCTGAGGAAATTGGAGCCATCGGCGTGGGAGGAGGAGAGATGAAGTTAGTATGTGCTAAATGGACTTAGGAAACCTCGGAGAATTCTTCAGGGTAGAGAGGGGTTTTAGAAGAAGTTGTGGTAGTTAGTATGGACGGTTTATGTAATAAATGCACGTAAGGGCAATGTAATGTTGATAGGGATTCTTACCAAGCTGTGCTGGTGTGTTTGTAAGATGTTTTTAATTTTACTTTAAAATGTTTACATTTGTGCATTTAGTATGTTTTTGTTTCCTTGTGTATTTATTGTAGTTTATTTTAGCAGCCATTTGCAAAATTCACGGTTTTGAGATACTGAGATCACTATTCCCACTCAGGTCACCCAAAGCTTAGCGCAAATCCCCAAGGCCCGCCAACTCCATACTCTCTCATATTCCCCCACACATGTTCAAACCCACTTCCCAATAAACATTTACTTGGTCCCAGTATCTGTTCTCCAAGGTGAATGGAGGTGTGCGCACAAATTAATTTCCTAAACAACCATGTCGATGAACCAAAGGAAATTCAAGAAAGCCATACAAAACAAGTCCAAGCTCCGGATCAAGAATGACTCCAGCGACCTTCTCATGTACTTGATATACATCGACTATTTGAATCGGTTGATAAAGCAGTCCCAGGTCAATGGCACTATTTCTGTGGTCAAGTTGAAGCAAGAAAATAAAACCCTTCTGAAACAGTACCGGGGATAAGCTTAACAAAATCTACGGGTATTCATACTACCACGACCGACAATGGGATGACTAACAGACAAACCTAATGTGCATTAGGCACTGTTCAACAGTGGGTACAAGCGAAATGACACCAATTGCGACAGTATCGTCCAACTAGCAATGACCAACGACTGACGATTAACGACCAACAACTAGACAGCTACGACAAACCTCTATATATCTTTACTTAGACGATTCACAAAGCATAAACTTGATTTCAAATTATCACAAGTATCAGGTCAGGCAGTTTTGACGCGAATTCTCACTAATCCAACACCTTTAACATGTCTGCCACAATCGTGATTCGGTTCATTGATTCCAAAAAAGGAGAAGCCATACCCGACTACGAGATCACCGACCTCCAGGCCTTGAGCTACCAGCGCCTCAAGCACTTAATACGGTCCAATAACTCGTATTGCACAAATAAACGGTTGAAGTTAATATATAACGGGAGAGTGTTGAATGAGCACTTTGACTTTAAAGGGGATTTGATCAGCAAATTCAGCGAGTCCAGCCTTCGTATCTACGTCCACTGTGTCATTGGAGAAGATCTCACCAAAGAACAACTCAGACAAGAGAGCCTACTCGATAACCAGGAAATTAAACGCACCACGCAGCCTGAAATCATAGGATTTGATCGGTTGCTTCAACAAGGGTTCAGTCAACAAGACGTAGACGATTTGCGGGCACAGTTCGAGAGAATCTACAACATCAACCAGACCAATTCACAAATCAACGACTTGGAAGAAGAGGAACAGCGTCAAGAGTATTTGAGACAACTTGAAGAAAGATGGATTAATCTGACTGTCAATGCAGATGGAACCAGCACCAGGCCGGCACCAGAAGCCGCCGGTACAGAACAGGTTACGGCCGACGCTCCCGCCAACCACACCATTGCCACCACCGACGTCGATGATACGCAGAACGAAGACCTTCTAATCGGATTACTCGTGGGGGTGTTTTTGGGAGTTATTGGAGTGTTATTTGTCGTGGCCGACGACTCCGTGTTCGATAAGAGACAAAGAATGGCCATAATAGTGGGGATGTTCATCAATATCTCGCTAGCCATCATCCGTGGCCAGTGGATATAGATGAAGAAGAGAGAAATAGGAATGTTTGACCTACCAGCCCTTAATAATTCTCATATGAAAACGCCTCCAAGGGGAAACATCCACACGGTTCAGAAAGATTAAACAGGGCGTTAAGATGGACAGTTGATCTCGCCATTAACTTGACGCTTGCCAGCTCGTGGGGATATCTGAAAATGACAAGCAACACGGTAGTAGTTAAGGCTGCCGCACAATTTCTTTGCGATGGGAAAATTTTTCTTATATAGTGGGTATGCGCCGGGTAACTGGGTGCAAAAGGTGAACAAGGTCAGCAACTGGGAACTGGGAATAAAGAACTGGAGAGACCGGTGTAGACAACTCAACGTCGTTTCCTTCACTTTACTCTGTTACCAAAGTCTATTCTTTTTATGGTTTTTATTATTGCCATACTGTGTCATTACTGTCTGGGTACATAGTTGTGCAAAACGTTAAATATACGCCGTTCACGGCACCATCCTCGCACCGAAGCACCTTCGGCCTCCACCACCATCGCACCAATACCACAAAAACTCAGTTGCTAGTTCCCCTCTATCTCAGTGGCTAATACCGGTCGCCACGTCACGTGCTAGGGCCGGTTTCGGCGCGGCCCCGCGCATCCGTCCACCGCGTACCGCCACCGCGCTTGTCGCCCCGGCGGATTGCCTATCTCCTGAGTCATTGTGGAGAAAACATTTTCAACAGAAAGCAAAAGTTTTATCAAGCTTACAATTAACTTGTAATTTGTTGGTTCAATTCACGGTAATTGTTTATAGATTGTCCATACCACAACCATGTCAGAAAAACCTTTACCATTCATCTACCAATTCATCTCTGGAGCCGTCGCCGGTGTATCAGAGATCTTGGTGATGTATCCTTTGGATGTCGTTAAAACCAGACAACAATTGGATTCCACCAACGCCTATAAAGGAACCATCCAGAGTATCAAGAAGATTGTTGCTGAAGAAGGATTCTCCAGGTTGTACAAAGGGATCAGTGCGCCCATTTTGATGGAGGCTCCTAAGAGAGCCACCAAGTTTGCTGCTAACGACGAATGGGGGAAATTTTATAAAAGGGTGTTTGATGTACCTGTTATGAACCAGTCTTTGGCGGTGTTGACGGGTGCCACTGCTGGAGCCACCGAGTCGTTTGTGGTGGTTCCATTTGAGTTGATCAAAATCAGATTACAGGACAAAACCACCAAGTTCAATGGAATGGCCGATGTCACCAAAGATATCATCAAGAACCATGGGGTGTTGGGATTGTACAAGGGATTGGAATCGACATTGTGGAGACATATCTGGTGGAACGCCGGGTACTTTGGGTTGATTTTCCAGGTAAGAGGCTTAATGCCCAAGCCAAAGACTAGTACAGAAAAGACTTTGATTGACTTGACCTGTGGTTCGATCGGGGGTACTTTTGGTACCATCATGAACACTCCGTTCGACGTGGTCAAGTCCAGAATCCAGGCCGGAACCACCACCAAGTATGTATGGACTTATCCTTCATTGGTAACTGTTGCGAAAGAAGAAGGGTTTGGTGCGTTATACAAGGGGTTCATTCCAAAGGTATTGAGATTGGGTCCTGGTGGTGGAATTTTGTTGGTGGTGTTTACCACCTGTATGGATTTCTTCAGAGGAATTCACTATAAAGAGTAGTTTATCTATAGGTTAACAATAATATCGTTGAGACCGATTTTCACCTTGGGCACCAACGTAGATGTTTTTGCAACCGGACCAAACTGTTTGATAGTTTGTTGGAGTTCGGGGGACTCAAAGTCCGAGTCGAGAAGCTTGATTTTACTGGGGTCGTCTCCTTTAATGTCGAACTTGCTCATGATAAACGTCTTGAGGTGTGTTAAGTTCGGTAGTCCCTCAAGGCTGAGAGGCTCAAACTTGTCAAACATCAAGAGAACGTGATACACTAAATGGGATCGTATCGACATCCCCAAGGCTATTTCAAACAGCTGAAGGAGTTCTGTTCTAATTTCTCTACTGTTCAAGTGAGTTTCGTTGAAGTTCAAGAGATTGACCATGCTTTTGAAGAGGTCCTCATAGTGGTAGTTTTCATCGACGTGAGTCAAAACAATTAACGTGATGAGCTTGATAGCATTAACGAAATTGGGTACATTAAGTTTTCGGTTGAGGTTGAACCGGAGAAGTATCACCAAGTTGTCGAGCATATACGATACCCATGGTTTATGCTTATTGTTTGCCTTATTAAACGGTAAAATCGGTGCTCGTTGGTGGCATAGTTTCCATTTGAACTCGTTGATGGTGACGGACAAGATGTTAGGGCTCTTCAAAAACTTGTCGTACATGTGTAACACCAAGCGGGTTGCAAGAACCGACTTCTTGGACTTGAACTGATACGTTAGCACATAGGATGCTAAACAGAGCCAGGACGCAGCCGCGTCAGTCTCGAGGAACTTTTCCAAAAATCCCACTTGGTTGCAAAACCCGTTAATATAGAGGGAGATGGGAAAGAACTCAAGCAGCTCGAAGTAATCGTGGCCAAAGTTGTGGTACTGTTTTATTCGGATGTTCAACAAGGACTCGATGTCGTCGTTGTTGATGTAAATGTTCCGGATGTACGAGTCGTTTAAGTATTCATTGGAGAAGTTCAACAAATTGGCAGTCATCCAGTTGAAAAACGATGCGTTCATGATCTGATGATTGGTTAAATCGTTATTGTAGTCGTAACACACTTTGATGCTGTACTGCAACAAAGGCTCAAATTGGTTTAAAAAGGCTGCGAATTTGTCTTCGTCGGAATAGTTGATCTGTACCTGGTTGTCATTGTTTAATATCCCCAACAGCACAAACACGCGGATTTGGGTCTTGGTAGACAAGCTTACGGTAGGTCTAGTGTCAAGGATGTTATTGGCGAAATTTGGGTGAGTTTTGATCAAGATTTGATTCAACAAGTCGGCATAGTTGGACCTGCGAAACTCATTCAACATGTCTGTGTTTTGCACAGTGATCACTACCATATAGTCATACACCAAGTAGACAATCTCCTTCATGATCACCAAAAGAGTCTGGTTGACCTTTTCCAAATCAAGGTTGGGCACAAGGCGTTCCAAAAACCAGTATACCATCCTGAACAAGAGCAGGTAATCGATTCTATCGGTCACCACAAGTTCGCTCTGTTTGTGGCACTCGACCACACTGGACAAGATCACGCGGAGTATACGTAGCACGTTTGCTATGAGTTCGAAACGCAATTCGTCGTCCATGTCATTGAAGACCGCGTTCAAAAGTAGCGGCATGGGCTTGGGTTTGATGTTGGTGATATCGTCTTCCTCCAAGTGGTCCCGAGACATGCCATTGGACGTCGATAGTGGTGTCGGTGTGTACTGCAGCACTTCTTTAAAGATTGCGATGCCATGATTAAATAAGGATATTAATTGTTGGTTGACGTCAGCATCCAGGTCGAGGTGGGTGGCAGATAAATTAGCCACAAGAGTGGATTTCAAGCTCTCAAAGTGTACAAGCGTCGAGTAGAAGGTTTTGTAGAAGTCAGGGATTTTGGAGGAGTCATTGATGAAGATCTGGCCGTATAGTTGAATGGTCTGTTGGTTCATATTAAAGTGATGGATGGTACAAGCGTGGAGACGAGAAACATGCGTAGACGGGTAGGCGCAGACGGCACACAGGGGCCTAGGCCGGGGGCCAGGCCCTTTAGCGAGCGGTGGTTGGGGGGTCTCAGCGTGCATCCACCAAATGAATCATCGGTGCGCAAAAGTGGCCACTGATTTTCCACCAGCTTCTCACAAACTATCATCATGTCAGATTGGGAGAACGTTACAGTTATTGGACAAAAGGCACGGATCGGAGGCGGTGGCCCCCGTCAAACTGTGGCCAAGACCGCCTCGCAGTTGAATGCCGCCAGAAGAACCGGAAATGTCATTGGTACCGAAAAGAAGTATGGTACCTCCAACACCAAATCTAACCCTGAAGGTCAAAGATTGGCCAAATTGGACGACACGGATGACGTGGTGGCAGTCAAGAAACTCGACACCAATGTCGGAAAAGTCATTCTGAGAGCCAGACAAGACAAGAAAATGACCCAGAAGGACTTTGCCACTCAGATCAATGAAAAGCCCCAGGTGATCAATGACTATGAAGCCGGAAGAGCCGTGCCCAACCAGCAGTTGTTGGGGAAGATGGAACGTGCATTGGGAGTAAAGTTGAGAGGTAAGCAGATTGGTGAGCCTTTGTTTAAGAAGAAGACTTGAGAATGACCCTGACAGAGACAGACCCTGACAGAGACAGACGCAGAGAAATATACAAAAACTGACGAGGTGATGACTGGGCTACCAAGTCCAGGACGTGCTATGCGGAACTAGCGACCCCCGCCGCCATACCATTATTTATAGTAAATGCACAATCATCGGCCCAGTACAAGAGCGAGGCTCACGTGACCACAAACTACTGCAAGTACGTGGCAGCGGTCACAGCCAGTACAAGCGCAAGTGGGGTAGACGTGGGAGACAGCCCTTCGCCCCAGGCTTCCCTTGTCGCTTGGGCCTGCCATGCCAAGGCGATGCCCATCGCGACTCCCAAATTACATCAGTCTGGGGTAACTAGTCAGTATCCGCGTCTGGGGTAACTGGGCAGTATTTTCGTGGGAGGGGTATCGACATCTGAAATGGCACTCCGGGTATTTACCTACCACTGGTTGACCTCGCTAAAGAGTGCCCTCTAGAAATAAGGTTTGGGGCTGCCGGTGGGCGCACGCTGGTACCTCACCGGTATAGCGATGCCAAGTGGACCCCACACATCAAATTCTCTATAAATGGACCCATCAGCTGCTGTCCACTATTAAAGGGTAAATCAGCATGAAAGAAGCTTTTCCATCAAGTCGTCTCACTCTCGTCCCAGCATCTACCGAAGTGGCTCGTCGTATTTGGATATCTCCATCGCCAACTCTCGAATCGTCGATGGAGATGATACCAGTATCATCGCTGGCCTCGACAAGGACACCACATTGCACCGGGGCTTGAAGTCTCGGCACGTTCAGTTGTTGGCGCTCGGCGGGTGCATTGGCACTGGGTTATTCATTGGTTCTGGTGGAGCGTTGTCGGTCGCAGGCCCGGCATCTCTCTTTTTATCGTACTGTATCATGTTGGTGGTGATATTCTTTGTGATGAACATGTTGGGGGAAATGATCACGTTCTTGCCGTTGCCGGGAAATGGAGCCCAGTCATTTGTCAAAGATTATGTGGATGACTCGTTGGGGTTTGCAATCAGCTGGAACTACAGGTACGCATTTTCAATCTTGGTACCAACAGAAATCACTGCTGCCGCCTTGTTGATAGATTACTGGCCCAACTCCGTGCACACGGCTGTATGGATCACCATTTTTCTCGTGGTGATGGTGGGATTGAATTTGACTTCCGTCAAGGTGTTTGGTGAGGCCGAGTTTTATTTCGCATCCATCAAGATCTTTGCAGTCGTGGGCTTGATTGTGTTGGGGGTGGTATTGTTTTTTGGCGGCGGACCCAGCCACGACCGGCTTGGGTTCCGGTACTGGAAACACGGGCTTGCCTTTAAGCCGTACTTGGTCGAAGGGCCCACTGGAAGGTTCTTGGGGTTCTGGTATGCGGTGATTCGGTCAGGGTTTGCATTTATCTGCTCTCCCGAGTTGGTGGCAACCGCCGGGTCCGAGGCCATTAAGCCTCGTGCCAACATCCCCAAGGCAGCTTCACGGTTCATTTACCGGTTGGGCTTTTTCTACGTGTTGGGGACTTTGGTGATTGGAATTATTTGTGATTCCCGCAGCCACCAGTTATTGAACGGGCTGAGTGATGCTTCTGCTTCACCATTCGTCATCGGCATCAAGAACGCCGGGATCCCAGTGTTGGATAGTATTATTAATGCTGCCATCTTGACGTCAGCTGCTTCATCGGGAAATTCCTTCTTGTACTCGTCTTCTAGAGTGTTGTACTCGAATGCGGTCAAAGGCATAGCTCCCTCCATATTTATGAGGGTGAACCGGTTTGGGGTTCCGTACTTTGCGGTGGTGACCACCAGTTTGTTTGGGTGTTTGGCCTACTTGAATGCCTCATCCACGTCCGCCAATGTGTTCACGTGGCTTTCCAACATTGCAACTATTTCGGGATTTTTATCGTGGACAGCCTTGTCGGTGGCGTACATACGCTGGCGTAAAGCCATTTCCCACAACGATTTGTGGCACAGAGTCACTTACAAGACTATTCTTCAGCCGTATGGGGCCTACTTTGTCATTTTCTTCGTGGGGTTAATATGCTTAACCAACGGGTTTGCAGTATTTTTCAACTTCAATGGACCAGACTTCGTGGCAGCATATGTGACGTTTCCGATCTTGGCAGCACTTTATGTGTCTCACAAGGTGTACGAATACTTCAAGTTGGGGCGTGTTCGTTTTGTAAGACCCATTGAAGAGATTGATGTAACAACAAACTTGGACTTGATTGAGCAGGAAGACGCAGGGATTCCCGCACGGGTGCCCCGGAACCTTGTTGAAAAGGCCTGGTTCTGGTTGGCATAAACACAAGTCTATGCGTGTATATATTCTTCACTAAACACCTTTTTTCGCACCCATTTCTTCGCACGACCCGCATCTCATCACTCTCAAATTTTTCTAACCACAACTCTGCGAGTATCTGAACCTGTTATTATACAAACATGAGTTTATCGGAGCAGTTGGGAGCTATTGCGGACAGAACCGCATCGGTGGTGGTGGATAGAAAGACCAGAAGTAAAATCCACTCAAAATCGTTGATTTTCGAACCCAAAGTTGCCTCGACCCAGGACTATGAGTTGATCTACCAGATTGGTTTGGAGGGTTTAGAGGAGCTCAGCTCAATTGACAGGAGATTTGTCAGGTTTGAGAACACACTTTTCAGTGAAACCGCCATCAATTTCGATAGAAATACGCAGCTGCAGCCATTGTTGAAGGATTTAAACGAGAGCATCAACCTGTTTTTACTATTGGTTTCACCATACTTGAACTTGAACTGTTCTATCAAGGCATTGGAATGGCTTGTGAGGAAGTTCAACATCAATATGTTCAATGGAGAGTTGTTGTTGTTGATCGGGTTGTCCTACTACAAGGAGCCGGTGTTTTTAAAGTTCTTGAATGTTATTCCTAAGAACTCATTCCCAAAGATATTCGAACCATTGGCTGCATTCAAAGACTTATTAAAAAATCCTTCTGCCGCTTCCATCTTGAAAAGCTTTTTGAATAACTTGGAATTGGTCCAGTTGTACTTTTCATTCATCGTGGACCAAGTCAAGAATAAGTTGATTTTCAAACTGCAGTTAGTATTCTATTTGTCCATTTCCATTCAATTATTGTCTGCGAACAGCAAAGATTCAGAAAAGTTGGAACAGAACTACGTTCCTCTAGTGCTCAATGCCGTTGGCTATTTCTTGTTACCAAATGATACCAGCCTTTCCCACGAATTAAAATTAACTGCATTTTCTTTGGTATCGGTATTAAGTTCCATCCTTCCATTGAACTCCAAAGTTGTATTGTCATTAACTGATTCGATCATAAACAATGACGAATGTCTCAATGATAAAATAATCAAGAAGACCTTAATCACCTTGGGACAGTTATGGCATGGATTTGTAACCGATGAAAGAATCTACGTTAAACCTTTTGATTTGGCAAGTCACGAAACTTTGGTGACTTCTGTTGTCAAAGAGAACTTTAACTGCAACAAGTTTTTAATCGCCTACTACATTTCAAACACTTTTGAGAAAGGATTGTATAGGTTGATCAAGCACATAAATGTCGACAATCAAGTTGAATTCAAGACAATTATGAATGCATTGTTAGTTGAAACAGAGAGCTCCGAGGAGGATACGAAGACCAATGTTACCAGAGGCTTAGAAAGCTTATACAAGCTGAATAGTTCCCTCTTCAAGGAAAATTTGAAGTGTTTCAGAGAAGGATTTTCACTTTCAGACTTAGAAATGGTGTTGATGACCACATTGGACGATGGATATATAAGAGACTCTGACCAAGAGTTTGAGGTCCATGACGACGCTGATGATGAAGATGACGAAGAAAGCATCGAGATCATCCAACAGAAGATGACTGAGTTTAAAATCAGCCATAACACTACCACATTTTGGAATTCCTCCTCTACCGAAGAGTTTAACAACTTGGCTACCATTCTCATGAAGAATTTGAATGCCACCAGTGGATTGGTGACAAAGTTCACTTCAATGGAGTTGTATATCTCCTTTTTATTCAGATTCTCATTGACTCCTTCCATCCCTATAATTGCCAGACTTCTGGTGTTGAAGACTTTGAACCACAAGATGAACAAACTCGTCAAATACGACTATGAGTTCTACACTCTTTTGCCATTTGTGTTATTGGGTCTCTTTGACCAGCTGAAGTTGGTTCGTCAGTACTATCTCAGCTTGTTCAAGAAATTCTCCAAAGCCAACCCTAGTAAGAAAGCTGAGTTGTTCATGGAAGAAGAGATCTACGGCAGTTTACCAAAGAACAAAAGATCAATTTTGTCTCCTAAAGATGGTAACTACTTGATTGAGATCTTGGACGAAGCCAATCTCGAAGATGTTACTGTTGATCAATACAAATTAGTACCCTTGGTTAACTCCTTATTCAATCACAGTAAAGGCAACTCCAAGAAGTTTGGTGCAAACTATTTGAAGGGATTCGTCTTGAACCAGTGGTCTTTGCCTTACTTGCCTTTGTGCTTCAAGTACAAGATTTGGAACATTATGAGCGTTTTGAATAACGAATTCCAGCCCAATGACTTCCGAGAGGCATTTGTTGAGAACGATTTACTGAGCTACTTGCTGACGAGAAACAACCTTGTTAAAGAAGCTAATGAAATCAAGGTTGAGTTTGCCAATGTCGAGAAGTGGTTAGTTAGTATTCTCGGGGGTCGTCACATTAACGACAAATTTGCAGCCAAAGAGGTTGACATCACGATCACTTTGATTCTTGGACCTTCTCAATTACAGGAGCTTATCAGTGAAAGAATGCCAGTTATCTTCGAGTATATCAAGTCAAGCGACTTGAAGTTCAAGATTGTTACCAAGTTAATTGATTGTGTTATCAACGATACTAACCTGGTGGTAGATCAATTCGAAGTGTTGTCGAACTTGAAGTTGGACTTCCAGTTGATCTCCTCTGTGTTGAGTACCGTTCAATTGAACGAGCAAGTCCCTGAACAAGCAATTGTTAAAAGGAAGAGAAGATCTTCGAGTCAAACCAAACAGACCATGGCCAGAAGCGATATCAACTCTATGGCATCCACCCATCTCAGGAAGTTGACTATAATTTTGGATTACTTGGAAATCAACTTGACTGACAACTTGAAAGCGAACGTTCAAGATGATACCATATCCCGCCCTGAGTTGTTGGTGGAGCTTTTCAAGATCTTGACTGACTTGGATTATCTCGGAAACGATGGACACTTACCAGTATTATATGCTCAAGAGACATTAGCCAGTTGTATGTTGATGTCCATCAAGCTGATGAAGTCCAAGAATTTCACATTTGATTCCAACTCCATTAGAGCAGACTTGATCGTGAACTCGATTCGAAACTCCACCAGTCCCCAGGTACAGAATCGCTTGTTGTTGGTGATTGCAGAACTTGCTTCATTGGCACCTGAAATCATTTTGCACTCGGTGATGCCTATTTTCACCTTTATGGGTGCTCACACTATCAAACAAGACGATGAGTTTTCCAATTCAGCTTTACAAGAAACGGTATCCAGGGTAATTCCCGCATTGGCTCAAAACGGAACCACCAATATAGATGAGGACATCGAGTTTTTATTGGCAAGTTTTGTTGCTGCTTTGCAACACATTCCTAGACACCGCAGAAACAAGTTGTTTAACTCTTTAGTAAAGACTTTGACGGTGGAAAAGTCCTTGCACACAATTTTGTTCTTGGTTGGTAACCAGCTCCACAAACTCGACGGTAACCAGGTGGACACAAAAAATTCGTTGGTTGAGTTTTCATCCTCGTTGGTTAAAAACTTCAGTGCCGATGAGCAGTTGAATGCTATCAACAAGTTATTGTTGTTATGGGACAAGATACCCAATCAGACAGTGGAGAAGAACAGTGAGGAATATGCCAGCTTGATCAAAAGACCAATTTTCGGGGCTTCTCTCTTGTCTTTGACTAATGATGAGTTGATCAATTTGAAAGTCAATTTGTTGAACTTTGTAAACGAAATCATTGACCCCACCGATGACTTTAACGAGATCAACTTATTGAAATTAAAGATCAACTTGAAGTTGTTGGATCAAGATATTTCTGGACAAGAGAAGGAATCTATGTTGCAAGAATTCAACCAAATCATTTCTTTCTTGTTGAAGTCAATCGATGCCTTCAGCAATAAAAAGGGTATCAAGTCCGGAAAAATTATCAGCAATATCTATAGGTTGTTGAACGGTTTCTTGGACATGCTTCCTATTTCATACTTCATCGACTCGATAGTTAGTTCTTTGAACCCCGACCTGCTCAATGACTTCATTTCTATCAAGATCGCCATTAATTTTGCCAACTTAACCAGTGTGAAGTTTGAAAACGACTTGAACATCAACAATGTAAACGACGAGTTGAAAGAAACCATCAAAACCAAGTTGTTGCCAGTGTTGATAACCGGAATAGATAAGAATTTGGGATTGGTGTTGCAACAGTCCTACTTGGACACTTTCGCAGTGGTAATCCAAAAGTTGGCTGCAGTTGATCCAGAAGCTTTCAACGACAGTAAGAGTTTGCTTAGCTCCTTGAACCTTGTTATTAGTGACAAGGGATTCTTAAGCGATAAGCCTGAATTGATCATCTCTGCCACCAACGTCATAATCAACGTCATCAACATTTTAGGAATCAAGTTCATAGGGTGTTTCCCCAAGGTCATTAAGCCATCTTTCCAGATTTGGGAAAAGTATCAAGCAGACGAGGACAAAGACGAAGAGGACGAGGAAGCTGGGTCCAGTACGTTGGTACGGACATCTATATTATTGTTGTACTCAGCCTTGATCAAGAAACTCCCAGCATTTTTGGGATCGCATCTCGAGCATATCATCATTACGATTTTGAACAGTAATGAAGTGGACAACGGGTTGAGGTCCGAGATTCTAAGTCTTTTGATCTCCCATGTAGAACTTTCAGTGTTGTTGAAGAGCTTGATCAGTATCTGGAACAACAAAAAGTTCTACGACAATAACCACACGGATAACTTGGGATTGTACTTGAGATGCCTTGAGTATACGATCGAGTCTATTGACAAGAAGACAGCAGTTCAGAACTCCACCTTGTTCTTGAGATGGATTTTGACATCGTTCGAATTCAGACAATACTGTGAGTCCAACGATAAATTCAACAATAACACCATTCACAGATTGGAGGCATCTTTCCACAAATGTGGGATGATGTTCATCATGAAGTTGAACGATAAGAGTTTCAGACCATTGTTTGCATCGCTCACTAGATGGGCCATTAACGGTGAGGACTCAACTGTTGACAGTGAGGTGTCAAGATACACGTCATTCTTCAAGTTCTTCAACAAAATGCAAGAAGAACTAAAGAGTATTGTCACCAGTTACTACTCGTATGTAATTGAAGCGGTTGCGCAATTGTTGCAAAAATTCGCAGCCAGCGAGGTCGACGACATTAACTTGCGAAGAATAGTTCTCATCTCGTTGAACACCTCGTTCAAGTATGACCAGGACGACTATTGGAACCAAGAGCTGCGGTTCGAGATGATGTATACTCCGTTGTTGGCGCAATTGACAAACATTGAAGATTCAATCGGGAAATACCTTCTCAAGGCCATCACCAACTTCACCGCCAACGTGTCGTCAGACGAACATAACAACATCATAGTACAAGAATTGATCAAGTACGTATCGAACGACCACGAGAACTCGTCCCAAACCAAGATTTGGACCATCCGGACCTTGAAATCAATTTTCCAGAAACTCGGCGAGAACTGGTTGAGCCATCTCCCTACGTTGGTGCCATATATTGCCGAGCTCCTCGAGGACGATGATGAGGCCGTAGAGTTGGAGGTCAGAAAGGGACTTGTCCGGGTCATCGAGAATGTACTTGGAGAACCACTTGATCGGTATTTAGACTAGTTTAGGCGATTAAACGTGTACGCACCAACCCACAGAATTTTCTAGTCAGTTAGAGCGAAAAATTTCAATTGTATTTGACATCCAAGTCTTCCACCAGATAAACCCCAGATTGATTTGTTACAATGGTATGTACCACTAGCATGGGTAGAAATGTGTAAACCATATAGTTTTTACTAACACCTTCAGTCATTGTTAAAGAGTGCCCAGGCCTTGAAGCCATTATTCGACAGAGTGTTGATCCAGAGATTGAAACCCCAAACTCAAACTGCCTCCGGTATTTTCATTCCTGAAAAGAACCAGGAAAAGTTGAACCAGGGAACCGTGGTAGCCGCGGGTCCCGGTGTAGTTAACCCTCAAACTGGTGAAACGGTTCCGGTGGTGTTAAAGGCTGGTGACAGAGTGTTGTTACCAGCTTTTGGTGGAAGCCCTGTCAAGGTCGGTGAAGAAGAGTACTTGTTGTACTCGGACAAGGAGATTTTGGCCAAGATCGACCAGTAAGTACCTGTAAATAAATATATATACATATCTGTGTTTTAGTCAGCTACACGTGACCACCAACTTTATGTTCTCTGCTGAGTGCGAACCGATAGGAAAATCAGCAACACCGACGATAAAGTCACCCCTGACTTCATATACCCATCACATCCATCGCATAACACACCACAAATGGCCTCCTCCACAGATACTACCAGGTTCGCCCAGTTTAAGTTGGTGCTCTTGGGTGAGAGTGCTGTTGGTAAATCTAGTATAGTGCATCGGTTCGTCAAAAACACCTTTGATAACTTCAGAGAGTCCACCATCGGTGCCGCATTTTTAACCCAAACCATCACGTTACCAGAGTCCAAAACAACCATAAAGTTTGAGATTTGGGACACTGCAGGTCAGGAACGGTATAAATCTTTGGCTCCAATGTACTATCGAAATGCTCATGCCGCATTATGTGTATACGATATAACCAATCCTTCTTCGTTCACAAAAGCGCAGGACTGGATCAAGGAGTTGAAGAAGCAGGCGCCGGAAGGCATCGTCATTTGCTTGGTGGGAAACAAGCTTGATTTGAGTGAAGAAAGACAAGTGGACGAACAGGAGGTTTTACAGTATGTACAAGAATTAAACCACCAGGAGAATAATGTTCTTTGGGCCGAATGCTCGGCCAAGAGTGGTGAGGGAGTGTTGGACATTTTCAACAAAATCGGCCGGGCTTTGCCGGTGGAAGAAGTGATAAATGGTGCTAGTAGCAGGGCCAGACAGGTGGGCTCGAGAAAACCGGGCGTTGACTTGGCCAGGCAGGCCCACCTGCCACAGAACTCGGGCTGCTGCTAGGAAGAAGACTTATTTTGCACGTTTAGATTAGTATACGAAATTTGAGAAGCACATGTCACGTGCGAGATACTGTAGCGGAAGCCGGGTAAGTCGCACTCGAAAACGGAGATGGTCGTGTCTCTACCCCAAATCCTCTCGTGCTCGCTCTCAAGTGCGTGAAAAATTTTTCACTCGTCTTCTCTGTTAACTTATACTATAATATCTACGATGTCTACTCGTCCTCAAGTTTCTGTTGTTTCCGCTACCGGTGAACAAACCTCCACCCAATTGCCATTGCCAGCTGTCTTCTCTGCTCCTGTGAGACCAGACTTGGTCCACTCTGTCTTCACCAGAGTCAACAAGAACAAGAGACAAGCTTACGCTGTTTCTGAAAAAGCCGGTCACCAAACCTCCGCTGAATCCTGGGGTACTGGTAGAGCTTTGGCCAGAATCCCAAGAGTTGGTGGATCTGGTACTCACAGATCCGGTCAAGCTGCTTTCGGTAACATGTGTAGAGGTGGTAGAATGTTCGCTCCAACTAAGACCTGGAGAAGATGGAACATTAAGGTTAACCACAACGAAAAGAGATATGCCACTGCTTCTGCTATTGCTGCCTCTGCTGTTACCTCTTTGGTTTTGGCCAGAGGTCACAGAGTTGAACAAGTCAAGGAATTGCCATTGGTTGTGTCCAACGACTTTGAATCCGTCCAAAAGACCAAGGATGCCGTTGCTTTGTTGAAGGCTGTTGGTGCTCACAAGGATGTTGTCAAGGTGATCAAGTCCAAGAAGTTGAGAGCCGGTAAGGGTAAGTTGAGAGGTAGAAGATTCACTCAAAGAAGAGGTCCATTGGTTGTCTACGCTGAAGACAACGGTCTTGTCAAGGCTTTGAGAAACATTCCAGGTGTTGAAACCGCTCCAGTTAAGCACCTCGGTTTGTTGCAATTGGCTCCAGGTGCTCACTTGGGTAGATTCATCATCTGGACTCAAGGTGCTTTTGAATCCTTGGACTCTGTCTACGGTTCTGAAGCCACCAAGTCTGTTAAGTCCAACTATGCTTTGCCATCCAACATCATCTCCAACACCGATGTCACCAGATTGATCAACTCTGCTGAAATCCAGGCTGTTGTCAGACCTGCTGGTCAAGCCACTCAAAAGAGAGCTCATGTGTTGAAGAAGAACCCATTGAAGAACAAGCAAGTTTTGTTGAGATTGAACCCTTACGCCAAGACCTTCTCCGAACAGAAGTTGGGATCTGCCAAGGTTGAACAGCCAAAGACCAAGCCATCCAAGGGTGCTTTTGCTGATGTTTTGAAGAACTAAATTTGAGGTTTCTCAAATTTCAAAAGTCAGATTTTGCAGCCGGTATTATTAGTTAATATTGAATTAGATTAATGCACAATAATACTTGACAACTGTAGGCTCAGGTGTAACATAAAGAGGATACAACAATTTTAGAAACTCATAATTTTACATAGCGAAAAAAGTACAAACGATTAGGAAGAAATTGGCTCCACGACGTTTTCTTCAAAGTACGTCTTTCCAGTGGCAGAATCAGTACCCACAATATTACCTCTCTGATTACTATATTCACAAATAGTGTACTGTTGCCAGGCGTTGTCGCAAGTGACATACGCACATCCCAATTGAGAAGTGGACTTCCAAACAACTTGTGTAAAGTGTCCGGCAGACTCACTAAATCCTGGGTTACTAAAGTCATAGTACTGGATTTCATCGTACCAAGCGTCCACCGGAGAAGCTCCTCCTTTGTAGCCGGCAGCCAAGTTTTCACCATATGGTCCGCCTGAGTGGATCAATTGAACATTGTTACAGGAGAATGTGGATGCAGCGTAGTCGGCAGCGTATTGGGCCAAGGTGCTGTTCCATTGCAAGTGTTGGACACCGTGCAAGTCTCTTTTGATGTTGTGTTCGTCCAAGATGGATTGTTGGAAGTCGCTCAAATCGCCAGTTGAAGTAGCAACGGCAGTTGAGCTGGTGGTGGGAGAGGTAGTGGTTGGAGTGGTGGGAGAGGTGGAAGTGGTTGGAGTGGTGGAAGTGGTTGGAGTGGTGGAAGTGGTTGGAGTGGTGGAAGTGGTTGGAGTGGTGGAAGTGGTTGGAGTAGTTGGAGTAGTTGAAGTAGTTGGAGTAGTAGAAGTAGTAGAAGTTGAAGTAGTAGAAGTTGGAGTAGTAGTAGTTGGAGTGGAAGCAACAGCAGCCACGGGGGACACAGTGGAGGTTGTGGTGATAGTGGTAGTTAGACTGGAAGATGGAGTAGTTGGAGCGGCTTCGGTGGTAACTGTAGTTGGAGTGCTCGTAGTTGGAGTGCTCGTAGTTGGAGTGCTCGTAGTTGGAGTGCTCGTAGTTGGAGTGCTCGTAGTTGGAGTGCTCGTAGTTGGAGTGCTCGTAGTTGGAGTGCTCGTAGTTGGAGTGCTCGTAGTAGTGGCCGCAGGCGCTGCGCTCACCACGTTCACCACGGTGGTGGTACCAGTGGCATAGGTTATCCACTGGGTGACTGGGGCTGCCGTGTGCACCCTGGTAATGATTTTAACTGGGGCTGCTTGAGCCAAGGCGAGCATAGCGAGGACTAAACCAAACTTCATGATATTGCAAAGAACGACTGGGGTGATTCAAAAGAAGGAAGGAAACAACAAAGGAATGTGTAGTGAAAGGAAAGACTTGTGTGAATAGTCAAAAAAGTGGCCGGTGGTGGTTTAAAAACCATTTGGCTAATCACTAACCAGCACAAGCGATCGCCAGTTATAGGCTCTGCATCGGTACAAGATGCCGATCTGCGTCTGCTGGTGCATTCACATGCACCAGACTCTTGCACACACACTAAACTCATTCATATCAGCCACCTATAATAGCCAGCATCTCCATGATGAATGTTCGGCTAATGGCTGCAACAGCCAGCACTGTATCAAGACTGGAAATGCGGGCGTCGAAATAGGAAATGCGGTGGGGCACGTCCAAATTAGGGGAATGTCAAAAGCGCACAGGTGGATACAGCCGCACCTCTTTGTCTACAAGCGGAATCTCCCCAAACTTCGGAACAGTAGACCCAAATACAAGTTCCCCAAGATGTTCCGAAAGCACACACAAAGAGGTAGCAACAGGCAATCACCCCCTTGGCAGCCGCCTTTCTCAGGTCCGGAATTTCCAATTTCAACGTATCGTCTCCGTCGATGTTGTCGACTGGATTGGCATACACCGCTAAGATGGCACCCACCGCAAAGTGCAAGCCCATCATCACCGCCGCACCTACAAGCAACACGGGTCTTCTACCAAACTTGTCCAAAAAGTACAAAGATGGAATGGTTGCAACCACAAAAAGCACATATTGGATGGAAGAAGAACTAAGTAAAGCTCCACCACCGTAGCCTGCCATCTGGAAAATGTATACAATGTAATACATCATGACATTCATGCCCGTCAACTGTTGCCAGGTCTGGGCAAATATGGCGGTGATAGTCCGGGGAAGATATTTCTTTGTGAATAAGTCCGCGTAGGTGAAAGTTTTTGCATCCCTATCAAGTAAGATCTGTTCTTTGATTTCGGAAACTTCGATCAACACGTTCTCATCCTCACGATTTCCCTTGGCTTGGACCTTGGCCACGATCTCCTCGGCGTCCTCCCAGTATCCCTGTTTGGCCAACCATCTAGGAGACTCAGGAATACAGAAACAGCCAAAAATCAACCCAATTCCTGGAATGAGCTGCAACCCCCACGCCACCCTGAACGAGGTAGTGCCGTCGATCTGGGAGCACCCGTAGGAGATGAAGAACATCACCATGATTCCAACGGTCACCGCCAGTTGAAACAACCCTCCCACTCGTCCTCTAATAGTTCTGGGGCATAACTCCGACACCAACACTGGAGCAGCAGCGGTACCAAAACCCACTCCAAACCCCGAAACCACCCGGCCGCCAATCAACTGGCCGACATTTTGGGTGGACGTTTGGATTATGGCACCAATGCACCAGAAAATCCCACAGACCATTAAAGAAGACCGTCTACCAAAAGGCTCCGACACGAACGACGAGGCCAACGACCCAAAAATCGATCCCAACGCCATGCTGGCGGTGATGATCCCTTGGAGAGTCGAATCCGGAGCATTGAAGTAGTCTCGGTACTGGCTGGTACTGATAAACGCAGACATGGACGAAATGTCGAACCCGAACATAAGTCCAGCTGTACATGTCACAATTGAAATAACAAAGATGTTGTGGGTATTGGGGAATTTGTCCAACATACCTCTGAACTTGAGGGCCAAGCCCTGGAGTTTGGCTTCGTATCCCATAATAACTGAAATTGTTGTGGGAGGTGTGGGAATGAAGGGTGCTTTATATTGCTGCAAATGGGGGTAGGTACGAGGTGGGGGGCTCCAAAGTATGGGGAAAGCGAGAACGGGGTAATCTCCACACCTGGAGGAAATTCCTGTCAATTGCATTACGAGTTTCTCTGCGCCCACCAATTATGGGTGCTTTTGTGGGAGGTTGGGGCTATTATCGGTTATCGAGCCCTTGGTTCTGGTGTGCAGATAGTTCTTCTCCAGGTTCGCGGATTGGCAAAGTGGGGTCGCAGAAGGCGCCGCCAACGCGGGTATCGAGTGAGTTTTCCGGGATGGCGGGGCCGGTTGAAGTCTTCAAGGCAGAAAGCACCGGGGGAGCGAGATGGTAGTAGAGGGAGTCTTGGTAGGCCAAACAATGAATTGATAGCTACCATCAAAAACATTATGACGTGCCTTTATTAGCCCGGCCAGAGCCCGAGCGCAATGTTTCCACGGGTAAACAAGGGCGTGCCAAGGAGGGATAAATATGTGCCAATCACGCTGCCCCTCTCCCTGCGTTAAGGTTCTCTGGTGCGGGCCGCGGGTTGCTGTCAAGCAACAATTGCCGAAATATTTGTGGTGACCTAGTTATAGCGGAGGGAGCATTGTTAGTAATCTGGGGTAACCGGTACTCAGATGGTTGAGAGCATGAGGCAAGATCTGGGACAAGTGGGTGGTTGGGGTAGTAGGGGTTTATCCGACGCGATGCAACGTTCCATAAGTGCGGGTGCACTGTCTCCACCATTCTATCAAGCATAAGTTCAGGTTCTCTGCCGCCACCATTCTATCAATAAACTGTCTTAAAGGTATTCTTTATATTATCACTTGCATTATATAATTATAGCGTTATAACAAATTAATCGACTAAGCCTGCTCAACCTTCTTCTCATTTTCAGAGTTGTCGTCAGCATCAGACTTGATCAAGTCACTTTCGTTTTCCTTGTGCTCGTACTTCATCTTGGCAGCCAAATCAGCATCGGATAAAAGTGGAACAATTGGTTGCCAGCTGGCAGTCTTCCAAGCTGGGATCTTATCAGCCCAAATCTGGTCAATTTCTTCCAATCTCTTACCCTTGGTTTCAGGGAAGAAAAAGTAGGTGTGAACAAACATGCATCCACAGAAAGTAGCGTAGATACAGTAGGTCTTCCATGAAATGTTCTGGAATGAAGGAGGAGTGAACATAGCAATGGCAAAGTTAAAGATCCAGTTACCAGCAGTGGATAAAGCAGCACCTCTTTGTCTACAAGCGGAGTCACCCCACACTTCAGAACAGTACAACCAAATCGTAACACCCCAAGATGGAGCAAACGAACACACAAACAAGTAACAACAAGCAATAACACCTCTGGAGGCATTCTTTCTGGAGTCTGGGATCTTCAAGGTGACGGAAGGAGAAGTTCTTTCTGCTTCTGGAATGGTTTCAGCATAAGTAGCCAAAATACCTGCAACACCAAATTGGAAAGCAAACATGAAAGCAGCACCAACCAACAAAACGGGTCTTCTACCAACCTTATCCAACAAGTATAATGATGGAATGGTGACAACAGTGTTCAACACATACTGAATAGAAGAAGAAACCAAGTTAGCGTTACCATGGATACCGGCCATCTCGAAAATGTAGACAATGTAGTACATCATAACGTTCATACCAGTCAATTGTTGCCAAATCTGAGCGGAAACACCAACAATAGTTCTTGGGAGATACTTCTTGGTAAACAAGTCAGCGTAAGTGAAAGCTCTAACATGTTCGTCAACCAAGATTTGTTCCTTGATTTCAGAGATTTCAATCAAAACATCGGGGTCTTCTCTGTTACCGTTGGCCTGGATCAAGGCCACGATTTCTTCGGCATCTTCCCAGTATCCTTGCTTGGCCAACCATCTTGGAGATTCTGGAAGGAAGAACATACCAACAAACAAAACGAACCCTGGAATCATTTGAATACCCCAGGCAGTTCTGAAAGAAGATCTACCATCAATCTTAGAACAACCGTATGAAATGTAGAACATGATCAAGATTCCCAAGGTCACAAACAATTGGTACAAACCACCAATCAAACCTCTGATCTTTCTTGGAGCCAATTCGGAACCATACACAGGAGCGACAGCAGTACCGAAACCAACACCAAGACCAGAAATGATTCTTCCGGCGATCAACTGACCAAGGTTTCTACAAGAACATTGAATAGCAGCACCAGCCATCCACAAGATGGAACATAATAAGATGGAGGATCTTCTTCCGAAAGGTTCAGAAATAAAGGCAGAAGCCAAAGAACCGAAAAACGAACCTAATGACATGGCAGCAGTAACAAAACCTTGCACATCAGATGATAAGTCAAACATGCTGGTGTACTGTTCGGTACCAATGAAGGCGGACATGGACGAAATATCGAAACCAAACAACAAAGCTGACACACATGAAATACATGCAATGACATAGATGTTGTGGAATTTAGGGAACTTATCTAAGAACCTTCTAAATTTTAAAGCGTGGGGGACAAGTTTATCTTCATAACCCATATTGTATTATAAGAGATATTAAATCTTCGATGAGAAAAAACTCTTACAATGGGGAAAACCACGGGCTTTTATAGTTTTTTGAGCAGCTGGTCACCGGGTTTTTTTTTTTAGGCAGAAAATCCATTTTGGCTAGTTTCCCCAAAAGTTTCTCCATTATTTTTTAAAATGCACCTGCATGCAGGCCCGATCTTGCTTTTTTTGCTTGTGGAGACAATGTCAGGCAAACCCCAAACCGGAAGCATCATGCCAACTCTATTTGGCACTAACACTACAACCAGGGGGGTTTGTTGATGGTGGTACATGGGAGGTGGTAAGGGGAAGATACGGGGTGGTATGGCCTCAGATCCTCAAACCATGTTGGCGGTCCTCGGTTTTAATTTTCTCCAGCGCCCAGACATTATCTGGAAAAACCCCAGGGTGACGGGCCCCGTCCCGGAAAAAACTCAGCAAGCAAAAATTTTCATGGATAATCCATAAATGCCGTTGGCGTATATGCCGGATTTCCGTCGAGAGACAGATGCTACGGCGTATAGTAGTGAAACTGCCCCGCGCGCGCGCGCTATCATTGGCCAGCCAGATAAAAACAAGTGGAGTTATGCTGGGGTCTTGCATATAGAGTGGGGAAAACCTGGAGACGACACACGAAAATGGGCCTCCCGTGATGTTGATTTTATCCATAAACAGGTGCTGGGGAATTTTATTTTTTTTTATTGTCCTGGGCGTGGGGTGGGTACATTCATAACCTGCTATAGGCTGAGATCTGGGGCACGTCTGGGGATTTGTGGCCGGTTAACCGGTGGACGTATTTGTCGACGGATAGGTGATTGTCAAGAATTCAGCTGTCACCGCAAAATGTTCCGGATCCGCCAAGGTGATTCAAGACTCCGAATTGCAACGTCTCACTAGGGAGGATCACCCACTGTCGGGGTTATTGGGATCGAAGAGGGGATCCCCCGGTGCCCTTTGGATAGTGGGGCAAGTGGTTGTGGACTTAGACGGGTTTTATGGGAGCGGATACCTGGAGGGTTAACAGGTGATGTAACGTAGTATTATTGTGGAGAAACTCCCTCCACTCGGATTTTCCTGACGCGGGTTTTCCCAGGAAGTATGCAGGACTGGGCACAACCCCACACGGAATCGGAATTAGAAGCAAACTTGGGAGGTAGTGCGCGGGCTGAATACGCAGAGCCTGTGTACCGTCCCGAATCCCTGCAGGTTAACCTCGGCCTATGTGTACACCAAATGTAAGTGCATGGCAGGATGGCGTGTCATGGTAATAATCACCTGTTATATAGCGTGATGGTATAATTTTTGATAACCCCAGATTTGGGTCCAGCCTGATTTTAGTCACCCCATTGTGACTTCGTGTGATACGAATTCCGGGTCAGAGCTGTGACCCAAGAGGCCCTGGTGGTGGGTCCACTACCAAACTCGGCCGTCCTCGGGTGTGGGCGGGTGCTCCTCGCACATACATGTCCGGCCCGAGTCCGTCGTGGTAGGTCTACCGCGAAGCTGGCGGTGGAGCTGGCACATACGTCGCCCTGTCATACACCCACCGGTTGCCGACTCGCACCTCACGCCACTTTGTACCGATTTTTCCCGATATCCACCTTGCTAAAAGCGAAGACGGGTTTAGGTACCTATCCATCTCCCACCAGATCCACCAGTCTCCCCGTACCCAAACACTCACCAACGTGTAGACATGGGTGGCCACACCCCAACGGCAGTTTCCCGGGACCCCAGGCGCTAAAATCACCCGTTCTATACCTTACGATAAAAACCCGGAAATAGGATTTTGCAGACTTTTAGAATCATTCGATGATTCGATAATTTCTATCGAATGATAACGCATTTCTGTTTTTCTTTGTTTTCAGCCTTTCCATGATATAAACCACCCATTTCCCAAGGATCTTGTACTCATCCACATCATGACCCTTGATATTTTACCAATTATAGACGATATTCATACGTCACCTTACACTCCCCAGTTACAGAGAAACTGTTACACGAAGACCCTCGATGGCCTTGTCATCAACAACTTCCAGTTTGTCAAGAAACTCGGCTCTGGCACCTACGGTTTGATATACTTGGTCAAAGACCTCGATACTAACCGGGTTTACGCTGCCAAAATCATCTTGAAAGACCAGATGAACCTAAATCAAAAAGACATCGAGTCGTATAAAAAGTATATTCAAGAACGGATATTCTTTGAGTTTATCAACAACTATAGCAACTTGCAGCTCGAGGACTTAGACCTCGACTTGATCAAAGAAAACGGCAACCAAATCTCGTACTTGAAGGAGATTTCCATCCACCTCAAATGTCATCATCACCCCAATGTCGTCACCATCCATAAAGTCATCAGCTTCAGTATCGGTCTAGTCACAGTAATGGACTACTACGAACAAGGGGACTTGTTCAAGAACATCGTCGACAACCGCATCTTCAGTCCCAGTAACCCCCTCATGATGAAAAACTGTGTGTTGCAAATCATCAACGTTATCAACTACTTGAGTTCGAAGAACATTTACCACTGTGATCTCAAGCCCGAAAACATTCTTGTCAAGTACAACCCAGACTATAGGAGGCCTGACGATGCTCCCATCGTTGACTACAACGAAATCTCCATCGGCCTCATTGATTTTGGTCTCTCCATGGAAGATGAGATAATTTGCTGCAACAGCTGCAGAGGGTCTTCCTTCTACATGTCTCCAGAAAGACTCGTCAACTACACCAAAAATGAGTATATCAAGTCGATCATCGACTTGTCGAGCTACAAGACCCGGCCCTCTACTGACTCTTCGCCTATGTTGTACTTTCCTACTTTGAAAGGCGATATCTGGTCCATTGGCGTGTTGTTAATCAACATCACTTGTGCTAGAAACCCTTGGCCCAATAGCAGCATTGTTCCAAACAACAACGAAGTGTTCCAGACGTATGCATACGAAGACACAGCCATTTTGAAGAAGATCTTGCCCATTTCCACCGAGTTTAATGTATTATTGAACAAGATCTTCAAGTTGAATCCGATAGAGAGAGTAGATTTACAGGACCTTTACAACGACGTGATTGTGGTGGACTTTTTCCACGATAGCATGTTGACGCCGCCCGAAAGTCCTGTGTAATGAGAATTGAAAAATACAGAATGAATAACTAGAATGAATAATGATAATACGAATGTACGATGACGAAAACAAGTGTTGATGTAGATAAGGGCACGACATGCGCTTGCGACATGCGACACATGGGAGGGGGAAATAGACCACCTACCGGGGGTTTATCCCCGACATTTGACCTCTATGGGTATGTGGGTTGACTCTCATTGACTAAGTGATAGCTTGATTCCTGGAAGTGCTTCCATCGCGATGACTTCTCACGAGTCATCCCAACAAAAATACATCATGCCTAACCTGCAATTTTACGGGGCGCGCGCCGGCGCTTTGATTACCCTACCAGCAAAATACCCCTAGTGACGTAGCGGCATGGGCCTGAGATTCAGTGAGATTTGCACCTTGACTGTGACCCCAACTTAACCTGTAATACGCCCGCCATAGATCTTCCTGGACCCCATATGAAGTTTTTTTTCCCATTGCCACAATAAAATTTCCTTATAAACCCCCCAATCCGTCAGCTTTTGTCTAATACATTCACCGTGTCCAACTACGCCATTTCAAGGATTTCCCACCCTTTAAAGATTCCTCCTTTAATTGCAACTCGCTCTTTAGCAACCTCAACTATTACCATGGGTAGAGAAAACATCTTAAAGTACCAGCTTGAACACGATCACGAGACTGATCTTCCCCAAACCCTGTCTAGGAAAGACCTTGACGTGAAAATAAGAAACTCCCACTTCCCCTTCACCTTATCTAAAGATTCCACCATCCAGGACTATTTAAGCAATAATAAATTTTTTGTCGATTCCATCAACCACAACCACTCGCCAGAAGTATTTGCTCTCAACGGCAAGGGCCAACAGCCACACACCTTGTGGATCGGATGTGCTGATTCTCGTGCGGGAGAAGGCTGTTTGTCGGTATTACCAGGAGAAATCTTCACCCACAGAAATATTGGAAACATTGTCAATTCCAGTGACATCAGCAGCCAAGGTGTGATCCAGTTTGCCATTGAGGTGTTGAAGGTGCGCAAGATCATTGTGTGTGGCCATACGGATTGTGGTGGGGTGTGGGCATCGATGTCCAATAAGAAAATCGGAGGGGTGTTGGATTTGTGGCTCAATCCAATTAGGCACATTCGGGCCCAGAACAGAACCTTGTTGAATTCCATTGAAGATCCGAAAGAAAAGGCCACCAAGTTGAGCGAATTGAATGTGATTTCTAGTGTGTTGGCTTTGAAAAGACACCCGTCAGCATCCATGGCTTTAAAGAACGGTGAGATTGAAGTATGGGGGATGCTCTACAATGTTAGTACTGGACACCTACAGGAGGTGGAGGTTCCAGCCGACGAATTTGAAGATTTGTTTCACGTTCATGACAATGAAGATCTTGTACATTAACTTTTATGATAGAATAAATACGCATGCAGAAGCAGAGTAGCGCGCGGTGCCATGTGCACCCATAAGAGCATGCAATCCGATCTCACCTACCAGTGGCCCATCGGTGCTCCACCGCTACCTACCTGGAAGCGGTACCTATGACTCCGACCAATTTAATCCATAAGAGTGTCCTTCTTCGTGTGTAAATTTCTCCACAAGCTGAATCACCTCTTCTGGGGTAGTAGCCACATTCAATAATTCTCTTTGTTTTTTGGCAATAAACCCGGCCTCGATACTCTCATCAATGAACTTCAAAAATGTATCCCAAAACCCGTTGATGTTCAACAAAACAATTGGTTTTTTGTGGATTCCCAACTGGTACCAGGTGGTCACTTCCAATAATTCTTCAAAAGTACCGTATCCACCAGGCATGGCCACGAAAGCGTCACTTTCTTCTCCCATCATTCTCTTTCTGGTGTGCATGTCCTTAACCATCGTGGTCTTTCCGTACACACTTGAATCGGGTAATGGTGAGAACCCTTTGTGGTTCTCGTGGTCTTTCTTGATAGCTTCGTTAACATCTTCAGTATTACGCTCTTTGGAGATCAATGCTTCGGGGATGATTCCATGGACATATCCACCACTGGTAGCACATCCCTTAGCAATCAGGCCCATTACTCCGGTCGATCCACCTCCATACACCAAACCCCAGTTTTTCTCTGCCAACAACTTTCCAAACTTAAAGGCAATTTCGGCATAGATGGGGTCCTTACCAAAGGAGGAGCCACAGAAGACACATAATTTTTTATCGATGGACATGGTTTGTGTTATTGGTGGTTGTTTTTGTTGTTTGTAACCAAAACTATTAAGATTTTAGGGGATTACCTGGTGGCTATATATACTTAGTTTTCTCAATCTCGATGCATGCGCGCACCCAAGTGTTCCGTCGGAGACTCCGGCCACCGACCCTTTGACATCTGGTGGGGACACGCTCATCGCTTTCAATTATTCCTATGGACCTTCCGATGGATCAAGCTTCGGGCAATTTACATGGTTTTGTAGATTAAGTACATTAAATACTAACTTTTCATAAATTTTGTATGATCTCATTTTAGATAAGAATCCTAGATGAAATAACTCTTCATGAGCACACCCTCCAAATCTTGCATCTGAGTCTCGTTGAACACCTTACTATCAACATGCCAGGTATCTTGCCTGGTTTTCTTGAACTTTCCAAGTGACTCTTTGGCAGTCTTACCAACAAGTCCAGGAATACCCGATGACTTGTTGGCCAATATCGTCAAGAGTTCAGGAACCCATTTGGGAGGCGGAGATAAGAACGAAAATGCATGAATCAATGATCCCAAACCAAGCGTGGCTCCGTGAAGAATGACAATATGCTCAGCTGGAATATTCCTGAATCCTCCTTTTCTATACTTCTTTCTGATCTGATCCAACTGGTGCTTGTAGTTCTCCGTGAACTTGTGAATCAACCCTTCAATCTCATTTGGTGGAGAGATATGGATTAATCCCGCCAAAGTTGAAGCTGCTGACTCTCTGACTGACACTTGCTTGTGGAAGAGCAACTCGTTGGTCAAGTTAATGATAACTGCTCGCTGGTTGCGTTTCAACTTCAACAAGTTCTTGAAGTAAAACGTTTCTGTGAACTCACCCACAACGATGGATTGCACCACATTCAACTTCTCCTTGTGATAAAGATTCCCAAGCATTAACACCACGTTGGCAAGGTTCTTGTCGTTGAAAGGAAGTTGTGACATCAACTTCAATGCTCCAATTGGGTTGATATTACCTAGCTGGCATACCTCCTTCATGTTGATCAACTTGATCAAGAACGGAACCGCATGGCTAACCACAAAGTCTTGATACATGGCAGAAATACTGGTGCATAATGCTTGTTTTAACCATGTTAGTACCGTCATAGATGCGTAGATATAGTCTGATTTCAAGATTTCTTGTGGGGTCTTATCAACAACTTCCAATCTCCAAGCTTCTATCCTTTCGAACACCACTGGAACAATCTCTTTGATCTTATCTGCTGCAGGACTCACACCTTGTGGTGAATTGCACAATTGGGTGAAAGTCTTGAAATCTTTTGCTGAATCAGGATAGTAAACAAATGTAAGCATCGACAAGAGTGATCCGATCTGCTCTCTGACCGCCTGGTAATGGTGGTTGACGTTGTCTAAACACATCCCTAAAACCTCTTCGGGGTCGGTGAACTTCCATGTTATGGCTGCCACAAACGACCTGATGTAACTCAATCTCATCGAGTCTCTAAAGGCAAAATCCGATTGTTTGTCCAACTTGAACTTAATAAGCAAGTCAGTGATTTCAGGGAACCGCCTACTATCAATATGAGCAGGAACCCACCACGAAAAGACTGTCCAAATGTTGCTGGTATCAGGAGACAAGTCGTTCTCTAAGATAGTTTTCAAAAATCTAGTAATGAAAACATCTCTCTTCTCAATTAAATCTGCCGTTAAGAACTTGGAACTAATCAAGATACCAGCCAAGATCTCACAAACAACTATATGGACACTCTTGTCATCTTTTTCATATATTTCCTCAACAACAGCAAGTAAATCATTGAAACTCATCTCATCGACGACTCCGTTAGAGATGAGTAACACAATTGTCGAGGTGAAATAGACATCCGTAGCTTGATATGCCGAGTTGGCTTCATTATCAGTAACCCAGAGTTTTACTATATTGTAGAACCATTGTTTGGTAATACAATTACCAAATGACTTCACAGCCTCTAAATCAATTTCGTCCAATTTCAATTCATACCTTGGCTCATTGGTGACCACCTTCATTTCTTCTCCCCAAAACAACCAACCGGTATTGGCCTTGTTATCGATGTAGAAATCGTGCTTCTCACTATGCTCCATCTCTTTTCTCCATTTGAGGTAATAGGAGTCAGAGCTATCAGGGTCGTTTGTCTTAATTACCTTTACATCTGGATTGATATACTCCAAGTCAAACAAGTTCTTTAAATCATAGCTCATTAACTGTCTGACATACAACTTGTTCATGATTTTAGTTATACCCTTCAAGGCTAATCTAGATATAATTGGGTGATCGGAGCTAGCTTGTTTAGCTAATAGCCTAAAGATCTCATCGTTTGTTGGGATTTCCAAATCAAGTTGCAAGTCAATCAATAACGACAAGTTCAAAGATGAAAGTTTCCAGTAGTTGGAAGAACTCTCATTAAGTACAACACAGTTTTCCAACTTCCTGAGCTTTTCAAGATACAACAGTCTCTTCTTTTCCTTCGCTTGTTTGACAGCATTGATCTCTAAATCAATATAAGCATCTGGGGGTCTAATAGAATCGATGTACTCAAAATTGATTAGACAAACACTACTTGGAGGAGTGATGTTGGTATAGACACCTTTGAATAACTTCTGAGCAAGTTCATTCACCTCTAACCCATCCACTAATAAACACCGATGCAATAAGCTCACGAATTTTTGCAAATTGAAATAGTCATTTTGAATTTTGCTTTTGATTCTTCTCAAGTTGAACATACCCAAGCCGCTTTCAATTTTCTTGTTGTTCTTCTCATCCAAAGCCTTGGAAAGATACTTCAACGAGGATCTGATGATGACATTATATGAACCATTGAGTCTCTTCATTGCATCTATCAAAGATGCTTGAGCAGGCTTTGCGACAGCTGAATACGTCGAAACTGCCATCTTTACCAAATCTTCTAATAAAAGCTTATCCAAGTCGGTCTGAGTTCTTGAAGTTGCATGTAAAGCCACTCTCAACAGATGATAAGCTTCAAGCCTTGAACCTATGGCTATTCTTGTGAAAGGCTTTCTAACCCTGTTTATACTCTGGGTGTTATTTATAAAGGTGTAATCAACTTTGGCATGACTTTGATCTAACAATCTTTCTCTTCCCACATCAGAAATCCACATGTTCACTACGTAAAGAAAGTGCTTCAATAATTTGGTATTGTCGTGGAAATGTGCAGTCAAAAACTTGCAAATAAGATGTAAGCTTCTACCAATGGAGTACCGGAATCTATGCAACTTGATATAAAGATCGCTTGATCTCCTTTTTTCCATGTCATCCCCAAAGTAGTATCTGGATGTGTACAACTTTCTTTCTCTGAACGTGATTCCTGGATTCATTTGAGAAACTGGTACCCCTTCAATGCCGGGGGATGCCCTAACACTGGAGTCTTTTAAATCTGGCGATGCTGATTCAGACCTTTGCAAGTCAAAGATGAGCTTCTTAGCATAATCCAAGCTATCCTGCGTCAATTTATTGAGATCGGGGCCCAACCGATCATCATCTTTACCTTTGCCCTTATTGTCGTCCAAGTTTCCACCGGGCTCTGAAGCTTCATCCTCGTCGTTGTATTGGATCAAGTCATCATTGCTCATATCGTCAACGATCCTTTGAAGGTTTTCTTGCAAATTTTCAATTCTCAGCTCGTCTGCTCCTCTGCTCGTTTCGTCTTTGACGGATCTAATTTGCTTCAATAAGAGCAATCTTTGTTGAATAGTTTCATTTTGATGTTGGTTCAATTTAGGAATATCCTCTTCAAAAGAAGGGTCGAACAAGAATGAGACCCCACTCAACGCATAACTTAAGTACAAAAAGTTGTTTTTTAAGTCGTCCGTCAACTCAATGGAAGATGAAGCATCTTTCTTTTCGTTTTGAATATGACTTTGCATTAATGACAGAATGTTTCCAAGTACTTTAGAGGTCAAATCCGTAAAGAAGTCCACTGCTAATTTGACTTCTTTGTCAGTAGGTAAATACCAGTCAAATGTCAAATTCTCTTCGGAAAACCTTCTCTCGTCAAACTGAAATCCGCCCCAACACTGTTCCGTTATTCCATTTTTTGCAGCGTAAGTTGGTGAGACCAATCTCAATTCCCTGATTTTGATTTTTGTAATCGACTGGAGAATCTGGTTCACGATATACGAAGACGCAAAAACAGTTGGACCCTTGACGTGTTCCATCAAGTAGTAAACTAGTTGGTTTAAGTCATCGGCAACATCTACTACGTTGGCACTAGCATTTCCGATACACTCGTTCAAGACAATTAAATACCAAAAGAGAGCCCGATCTCTAGGAACAATATCAATACCAGTTCTGGAGGAACCTGATCCGTTCTCTTCGATTTCTTCCTTGATTCTTGAAATCAAAATCTCACTGTATTTAGGGAAAGCTGTTGGGTCACGTTTGATTAAACCTCCACAAACTTCGGCAACTATGTCAGCAACTGTGTGAATAGTATTATTAAAAACAAAATCGAAAATCGTGTTCCGGACTTGTTTGAAAATATCATCAGAAAGGGATTCAAAAATGATATAAAGGTAGCTTGGAAGAGAATCGGCAATTGTCTTTTCCATGCCACCACTTTTGCTGGGATCAGGAATGTTCTCTAGCAAAGTAAAGATTTTTTGAACCAAAGTCTTCAACAAAACCGGGAAGGCTGCAGTTGAAGACTTTAAAGCTTCAATCTCTAAATCTTCACTCACCTCGAAATTATCACTCATGAAATCATCATCGAGTTGTCCTTGGTAGAAGCTACTGTAAATCTTTCGTTGAAGAAAATCTATATGATTCTGCGTCAAATCAATAGCCAAATTCGTGACCCCGTCACCATTTGTTAAATCGTGGAACGGAACAAAGTTGGCGACAGTTTGGAAAAGATTCAATGTTAACAATGTTTTTTCCAAGTCATTTGAATCAATTCCAGGGATTGCCAACAGCAACAATCTTGTCAAATGAACTCTGTAGATTTTCGTCGATGCAAAGTATCTGGCAAGCTCGTCAAGAGCTCGAAGTGCTACAGAGACCCTGTGAGTTGAAATCACACCTTCTAAGGACTCATAGAGATCCAACAACACAGTCTCCAATACAAGTTCCGAGTTCAAATATGCCAATGTACTCAATGCCAGAAGATAATTGTCTACTGCGGCAGGCTTTTTGGACTGCAACCCAGTTCTGACAATAGGTAAAAGAATTTCCACAAACCGGTTCACAACCTGAGGATTCAACTTCAACTCATCGGGCAAATCTCCTAACACGCCATATTTATTATGTTCCTGGTTGAATCTCTTTTGGAACTGATATACCAAGCTGTAAACCAATTTTGAGATCGATTTGGTCCAATTCCCCGAGTTGGTGGGATGAACATAACTCTCAATGGCATTCAATAAGGTCCTTATTTTGTCCAAAATACCGTTGTCATCCAAAGCATTCGAACCTTTGATTGAAAATACGAGAGTGGAAGAATATCCATGAAAGAAATTGGAGTTGTTAGAGCCGAATTTCTCTTGCAGGATTCCAAGATTGTTTAATAAATTATTAAGCAACATCTCAATTTGCAGTTCCGTGTAGATACCATAAGCTCCAAAGGTATTTCTAATATCTTCATTTTCCACGGGGATATTCTTGTATCCGTTTTCATTTATTTCGGCCAAAGCAGACATCGCAAGAGTTCCTGTTCTTGAAGTAAGATGGGAGTCAAGTTCGTGGCTCTTGTGGAACTTCTCCCACAAGTAAAAGAAAGATGAAATATAGTGTCTGATGTCGTAAATACTTTCTATTCCCTGGCCACTGTAAGCGAATGGTAACAAAGACATTGAACAGAGCACCAAAGAAGGGTTCGAGATGGAAATATGTTGACCCAAGCTTTCATAGATAATAGGCAAGGCCTCAGAATCAAAAAAATTGGATCCCCTTTCAGCTAACCGGAGCAATTGTTTATTGTCCTTTTTTTCAAAGTTGTCGATTGAGCAGTCAATGCTACTAAAATGGTTTTTCAATTCGTTAAGAAGATCCTTCCATTCAAGAACCAAGCCATTCTGTTTGAGAAGTTGGACGTCCTTCGTCAACAACTCAAACGCCTTCACATAGATCTTCAAGTTGATATACTGGCCCCGACAAAGGCAGATCGCGTAGTACACTTTGGCCAACGCAATCCGCAAGGTGATGGGCATCTCATACTTCATTTTCAACCACACCAATAACTCGTTGGTCCAGATCCGTACACCCACCACGGCAGCAGATTTGGGAGACTTCTTGTGCTGCAGAACCGACTCATTGCGGTCCTTTTCAATGTCTCCCACATCCTCAGCCTCATCGTCGTCCGCTTCGCTCTCCGAGTCCGCATACTCATCGACAGAAAAGTAGGTGTTGGCATCGTCATCAGCAAGGTGATCACCTTCGGTGTTCATCTCGAATAAGTTTGTCTCCAAAGCAATATCGAGGTCCGATAAGCCGCTCACATTCTTCAAGGCTGCAAGATCTCTGGCAGTTACCGACAACAGGCCTTGGATATCCAAGGTCTTAATGGCAATGTACAAGTGAGACACAATATGGCTCAAAAACTTCGCCTGGTCCTTGGGCAATTCGGTCTCGTACGGCAACATCTGGTGAAGGTTCAAGGTTCTGGGTCTGTTTCTGGCGTAAAACCGAGATTTGGGGTCCAATTGAAGTCTGGAAACTTCCTTGGGGTCTTCAGGATAGTCCAAATTGTAGTGGGATTCACGGGACACCTCGATGCTGTTGTAGGATGGTCTGCGGTTTGCGACTCTTCGGGATGTGTTGGGGGTCAACAGGCCAAACCCGTCGTTGATGCTTGATCGGTCAAATGCATGTATTTGTGGGTGAGGAGTTTCCCCGGACAGCTGGGTGTTCCTGACACCATTGCCTTGGGAGCCTCTGATGGGCACCGGGGCCAGGATCTGATTCTTGGGATCGATGTCCTCGCTGTTCATGTTGTCTGACATAATTACACTGGGATCCTCTAGAGCTGGGGATTCACCGTGTTTATATAGTACAAAAAACAGTATGGTTTTTGCCATTGCCACCCAGCGCGAATTTGGGACGATGGCTGCAACTGACGGAACGGGGAAGCGGGTGGAAGGCGCCACTGGCGAATGGCAAAAACTCTACTGCTTATGTACACTGGCATTTTGTGTATGGACTGTAAGGAACTGGCTGTGGGTCTGTAAGGACGAAGAGAATAGAATGTATTTGTTTCAAGTGAATTATTCCGTTTCCTTAGTCTGTTTTTGGGCTATCAAGCTCCAAACTTCACCCTTTGTATCCCACATGTGTCTACTCCCTTGCTGTGTCCTTCTCTCTACGACCACTTCCTCTGCTCAGCCCACGGTTACTCTGACACGGTTCCCACAGGTAAAAGGGTGTCGTGCGCCGCCAATAAAAATTCTCATCGAGCAGCTTAACAATTTTTTTCCATCAGTTCTACGCTAATCGTTAATCAGGTTTTTTTCAAGGTAACACATAACATGTCCGCTGTGTCTGCATCCAAAGCCAAGAGAGAGCAAAAACGTTTGGAAAGAGAAGCCAAGAAGGCTTCCGAGGGAAAGGCCACCAAGAAAACCAAGAAACAAATTGCCAAAGATGCTGAAGAGAAAGACGTCGATGATGCTGAGGCTCAAATCGCCAAATTGAAATTACAAACTGACGAAGATGGAATCTCCGATAGAGTCACCACCGGGGTGTTGTCATCGTTGGTCACGTCCAGGGATATCAAGATCACGTCGGTGTCATTGTTGTTCCATGGTAAAGTGTTGATTCAAGACTCGGTATTGGAGTTGAATTATGGAAGAAGATATGGATTACTAGGAGAAAACGGATGTGGTAAGTCCACTTTGTTGAAGTCCATTGCCGCCAGAGAGTTCCCAATTGCCCCCCACATCGATGTGTACTTGTTGAACGAACCAGCCGAACCCACTGAGTTTTCTGCTTTAGAATACGTGGTGAGAGAAGCTGAAGGTGAGTTGAAGAGATTGGAAGATTTGGTCGAAGAAACCATTGTCAAGAGTGGGCCTGAAGACCCAGTTTTGGAAGGGTTATACGAGAAGATCGATGAAATGGACCCTGCTACCTTTGAATCGAGAGCTGCCATTATCTTGACTGGTTTGGGTTTTGACAAAGTCACCATCAAGAAACACACCAAGGATATGTCCGGTGGATGGAGAATGAGAGTGGCTTTGGCCAAGGCCTTGTTTGTCAAGCCCACCTTGTTGTTGTTGGATGACCCAACCGCTCATTTGGATTTGGCTGCTTGTGTGTGGTTGGAAGAATATATGAAGAGATGGGACAGAACCTTGATTTTGGTGTCTCACTCGCAGGATTTCTTGAACGGGGTTTGTACCAACATGATCGATATGAGAATGAAGAAGTTGATGGCTTATGGTGGTAACTACGATTCCTACCTTAAGACCAGAACTGAATTGGAAGTTAACCAGATGAAACAGTACAACAAGCAACAGGAAGAAATCGCCCATATCAAGAAGTTTATTGCCTCTGCTGGTACTTATGCCAATTTGGTCAAGCAGGCCAAGTCCAGACAAAAGATCTTGGATAAGATGGAAGCTGATGGTTTGATCCAACCGGTGGTCCCTGATAAGGTTTTCTCCTTCAGATTTGCCGACGTTGATAAGTTGCCCCCTCCAGTGTTGGCATTCGATGACATGTCTTTCTCCTACAGTGGAAAGCCTGAAGATAACTTGTACGAAAACTTGGACATTGGTATCGATATGGACAGTAGAGTGGCTTTGGTGGGTCCTAATGGTATTGGTAAGTCTACCTTGTTGAAGTTGTTCCAAGGTATTTTGCAACCACAAAAGGGTAGAGTTATTCAACACACCCATATCAAGTTGGGAGTCTACTCTCAGCATTCGGCTGACCAGTTGGACTTGACCAAGACCCCATTAGAGTTTGTCCGTGATAAGTTTTCTTCTGTTTCTCAAGATTTCCAATACTGGAGACAACAATTAGGACGTTATGGTTTAACTGGTGAAGGTCAAACCTCACAAATGGCTACTTTATCTGAAGGTCAAAGATCCAGAGTTGTGTTTGCCTTATTGGCATTAGAATCTCCAAACTTGGTTCTCTTGGATGAACCTACCAACGGGTTGGACTTATCCACCATTGATTCTTTGGCTGATGCCATTAACGCCTTCAACGGTGGTGTGGTTATTGTTTCCCACGACTTTAGATTGTTGGACAAGGTTGCTAAGGACATTTTCGTCATTGAAAACAAGACAGCTACGAGATGGGAGGGTTCGATTTTGGATTACAAGAAGAAGTTGGCCCAAGCAGTGGTTCTTTAGATTGTTTTATCTGTGTATTTTAATCATCATATTTATCGCTATAGATCAAACAAAGATCAGTAGTTAAGTTGATTCTGGCTGCGAATTGTTTCGAACTTTTTTTTGTGCCCATCACTAAATTTAAATTCAAATCACACACCAAAAAAAAGGACAAATTTACCAATACCAACCAACACAAGCATATACCATAGCAGCAAAAAAGAATGGACGAGTCCGGAGTCGAACCGGAGACCTTTCCCATGCTAAGGGAACGCGCTACCAACTACGCCACACGCCCTGGTCAAAGATGGTCCCTAGCAGGATCGAACTGCTGACCTTGGCGTAACCTATACACAGGAAATCCTGTATACAATATTAGCACCACGCCATAACCAACTAGGCCAAGGGACCTTTGACTCTTTTGAATTATAGTCGCTTGAGAAAATTAGGTAATGTAAATACCTTGTGTCAAATCTGTCGCGACAGTCTCTAAGCGGCTATAATAGGAAAAACCTAAGATAATTTACACAAGGTAACTATCACCTTAAACAGCTAGACCAAGGGACCCTGACTGTTGACTCTGACTGTTTTGAAATACAGTCACAAGGCCCTTCAGAAAAAGTCATTACGTTACATTCTTACGCCCCACCTGTTGTAGTATCATGTCTACCCTCGTATGCTGGTAGGCTGAAAAGTCTTTAGATGGCTGCAAATCCAAAACTTTTCTAAGTTCTTGCAGAGGTTCCAACTATTACACAACTAGTGTCTTAGGAACTGAACTTCATACATTGTCTAGTTCTAAACTAATTCAAACTCAAGTCATATTTTTAACAAGCTCCTCTGTAGGAGTTCTTGTGAGGCGAGTGACCAGACTTGGCTGCGTGGAACTTCTTTTGATGCCCCTTAAGTTCCTCAACCCCATTAGAAGCAACCGACAACAATAAGTCATAAACAACTTTGTGATCGAGCTTACCTTTGTCTTTTGCAGCAATTAAGTTCCTGACAGAATCGCACGACGAAATCAACAACTCTACCGACGAAAGAATATCTTGCATAAGCTTCTCCAACAAGTTCAAACTAAGTGATGACTTGACCACCACTCTCAAAATCTCCTTCAGCTGTTCCCCAGGGGGTAAGTGGTAGTTGGGGACAATAAATCCCTTGTTTCTTAACAACAAAGAGAGGATATTCTGTGGAATCTCGGGGTACTTCTTTGTGAAATCCTTGGAGAATCTAAACGCAACCACAGGTAATCCTGGCTGGTACTGCTCGTGGAAGTTGGTATCATCAATCTTGTCGAGCTTATAACTTCCTGGGATAGCGGGTTTGTGGATCACAGACAACACCTCGAAATAAGAGCACTCTTCCAAGAACAACGAGAGCACCCGCGCATTGTTCATACAATTGTCAAACAACTTGGTGTACCCTTCTCTACCTAACGTCAAGAAATTGTAGTACTGGTGAATGACGGGGAATCCGGCTCTAGAGAAGTTCAAATTGAAAGTCTCCTCGATACCTCCCAAGTAGTCCAACTTAAATCTCAAATTCTCAGGTAAATACTTGATGTTCTTCCAGATTACCCAACCCAAACCAGCAGTGGTCAAACCAAACTTGTGGCCCGAAGTGTTGATTGATACAACTCTATCAACCAGAAAATCCCACTTCAAGTTGGGGTGAGTGAATGGAGCAGTAAAGCCTCCACTGGCCCCATCAACGTGGATCTTAACGTCCACACCGGTTTCTTTCTCAACTTCGTCCAACAAGTTGTTGATTTCCAACACCGGCTCGAACGCCCCTGTGAAGGTTGAGCCCATAATCACAAAGATCCCGATGGTGTTCTCATCAATGTTCTCCTTGATCTTCTTGACATCAATTACATGGCCACTTTCAGCACTAATTTCAATCAACCGGTTCTCCACGTCAAAGTACCGGGCAAACTTCTCCAATGCCACCTGCGCACACGTGGCCATCAAGATGTTGGGGTTTTCGGTACTTTTGCCCGCCTGCCGCTGTCTTTCCTGCCAGCTCTTCTTCAAGGCCAAACCTGCCAACATAATGGCCTCCGACGAGCCGGTAGTGGCGGTGCCCACAGTGGCAGGAACCTCTCTCCTCAATTGCTCATCGTAGTGTTGCGGTGCATGCCACAAGCTACTGATCATGGAGATACATCTTCCCTGAAACTCAATCAAACTGGGATATTCGTCATTATCAGCCAAATTTTTCACCAAGTTGTCGTTGATCAAAGCTCTGGCAGGTTCTGAAAGCTCTGTGTTGACAAACGACGCCAAGTTCAACGTGGGGTTTCCGTCCAACGACAATTCCTCTGTTACGTACTTGAATATCAAATGGGAATCGCTAGACTCGTTGGGGATGTGGAACCTGGGGAACAACTTATTGGAGTCATACGAGGAGGTGAACTCTTCTCGGGCATTGAGGGGGGTTTTGTGGACCTTACTGACGATTGATTTGGTGAGCTCATAAGAGCTAGGGTTTTTGGTCAATGTCATTTTTGTTTTTTTGGTTTGGGGTGGATCTTACGGGTATTTATATTTTAGGTTCGCGAGCAGCAATTTTGACGTTGACAGCGTGGGGGGCTGAGGATTTTTATGCAAGTGTTGCTCCGATCGGCTATACAGGTTCAATGTCGGTTATTCATAGATTTATATACAATTACCTAGAGTTCTTCGATGGTGCAAATTGATCATAGGCACCAATTTGCAGTTGGCAGGAGGTATTTGCAGCCACATGCGGGTTCTCCATTTACCTAAAAAGGCCCTTTTTTTTCTTCTTAGATATATTGTGGTTGTGCAAATCATCGGTTTTGCTTACTGCACCCAACGGTTTGGCAGCTGGTCCTGGGGGTTGGTCATTTTGCACTTGCTTGTCGTGATGTTCCTGAGGAAGCATCAAATTCTGACTTTGATCCAACTTCAACTTCTGCTCCACCAAATTGCCAGTACTCATCGACTTATTGTGTCTGGTTTCTGGGTCTACGCGAGTCAGATTCCCATTCACATTGTATCCACCACTGGAGATGGGAATACCACTGGTGGACTTTCTGGACGCTTTGTTTCCAGGCATTGGCATACCTCCTCTGCCACCCATATCAATGAGGGCTGGATTGTCCATCGCCGGGAAACCTGACCTCCGGTTGGCAGCACGAGGTCTTTGTTGGTATGACATCTGCTGCATCGACATGGCGTTGGGCATCATTTGGTTGGACATCTGCTGGGGCATCATCTGCATTTGGTTCATTTGATTCTGCATCATTTGCATTTGCATGGGGTTCATACCCATCCCGTTGTCATAATAACCGTTGGATTGTAGAGAGTTGAGTCTACTCTTAGAGCCTGGTGCGTACCGGGGGTTCATTTGGTTCATTTGGTTCATGTTCATTTGGTTCATTTGCATGGGGTTCATGTTCATTTGGTTCATTTGCATGGGGTTCATGTTCATTTGGTTCATTTGCATGTTATTAATGTTATTCATGTTCATTTGAGGATGTACACCTTGAGGACTGTTGTTGTTGTACATATTTTGGTATGGCTGGGGTGGTGGCCCAGATGCTGACACCGCTTGTGATTGTCCAGGTTGTCCTTGGTATTGGGCTAGAGCAGGCACAGGGGCCACTGGTTGAGGTTGGTTGAAGTTTTGTTGGTGACCTTGGAACTGCTTCAGTCCGTTGGCTTCCTTTTCAACCGGTTGATACCCTTGACGAGGAGTTGGTTGTTTGGAACCATTAGGGCTATTTGGATCAAAATGCTCTCCGTTTAATGCTGCTCCGTACACAGCAATGTCAGTCAAGTCGGTCAAATTGTCAGCCGTCATGACGGAGTCTCTTGTGGATCCCTTGGTCTTGTTGAAGGGGATGCTCGAATATGCGGTCCTAGATGGTGACCCTCGAGTAGTTGTCTGAACCGTCGAGTGGCTTATGTTGGATTGGTCAATTGGATCCTGGGTAGATCTACTCGAGGTATTGGCATCGTTGATGGGAGACTTATTCACTGCCTGTTGTCTCTTGGCGTCCCTCTCGAGGGACAAGGTTTCAATGTCTTTGACCAATCTATTATAGTTCGACTGGTGCTCGTCGAACTTGCTTTGCTGTTTGTCCAAATTGGCCGTCAACGTGCTTATCATGGACCGCTTGGAATCCACATCATTGCTCAATTGGTTTTTCAATATCTCCTTCTCCTTGATGGCGGATCCCAAATTGTTGTATCTGATTTCCAACTCACCGCAGTTCTTGGTCAAGAGGTTGAGTTGGTTCAACCTTTCGTCAATTTCCTGTTGTACCTGGTCTCTTTCTTCGTACTTTGCAGCTAGACCATTCCCATTCATGCCAGGGCCATGGCCATTGGTGTGACCAATTCTCTGGAAAAATATGGACGGCAGTTCAGGGTCGTTGATCTTGATCAACTGGCAAATGATGGAGTACAAGTTCTCCAAGTAAGGGGTTCTTACCCCATTATCATCACCCAACAAGATAGGCTGCAAAAGAAGCAAGTCGATTTCCAAGTTGAATTGGTGGTAGTAGTTGTAGAACAAATTAGGACTGTTCACGTACTCAACCTTCACATCACCGGCATGAGAAGTGTACAACGAGCTCCAGTAGTTTATTAAGTTAGCCTCGTTTTCGTAGCCCTTGACGAGCTTACAGTCCATCTTTTTGATTATCTTAAGCAACTCATTCAAGATCCCGGTGATTAAGGGTTTGCACAAGATTTGACTCGATAACTCTGCCGGCGACGAGATCTCAAACAACACCAACAAAGGACTGAAGACGATTCTTGAAAGAGCCAATTTCCACTGGTAGGTCATAAACTCTTTGGGCACCACCGACTTGAGCAATGCCAATTTGTTCCCACTGTCTTCGGTCACCAACTGTAATAACTTGAACGTCTTCATGAAGTTCTCGTGGTTGTTCAAGTTGAAGTTATACTCTATGGAAGACCCGAGGTAGATTCTGTTATCGTTGTTTCTAATGTTGTGAATAAACCTATTGGAACCTCTAGAAGGTAACATCCGGACATCGGTTTCATTCATCACCGATGCAATCACCAAATTGTTCCAGGAATCTCCGAAACTCAAATTCAAAAATGGCTCTAGGTTGATATACCCGGTACTCTCGATAAATATGATGGAGTTGGAATGTATAAATGATACCAATTCACTAGAAACCATCTGAAAGTCCTGTAAAGAGGTACAACTGAGGAACACAATGTCAAAGTTGTCCGACGGATTCAACTGGTTGAGATGGTTGACCAAGTTGTAAGGTTGGAACTTAGCAGATCCAAGGGCGTTGGAGGTGAACTCGAGTGGGTATCTGGAATTTAATTCAGAGTTGACCATGGTCACTCTGCAAGCGTTTGTTTCTTGTAAACGCCAGGCGTAAAACGACAAGTTTGGATTGGATCCAACTAGACAGACTGTTAGTATCAACACAACCACGGATTCTCGGGGCCTAAGGCGCTAGGACATATTGAATCAATATGTATATGAGTATCAAAACATGCCAGCAAATCACAAGCAACCGAAAAAAATGAAGATCAACATACCCGTTAAAACCTGGATATTAGTGGACATGGTAGGCAACAATGTTCAGATAGAGTAGTAAGTAGGACTGTGGTCCATGTATTTCAGAAAATAAGTACTAAACCACTTAGCGTTGGAGTAACAAGAGAAACAATTTTTTTTGCGTGTCTCCAAGCCGAGCCTGGGATTTTTGATTCGTTTCTGACCGGGAAAATAAAGGAGGCGTATTCTGAAACAGAGAACGAGATGAGTGAAAAAAAAAGTACAAGCCGGAGAAGAGGTGGCTATGGCCGGGGAGCATATGGGAGGTTGCTATGAGCGTTGCAGGTGTAGAATGTGCGTAGAGGGTGCTTGTGGAATTGACTAGGGTGTTTGTGCACACGAGTATAATTTGCAGCCTAGGAAGTGATGGGGAATCGAGTTAGAATCTGGTAGTGCAGCTCCCGTTGGTACTGCGGTGTCGGTCACGAGGTACGGCGGTACGGCGGCGTGGTGGCGGAATCGCGCGGGGCCCTTGCATCGCGCGCCTCTGCTCTGTCTCCTCTACGCCTATGCGTTTTTGTCGCAGCGTTAGCTTGAAATTCAGACGCGTATGAGAGGACATCTTATATTAATAGAAGGCTTGGACCGATCCGGCAAGTCCACCCAGGTTGAACGGCTTCACACCGCCATCCCCAACTCATCTACCCAGAAGTTCCCCGATCGGTCCACGCGAATTGGTGCTATCATCAATCAGTACCTCACTGATGAACTGTTTGTATTGCCCGACCAATCGATTCATCTTCTATTCAGCGCCAACCGGTGGGAACTCATCGACCTGATGTCCCGGGCGTTGCAGAGCGGTACTACGGTCATCCTAGACCGCTACATCTATTCAGGCATCGCTTACTCGCTTGCCAAACTGCATTTTAACCATAGTGATAACCAAATGGCGTCTGTAGAATGGCTTTATTCCCCAGACAAGGGTCTTCTCAAACCGGACCTCACGCTCTTCTTGACTTTGAACATGGACGAGATCGATACGCGGGCAGACTTTGGGGACGAGCGGTACGAGAAGAGGGCTTTCCAGGAGGTGGTTAAGGACAACTTTCTCCGGCTTTTAGATCCCAAGGTCGACTCGTCGATTCACTTTATAGACGTCAACCGCCAGTCGATTGATGAGGTGGGGCGCACCATCTGGGACGTGGTGGAGGGCGGCCTGTTCCACCAGCTCACCGACCAGCCCCTTCAGTTCTTTAGCTGATGTTCATTGGTTCATTCATATAAATCTGATGTTCATTGGTCATTCATATAAATCTGTATATCCTACTCCAACCGATCCAACTCCGTTAGCCGTGCCAAGATCCGGCTCTTCAGAACCTCGTGGATCTCACCTCCCAAATATACTTCGTCTAGTATCGCATACAACTTGTAGAAGTTAAACACCAAGTCAAGCTCACACACATTGTCAAAATACACATCGAGAATCTCCACAAAAAAATGCAACGACTCTAAGTACGCCAACTCGCTGTCATTGATATCAATCGACATGATGAAGTATAACCCTGCGTACCTTCGGTACACCAACTTCTTCTCCTGGTACTCGATGAAGTTGGACTGGTGTTTCAGGTCTCGGGATGATACCAACCGGTGGATCTCAGTGATGCTCTTGTTCTGCGCACCCCGTGAATACGTCTTGTCGTACCACCTGCTGAGCCGGGTTTTGCCTTGTCGATTCAATATAAGCACATAGTGAATAGACATGGTAGTAGAGATTGGCGCAATGCGCGCGATTGAATTATAATTTCCCAATCCTCAGTCACCAATGAGTAGCTACGCTTTTGAAGATGACGATGAGTACGGTACCGACCGCCAATACGCCATCCGTGATGGGATTATCTTCTTGGTCGAGTTGAACGACGAGATTTTCCGCCCCTTGAAACTGTTGGGAGGAAAGTCTCAGATCCTCCAAATCCTATGGAGCATAAATAGACTATTACAAGAACTGGTGATTATGGCTCCCAGCACCGGAGTAGGCGTGTTTTTCTACAACTGCAGCAAATCCCATTCTGGCTTTCCCAAGGAATCGCGTGTTGATAGGCTCTTCAGGCTTCACGAGTTGAATTTGAAGGATATGCGGAGATTGAACTTCTTGATTGAGGACGAGCTTCTGGGGTTGAAGCCAATTCGAGACCTGTTCTCCCCTTCATCTGACCCGGTGGTGGACTTGAACGAGGTTTTCAACGTGGTTTATGAAGAATTCAAAACCCAGAGCACAAAGAGCTTCAATCGCAAAAAACTCATCTGGTTCACCAATAACCACAATCCCTATAACCTAACACAGTTGGAGGGAAACGAGGAGCTTTTGTCGAAGCTAAGAGAAACAACTGCCAACTACTTCGCGGAGATGATTCCTATCGTGCCCATGTTCTTGAAATTGGACACCAATGATACGTTTGACTTGAAGTTTTTTGAGCTGGTGTTTCTGAATACCAACTTCTTGACCCTCAAAAACAAGCTTTTTGACTCCAACAATGGCGATAATACTGTGGTAGTTGACAAGATTGGCTCAATCATCTCTCGAATCAAACAGGTCCGTAGAATTCAGATAGGCTGCAACTTGATCTTGAGTGACGGGAAAATCGGAGGCAAATTTGGCTGCTCGGTTAAAGGCTACACTCTATATAACCACGAGCAAATGAAAAAGGTCAGCCATATATACGCCGATGCAGAAGACTTGACGGTTGTTCAGCTGGAGGCCACTATCAAAACTAAAGATGACCATGAGGTGGTGAAAATCCCAGATGATCCAAACACAACCTACGAAGAACGGAAGCTGAAGGCTGGAGGTAGAAAGGGTTTCCTGCTTAAGTATAAGAACGAAGATGCCACGATGGAAGATGTATTTTATTTGGACAACAAGCAGGTCGAGTTTCTCAAACAATACACCTTTGATCATAGTCCTGAAGATGATACGAAAGTTGAGAGTGAATCGGAGGATGATTTGAAACATGAAGATGAAGATGTTCCTTATGTAGCTTTATCTCATCCTCCCTACCTCAAGTTACTAGGGTTTAGACATGTCTCGAAGTTCAAACCTTACTACAATATGGCTGCCCCCATCTTCATAACGTTTGACTCCAGTAATGGCTACAGTCTTCCTCTTGGCTTCCAAAACCTGAAGGATACATTCACCAATTTGTACAAGTCATGTGTCAAGTTGGAGAGATACGCTATGCTTTTCGGATGCACCAAGAAAAATGCTTTACCTAGTTTATTTGCATTATACCCTACCAACATTGCTAAGTCAAGCAACCAAGATTCACTTCCTGAAGGCTTCTTGTTGGTGAGGCTTCCATGGTTGGATGATATCAGAGCCTTGCCTCCGCATATGATCAAAAATCCTCTCATCCAGTTTGACAAGAGTAAGAGCTCACTTCCCACTGCATTGGTTGACAGCTTCAAAGTATTGATGAAGAAACTTCATATCCAAAACTACAATCCTGGAGACTTCCCAAATCCAAGCTTGAACTTCTTCTACGAAGTACTTAAAAACGATTTGTTGCAAATAGAACTGTCGGATGCACATATGAGCATTGAAAAGTTCGATGCCACTTTCCAGTATTTGGAAAATATATCGACTATTTTGTCCAAAGGTGACCTCAAAAGGGTAGTTGAAAGCATCAACAAGGATTTGGATGCTAGTGGTGTTCTTTTGATCGATGAAGATCCCATGGAGCCTCCCACAAAGAAGCCAAAGCCGACTGTTGAAGTCGATGACCTGGATATATTGACTGCTTGGAAATCCAATAGTTTGAATCAGTTTAATATGAACCAACTCAAGTCGTTCGTATCTAGATACAAGAATAGTATAAAGTCTGCTACAAAAAAACAGGACCTCATTAACAATATCGTTGACTTTTTGGAGTCTAGAAATGCAGCTACCTGATCTAATTGAACCTTAGTAATGAATTATGATGATGAATGTATAATGGTTAATTGACGTTTCTACAAATAGTTGCAGGTTCGTGAGTCCGAATGAAGTAAAATTATCACAATAAAATGGACAACTTTCAAAACCCTTTAATAAACTTGAAGTATTTAATTCTATCTTCTCGAATATAATATCCCTCAAATGAACGCTATATGTCTATATCTTGATCCTTTTGAAGCAGAAGCACCGTCAATTGAAGTCTGCAATTTGGGCTTGTACTCATAACACTTACTTCACAAGATACATGAGAGTTTTATACTCAACAAAAATCCGATGTAGTGTAACGGCTAGCACGGTTGTCTTTCACACAGCAGACCCGGGTTCGACTCCCGGCATCGGAATATTTTTTTGTTTCTTTTACTCAAGGCGTAGAAGAGCACTAAGCTGGGGACAGTTTGTGCGAAGGCTACTTGTTTCGGAAATGACTGTGGTGGTTCATCATGCGTACTTTTATTTTCGTGAAAGTTGCTTTCTTCTCATCTCAGCTAAAAATGAAAACTTGTATAACATGGAATGGTGAAGTCCAAAAATTACAAAAAAATATGTATATGCCTACTAAGACATGTTACATTATTTAAATCTTTTTAGGTGGAATTTAGAAGCAATAAATTTTCTCTATTGAGTATATATCTCTTATATCAATTTGCAAAATTTGCAATTCTCATGGCTGCGAAATCATTTTATTCACAACTGTACAAGAAACTAAATACATGTTTTAAACAAGCTTCTGAAATCCCAATGGAACTTCACTTCCCTTCGGCAACAACCCAAAAAATTTGTAAATTTTGCCCATTGACTTGCTGTCCTTGTCTGTTAACCTTTTGTAGGCATTGTAGACCTTTTCTTGGGTTTCTTGGCTGTCATTGTTCTTGATCAACAACTGTTGAATCCTATGACCTATACCCAACTCATGCAAGAAGTCCCCTTGATCAACCGGATCCAAGACCATAACCATGTCTTTAGAAAGAAGCTTCAAGTTATCAAAGTCGACGTTTATAGACAAATCGACTTCTCCAGGCTTGAAGAATGGAGACACAAACCCATGCTTGTAAATACCTCTCAAGGTGTTATCAGGGATCTGATCAACCACACCGTAGTCAATAACCAACACGGATCCCAATCTTTTTTCATTGTTTATCAAGCTGGCCATTTTTCTTATGAAGAACTCGGCATCTGGACATATTTCGATTCTGGTGCCAACCGGCAAACCTTCAAATCTTTTACTTAAAGTGGGGATGGCAGAAGAAGGGGTTTCTTTCGGAGTCATCGTAAGGTGAAACTCATTGTCAAAGCCTTCAGAGTTGGCTTCACTGCTAGGTTCAGCTTCTGGCAATGCGATGGTGTTGTTACTAACACTGGGAGAGTGTTCCACAAGCAACTCTCTCCAGCCATTATTTGTGAATTGAAACGACTTAATCGGCAAGGCATCGAAGAACTCATGGGCTAAAACGTAGTTAGAAATTTCAGGGTTGTTGGTAATTTCACTCTCGTTTTCTACCCATCTTATCTTATTTCCCCAGATGGTGGTAGAGTGGTCACCAGTATCAGTGGACTCGTACGGATTTGCACCGCACAAAGTTTTATGCTGTTCCTTTCTTAAAACTCTAGAAGTTTCAATAAGCTCGATTTCGATGTTGACAGCGAACTTCTTGGTCAATTTGTTGAAGCTGGTTAAAACATCGCACATTAATGTTCCTTTTCCTGGACCAAACTCTATGAGTTTGATGGCATTAGGCCTGTTTTGAGTTGCCCATATCTGAAAAAGGTACAAGCCAATAACTTCACCAAAAACAGAAGAAATTTCGGGAGAGGTGATGAAATCACCGGTGTTTGCATCCAATGGATCTCTAGTGGTATAGTAGCCAAACTGCGGGTGCGTCAAACACTGTCTCATATAAGCCGATAACGAGAGAGGGCCAGTGGTTTTGATAGTTTCTTCTAGAAGTGTGCTCAAGTTATCTACTCGGGGCTTTGTCTTTGTGGCCATAGGAAAACTGGGCATTTTTCCAAGGTTTTCCCTGATGTTGGTATTTCCTTTGATAGATGATTCCAATTCGTCAAGCTGTTGTCTGAGGTAGTGCGAAGCCTTTTCATACTCCTCCTGGGAGAATTTACCATGGTACAATCCATCAGCATCTTTCACGGGCTTCTTGAAGCGCCGGAATGAATTAGAAAACCTCCTAGTAAACCGAAGCATGGAGTACGTAGAAATTTAGAGGAAGTGCGACTTTAATCATCGCGGTTAAGAGATGAGGTTTTGAACAGGTCGAGAAGCGGCCCCAGAACCCCTGACAAATAGCAGGAAATTCAATTAACAGAAAACAGTAGAAAGTTATATAGAACAAGGCTCGGAGACATCACATTAATCTTTCAGTGGAATCCCTATGCAACTGACATTGTATAATAATCACAAATAATCAACTATTTGCAAATGATGATATAATGCCAATTGCCTAAAAATCCAACTGAAAGATTAAAGCAATAAAATATAAATCCAGCTGAACACTACAAGAAATAAATTAAACCCAGGACAATAGGTTTAATAATTACGCAAGCGGTCACGGCCCAAAGTTGAATTTGAACTCAAGACAATACTTGATAACTACCACCTTAAAATTACAACAGCAATTGAAGTAACTCTTAAAGTGATATTATTTCAAAGTAGAAACTAAGTGAACTTAGTATCTTATTTGATACCTGAATTTATCAATTCAGCTTCTCTACCGTGTGATGCTACCCATGACTGGCCACCAACGGAGCAGTGGCCAGAGGCATAGTAACGCTAGTAAAGACAACCGGGGTACTTCTAGGAGCACCTCCAGCTGCTGTTACAACACTGGTAGAATTTGAAACCGTTTCAGACGAAATTTCTTTCTCCTCAACCTCGATATCGGCAACCTTATAGTTGATCTTTTCGATATTGATGTTCTTTGGAGGTCTAAACATTGCATCCATAAGAATGAAATCATCTAAACTGTTCAACACACCAAGATCCTCTTTGTTGTTGATGTCGATGTTGTTTACGATTTCATCCTGATTGACAGCAAAGGTATTGGCGATCTTGAATCCCAATTTGGTGTAAAAATTTCTGTTGATGATATTCGAACTTTCCAAATAACACCAGGAATCCAACACAAAATTATCAAGACAATAGTTGATCAAAATCTTACCCAAAGACTTACCAGCCATGGAGGGTGATACACCAATGTCACTCAAGTACCAAACTGAATTAAACTTATTCTTAAAATTTAAGTTCAAGTTCAAGTTGATTAATACTGAGTCTCTAATATTGTTCAAAAAAGGTAACTTTTCCTTTAATGTTTTCTGGCGACAGTTATTCATGTACGCCAAGTAGCTGAACTTCAAAAACGACGAAAACAAAAACAACTTATTATCCGATCCCGAATGATTGTGGGAAGTGGAGTTGAAGTTATAATAGTTTAGGGTCAAACTGTTATCAAACTTCAAGTTGTTCCAGCAAGCAGCCGCCAAGAATGGATAGTTGGTGCCACTGGAGTTGGCCAACTCAAACTGCACATCTTTGATAGCGACAATAACACCACCAAAAGAAAAGTATTCCAAAACAGAAAACTCGAAAAATGCCTGAAACAAATCGTTCTTCTGCTTTATCAATTTCTTCTCCTCAACTTCGTCATAGTTGATTTTTGTGTTCAAAATGTAGTTGACAAACGGATCCTTGTTGAAGGCTAACTGCAAGGTTTTGGCTACCCGCTTATAGTCTTTCTTGTAGACCCGCTCAATACTAATTTCAAGGTTACCTATCATACGTCTCAGAGGATTTAACTGAGACAAAGACAGTCGTGGTTCTTTCTTTTTGTTGGAATCAAAATCTTCTGTAAACGACATATTGCATAGGAAAAATAAACTAAGGGAGAATCTAAACTATAAACAAAAATCGCGAGAGCGAGGAAATCGGGGCCGCTATTTATAATTTTGCCAACGGGAAGATAAGCGGTCGTGCAAACCGTCAGATGGGAACCGAAGTCCATTGGGAAAAGATGTCGCATTAGCGTCATAGGCCCACGGCGTGTGCGCGGTGAAAGTGCAAGTTAGCCAATAATCGGGCCACTGAAGGCTTTCTGAGCCAACCTGCAAAGTAGGGGCCAAAGCCACTTATGAGGTTCTAGAAGCCCCTTCCATAATCAGTAGACAGGGCATTTACCAATCTTCACTATTTGGTCCTCAACCCTTGGTGTTTATAAAAGCTAGGAGAGAGGTGGCTTGTGCATCCACCAGTTCTCACCCCTCTGCCGATCATTAAAACTCCCCATTTAAACCTCTCCTATCTCCAATGACCCATACATCCATACACCCATACATTACAAAATCCGGAGGGACAAGGCGCGCGAAAAACTAAAACCCACCTTCAAAAAGAATTCAACCTCACCCAAACTATATATCATCATGGGAAACTCACCTTCTAAAGATGGAGCTCCCCTTTCCAGAACCACGTCATCCGCATCGTTAAGGTCGAATAAACTGTCACGATCCATCCGGTCAGTTCGCAGTAAAAAGAATGATTCACTGACCAGCTTATCAAAAATGGCCAGCACGCCTCGCCTGCTGTCTCGCAGGAGCAGTGATTACCAAGAGGAGCAAAAAGTAAATCCCGTCTTCGACGACCAATCCATAAACTCGGATATACCGACACAGTTCCTGGCGTTAAATCTCCTGGCAAACGCCACCATTCCGGCGCTGTTGGCACAAGTAGAGCCCAAACAGCCTATCTTGGTACGCCGAAATACTGGAGGGTCGATACTGGCTGGCGGGTCCGGCTTGGCCGACGGGGGCGGCGACTCCACCGCCAATAGAAATGGTACCCCGACGCTGTACGAGAATGAACCGGTACTTACGCCTCTGTATGCCATTAGCAATACCCCTACGTCCGGATATTTTTCGGGCAACCTCAGCAGAACCTCCACCAACCACTCCATTTCGTCAGGCGCTGTGTCGGACGCTGGCGATGGCGATCGTCTGCTCTCCAAGTCGCGGTCCAACTCGTCGTTTTCGTCAGGACGACTTTTGAAGACAAACTCCAACGTGTTGAGCAGAAATGTCACCAACACCAGCCAGTCGAGCTCGTTCGATATCGAAAACCTTATCCAGCGGCTCTTGGACGCCGGGTACAGTGGAAAGCGCACGAAGAACGTGTGCCTTAAAAACAATGAAATTCAAATGGTATGCCTGAGGGCTCGGGAAATTTTGTTATCGCAGCCATCACTCTTGGAGCTCAATCCACCCGTCAAGGTGGTGGGAGATGTCCATGGGCAGTTTGGCGACTTGATTCGGATCTTCACCAAGTGCGGGTTCCCGCCGCTGACCAACTACTTGTTTCTCGGTGATTACGTCGACAGAGGCAAACAGAGTCTTGAAACCATCTTGTTGTTGCTCTGCTACAAGATCAAGTACCCTGAAAACTTCTTTTTGTTGCGAGGCAACCATGAGTGTGCCAATGTCACCCGAGTGTATGGGTTCTATGACGAGTGTAAGAGACGGTGTAATATCAAAACGTGGAAGTTGTTCATCGATACCTTCAACACTCTCCCCATCGCGGCCATTGTGGCGGGAAAAATATTCTGTGTGCATGGAGGGCTTCTGCCGGTGTTGACCCTGTTGGACGAGATTCGTAACATTGCCAGGCCTACCGATGTGCCAGACTTTGGTCTTTTGAACGATCTACTCTGGTCCGATCCAGCGGATACATTGAACGAGTGGGAAGACAACGAGCGTGGGGTGTCGTATGTGTTTTCCAAGGTGGCCATCAATAAGTTTCTCCAGAAGTTTGGCTTTGACTTGGTGTGCCGGGCCCATATGGTGGTGGAGGATGGGTACGAGTTTTTCAATGATCAGACGTTGGTGACGGTATTTCTGGCCCCCAACTATTGTGGAGAGTTTGATAACTGGGGAGCGGTGATGAGCGTGAGTGACGAGCTCTTGTGTTCGTTTGAGTTGTTGGATCCGCTTGACAGCGTTGCCTTAAAGCAGGTGATGAAGAAGGGCCGAAACGAGAGAAAGGTCGCATTGGTTCAGTGATGAAACGATGGCTTAATGTAGCGACGATTAGCATGTATAGTAAACGAAAATACTAGATACCTGTAGTCGCGATGGTTTAATAGAGAAGTTCACAGTTGATATATAAGTTATAATATAATGGATATAAAATTTGACCCATACACCCGTATAAGGTAATACCGCGAAATCGCAAAGTCAAAAGTAAATCGGCCCTCATGAGCCAGTACTTTCTTCTCCAGACCGAAAACTACGACCCACTAGTGTCACTAGTCGAGAGTCTCGCGGCGAGATTGAGCGATAATGACGAGGTAATTGCGCGGTTGCTCAAAGTCACGGACTCGCTACGTCTACCACGAACTGTCGGCGACGTTTCTACCGACTCGCACCCCCAGGACGAGCTCCGATATCACTTAGACACAAAATACAAGCTCAGTGATATCCAGGCACCCGATTACGACGACGTAGCCAACGTACAAATCCGCCAGTTGCTTCGGGACAACTATAGGCTCCTCAAAATCAAAAAACAAAATGATACTGTTAATGAGTACATTTTCAAGACGCTCCTCCAATACCAACGGTTTGTCACCACCGAGTTGATACCAATGCTCCGTCTTGACTTCGAACACAGCGTGCAACAGAGCCACCGCGATCTCCGGCGAGTGCTCCACGCGAAGCTCCAAGTAGATGCGAGCCTCTGGGCCAAATACCAGGAGTATTTACAGTTTTTGCAACGGCTTTTCGACATGTTTGAAGAGCTCACGCAAATGCTCACCCAGCTCGACGACGAGAGGGTACTACTAGTGGAAGCCAAACTTGAAGCCATTCGGCAGCTCATGTAGGTCATAGCTATGGTACATAAATTAATTAGGGGTGGATAAAGTTCAAATGATTATTAATGCTCAGTTATCTTCTTCTTTTACTTGAGTGGTAACTTTCGTCTTCTCAACCTCTCCATTCTGAAACTTGTCGTTGTCGGGTGACAATAGGCTGGTGATGGTGGGCTTTTTTGACGTATCGTCGTCGTTGAGCACGCCCCTAAGCCAGCTTTTGGTTGAATCTTTTATGGGTGCAATGTCAAGGCCCCTGGTGGGCGTAGTTCCCGCCGTGGAAACATCATCCTGAGGAATGCTGTTCATAGAGTGAGCACTACGATGAAGCAGCGGGTGAGGTATATGCTGCACCGGAGGTAGTACGAGGGAGCCAGTACCATTGGTGGGGGGGTTGCCCGGTGGGAACAGAAATGTCTGGGGCCGATGGGCCTGGAGAGGCTGCAGCCGCAGCGGGTGGCCAGGCTGGTGGTGGTAGAGGGGCGATAGCGGCAGCACGAGCGACGCCAGGCGCGGCCCACTATACTGCAACATTGTCTTTGAGGGAAACAGCCGTTGTTGCAGGGGAGGAGCATTCATGTGCTGGCTAAACGAGTACATTGGCACCGGGGGCGCCGACTTCATCAGTCCGCCACCCAAGTAGCTGCGGTCATACACGGGTGTATTTAACGTCAGGGATCCGCTCGATGACAACGACAGCATGGAGGAGAGTTTATCCGAGTTTAGCACAAACGAGTGCTGTAAGGAAAGCGGTCGAGGTCTGCGTTTGGGTTTAAACTGATGCGACGGGAGCCTAAGACCACCACCACTGTTACCACTGGCATTGGACGGAGGCTCTTCCTCGTTGGAGCTGATGGTGTTGACGTCGGGGCCCAGGGCCGGGGGCCGCGAGTGCGACTGCGCGTGGAACGGCGGCGGGGCGCCTGCTCCCTGGTACTGGAAATGGGGGTAGTTGTGGTGTGGCGAGTTGGAGTTGGGCGGCGACGCGAGTGACGGGTGGTTGGGGGTACCGGGGCTGTAGTAGTGGACGGGTTGGTGGTGTGGGTACAGCGTCGGGTGCTGGACCGGGAGATGATGTTGGACGTGCTGCTGCACGTGGTGTGACGGGTGGTGCTGGACGTGGTGCTGGACGTGGTGTTGGATGTGGTGCTGGACATGGTGCTGAGGGTGCTGCACGTGATGCGGCGGTGGTTGCAGCGCCTGCTGCCCTGGTGGCGGCGCCGCTTCATCTTTGTCCTCTGGTTTCTTGGTGGCAAGGTAGTTTTCGTACGCGTGTACCGTTTGCTTGTGCTGGCGGAGATTGTCCAACCGAGAAAAGTTCTTCAGGCAGTAGGGACAGGTGAATGGACGTTCACCGGTATGTTTCCGTTTATGACGGGCCAAATGCTCGGACCGAGTGAATGACATATTACAGCCAGGGAACCCGGTGCACTGGAAAACCCGTCCTTTTACAGTCCGTTTTTTCTTCTTGTCGTCAGCGTCAGCTTCGTCAGCTTCAGCATCGGCGTCCGGTGAGTCGGGTACGGGGGACTCGGTGGCGCTGGAAGGGCTGGACTCGCCCAGCGAGTCTTGTACAGGTTCCTCGAGCTTATCTTTAGTTTGGGTCTTGACAGACATATCGCATGCCACTAGGGATGATTAAAACGCAGGCAAATGTGATCAGTTGATGTTTGCCCAAAAAAGCTGGCACAAAAAAGCTGATTTATGGAAGGAAGTAAACACAGCGAATTTGGAGTCAGTAGTTATGTGAATACACACAGATAGGAATGACAAGAAGTTCTGGGGTGTGACCGACTGGGTATGGCTGGAGATGTATACCTGCTAATGCAAAGGGAGTATGTTTTTTTGTTATGTGTATATCCACGTGAATATGACTCCAAAATGTCTGAGACAAATGGGAGATGGAAAAGCAGTAGACAACAACCTTTGACGCGAGGGGGTCGGGATTCTTGGACCAACGCACGGGAAATGAACAAATAAGTCTGGATTCCAGGAAGAAGGGAAATGTTTATAATTGTAAAAAACTAGTGTCGAAAGCTGGAGTGGTGGTTTAAAGTTTCATACAAAAAATTTTTTCCCCTGAAATATTATGAGATAGTTTACACGACTAGAGGAAGTGCAGCCCATAGGTCTTTTTTTTTTGTTTTTTTTTTTAAAAATTTTTGTCAACTGCGGTTATTTTTCTTATTTTAAATTGTGATGCGCCAGCAGGCACCCGTTTTTTTGGGATGACATCACCACCAATTTTCTAGTTTACCTGAAACGAATCTTACTCAAATATAAGGTGCCGCCATCAGTCCAGAACGTCAACTTGACAGCATTATAAACTTCATGACATGGTCTGATTATCCTTCTAAGAGGGTTCTGCGACGTGAAATTTTTAAACGAAGGTGCGCCTGATCATGTGGTTTGTCCTGTTTCGAAAGCTATTCCCCTCGAACTTTTGCGCCTAACCGTTTTGTTCACGTCCCCCTAGTCACAAATAGTGCTAGAAAATACTTGTAAGTTGTAAGGTAAAAATTCATGTACATGATTATATTTTTTACTACTCGGGCGATGGATGTATGCACCCAACTGAGACCAATTATGTTGCGCGACTGGGGTTAAATAACCTTAGACGGCTCTTCGATGAAACCTTTCTAATGTGGATTTGTCCACTATTTCCTAGACAGAATAGCTGACCGGCAGGCGACATGTAGATTAAACGCAAAGAAGCAAAAGACGCCTTGAATTCCGCGTAACAATAGAGGAGGGGACCCCCACTTGCATCCATTAATGCTGAGTAGAGCTTGTTCGCTTAGATACGATAGAACCGCTTGTTAAAGTTTCAGTTGACGGGGGATTATTGCAGGATTTTTTAAGTGGATAGCGTGCTGTAGATCTCTTGAAATGTCCAACTTAAAAGGGGCGGGAAACTATTTTTGGCGACGAACACTTGCCACACTAATACCCCTTGTTGATCGGAGGTTCCTAGTAAGTTCCTGCCGTAGCCAAAGTATCTGGACCCCCACTTAGGGAGGGGGTCCTTGACGTGCATCTACCTGCACTAGCTACCGTCGCGATTTTTTTGGACAGATAAGGACTGGGGACGAGGTCGGGTATAATGCAATGATACGCTGAAACTACGATATAAATTTGTAATTATAAATTTGGCGACTACAAATATGCCTTCCATAAGCAGCTGAGTACTCGGTCAAAAAAGTAGGTGGATGGCGCACCTAATACGCGAGGTAGAGATCAGGGCCTGGATTTGGGAAAGGGGTTCTTGGTACGGGCCTGGATTCCGGCCCACTTAAGAGGGTGGCGCCGCAACCAGGTGGCTACAGTCTACCTGTAGCCTAACGCGCTCGCCACCGCCCCATTACGCGGACGAAGGCTTCTGATATGCCGATGGGCGCCGCGAACGCGCTACAAGCTACCACCAGCGTTTCATGCGGTTGGAACGAATCACCCTCACTCTCGTCCTACGACTCGCGGTGCTCGTATTCGCTTCTCAGTTCATATATTTGTGCTAACAGCATGAATAACTATTTTCGCCACCCGTAGTGGTCTCAATGGTGATATCTATAGTCTCTGGCTTATTCTGTGCCCCCGAATCCAGGTTAAACTCTGGTAAGCTTTTTGCAATTTTCTTGAACAATAACTTAATATTATGATTGGCTTTGGTGGAAGTCTCCAAATAAATGCTACAGTTTTCAATCGACTTGCCCAACGTCTCCAACTCCTCGGCACTCACCTGCCTCTTGTTATTTAAGTCCGATTTATTACCCACAATAACAATTATAACGTCCTCCCCTCGTTCCAATTTGACTTCACTGATCCACTTGTCCAAATTGTCAAACGACTTTTTGTTGGTGATGTCGTAGCAGATGATCGCCACGTTAGAGTCACGGATATAGGAAGGAATCAACGACCGGAACCGCTCCTGTCCCGCCGTATCCCATAGTTGTAACCGGATGGTTTTGTTGTCTTCTAGGTACATGGTTTTACTCAAAAAGTCGATGCCGATGGTGGCGGCATATTGTTCATCAAAGGTGTCATACATGAATCGGGTGATGAGCGACGTTTTCCCTACTCCCTGGTCCCCCAAGAAGACGATCTTGTACTTCCTTAGAATGTTGGATTTATCATTTGTGCTCATGCTGGGAGGAAAAGATGAATATTTTAGATTTGGAAGAATGCGACTTTTGAGCGGCGAGGGGCTGAGAGCTGGTGCAGCGCCAGCTGGGTTAGCGAGACTTGGCACCCACCTCGCGAGAAACGCACCGCAAGTCCTCGCCGGTGGAGCCACCATAAACATATATATCACACCATCCATAAGCGTCATGGACTAAGCATCCAGTAAGACGTATAGCCAGACACTCATACATAGCAACGGCGTTTTCTCTGTCTAATTAGCACCGCAATAACATCTTCAACAGTTACTTGCTCCGGGTGTCTATTTCTCATTACCCTTCCTAAATCGGCAGTTAATGAGAATTCAAAAACAGTTTCTATAGTTTTGGAAAGCAGGCAATAAACAGAAGTTTGATTAGAAATCCTCCTCCTCCAACCGGTTTGCACAAGTTACATACATTTTCATGCCCTCTACACCCAGTATGTGGATTAAATCGGCTATCGTGAGTTTTGTGACACCCACCATCACTAATCCTAATCCCAAGAGCTTTTCCAACCCTGAAGAAATAGACCGGTTTTTGTCGAATTTTGGCGACGAGCTGGTGATTGTCAACACGCGAGTCAAAGGCCGTAGCGGGGATATCGTTCAGCAGCGGCGGCAGGTTCGGGAGTTCAACCGAGCTGAGATTCAGGATGTGGATGAAGAGAGAGAAAGACGAACAGTCAAGGCTAATCAGAGAGAGAGGGAGAGGGAAGAAAGGGAAGAGAGGGAAAGTCAAAAAAGAGAGAGACAAGAAAGAGAGAGACAAGAGAGAGAAAGTCAAAAAAGAGAGAGACAAGAAAGAGAAAGACAAGAAAGAGAAAGACAAGAGAGAGAAAGACAAGAGAGAGAAAGACAAGAGAGAGAAAGACAACAAAGAGAAAGACAAGAAAGAGAAAGACAAGAAAGAGAAAGACAAGAAAGAGAAAGAGAACAGCGGAGATTCGAACTGCGAAGGCTACAAAGAGAACAGCGGAGACTCGAACAAGCGAGACAAAAGAGAGAACAGCAGCGACTCGAACAAGCGAGACAAAAGAGAGAACAGCAGCGACTCCAAAAACTCGAAGAACAACGACTCCAACAACTCGAAGAACAACGACTCCACCTCGAAGAACAACGACTCCAACGTGAAAGAGAAGAAAGGCGCTTACACAGATGCAGACTCAAGCAGCAACACCAACAGCAACTTCTCCAAAGACGAGAACGCAGACGTGAACGAAGACGTGAGAGAGAAGCTCTCGAAAGACAACAGGAAATTCAACAGCAACTCGAATACCAGGAGAGAACCCGTCAAGACAGGGAAACCAGACGACAAAGGAGACATCTTGAAGAATCAACTTCTCCACCGATGACGACCCAACGAAGGCTTCAACACGACGAACCCCGTGAGCACCACCAAGAAAGGTCGAGACAAAGAAGAGAGCGTGAACGGGAACTCCTCACACTTCAAGAAAGGCATGAGGCCCAACAAAGACAACAGCACCAAGAACGAAACGACAGGAGCCAACGAAACAATGACACCCACAGCATTCTCACGGCTCTTCTGGAATACGAAGAAGTTCCTCCGTACAGAGAACAGTTCCACAAGTACCTCGATCTTCTTTCTTTCGACTCCCGGTTTTCACCGGTGTTGAGAATCAACAAGGCTCTTGTTAGAGACGAAGGACAGCTTCACAATCTCATCAGTGAGTTTAGAGACTTCAACGTGTTTCCCAGCTCGGTGGATCCGTTTAAATTGACATATGTTGATGACCGGCAATTTGACCATATGATTCCTGAGTTGCTTGCACAAGAGGTGAACCATGTTGGCGGTTCCAGCACAGATGACATTCAATTGGCCATCGAGTTATCGTTGAATGAACTAGAAAGAGCACAAACAGCTCATACACAGAGAGTACAAACAGCTCATACACAGAGAGTACAAACAGCGCATACACAAAGAGCACAAACAGCGCATACACAAAGAGCTCACACACCAGAACAGAGATACCGACACAACCAAGAACCAGCACTGTCGCAATCACAGTTGCGACAATCTCCGGTACAAACAGAATCACCTTCGTACTCTCCTAGGATCCAGATTCCACGATTCGCCAACGAAGATGCCATCGAAGCTTAGAAAGCAATCTACACTACAAGGACAAGTCATACACTAGTACATAGATATACTAATTTTCCAATCTGGCTACATGTCTCTCAAACAACCGTTCAGCTCCAACCCAAACTCCAGCAGTATCTCTGTTTGGCAATTCAAGTAACGAAGGAACCAAATCTGTGCTGAATGTTTCAGAAGCTTCTCTAGGTAACAAGGACGGAAAGTGGTCAATAGAGCACACTGATAACCTTGGACCTTCGGAGGTCTCAATTTCCACCGTAGGTTGTTTGAAGCTGGTGATGGTTTCGTACACGGGAATTGGGTTGTATGGATTTGTGGCATCTCCCGAAACGTCGACAATGGTGGTCAACCTTCTGTTGACATCATTCAAGGTTTCTGAAGTCACAAAAGCAGCAATTGGACTCGACAAATAGATGCAATTGACAAAGATATCCGATTGCACGATCTCCTCAAATGGTCCTCCCTTGGAGGTTTCAGCTATATCCCATTTCAAAATCCTGGTTTTTGGGATTCCAACCTTTTCCATCAAAGCAATAGCCCCCGATCCACATCTTCCCAATGCACCAACGACCAAACATTTTGGATAAGTGCTGGTTTTGGTCACAGCAGCGTCCAATTGTTTCTTGACCACAGCTACCAATTCGGCCTCTCTCTGGTATGGAGTGAGGTTCGACAATTTTTTTGGTGGGTCCAACTGCTTCAAAGCCCAATCCCAAACTCCAATAGCAGCACCGGCGAAACCAGCGTAGAATCCAAACGCAGCAACCCTTCTTCCTTGTTCATTTTCCAAAAATTCAACGTCGTACAAGGTACCTTTACCAGCGGGAAATCTACTCAATACATTTTGCCAACCAGCTTGGTCTTTATAGCAGTGGCCAAAGTAAATGTGTTGATGAACCAAAGGGAAGGTTTCTTCTGGTAAGTCTTTCAAGCCCAATATTATTCTGTCTTTGGGAGCGGTCTTCCAAGAGGCTTTTGCAACAATTTGAGCACCTACGGCTTTGTACTCAGAGGAGTCAAAAGTGGATTGATCGCTTTCTTCCACATAGACTTCAAAGCCGGCATCAACCAACACTCTGGCGGTGGAGGGAGTTAATGCGGTTCTGGCTTCGGCTGGTTTGGTTTCTGCTCTCAAGTGAATTTGCACAGTCATTATCAAATAAGGGTATTTTGCGTTTGCGAAGCCAGGAGTATTTATGGCAAGGTTTGAAACTCATGCCGCATTCAGTTTTAGTTGTTTTATTTAGTCATATTTATAAAAGTCCTCGGATTTAGTCATATCTGTGAACTTAGTCATAGCTTCGAGCTTGTCGCATTCAAGCTGCAAAAAAATTCACTTAGTCCAAGCTAGCACGGGCTCGCATCGGAGTCAGCAGGAATTCTCCCCACCGGCGGCGCCGCGCCCAATTTGCTCCAGTAAAACTCCAGCAATTACCAACTTATGCACACTTCAAATCTTCATTTGCAGCACAATGTTAAACCCACAAAAATAATCGTAGACACCCACTGAACAAGCTCAAGACGAAACCATCATCCGCCTAATTCCCACAAGCACTTCTATCAACCACCTCCAGTCACTATCTCTCTCACCTTTTATGGTCAAAGACCCTTATGTCCTGCAGGCGGAATCATGTTTTGGGCTGGTAAGTGCGCAGAGAATTCCAAATTTTTTCCCACTTCTGTATCTGTAGATAACGAACATACACCATGGCCGAACCAGAAGGATTCACCAAAGTGAGCGAAGAAACACACAAGCCCGACGCCAAGTTAGGTGCCAACCCATATGGACCCAATCCGTCCGATTTCTTGTCCAACGTGTCTAGTTTCCAATTGATCGAGTCCACCTTGAGAGAAGGTGAACAGTTTGCTAATGCGTTTTTTTCCACCGAAAAGAAGATCGAAATCGCCAAGGCTTTGGACGATTTTGGTGTCGACTACATCGAGTTAACCTCCCCCGTTGCGTCGGAGCAGAGCAGAAGCGACTGTGAAGCTATCTGCAAATTGGGCTTGAAGGCCAAGATCTTGACCCATATCAGATGTCATATGGATGATGCCAAAGTGGCGGTTGAAACTGGTGTAGACGGGGTGGATGTGGTGATCGGAACCTCTCTGTTCTTGAGGCAATATTCCCATGGTAAGGATATGAACTACATCGCCCAGAGTGCGGTGGAGGTGATTGAATTTGTCAAGTCCAAAGGCATTGAAATCAGATTCTCCTCCGAAGACTCGTTCAGAAGTGACTTGGTTGACTTATTGAACATCTACAGAACCGTCGACAAGATCGGAGTCAACAGAGTAGGTATTGCTGATACGGTGGGATGTGCCAACCCCAGACAGGTTTATGAGTTGGTGAGAACTTTGAAGTCTGTGGTCAACTGTGACATCGAGTGTCATTTCCACAATGACACCGGGTGTGCCATTGCCAACGCATACACGGCCTTGGAAGGAGGAGCCAAGTTGATCGATGTTTCAGTCTTGGGAATTGGTGAAAGAAATGGAATCACTCCGTTGGGTGGGTTAATGGCTAGAATGATTGCTGCCGACAGAGACTACGTGTTGTCCAAATATAAATTGCATAAGTTGAGAGACTTGGAGAACTTGGTGGCCGAAGCTGTGCAAGTCAATATTCCCTTCAACAACCCAATCACCGGTTTCTGTGCTTTCACCCACAAAGCCGGTATTCATGCCAAGGCCATCTTAGCCAACCCTTCGACCTACGAGATCTTGAATCCTTCCGACTTCGGCTTGACGAGATACATCCACTTTGCTAACAGATTGACCGGTTGGAATGCCATCAAGGCCAGAGTCGATCAGTTGAACTTGCACTTGTCTGACGAACAGTGTAAAGAGGTTACCAACAAGATCAAGAAGTTGGGAGATGTGAGACAATTGAACATCGATGATGTGGACTCCATTATCAAGGACTTTCACGCCGATATATCCACTCCGCTCATCAAGCCTTCAGCCGATGGTCAAGAACCAGATGAACTTCCAATCAAGAAAGCCAAACTCCAATAGTCGAAGAAGGAGAGTAGACTACCAAAAGGGGATAGTAGATTTGTATTTATTGTATATGCTGAATAGTTTAACACTTAGTCTGTAAGGTATCGTGCAGCGACACCCAGCTAGTTGATAATTACACAATTATAGGGTAAAGGTCTCTACTCCCTATGCAGCAGATCCAGGATAATGCTGGCATCATCATCATCATCATCGTCAGTATCGACGTCAATTGTAACGTGTTTCCGTCTTTGAAAGTCCTTGATATGTGCTTTGTTCAAAGCATCACTGAACACCGCAAACGTTGATTTACGACGGGTGAGCTGAGGCAACTCAACATGGACATCGGAAGTTTCAATATTGGCCTCAGAGTCAAACGAAACATTTGCTGATGTTCTAACCGACGACGAAACTCCAATTACATCTTCGATATCGTAAGTATTTCCTTCGGAGTATCTCAACGACACCAACTTTTTAATAGCCCTTTCTACCTTTGCGGAAATAGCATAAGGCAACGGCGAATCCCTCGAAGCCCGGAATAAGATCACGTTGGTGACATGTTCGTTCTCCATTCTGAAGAACACCCATATGATTCTTCTCACCAACTCGGCCACTGCTATCAAGAAACTGGTTGCAGCCAGCTGTTGGATTTGATTACTAAAAAATGCATAGAATATCCACTGAAATCGCAACAAAACATCAGCAACCATGGCAAAGTAATAGTAGACTGGCTTCTCATAGAACAAGTTGTCACGAAGAAGCCAGTTCTTGGATTCAAACTGCAATAGCGACCAGTCCATCACAATGTCCCAAGTTGCCGTGTAGATGGAGTTGATCGAGGCCATTACAATAAATACGATTCGATTGGTATTGCTCTTGTTCAACCGGTAGACGCTCAACAACGCATAGTACACGGCTCCCACCGCATACTTGAGCATGTTTGCTAAATGGGGAAACCAGTCCCCTGTATCGGTATAACGTCTTACACATTGGAGAAACCTGAAAATACTGGGCAAGGCAGCAAAGAACCCCATTGATCTTGACTTAGATGACCCACAAACGTCATGAATGGCTCCCGAGTCATTGAGCATACCGTTCCAGTGATGGGAGTAAAGGCAGAAGAAAAATGAAATATTTCCCATCGTGTAGGTCAATGAGCACAAAAGATCACCTAGAAAAAAGTCTCTGAATTCAACAGGGTAAAATCCAGAGAACAAGATTCTAAAAAGGGCCACCTGGAGCCACCGTCTAGCAGAAAGATAGAACTGGTTGAAAGGCCAGAAAAACACAACCAAACCAGTACCAAAGTATATCCAGGGCCAGTCTCGTCCAGGAAACTCGGCTCTCCAATAATCGTGCATGCTAAACCACATCAAAAGCGACATAAACCCGAAAAATGCTGCTGGAATCACCAAGTACTGCTTGTAGTCCAAGGCAGTAGCAATATGAAACTCAAAAATGAACTTGTAGTTTATTTTGAACCGGTCAAATATGAGCATGTTTAAACCAAATAAGAGAAACATCATCGTTAGCAAGAAAAACCCACCCCATATCTGCAACATGAACCTTCCTTCAGGTAAAGTATCATCAAGGACCTTGCGTAGGCCAGTGTACAAAGCGAGAACAAACAACGGCAAACCAACTCCTAGAAACACCCCAGTAAAGAACGATTCTGGGTAGTACGACGACATTCTCACCTGGTTGTTGTTCAAGGCATATGCTATGCTTTTGAACTTTTCCAAAGAGTGCTTTCTATCTGATGACTCAAGATGAAAGAACGAAATGTACAACTCTTCTGACTGATTTACCAATTTTTCCAAAAGATCACTTGTCATGAAATACGATTCTGTATCAATTTTTTTCACATATTCCACTGAAATCGACGACCCAGTCAGCTTGTCAAACTTCTTGGTGATCTTTCTGAACGCGGTACGGTTCATTTCCTTGTACGACTTCAATAAAACCAAAGACCTATAATGCTCTAACATGGCTTCTTTCAACTGCTTTCTTGCAACTTGGAAGGGCACAGAAAACTGTCTCTTAGTAGACTCGTAATCTCTTCTCTTCCTCTTGCGGGCCATCTCGGGGGTCTGCTGGACCTGAACTCCCGACAGGCGAGAGCCATCAGCCGAAAGAGAAAACTCATTCAAACTGTCTGAGTCCAAAGATGACACCTCCGACCGATCACCAGCTAATCCATTTCTGATTCGGTTTTCGAAGTAGTTGGCATCGACCTCGTGTGGTGTGGTATCAGTCATGGAGATATCTGAGCTGTTGGTAGATTTTTTGATTCTCTCCATAAACACTTTGGAAGGTAAGGAAGGCAAGTCAAACCGGTTTAAGTATGAAAAGGCACTCTTGGTGTGGTACGCCAATTCGTTCACTCTTTTATACACTGCTATCTCCCCCACATGCGTGGTTTGTAAGTTTTTCAACTGGGTTTGCTTCTGTCTGTTCATGATCATACGATGCTCCTTCAACTGATATAACTGGTCTTCCAAAATCAAGAACCGTTCGTATACTTCTTGTTCTCTTTCCCGATAAAATGACTCTACTTTGTGATACTGACCAGAAAGCCATTCCTGGAATTCCCTCTTCGTGTCGTCTTTTTTCTGTTGATTTATGGATGACTTTCCAGTAAATATCGTTGTCTTGAAGGAAACGGTACTGTTTTTATTAGGATCTTCGGGTGGTAGAGTTTGTTCTCGAAAAAATGAAGAGCTTTCATTGTGCCCATATCCACGTTTCTTTGAAGGGTCCAATGGTTGCAAAAGTGGTGTACGGTCATTTGTGTTTTTGCTCTTGTTGTTTTGCGGAGTATCGTCTTCTACATCTTTGACTTTTTTGATGATCTTTTTCCCCTTTTTGTAGTCTAAGTACTGGGGTTCCCACTCAGGGACTACTCCATTACTCAAAGACTCGGCAAACTTCATGCTCCTGGCATACCAAATATACTAAATTTCAGGTTGTGAAGAATCGTAAATGAGAAATGTCACCGTGGGCTTTTCGCACCGAGATCCAAACAAGGATCAATTACTGCAAAATTATATATTAATAAACTAACTCTCGTATCTAACATAAAGGGCATCGATAAAATGGCGGTGTTTGATTCCTGGAGGTTTAGCATCTCTAAATCCACCAATGGCTTCTTCAACAGACCACCCCAACCGTTCAATTAGGAAGCAACAGATTAGAAAACCGGTTCTATTAAATCCATAATGACAATGCACCGCTATCAAAGGATCCTCTATTGTCTTCAGCTCCAAGATCTTATCGATAAGTTGAATGAACTTTCTGATGGAGCCAGGGTCGGGAACCACCTTGGAAACGGTTGCACATTTGTAATAGGTGATGATTTTAAACGTCTCAGGATCATATGGTGGAATATCGGCAGAGATATCGACAATTGCAATAAGATGGCCAGTAGGAAGCTTATATTGGGATGGAATCATGGACCTATCACCATAAAAAGCGTTTTCTAAGATGATAGGCGAGTGGTTTGCATCCCCCTCTCTGAGGGTTTTCATACCCAACAATGGAGAAATGTCTTTACCATGGTTTCTAGAAATATTAAGAGAGATTGGGTCAAGTCTCAGCCATTTCAACTCGTTCTTCAATCCCCATTTGTCACCACTGATATCTGCTTTGACTCTTAACACCCAAGCGGGTGAGAGATGCAATCGTTCGGGAAACTTGTTCTCAATATGATCCAAGATTTTACCACTAATAAACTCTGGTTTCGACAATAACAAGCCATGGCCAGCATTCTTGATTTCTATCAAAGTACTAACCTTTCTCTGAAACACGTGCGACAACATGTTGTCTATCTCAGTGATTTTCTGAGGTGGTGTCACTTTGTCATCAGTTCCGGCCACCAATACCGTTTTCTCATACACCCGGGTGTCAAACGGATTGTTATTAAACCTCTTAATAGCTGCTACCAAGTCACTATATTTACACCTTTCAAACCCCTTTATGTACTTTAATATCACCTTGGTATCGACGTCTAAGTTCCACCTAAACTGACGTAATTTAATGTACAACGAGGTATGTGGAGGATAGAGTGAAGTATCTCCAATCTGTCTGAAAACACTTGAGCTTTCAAGCCCTTCAAGCCTGTCCCAGACTCTCATGAGATTAACAACGGACGGGAACTTAGTCATCCAGTTGGCAAATATCGATGTTTTGTGACTATTCTTCACTTGTTCATTGGTGTAAATATCATCCTGAAACCCGGGACTCGTTAACAAAATCAACCCTTCAACCTTGCTCGAAGGCAATTTCTTTGCAACTCGTACTGATAAGTGGCAACCCATGGAGTGAGCTATTAAAACCACTTTTTTATTAGGAGGTATGGTTTGATTGATAAACTCAGTTATAATAACACTGATGTTGTTACTGGTGAAATCTCCATCTGCCATGGATGCCACAGACGTCGAAATTCTTTCTTGATCTTCTGGAGATATTTTCGTCAACCTGGCGCTTGCGGTGCTGAAGTCTGCCCTGGAATCACCAAACCCTGGCAAGTCAAGTGACACAATCTCCAGACACTGCGACAACAACGCCATCAATGGCTCAAACTGTGACATCTGGCCGCCCATTCCATGGACAAACACCAATATGGGCGACTCTTTCAACTCCTGCAGTATATCGACTGATTGGTTGTTTTCATTCTTCATGAAATTCGTCAACGGGTGGTCAATGTGCAACGTTTTTAAGTATACTTCATCAACAGATAAGCCCTGTTGCCGCGACAAGTCCACTCTTGTGACCCCGCTATACTTGGCCACCAACGCTGAGTCGTTGGGCTCTGCTTCCAAAACGTATTCTTCAAAGGGATTTGCCTTTTTTAGCAACACAATCCTTAGGTACTGCCAGAGCTTTTTGAAAACTGTGTTTGTTTGGGTGAATTGAGCGGTCGACAAATCCTGGAGCTTGCGGAATGACACCTGGACGTTTGTGGACAGAGACGCCTTGGGGCTTGAAAAGTTCAGTATTTCGACATGTTCACTGTCCTCATTGTTCATATTAGTACTAATTAACTGAAGGTACTTGAAGTTTCGGAGTGCGAAAGTGGTGAGATAAGATGCGACGGCTGAAAATGACACCGGGTGAACAAAATAGGATGAAACGGTGCCAGTTGAAAAATACGGAAGAAATGAGGTCAGTAGGCAATTGGGAGGCAATATGAGTCATGGAGTTAACACACTCCTGTGACTTTGAAAGTTTTTCTGGTTTCAAATGGGCTTTTATTCCTGACAATACCCCAAATCTGTCAAAAATGAGAGAAAAAGTCAATACCTTCTCTTTCATATCACCCAAAAAACCTCCAAGATTCATCCTGACAGTCTTCAAACCCCAATTTACAACATCTAACCTATATACCACTCCAGTATTACTATTACTACCAGTCCTCTTTCACACACTACCCCGTTTACCAGTTTTTGCAGCTTTTGTCGCGGGCATGCATGAGCAAATCACAGAAAAAAAGCGAGTGAAAAGACAACCATAACATAAACATTCATACTCTGTGTACAAATAAAGGACTGCAGGAATTCACACATACCATGTCACGTTATTCAAATGATAACGACTCGCTTGATGATTTGGATTCCACCTTGGACAAAGCGTTGAACAACGCTTCAAATAGTTTATTCAACAGTTCTCGTCACAGCTCTCAAGGGTCTATCGGAGGTATTCCTTTGACAAGTTTTGGTAACAGTTCCAACGGACTCCACGAGAATCGTGTGGCCAGTGGCGGAGCTGGCAACTCCAACGGTACTCGATACGAAGAGTTTCACCATGACGATAGCTCTCCACTAATAGGAAACCGATTCCAACAAACTAATAGGTCATTTGATTCGACGTCAAGCTTGGATATCAATCTCAACCGAGGATTCAGCCTCAAGAAGGTGATACGGCAGGTGGTGAACTTCTTCAAGCTAGCCAAATTCGAGTTGAACCAAGAGAGAAATAAATTCAATAGCGAAGATGACAGCGAAGAACGGTTTATAACTCCTCGTAACAACAAGGTGAAAAATCAGTATCCCACTAATGCCATTTCCAACGCTAAGTATAACCCCATCACATTCATACCCATCATTTTGTACGAACAGTTCAAGTTTTTCTTCAACTTGTACTTCTTATTAGTGGCATTATCGCAGATTGTTCCTCAATTAAGAATTGGGTTTTTGAGTTCGTATATTGTGCCTTTGGCCTTCGTGTTGATGGTCACAATGATGAAGGAGGCAACTGATGACATATCCAGACGTAGAAGAGATATCGAGCAGAATAACGAATTATACGAAGTTTTGAACAGGTCCGGCTCAACTGCATTGACAAACGAAACCAAACTGATACCCTCGAAGAACTTACGAGTTGGCGACTTAGTGAAGATTTACAAGAATAAGCGGATTCCTGCCGATATAATACTTTTACAGTCGAGTGATCAAGAAGGAAACGGAGAAGCATTTATAAAAACTGATCAATTAGACGGGGAGACCGACTGGAAGTTGAGAATAGCTCCAAACTTGACACAGCACACTAACAGTATCTCAGACTTGATAGACGACTTCTCCCTTATTATCAGTAAGCCTACCAAATCAATTCACCATTTCAATGGGAAGCTTGTGTACCATCCCAACGGGTACAACAATTCTAACTCTGAACAACTTCCCTTGACAATAGATCAAACAATGTGGGCTAACACAGTGTTAGCAACAGGGTCTGCTATTGGGATTGTGGTTTATACCGGCATTGAGACCAGACAGCTGTTGAACACCACCAAGACAGGGGTTAAAACTGGTTTACTTGAACTTGAAATCAACAAATTGGCTAAAATTTTGTGTGTTACAGTATTTTTGTTATCAGCCTCCTTGGTGTTTGCCAAAGGATGGCCCTTGAAAAAAACCTGGTACATCGATATATTAAGATATTTGATTTTGTTTTCGACGATTATTCCCGTTTCTTTGAGAGTCAACTTGGACTTGGCCAAGTCTGTTTATGCTTCTCAGATTCATAAGGACAAGGAAATCAACAACACCATTGTCAGAACATCTACCATTCCAGAAGACCTTGGTAGAATAGAATATTTATTGAGTGACAAGACAGGAACTTTAACTCAGAACGATATGGAGTTGAAGAAACTCCACTTGGGAACTGTTAGTTACGCAGGTGATACATTGGATATGGTCAGTGAGTATATCAACAACAGCTTGAATAACATGAGGGCCTCAAACAATCTAATCACTTCTAGCAACATGAAGAAAAGAGACTTGAGTAACAAAGTCTACGACTTGGTGTTGACATTAGCACTTTGTCACAATGTTACCCCCACGCATGACGAGGAATCGAATATCGATGCCGATGAAGTAACATACCAAGCTGCTTCTCCTGACGAAATTGCCATTATCAAATTCACCGAAAGTGTAGGCTTGAAGTTGATACAAAGAGATAGAACGTCGATGACATTGTTGCATTTGAAGCTGAACCAAACATTCAAGTTTGACATCTTGTACATTTTTCCATTCAGCAGTGAGACTAAGAGAATGGGGATTGTTGTAAAGGACTTAACCAAGGATGAAGTATTTTTCATGGAAAAGGGTGCTGATTCTGTTATGATGAGCATCGTTAGTCACAGCGATTGGCTTGAAGAAGAAACTAGCAACATGGCAAGAGAAGGCTTGAGAACGTTGGTTATTGGAAAAAAGAAGATGAGTGAAAAGCTTTTGAAGGATTTCGAGTCCAATTACAAAGATGCCAGTTTGGCTATGCATGACAGAGAGTCATCGATGCAACAGGTGGTAGTGAACTACTTGGAGCAGGAGTTGGAGTTATTGGGGTTGACCGGTGTTGAAGATAAGTTACAGAAGAATGTCAAATCGTCGATCGAGCTATTGAGAAACGCCGGAATTAAAATCTGGATGTTGACCGGTGATAAAGTAGAAACCGCCAAATGTGTTTCTATTAGTTGTAGGTTGATTACAAGAGGTCAATACATTCATCAGATCACCAAAATTAACCACCCGGACCTCGCATTGAACCATTTGGAGATGTTAAAGATCAATTTGAATTCGGTGTTGCTAATCGATGGGGAGAGTTTGTTGACATACATGAAACATTTCCCGGAAGAATTCTTCAGACTTGCTATTCAATTGCCTACTGTAATTGCCTGTAGATGTTCTCCACAACAGAAGGCTGATGTCGCCAAAATCATCAAAGAAATTACTGGAAAGAGAATCTGCTGTATCGGGGATGGGGGGAATGACGTCAGTATGATCCAGGTAGCCGATGTGGGGGTGGGAATTGTTGGAAAAGAAGGAAAACAGGCGTCGTTGGCGGCAGACTTTAGTATCGACCAGTTCTATTATCTTTGCAAATTGTTATTATGGCATGGCAGAAACTCGTACAAAAGATCATCCAAGCTCGGCCAGTTTATCATGCATAGAGGTCTCATTATATCGGTATGCCAGGCGGTGTACTCGATCTGCTCCGACTTTGAGCCATTGGCCTTGTACCAAGGATTTTTGATGGTCGGGTATGCCACCATCTATACGATGATGCCGGTGTTCTCGTTGACACTTGACTGTGATGTCGATGAAAACCTCACCAAGTTGTATCCTGAACTCTACAAGGAATTGACCCTCGGCCGGTCTTTGAGCTACAAAAACTTCATTATCTGGTGCATAATCTCACTTTACCAGGGATGTGTAATCCAGCTCTTGGGTCAGAAATTCCAAGGAGTAGAGCTAGATACCTTCACCACCATGGTGTCGCTTTCATTCACAGCACTCATCTTCAACGAATTGATCATGGTGGGTCTCCAAATTAATCGGTGGAACATGATTATGATCATCACCGTGACGGTAACAGTTGTTATCTACGTGACCCTGGTGCCATTCTTACCCGACTACTTTAACCTCGACTATATGTCGTCATTCTCCTTTATATGGCAGTGTGTGGTGATTTTGGTGATAAGTTTGTTCCCGGTATTTTTGTTCCAAACCATCAACCGGAGATTGAGACCCCCTAGTTACGCCAAAGTGCAACAGGACTAAGAAGAATGATAACGTGAAACATATTTACCTTGCCCGTTATCAGCTGTTAAAGGTAAAATGCAACCTGAATGCCCCTGCATGCCCCTATCTTACGGTAGCCAATGACCTCTACCCGGGGGGGGGGGGGGGGGGGGGGCCTTTGCAGCCTATTGTCGCAAATCATAATTTGCATCTGCACAAAGGACAAGAAACGGTTGGGAGGACAGCATCAGCGGTGCCGCCACGCCCATCGGTAATGGGGCTAGGTAGCCGGTAAGGGGCCCTACCGTTCACCCCCACAGCCCTCACCAGCGTCTCGGCTTTATTCGTTGCTAGTTACCCAATAACAATCAATTAGTGCCAGCACCAAAATGCAATAAACAAACAAAGCAGTCGATATCGTATAGCCGGAACGATGGCACAAAATTGCTTCGCAACATCAGCAGCCCAAAACTCAAACTGTGGTTAGAGTTTTGGGGAGCGAGATCCTGCACATAGCCATTGTGGTACATCCTTGATGATCTGATTTCAAATGGGCCAACCATCCCCAAAAAACATATATAAGCAGCCCATCCCCAGTCGCAAACCCAAAAAACTACTACTTTCTTGTCTGACAATGTATCACGCTAGAACCGTTTACTCCCGCACTTCCACCTTATTATTGGGCTATTTGGCCCTTTCTACCACGCTACCATTTGCTTTAAGCTATAAGGAGTCTTTAGAGAAACTGCAATTTAAGGGTGTGGTTCACCCCAGAGCCTTGTTCAACAAGATTTAAATACACGTTACGCAAGACCTTACGTTACGCCAGACATCACTTTAAGACACTCAGATGTCAATTGGTGTTCCACCATTAATGGGTTGGGGATTGTGGCTGCAGCGCAGCTTCCCCTTTAGAGTTAGTTCAATGATTACGATAGAAATATAATTCCAATTTTTGGATCCAGCAAGCCTGGTTAGCCAGCAATGCTGTCGATGAAGTACAAGTAGCCGTTGTTTTTGGAGGTCTGAGTTGTTAGTGCTGCTTTGCAGTTTCCACCGGCGCATAGTGTGTCCATCGGCCGACCATCGCGGACTCCGACTCGCGGGCGCCGACCGGCGGCATGTGGTATCGCGTGAGACGTGAACGTGTAAGTCATGAGACGTGGACGTGGACGTGGTGTAGACGTGTAATACATGACGTGTAGCAATATCGGATATCTTCTTCATTGGCGCAGATCAAAAGCTTCGATACAAATAAACAAACATGAAACGACCGTTTTGGCTTTGTTGCAAATAAACAAACAAATATAAACAGATGCTTTGGGCTGAGCAAAATAAATAATAAACTCTCGGTTTACCATCCTAGTGGCTGTTCTTGCTCGTATAGCTTCCGTGATATTTATGCTCGTGCTTGCATATCTGTAACTTGCGTATTTCATGATGAAGCCCTTTGGCTTGGCTGCGGTCGATTGCCTGTAGGCTCGGACACCCAATTGGTGTTTGGTTGGTAAAAATATTTTTGCAATCAGTAGATCATTTGCAGAGACAACATTGCTTATCCCTGAGATTCGATAGGTTGTTGCCCGACTGGGCTAGTGTACGTTTCAAAGAGGGTAGTCCTGGCTGCCGAGATCAGGTAATTTTCTAGTTTCCCGTAATGTTGGTAAACGTTTTGTGATATCTCTCAAGGGTCACGTGACCATTCAGACCTAGAAGCCTGACATCCCGAGATACAGTGTATGTGTATGGGTCTATGGGTATAGGCTCAAAGTCGCACTTCCTACTTGTTGCAGCCACAGACAGTAGATTACGTGATACAGTGTTTTCAGAATGAATAGGGCACCTTCGTGATTAGGATGTCGCATTTATATACTTTAAGTATACTTCCCTCGTTAAAAAAAAGATACCAGACTTAGAGTTATAGACAATCACTTCTTGAACAAAAACTATATTTCAATCGCCAACTTAGGCACTGTGCTTGAGTCTCAAGGAAAGTAGTTTCGTACTTTCGTTATATTGTCAGTTTCTGAGAGGTACCACCACAAACCCATTAGTGAGTCAAATTTTGCAACTAAGTTACTTTTTGCAGTTGGTATGACCATTACCGTATTTTTTGTCGCAAGCCATAACACAGGCAACTTTTACGATGTTATAAGAAATGTTGATACCATTCTTTTGACAGTCACTCATAAGATTGTCAGCAGCGGAGCAGGCATACATGCACTTCTTTTTTCGAGAATCTGATCTTTTTATCGAATATGAATCATCATCTGTGTCCCATTCATCACCATGAGAGGTCAGATTAGTTACAAGTTCCACAAATTGTTCCAAATCATCGATTACTTCCACTGCTTCTGGTAACGTTGCATTGTCAGATTGTAACAGGTAAGACCAACTATAGTTCTCCAACGAGCCCAACAAACTAAGGTGGAAGGTTCCCGGAGAGTCACGCTTCTTGTACGGGTTGCACCACCACTTCTTGTAAGAGCCAGAACATGCCCACACTCACTCTTTTCGGGAACCACAGAAGACAGACTCACAACTGACTTCTTCACACTGCTCGACCGCCTTTTTGTTGGTCAACTCATAGCACTCACCGGCGGCCCTTACCACCGCTAGAGTCAGAATTATCAAAATGACCAAAATGTTCAAAGATGACCTTGAAAGATTCATTTTGCTTTTCACAATATTTTTCGTAAGTTTCTTTATCTACAGCTAGTTTGATGGAGTAAGCGTAAAGTCCAGACACTATAGCATGGAATGGAGTCAAGGCTAAAGCTGGTAAAATTTTCCAAAAGGACATTGGGGATCAGGTTGTAGAAATATCTCTATTTATAATATTACGTGCAAAATTTACTGTTTCTAACCAGCAACGTAACTTCAATTTTGTTAGCCAATAATAAAACAGTTGTTGCTTGATCCCTGGGGTTACGGTGACATCTCTCAACCCGACACTCCGGCATTCATATCTGTTCCAGGCGATATTAAATTCATGCTAGAACGAAATTGAAAGTATATAAATGCGACATCCTAATCACGAAGGTGCCCTATTCATTCTGAAAACACTGTATTCGCAACAACTGATAAGGGTCTGAAAGGTACATAGAGTAGAATGAATGTTGACTGTTCAAACGAGAAGAACAGTGGGTATATGGGTCAGATGATAGAACCGTAAATTGGGCATTTCTCACCCTCTTTCAGCTGTCAAGAGAACCGGACAGGTAAACTCCAGTTGGTACTGTTTCCTGAAATGGTAAACGCCTTCCGAGATTCAGAAAGGTTTGTCGGTAGGCTTATCGTGAGGTGACAGTTGCAAAATTTCACTCCTTCTATTCGCAAACAACATAGAAAGTCCACAGATACCCAACACTGAACGCTTCCCTTCATTACCAACAGAAAGTCCAAGAAAGCCCGAATGTTAGACAATGGCATTCATGAGCACGTTTTGGGGCTTAAATTATTGCCCATCGCAGGCCTCTAACTAATGCACTTTCAACAACCTGAGCATACTTCAATGTTGGAGAGACCAGCATGATTGAAACACCCCATACTCAATCACTGACACCAAGGAACCCAAAGTAAATTACTTCTTTGTAGCACGAAAAATAGTCCATGTACCATCTTGCAACCGATCGGTTTCGCAGACGAACTCCGACATTCGAAACCCACGTTTTCTCTTGAACATATAGGGGAAACCGATTGGACCGTATAGCCGTATAAATAGAACCCCCCAAACTACTCTATGGTCTCCATCAAGCGAAAATGGTTTCACTCTCCAAACTTTTTAGCAATTCGTTAATATACTCATCAAGCTTTCACCAGGCTGCGAGTCCTGCTTTAGATAACACTGAACAGTATAATATCGCTAAGTTCTTGGTCAGTGCCGGTCCATACTTCGAGTACCAAGGTTTCGGTATCTCCACCGACTTACCTGTAAATTGCACTTTGGAACAGGTGCAATTGTTCATGAGACACGGTGAAAGATACCCAACCACCGGCAGTGGAACCAGTTACAACACAACGGTACAAAAAATTAAGTCTTCCGGAACCCTAGTCGGTCCCTTGTCATTTATCAACGACTATGAATTTTACATCAAGTCGTCTGACTACCTCGAGATGTTGACCACCCCAGAAAACAGTAACAGTCCATACCTTGGATCTAAAACTGCGATGGAAGCTGGTATCGCTTTCAGGTCCAAGTATGGAATATTGTACAACGACAATATTCCATTGCCAGTGTTCTCCACAAATTCCCAAAGAGTCTATGATACTGCCCATAACTTTATAAACGGGTTCATGGGAGAACAGTTCAGCTCTGACCAAGTCAAGTTTAACGTCATCAGCACCAATATCACCCAAGGTTTCAACTCGTTGACTCCAACCAGTGCTTGTGCCAAGTTCAATACATCTTACAACTCCGAGTATATTAATGCTTTTCCTAAAGATTTCTTATCCAACATTCTTGCCAGGTTGGAGGTGGGAAACCCAACCTTGAACATCACCACTAGTGACATTGGAACTTTATTCAACATCTGTGCATTTGAGTTGAGTAACACCGGCGGATCTCAATTCTGTGGATTGTTCACTGATGAGGAGCTCATCACCAACAACTATTTGACCGACTTGAACAAATATTTTACCCAAGGTCCAGGTAATCCTTTGGCTAATGCAATTGGGTATGTACATTTCAATGCCTCGATGGCTTTACTTAAAGATGAAGACAGCACCAACAAGATGTGGTTGAGTTTCTTTCACGATTCAGATCTCTGTCATTTATTCAACGGTATTGGTTTGTTCGATACTGACTCGTCTATGTCAAACGATAGAGTGAAGTTCCACGACGACTACCAATTTACCCAAACGGTCACTATGGCTGGCAGAGTTATTATTGAAAAGTTTAAGTATGCCGATGAAAGCTACGTGAGATTCTTGGTCAACAATGCCGTCATACCTTTGAAGACTTGTTCAGACGGGCCAGGCTTTTCTTGTAAGCTTAGCGATTTGGAAGATTTGTTTGAATCCAAGTACCAAAACTACAACTTGACTGAGGTCTGTGGTGCTAACACCACGTACCAACAAGACTTGACTTTCTTCTGGGATTGGAGTAGTGTATCTTATAATGCTACTACTCTGCCGACAGCCTGAGAGTGTGTCCTTGTGAATTCCTAAGATGTTTTAGCAACTGTTAAATATATTTTGCAACTCAATATATGTTGTAACTCTATATATCACTATAACCCGTCAAACCTTCGTATTCCGTGTTCATGTTGTTGCATATTTCGCAACTGTTTGGTGGTCAATTGCTTGGTCTTGGGTTTTTTAACTGACAGAGTTTCTTCCAAGTCCTTAGCATGAGATTCGAAGTTGATTAGTCTCTTTTTTGGCTTCAAGTTATCGAATCTTCTCTTACGCTGGAGCTTTGGGAGTCCCGATTGGTCCTTTTCAGAGTCCAGATCTGATGGATCTATTTTATCTGAATCTTCATTATCTGATTCTCCATTATCTGAATCTTCATTATTTGATTCTTCAGCACTTTCAGCATCTGAATCTTTTTCATTTGAGTTTTCAGAACCTTTTGCATCCAAATTTTTATCATCTGGGTCGCCAGCACTTTTAGCCTCCAAATCTTCACCATCTGAATCTCCAGTGTCATCACTAAAACTGGCCGAGTCACTTCCGCTATCATCGTCACTATCACTATCACTGTCACTGTCACTTCCGCTATCACTTCCATTAACTTCGTCTGATTTCTGACTTTCGTCGGACCAAATCTTCAAAGTGTCCATTCCTGCACTTATTAATCTGTAGCTATAGTCGATATCCAAGTTTCCAACCTCATCTACAGCGCCGTATTTCCCAAATGAACTGGAATGTACTCTTGTTTCTTGTACTTTCCCCATCTTGTAGTTGATTCTGTGCAAAAGCCCGTCAGCATCTCCACACCAAACTGAGTTGGTCATCTCATCTGTATCACAATTCATACTAGGAACAATAGTATCTAGGCTCACTCCCTTGTTGACTTTGATTCGAGAAAGCTGATCACGCCAGTGGTTCTTGGAGTTCTTCCAAATGGTGATAATTCCTTCTCCATGGGATACCAATACTGTATCGTTTTTATTATCGTTAACATGATCGGAAGCATAGCACATAGCAAGTAATTCGTCTTCTTGATCATCTGACTGAGTGACGATCCCTTTTCGAATGTCGATATGGGAAAGGGTCGTAGATCCTAAAGTCAAGTAGTGGTAAGCAGATACAGCAGGCATAGGAAGTATGTGGTTGATACAATCATCATGTGCCTTATCGACCTTGAACATGAGTTTATTCTTCGATAAGTTGGAACTGTCGTAAACTAAAACATGTCCATTCTCAGTACCAGCCAAGATGAAAGGATTGGTAGCAGAGTGACACATTTTGGTCATCTTATCGTCTTCTTCCAAAAAGTGTTGGGAAACTTCCACTTTACCTGAAACTTTTCCCGTTTCTGTGTTTGCCTTTTTGATTATATGATCTGTACCAGCAGTATAGATATTTTCACCAATAGAGTTTGGAAGAGGATCAAACAAAATCGACCGACACGACCCTTTATGTCTCTTTGTCTTCCATAATGTTTTCACCATCGAGTTGTTGATGTCTGTGGCATCGTCCACCACAGTCCACCATTTTTGTTTCAGTTGTGATACGGAACTGATGATTGCTGACGTCTTCCCAGTCTTAAAGGCCTCAGTTTGCTGTTTTGTATGTGTGGCCCTGTTGGCAGTTTGATACTCTTCAAGCTGTTCTGCATCATACGAAGTGCAAAATACATGGCCTGTAGCAAGACCTTGTGCAATAATCGGTCTGGTTGGATGTGCTGCTACCGAAAAAAGTGGATCAGGGTAGTTGATCTCAAGGATAGGAGAAACCTTTGATTCCAAAACTCGAGCGGCATTGGCAGCATTCGACTTTTTCTTCCCCATACTTCTTTTGGTATTGATTGAATTTAATCGAGTATTTACGCGGCGATGAGATGAGATGGATGCGAAATTACACTAATATATTTTTATTATACCAGAATAACAAACATGGTATGCATACACATATAATACTAAGCAAGAATAAAAAAATGAACAGTTAAACAACAAACATGACTAGAAAATGTCTGGGCAATTTTCCATCTTATGCTCTTTTCTTGATTGCCAGTAATTACCTTTGAATTCCCAAAAGGCGTCTCCAGTGACTGGGTGCTTTCGCTTTACGAACCAGAGTGGCTTGTAGTTCTCTCTCTTGAGCTCTCTTTCCTTTCTTGCAGCTCTCTGCTTCTCTTCAACCCGATGCTTTTCCAGAGATGCCTTGTCATATTGGCCATCTTCCATGGCTCTTTGATCTGGTCTTAATCTGGTATCGGTTGGTGCAACGAACTTCTTCAAGTTCTCATCAAGACCGTTCAAAGTAACCGCAAAGGCTGTCAAATTGAATGGGATTTTAGGCCTTGGAGCAGCTTGCCAAATGAGGAATGCACCACCCAGAAATGGGTCTTTGCTGAAATTATTATTGGTAGAATCAGACTTGCTAACCAAAGAAGCACGTCTTTGTTCCTCATTAGGATTCGTTTGCAGTAACCTTTTACCAAAAATCTTAGAATTCCAGTGTCCACCAATAGCCCATTTAGGGTTTCCATCCTTGTCAACGACAGTTCCACTCAACTGGTAAGCTGATGATGCCCTCCAACCTCTTTGTTTCAAGTCAACAATGATCTTGTCTCCAGTAGTATGGTTGGTAACCTCCATCTCACCAAAGTTATCGACAGTTGGATTACCAACAATAATACCCACAACAGAAGTGTTGACCTTTTTCCAACTGTATAACTCTTCCGCTACTTTGTTGCCATTGACATCAATTACACCTGCATCTGGCCTTATGACACAGAACATCTTACCCAAATGCTTGAAGTCAAAAGATCTTCCTCTAAACTTGGAATCAACAGCATTTTCACCGTAGTAATCCCACTTGATAGATTCAGCTTTACATGCACTGATTGGAGGATGGTGACTGACCTGCTCAGTCATAACTCTGTAGTTCTTGTCAGGACGGGCATATTCAAAAGTTTCACCAAGCAATGGATTGAAAGGTTTGGCAATTCTGTTGATGGTAGACGCATATTCTGAGGCACCAAACGCAGCAACATAAATGGTACGTAAGGAAGAGTCTTCAAAAGTTGCAGCATGGTCCAACAAATCTGAATACTCAACATCCTCAATCAATCTTTGCAATAATGAGGTGCACTCGTTGAAAGATACAGGTAAAGTCATTCTTGTCATATCTTTACCAATCATGGACTTTAAGATACCCCAGAGACCAACCTTGGGTCTATCATCTTCGTCCAATTTCAATTTAGTTCTTGGTGGATTTTCGTATCCCAAGAATGAACCTTCAGTTTCCACCATCTGTTTGTGCTTTTGCTGCACTCCATTGAGTTGTTCCTTGGGTACTTCATTTTCTTCAAAGGTCTTAGGATCAACGGATAATGTTTTGGTGTCAGACTCAATTGAAACTGCATCTTGAGATTCAGAGACAACAGCAGTTTCAGCTCTTACGCTTTCTGGCTGCTTTTGACCTTCAGTTAACTCTTCGTCAAAAGATTCGGATAACTCATCTGCATCGAAGAATTCGTCATCTGAGTCGTTAAGAAGGTTTTCAATAACTTGTTCAGAAACACCAGTATTCAAACTGGCATTGATCATACTAATTCTAGACTCGGAGCTACCTTCGGAAGCAAGCGTACCTGCTCCCAAAGCCGAAGTTACAGGAGGACTTCCCGGGGTTGAAGGACCAGCAGACGATTTGGAGGTTAGATACTTCTTCAATTGTTTCTTCTTACCTTCAAACTCAGCCAATTTCTCTTCTCTGCTGGCAATTTCCTTTTCTAATTGTCGAATAGAGTTTTCCCATAACTTGTTGACTTCTAGTTGTCTATCAAACCTTTTTGCGTTCTTGGCATCTTTGTTTGAAATCAAGCCATTGTACTTGGAGAACAAGTCTTGGATAACACCCAAGGTATTAGAACCCACTTTACAAATCTCCAAGTCTAAACTTTCTGGAGATTTCAATACGTTTGAGAATAAATCCAAAAGACTCCTAATCTCAACCTCCAATGACCCTTTTACGGTAGAAATTTCGTCACTCAAATTCTTGTTACCGGGAGTTTTGATCATTGAACCGTCCTCGCTGTAGTAGTCATCGTCATCGTCTTCATCATCTTCTTCATCTCCGTCAAAGTCAAAGTTTTCGTTGTCAGTCTCAACATAACTTAATTGATCGAATTGCCCTCCTGGAGCCTTCAATGTAGACTTTTCGTAGATCTTACCAAGGTTTGGACTATCCATGCTCTTCTTGTAAGTACTTGACCTGGAAAGTGAGTTGGAATCCTCGTCTTTGCTGTCCAATGAATTCAAAGAAACATGGCTACCGGTTCTCTTGTGTTTCCGTCTCAAACTAAGCAAATGACGCTTACCTTCAGTTGGCTCAATTTCAGTGCTAATTCTGTTAGTGGTAGGACTCGAAGGTGTCTTAGAATCATCTCCTTCAGGACTTGGGCTCAAAGGAGCAGAACCATTCAGGCTGCTCACTTGTCTGCCTCCTCTCTTTTTGAGATTATCTTTAGCATACGTTATAGCATTCTGCAAGTTCCAAACCCATCTGTTGGTCTCAATTGGGTGGTTTGCTCTTAAGTGCCATCTGATTCCATTCTTGCCAATGATTTCGAACTTCAACTTTTCCGACGAATCCAAGTGCAAAGAAGCAAATCCCAAATTGAGAGAACCCCTACAAGCATTGTTGGTATCGTCTTGATTGGTATAATACGACAAGATGCCCCTTTCATCCAACACAAAGTATCTCAACTTGTAACCCGAGGCAAAGTTTGTCCATTTCTTCAAGTAGCCCTTATAGGTGGGAGCACTGACAGTTTTGGAACTGGTGGGGTTCATGGCTGGGTCCATGATGGTCTGGTCTCTAGAAGCTGCTTTGAGCAACTTTCTAATTGGATCGCTCTTATTGTGGATCAAGTCAATAGGTAACTTACCTCGCTTGTCTCTCTTGAACGGATCACCACCGTGGGTCAAAATCCAGTCACACATTTGCAAATCACCCTTGGCGATGAACTCGTGCAACACCGTATTCCCAGTTTCGGGATCGGCACCGTTTATATCCAACAATTCAGCAGCTCTGGGGTTGCCGACCAACAACCTCTCCAAGTTCTTGAAGTCTCTCTTGGTGAAGTACTCTCTCAATTGGCTGGCCAGTTTTTCAACAAACTTTGCTCGTTCATATTGCATCAACTGGACAATTGTCAAGTCTTTACACAATTCCACCGGCTGTTTTTTGTCCAAGTTGGTGGTGGTGTCGTTGATGTTGGGCAATGACAACAAGTATTTCACCACTTCTCCTCTGGAGGTCATAGCTGCCAAGTGTAAAGGGGTATTTCCATCTTGATCTTGGGAGTTGATATCCACAGTGAATTGTTGGGCATTGTTGACCAAGTACTGGATTGTAGATAATGGGGCCACTTGTACCGAGTAGTGCAAAATGGTGTGCTTTATCTGGATAATATCTTTGGTTTGAGTGGTCAGTTTTGTGGATAGTAAGGTTTCATTGACGGAATCAACTTTGGCGGTGTCTCCACTTCTTAAGGCATCCAAAAGTTTGAGTCGAAGCAACGACGCATTTAACGGAGATCCCATGGTATGTATCTATCGGGATCTATCACTGGAAATGTGTACAATATACGCTCAGACGAAAAAATAGGGGGTGATGTGATGACTAAAGAATAGCAAGGTATTTGAGGTGTAACTTTCGAGTGTCGCTCTCATCAAAATTAGCCAACAACAGGGGGCTGTGTGCAGGCGAGAGAGCAATGCGCTGTTGGCCCCGCGCTGGAACCAATCTGCCGCTGCGCGTGGGCCGGGCATTTGAGTTTCGCGATGCCATCAAGTGATTTTCATCCGCAACCATGGACAAGAAACGAAGTCGTGAAGACTCTGACACTCACTATAGTACCAAGGAAAAGAAAGTACGTCTTGACCCCAGAATAAGTCAAACATTGTACATACAAAACCTTAATGACAAAATCAGCCCCGAAACGACCCGGGCAAATCTCTATTTGTTGTGCACCAGCTTTGGGGATGTAATTGACATAATTATCAAACCAAAGAGCAAGCGAATGAGGGGACAAGCTCACGTGGTATTCAGCAATATCACAGAAGCCCAAGTGGCTCTCACCCGACTTCAGGAACAAAAGTTCTTTGGAAAGTCCATAAAAGCAGCTTTTGCTCATAAGAAGTCCAAGTTGATCAAGCGTATCGAGCTACATGACCAACAAGAGGAAGTCTGATACTACTGTACCATATAATCTATATACATGTATTTTAGCAGCACTGTAAGGTGACTGCATCATCAACGAGTTTAATACACAATCGGGAAATATCTATATACATGTTTTAGTAGCACCACTGCATTAGTACTCAATTGGAGAAAGTATGTACATGTTTTGGTAACCCTATAATAGGAGTGCATCATCCAACGAGTTCATCACACAATCGGGAACGCCCACTCCTCTTCCAAAGCACATTCCACCAACGGAAAGCCGATTGGATTCCAGGTTCAAGAGATCATGGACCTTGGTTTTGGTGTTCTCGTACCCGACATTATACTGGGGTATGCAGTTTCGGTGCATATTATATGAAATGACAATATCTTTGTCTGTGAGAGCTACCCTTTTATCATCGGTACGTTGTTCATCACGGAGAATGATATTGAAGTCGTTCAAGTCCACATCAAACACTTTTTCCAACGTTGTTTTAACTGCCTTCAACGAGAGTTCCGTGGATGGTATCCCCAGTTGGTACCAGTGACCTCCTAACATCATGGTCATATTTGTGGATTTAACACTGTTAGAAGAAGGCTCATCGCTCAATGGATAGACATGACCTGCGATGTCAGAATCAAATATCGTTCCCAACAAATACTCTTTGTTTCTAGCCGATTTGGGGACCAAAAAGCCAAACCCACTAATGTCTTTGTGTTTTATGTTGGGGTTGGGAGAGTATATGTTGGCCATGAACACACTCACATATTCGATGCTCTTCAACTGATCTGCAAGCGAGGTAGAATCCACAAGCTTAGCTAGACTATTGACATTAATGGTTGACCTTATATGGTCAAATTGCAAAGAGGTTCCGTCTGCTATTTTCACAACTCCAGAGTCCGTACACACCTCGGTGATTTTGGTGTTGAACATGAACTTGACCTTGGGATTGTGCTGCAAAACGCTTGTGATCATCCGGGGGTACACTGCCAATGTATCTTTCATAGCAACAATTGGGTGTCCTTTGAGAGCAACCCGTAGATTGGTCAAGTTTGAAGATGATGCCACCTTCTGTTCGTACGATTTCAACGACTCAGGTAAACTTGTCTGTGTTCTTCGAGCTCGCTCTTCCCGGCTGAAAATATACTTCATTCCAGACTTTAGCATGGGCTTTATGATGGAGCCATCGTTTTGTTCGTACTTCTGAAGGCTCGGAAAGAGTGACTTTACGCTAAGCTTGGAAATATCCCCGGCATAGATGCCGTGCAAAATAGCACTAAGAATTCGATCAGTTAGCAAAGTACTTCCAAACCTTCTTTTAAAGAACTGTTCGACACTTTCATCTTTCGAGTCTCCTTTTCTGTTCCAAAAGTCTCTCACAATGCTCCCAGAAAGCCCATGAGAAAGTTCAGATCCACTGAACTTCACAAACGAGCCAAATGAATGAGGAACAGGGACGATGTTATAGTTGGAGTCCAAGAGATACTTTCTATTCGCAACCGAACTAGACTTCATCACCATGATCTGATTGGAATAGCCGTTTTGTACAAGCATATCCAAGATCAACAAGGTTCCATCACTGACTCCACGTAGCGTTCTTGGGCCTTTTTCAAGTGTTATTTGGCTGTTTGTGTTTTGTAATTCTGTGGTTTGAATCCAGCCACCAGTCTTCGAGCCTGACTCCAAAATAGTCACAGACAAGTCTGGTCGAAGCTTGGTCAAGAAGTACGCAAATGAGAGACCAGAGACTCCGGCTCCTATAATCCCAACCGATCCATTTGGTGGAGGTTTGCGTAGTATTCTCTGTGCGATAGACATGCAGTTGATTATTTTTCACTTGTTGTGTGATAAATGGTTCGCGACAAAACAGGTTGCAAATTTGGTCGTTTAGATAGTATATCTATTAACTAAGTACTTACCTAGTTTCAAGACACCTTAACCCTTTTAATATGTGTGGTAGATATCTTGAAACTGCTTTCCTTCTGTTATGACCAGAAGGTTATCGGTAGAAAGCTTGTTGTGTGTTGTGACGGTATTTTGCTTTGCTAAAGGCAAGTTGGACTCGGTACTGGTGTTTCTGAGGAGTGGAAGTCTTTGGTCAAACGTGGATGAGTGGGACATAATACTCAAGTTGGTCTCACTATCATTGGGTAGTCTATTGTAGCCTTGATCCAATGATATTTCACTATCGTTGACTGCTTGGTACATCTTCTGCGAGGGAGACAGCTTTTTCTTTACAAGACCATCAGGACCTTCCGCAATATGTATGCCAGTGGAATAATCCCCGACAGGTTCGCTGGGTGTCGTAGGAAAAGGATCGGGATCACTGTCTTTTTCAATTCTACGATCGACAACTTTATTGGTTTCCTCACTGATACCAACTCCCTCATTGGCATCCACACTGGTTTCAGCCCCGATTCTCTCAACAAAAAGAGGCCCACTTGAACTTGCATTACTCTCAGCACTAAGAGACTCCATAACACTGCTCTTATCCTCCGTATTACGAGAGGAGCTATTGCTTGTAACTGCAGTGCTCGAGGTGTCTGCAGCAACTCCAGAGGCCACACTAGAGATATCTTGAATAGAATCCAAAGATACCGATTCCACTGGATCAGCCCCCACAGACTCAAACGACAGCAACGAATTAGAGTTAGACAACTTTTGTGGATTCAAACTTCCAGTAATCGACAACTTGGAGTCACTATGCACCATAGGAATCGACGAGGTGTTTGTGGGCGACACACTCAATGCATTATCAGAAGTGCCAGTAATGCTGTTGGTGAAGCTGATAGTGGGAGGAGCAAATGAGCTAACCAAAGATGTTCTTAAACGTGACGATCGCAGATAAGCTAGGGCCTCCGACGTAGATCGATTATTAACCACCGCATCGATATTCAAGGGTCCAGAAAATTCATCCAAGTTGGTCAACTCACTTCCAGGTTCGTAGGCAGGAGGCTCAGCACTGGGAAAGTCATTATCAATGGAAATGGAGGGGACTCTACTCAAAGCATCCTCCGAAACCAGAAAAGATCTTGTAATTGGCGAAGATACGGGGGAAGTGGCTTCTTCAAAAGTCGGTAAAGTGTCATCAACGTTTGCATTGTTCCAAGGTTTGATGGAGAAACCATTCCCCTTTATTTCACCGTTCTCGTTTCTGGTATACGCCGATGTATCGCTTTCAAAGTTAGGAGTTCTGAAGGATATGTTGGATTTGGTTACATGCGTTGTGTCTTCCGGAATCACATCAATCTCCTGGTACCTGGGTAACTGGATGGAATCATCATTACACTTGGAGCTCAACAAAATCAATGGGGTATCAACAACAACTTCATAATGGTGCATTCTGAAATTATCCTTAGGATCTGGTTTCGATATTCTGAAACACACTTGTAACCTGTGATAAATTTGAATGTGACGGAAGTTCGAGTCGGGGTATAACGCTCTACCAACAGTGGTGAAGCCATGTTGAATATTCTCCTTATAATTGTTGTGACTTATTTCATGCATCAAAGCGGTTGAATCGGGAGTCAAGAATTCAATATCGTCTTCTGCATGAGCAAATACCTCGTTGTGGCTGTGAGTCAAGTTTGTGGATAGAGCTCCAATAATCGGTGATGATGGAGGGAACGGAGCCGAACTAAGATTCTCACTGGACACAATAGAAGCCTTTCTTGAAGTGGGATCTGAGTAGTTCGGAAGATGTTTCAACTCTTCTTCATTGTTCAAAGCTTGAATGATTTTATCGTTACGAGTGGTCAAAAATGGTAAACCAACATTGATATCCAAAGGACACGCAATCATGGTGTTCTCGGGCTCGGGGGCAATATCGACCCTTTTCTTAGGTTGTTTGCTTTGCGAATGGGAACTTGAACGATGCTTGCTCAACGGATCATCCAACCGCAAGTTCTCAAAATCGTTGTCTTGAATAGCTGTATTTGAATCAGGCTCGTAGCAGCTGAACAACAAGTTATTATCGGGACATTTAATGATCTCTTCCTTATAAGGCTCAGTATAGCCCGAGTGTTGTTTGTTTTTGGTCTTCAATTCGCACACAGACACCACTCTTTCTCTAGGTTTATTGTCAGCCAACAGAGGTCTCAAATAGTAAGGGTCTTCCCCATCGAAATCATATTCTTTGGACATGTCATGGGATGTGTACGTGATTCTTTCCAACACGTTGAACTTTATCCGCTTGATAATGACGTCCTTGACCAAGGGGACTATTTTAACGTTAATGGAATGCTCGGAACCCAAAGCAACATACTTTCTTGGAAAGGTGATGATATAGTGCAAAGCATCGTTCCAAACTCGGTTGACATAGATGGGTTTGTCGGCAATTGAGTTAGCAAGAGAAGGAGGAGTCCTAACCATTGGGAGACCAAAACTTCCTTGGACGTTTAACTTCCGATTCAACTTTTCCGAGTTTTTGTGGATGGAAACCGTCAATAAATGGTTCAAAGACCCGTTGATAGAAGTGATGGTCGGGGGTATATGCTCAGGTAACAAGATTGGCAACACAAACACATAGGTACCAGCCCTAAACATTTGTGGTCCATCTTCCAGAAAAGAGTCGTTATTCGAAGCACTCGACAGGTCTGTGATTGAGTCAGAGTCCAAAGATTGAGACTGTTTTCTCTTTGTCGACCCCTTGATGTCTTTGAGCTTGTAATAACGCGTCCGGCGGGCCAAGTCATCAGGGTCGATTTTCTTCGACTTGAAGTCGCTCGAGTTCAGACTATTGACGTAGAAATCAGCATTATTCAAATTTCTCATCCACGACAACTTGCCGATTTTGAAGCGTTCCTTGTTATATGTTTTGTTGTAAGGGTCTCCTGTGGGCCAAAGAATATTACAAAGACTTGCAAATTCAAATTCCACAGCGTTGATGGCCGCATCTTTATGTAGTTCTATCACCACCCCAAAAGTATGTGGAATCGGCGTATCGCTATCGATCTTGGTACACAAGTAGTTCGACGAGTGGCGCATGTCGATCTTATCTTTCAACTCAGCAGGAAGGTTGCGGCTGTTGCGTTCTGGGGTTATTTCATCGTTGTGCACCAGCACCGACAAGTTCTCGGGAACGTCCCCAGCGATGTCGTCACGTCCAGACGCGTTCTGTGGCATCCCTCCGTTTTCCACGTCCTCGTACGTGAAGCTGACGGAGCTGGCAGGTGCCAAATAGATGCAATTATTAGAGTTGGCCACATAAACGCTCACGGTTTTAGAGAAACTGGAGCTATTGGTGTGGTTGATTTTCACGGGAATCGGTTTCTGGAGGCCCAAGTCCGTCAAGATTGTGGAGAGTTTTTTCAGTACCACCTGTTTGGTCTCCTTTTTAATTAACTCCTTGGTGTGCTTCTTGCTGACAGACTTGGCCCTAGTTCGGACATCGTTGGACGCGTTGGGTGAGAGACTCAAGTTGGACGCCGAGCTGTTGGAGATCATAGAGAGCGACCGGGCGCGGTTGCGGATGTGGATGGGGGTGGATTCGCCGGTTCTAACACTTGACGGGTGATTGAACGGATCCAGGTACGGATCACTGGATCGCCGGTTGACCTTGTTGAGGAACTTTTCTAGCGTGCTCATGGGATATGTGGGTCGGAGCTGACGAAACGATCACGGTATCACAGGATGCTGACAACGCATAAATGGGACGGGTACAAACTGGTTGTGAGTTGTAGCAGTAGTTTCTCTCCTTTTGCCTCGAAAAAAACTGTAGCAGCGAGCTGGTGAGTGAGACAAAGAAAAAGTTGGGCTGGGGCTCACACACACCAGGGCTGATTGCAAAAATGTAAATAATGGGAGCAACTGCTAAGGGATATTAAAGTTATACGGGGTTTACATTGAAACGGTAGGGAGGATGGTGGTATGATGGCGACCATCGGGTGACACGGGTGACACGGCAGAAGTACGGCACAAGTACGGCAGAAGAACCACAGGGCATGAACGTCACCGGGCCATCGTCGGGCCATCACCATCACTGTGGTACCACCATGACTTTACCACTATGTCGGCGTTAGGGGATTGGAATTTGTATATTAAAACGTAAATCGTCATGGTTGCTGCTATCGGCTGCAATATTCAGCGGCGCATGCAGGGCGCAGGGCCCAGAGCGGCTGGAGCCGGGGTGCGATTTGTGGGGTACTCACCCCAGGCGATGCCACCGGAGCACGAGAAATGCCTGCACCGGCTGCGGCATGGCCATATCGTGCACAACCTCGTACGAGTCGTCGGGACGAAGTCGGAGAGCTACTAGGCGGCCCGCAGCCGTCGCTGCCACCACCACCACGTCCCGTGCCGTCCTGCGGTGCACGAGAATCTTGCTTTGCTCAATGATCCCAAAGTTGTAGGTATAACTATTTACCTCCTCAAACGTAGGAAGCCGAATCACGTTGATCTTAGACATCATGTCACATGCCACCAAGTGGTTGCCCACATCCTTCAAGTTGATGATGGGCAGTCCTGAATTCTTAATCACCTTGATGGGCGTATCACTGACAGTGGTCAGATCGTACACCACGATAAACCCAAACTGGGTACCGCAGATAACATAGTGGCGCCAGAACTCTAACGAAACCACCCAGTAGGTCTCGAAGAACGCCGGGGTCTGCCACTGAGGTACTAATTTTTCTTTGGAGGCCAGTTCTGACCGTCTTCTGAGGAGATACCGTACCCGGTTCATCGACACCACGTTCAGGTTCTGGTGAAGGTTGTACATCTTGGATGCAATGGTGTCATCCACGAGGTAGTCCTTGTCGAACAGAATCTGGTAGAGGCGAACGCCCATGTCTTTACTGCCCACCGCCACTCGAAAGTTCTCTTTGGCCTCCAGGACCTTAATACTTGTTACCGGGCCCAGGAGCTTACACTCCTTGCAGCGGTGGTCGTCGTCATCGTTAACCAAGTCGCGGATGACAAACACGCCTTCGCCAGAACAGGTATACAAATAGGTCTGGCGGATGATGCCCATATCGACGATTTTATCATTGGCATGCATCACGCCGTTGCGCCACTCCTTGATAATCTGGTACTGGTTATGCGCCGGGTAGAACTTGTGTAGTTGGACGGCACCCGAGACACGAAGAACCACCAAATGATCTTGGTGTTCAAGTTGCACTCTTTTGACGTTGGTGATATCTCCGGTTCCCAGACAGATGGGTGAACCGTACTGGACCGGGGGACCGAGCACCGCCACTAGAGCCGGTTAGTACCACTATACTGGGGGTGGGTGTATGGGGCTTGACATACCTTGGAGGCTTCCGTTGTTGGATACTAGTAAACTCATGGTATGGTCGCGATATGTGGAGAAGGAGAATGGGATTGCGCGACAATTACGAGAAGTGGAGGGATTCCAGTTGAGGATTCCAGTAGAGGATGTCGGGTAGAGGAGTTCTATGTCTTGCGCCAACTAGAGGATTGTGCGTATGCCTTGCATCAGGTAGATAGATTGTGCATATGCCTTACAGCAGGTGGGAGTCTCAGTACATAGCTAGAGTCTCAGTACCCAGGTTACAGTACACATCTAGAGTCTCAGTTCCCTGGTTACAGTCAATACAAGGCTTACAGTTTACGAGTCACCGGTTCTTATAGAATTACCAGATCTCCAGATCAAGTGCCACCACAAACCCCATGCTATATATCGCAACTGATTATCCTACGGTACATTTCTTTCTCCTTACTCGCAACTCCACCCTAACTTTTCGCAACCTCTCCACCTATTTTTCCCGCACTTAAAATTCTCATTTCTCGTTTCTCAGCTGCAAATCTCCTCGATGGTCCAATTCAACGTCAACGGAAAAATTGCCCTCGTCACCGGCGGCACAAGAGGCATCGGCTACGATATCGCCGAGTACTTTGTCCTCAATGGCATCGACACCATCATCATCACTTCCAGAAAGCCCGACGCCTGCAAAGACGCAAAAGCATCATTAGAAGCATGTGCCGCATCCCACGGAAAGTCTGTCAAGGTGATTTCAGAACCGTGTGATATGGCCAACGACGACGATTTGAGACGTTTCCACGCAATAATATCTAGCCAGATCACCAAGTTGGACATTCTCATTGCCAATGCCGGGGCCAGCTACGGGACTCCCTTTGACAAGCATCCAGTTGCTCAGGTTCGCAAGATCTTAGACATCAACATCACTGGTGTATTCCATTCAGTCCAGCTTTTCGCCCTGTTGTTAGAAAACGCCGGACTGGCACAAGACCCTTCCAGAGTGATTATTGTCAGTTCCATTGTGGCATTTGCATCGGACTTCAAAGATGCTTACGGGTACGTTGCCAGTAAAGCTGGGGTTGCACATTTGGGGAGAAACTTGGCCCTTACGCTAGCTCCCAGAAACATCAATGTTAACTCAATTGCTCCAGGATTCTTTCCCACAAAGATGACCAAGTATCTTTACGCAAATAAGAGACAGGAGACAAACTATGGTAATCCCAGAAAAAGATGGGGACAAAAGGAAGACATTCAGAATGCAGTTTTATGGTTGTGCTCCAGAGAGTCCAATTATGTCAACGGTATAAACTTGAACATCGACGGGGGGTTACACTTGGTGGGAACCTCAAAGTTATAGTTGTACATTGATGCTGTCTAATGGGTATTGTACGTAACAAATAATATGATACTCTTGGTTTCTCAAGTAGGAATATTCTCCTTCTCCTGGTCCTCATCCTCATCCTCACTGTCACTTGCATCGGTTCCACCCACAATCGGCTTAATGATCTTGAGGTTCAACCCCGTGAAAGGAGATCGGGGAGTCGACGGTGAGGTCGGAGACCCGGGTGATTTGTTGACATTGATACTCTGGATTCGTTGCTCATTGATTCTATGTTTCAACAAACTCAACCGGTTCTCGAAGTGGCTGGTTTGGTTGGTCAAGCTCATCTGCTGTTCATTCAATAATTTATTCAAATACTGAACCGACTCGTCTCTTTGCTCGATGATCTTTTCGCTCAACATCAAGTGCTTGCGCAAGTTGATGTTGATGATCTCTACTTCACTCATCTTCTCGTTCAATTTATAGAGAGATTTCTCCAACTTGTTCAACTTAATTTCCTCTTCATTCAGAATCTTAAGGTTGTTGATCTTATAGCTCAAGATCTCATCCTCTAATTGCTTGATTTTCTGGTCCTTTTCAGCGTTCAAATTAGGCGACTTGGGTGATTTGGTGAGAGTAGGTATTCTGCTCTCAAAGTCTTTAGAAGGCGTTACTGGGCCTGTGAATGCTCTACCTCCATTCTTCAACTGATTCTCCAACTTCTCAATATAGAGCTTGTTCTGCTCATTCTCTCTTTGGAGCTGGCTCAACCGGAACTTCAACTCGGCTGGACTTAACTCCTTGTTGATATAAGCTCTGTTCTTGATGTGTTTGGCTCTCGAACCAAATCTGAGCGTAGATATAGTTTCAAGCTCATTAACGGAACTGGGTGACACGTTCAAGATCAATGTGGTTCTAGAGTTCCCACCCAATGACTCTTGCAAGATTCGAGTCAACTTCGAGTCTCGATAAGGAATATGAGTCGATTTGTGGTCGGTCAAAGCATTGATGACATTCCCCAACGCTGACAACGAGCTGTTGATATTCTGAGCTTCCTTCAACGTTTGGCCAACTGCACCAGTCTTGTCGACCTTTTCACTGCCAGCCAAGTCAATCAAAAACAAGTTCGACTTTTTGATGGACTCGTCCTTCAAGTTCTTCTGGTCAATTTTGATTTGAAATATGGCATGGCTTCTGGAGCTCTCCATATTCATGTTGGTGACATGAGAGGCTCTGTGCTTGATCCCGAGTTGCAAAAGCTTATATAACTCCTCGGTATTGGAAATGAATGCGTGAGATAACCCCTTGACGTAGATACCATGGTCTCTGTCTTCATGAATCGACAACTTGACATTGTCTGCCACCAAAAAATCATTGATCTGCTCCAAATATATTTCCATGATCGACAAACTGACGGTATATTCGATGTCATTAGACCCGTTAGTCTTAATCTGATGGAAGATCTCGTCACTGATTCGAGGAATCAACCCTTTTTCTAAATCTCCACTAATGGATGGCCCCAACATCGTGTATGACTTACCAGCACCTGTCTGTCCATACGCCAATATGGTTCCATTATACCCATTTAGCACATCGTTCACCGTGTCTTTGATGGAATAATCATAAATGTCCGACTGGCTGGCACTCACATCAAACACCTTATCAAACGTAAAGTTCTGTGGCGATTCTCGCCCCAAAACCGCAACCGTATTGTTGCCTGCCGAGGTCATTTCCTGGAAGGCATTTTCATCGGCAGTCAACGGTCTAACTCTGCAAATCACTTTGATTCGGTTTGTACCGTCCTCAACCTCTGAGTGTTTTCTTGATTCAGGAGTACTGGAGCGATGCAACTTTGGTTCGGCACCACTTCCACTGAAGAGCCCTGACACCATGCTTTGCCTATGAGGAGTTCTAGGCCCCAGAGGACTAGAAACACTCGACATCAATCAATGTGTACAATTGTACAAAGATCACAGATCAGTTTGTTTTTCGTTTGATCTCAATTTGAGGCTCGTCTCGATCGAGGAATGGATTTGTTTTGGAAGAGAACTTCGTAACCAGAAATTTGGCAAGGCCCCGATTGGGCCTGTAAATGCTTGTATTTCATGCATGGTCAGTATCTGTTGCACTTGGATGATCAGAATTTGTTTGGGGCTTTTGGGGTCAAAAAAGATGTATTTTTCATGATAGATTAATGGCTGCAATCGCATTGGTAGACCATATATCAAGTAGCTCTAAAAAGGCTCTATCTCCCTAGAAAAAACACGAAATGGTCCTTGTGTACATCCATGGAATGTGTGTTTCCTCTTCCCAACGTCAATCGCCCCAGAAGCGCTTAAACCACTAATGCTTATTGTGGCTACACTCTCACCTGGCCGCGCGCGAAAGATGCCTGCGACAATCTACTCTTGACTATCATGTCTGACATAGCAGTGGCGTCGGACCACAGCAACGTCATGGGCCGTTCTTCGTACGAGACTGACGTGAATCTAAGTGATATAGACCAACAGGCCATCAAATGTTTTGAGCAGGCCATAGAAAAAGAGAGTCATGGGAAGATGTCTGATGCCATAGAGTTCTACAGAAAGGCATTCAAGTATAATGAAAAAGTTGATTTGTTGTACCGAAAGACCGAACTTCCCAGTAAAATAGAGCAGATGCGGCAAGACTATGGGGTCAATTCCACTATTCGAGTCGATGAGGAGGTGGTCAATGCTATTGATGTGGAAAAGTTGTTGAAGTCGTTTGAGCATGAAGAAGCTCGACCCCCCGATCCGAATGATCCTAATAATGATAGTATCACCATCAAGTTCGCCAATTTGGGGATCGACAACCACCCAAACATTGAGGTCAAGCCTGTTTCGCCTTTGGTACATCTTCCCAATGATATCTGGATATGCATCATGGAGTTGTTGCTTATCACGGAGCCTGAAGCATGGATAAACCTCTCCATCTCCTGCAAAAAATTTGCATTTTTGGGCCTTAGTTCCAACGATATATGGCGAAAGCTCTGCTACTTGGTGTACCCGTATCAAAATTATGAAGAGAACCAGACGTTTCTCCAATCGAACCAAACTCCTGGCGCCCTCATAGATAGTTCAAGCTTGCCCATACCCGAAGATCAACTTTTAATTCTACCAGCGTACGGTCACTCCTGGAAGAGAATGATGGACGAAAGACCATTCTTGAAGTTCAAGGGATGCTACATTAGTGTCATAAATTACTACAGTGAAGGTGGTAAGGCCGAGTTTTCCAATAGTTGGTCCAACCCGGTTAAAACCATCACCTACTATCGGTATCTTCGGTTCTATCCCGATGGAACATGTGTCAAGGTGTTGAGCGTCTTGGAGCCTTTCCGTGTGGTCCCCCAACTTCTGAAATACAATCTACTGAGAAACATCACCAGTGCTTTGGACCAAGTCAAAGTCGCAGGCCACCAGAGTTCGGTGAAAGAGGCCCATAGAATATACCATGGTAAGTGGACCATCTCCACCACCGGGGAAGTGCACATCAATATAGACCCAGGGTCTGTGCCGTATTACACGTTCCACTACCATTTTCAAGTGAAATCTTTGAGTAGAGCCTTCAGGTACAATAAGTTGAATTGGATCAAGTACTATACGGTGAGAAAGCAGATGAGTGAAGATGACGACCGAGTGGGAGAAGTGTCGTATTTAACGATCAAGAATGAGAAGCCATTCAAATTCCTGCGAGTTAAGAGTTACGACGTTGATACGTGGTAGTCAGAAACCATTATTTATTTATTAGAGTATATGCCATTATGATATGCAACGCGTCTGTAGCAGCCGCCGGCAGGTGGCCGGTGCCTCTGCCAGGAAGCGCGGCAGCCCTCATCCCGCTCGTGCGTACATCTCAAACCATTTTTCTCATTTTTTTTAAGTAGTCCATCGTCCGTGAAAATTTGATTTAACAATCACCTAAAAGAAGCACACCCCTGATATAGTATGTCACGTTTCTTTGTTAAGTATGACTCTGATTCATCTTCAGAAGAAGAAGACTTGTTGAGTTCCGATGAGGAAGAAGCATTGGTCGTTTCTTCTTCTCCTGAACAAGAAGATGATGACAGTGACTTTTTCAAAGACTCCGACAGCGAAAGTGACAGCGATAGTGATAGTGATGCCCCTAAGGGTCCATCTTACTTCTTAAAGAGATCTTTCCTCAAAGGTGGTAACGATTCAGACTCCGATAGTGACGGGGAAGATAGAAGAGTGGTCAAATCAGCTAAAGAAAAGCTATTTGATGATATCAAAGAAACTATTGACAAGTTGGAAATTGCCAAATTAATCAACAATTGGATAAATGCATTGAACGAGTTTGACAAGTTGGGTAAATTGTTGACCAGATCCCACCAGCAAAACTTTGGTACACCAAACTTTTATATTATTGCCTTGGCTGATTTGGAGGATTTTGTCAACGAAGCCAATACCAATAACGAAGATAAAGATAAAAAGAAGATTCCGGCTGACCAGTCCAGAGCGTTCAACACTTTGAGGCAAAGAGTCAAGAGACACGCCAAGGAGTTCCAAGCTTTGGTTGATTTGCGTAGAGAATCCCCTGAGTTGTTTGAATCTGAGGACCCAGTTGAAGTTCCATTGGCTTCTGGTGTTAGTAAGACAGGTGAAGAATCTGGTTTTGCTCCTTCTAGTGCCAGCAGAAACTTGAGTCCTGTGTTCACGACTTTGAAGCAAATCAGTGAAAGCAGAGGTAAAAGAAACATTGACAAGTTTGAACAAATCCAAATTTTAGAAACCTTATTACAAGAAACCATCTCAGGCAAAACGTTCGAGTTGATTTCCATCTACCAAATGTTGATTTCGGTGAGATTTGATGCTTCTGCTAACCAAACATTCATGCCTTTAGACCAGTGGCAAAAGAACTTGAATGATATAAATTTATTTTTGGACTTGTTGAAAAAATCCAGCACGTCTTATCAGGTCAGTGAATTAGGAAAAACCACTGATGATATTGATATTGAGCCAGAAGCAAACGCCGACGGTGTCAAGATAATTTTTGGTTCTATCAGTTCTTTAATCGAAAGATTGGATGATGAACTAACCAGATCTTTACAAAGCACCGATCCTCACTCGATTGAATATGTTGAAAGATTGAAGGATGAAAGCAGCATCTACAAATTGATCTTAAAGGGACAATTATACGTTGAATTCACTACTCCTCAAGATAAGATTACCGAAGTCAACGACCAATTATCCAGAATAATTTCAAGAAGGTTGGACCATATTTATTACAAGCCAGACCAGTTGATAAAATCCAACGAAAGAGATGCCTGGGAATCTGTCGATGCTTCTACCAAGTCCGTTATTGCGTCAAGAGGTGCTTCTCCTAAAGAATTGGTGGAAGGATTGGTTGATTTCTTATCTGAAAACTCGACCGAAATCTATTCTAAAAAGGCCTTGTTGAGCAAGATCTACTATTTTGCCGTCAATAATGACCACAAGACCGCCAACGAATTGTTTGTTTCGTCTAGAATCTATTCCACCATTCATAATGCTGATTCTTCGTTACAAATTATGTACAATAGAGCCTTGGTTCAATTAGGGTTAAGTGCTTTCAGAGTTGGTTTAATTGAAGAAAGTCAGCTTGCATTGAATGAGATTGCTTACTCTCAAAGATCTAAAGAGTTGTTAGGTCAAGGTTTCAATACTAAGTACCCAAGTCAGGCAACAGTTTCTGAAAGACAAAAGTTGTTACCATTCCACATGCATATTAATTTAGAATTATTGGAATGTGTTAACATGACAAGTTCTTTGTTAATTGAAATTCCAGCCTTGGCACAATCTTCCAGTTCAACCAAGGACTCCAAACGTAAGGCATCTGCCAGATCCTTCAAGAACAAATTGGAATTCCATGATAGACAATACCTTACTGGACCTCCAGAGAGTATTAAAGATCACATTATCCATGCTTCCAAAGCATTGCAAAAAGGTGACTGGTCTAAGGCTTACAACTTGTTAGCATCCATCAAAGTGTGGAAGTTGTTCCCTAATAATGCCGAATTGTTAGAGATGATGAAGCATCAATTGCAAGTGGAAGGTTTAAGAACTTACATCTTCACCTATAAATCGGTTTACACCAAATTATCGGTGGATTTATTATCCACCAACTTCAAACTTGAAGACGACAAGGTTGTGTCCATTTTGAATAAGATGATTGAATCTGGTGACATAAATGCTTCTTTAAGCGAGGATAAGAAGTTCATAAACTTTTCAAGTAACGAGACTCAAAGAACCAGATTACAAGAATTGGCCATCATATTGAATGAAAAGGTTGGTTTGTTGACCGAAAAGAATGAAAAGACTGCTTACCACGGACGTGGTAGAAAGAGTCATCAACAGAACCAAGACGGTCAACAAAGAGATCAAAACAAGGAACAAACTCCTCAACAACAGTCCAAAGACCAAAGAGAACCCCAAGAGGAATACGTTAACAGATTCAGATTGGCTAATGTTAACTCCAATAACGATGAATTTCAAGCTACTGCTTAAGATTCGTTCTGTAGATTAGCATTGATATTTTAATCCTAATTTCTATCTTTCATAGTAAATTTATACAATTACATGGGACTTTGATACAAAGTTACTGTCGCGCGCGAGATGAGCAAAAAACTTGATATCTTATTAACACCACCATGACCGTTGAACAGAAAAAGGATAAGAAGTTGAAAGTAACACAGTTATGTGAGTTATGTCATGGGCGTAAGGCGGTGATGAAGAGACCTAAAAACCTCCAGAAGCTATGTAAAGAGTGTTTTTTCCTTGTGTTTGAAACCGAAATCCACAACACCATAACGGATGCAAAACTTTTCTACAAGGGTGAAACAGTGGCTCTTGGAGCTTCTGGTGGCAAGGATTCCACTGTTCTAGCCAGTGTAATGAAGACATTGAATGAGCGTTATGACTATGGGCTTCATTTGGTGCTATTGTCTATTGATGAAGGTATCAAAGGCTACAGGGATGACTCTTTGGCTACAGTGAAAAGAAACCAGGCACAATACGAGATGCCGCTAGAGATTGTATCGTATAAAGAGCTTTATGACTGGACTATGGACGAGATTGTTGCATGCTCAGGAATGAGAAACTCGTGTACTTATTGTGGAGTTTTAAGACGTCAAGCCTTGGATAGAGGTGCTGCGAAGTTGGGTATAAATCATGTATTAACAGGACATAATGCTGATGATATGGCAGAAACAGTGTTAATGAACGTGCTCAGAGGAGACTCCAAAAGACTAGACAAGTCTTGTACTATCAAGACCGAATCTGCCGATTCTCCTATCAAAAGATCCAAACCTTTCAAGTACACCTACCAGAAGGAAATTGTTTTGTATGCCCATTACAAGAAATTGGATTATTTTTCTACCGAGTGTACGTATGCCCCCGAATCATTCCGAGGCACCACCAGAGAACTTTTAAAGGCATTGGAATCAATCAGACCTTCTTGTATTATGGACCTCATTTACAGTGGAGAGCATTTTGAGTTGAGAAAGAAACAGGTGACCACCACATACAAAAATAATAAGAAGAAGTTGCCCGAGCAAGAAGTCAACCCTGACGGGTCCGTGCTGTTAAAGAAGACGCCCGCTCCAGGGGAAGCACGGAAATGTGATAAGTGTGGATATCTTTCTTCCAACAAAATCTGCAAAGCATGCTTCTTATTGGGGGGATTGGAGGCCAACCGGGCAAAAGTCACCCTCGACAATAATACATACATTGATGGTGCTGCCAAGCTAACCAAGACGCTTGAACACCTATCATTCTAACTTATTTTATGCATTTCATGACCATATCTAATATTTATAACTATTAATTCAACGGTGCGATATCCTTTTGGGCGTCTGTATACTTAATACAGCTCATTTCATGTTTGATTGAGTAGGTTTTGCCATCATAATCGAAGAAATCAGTATTACCTTGGATTCCCCATCCGAAGGGTCCAGGACCCCAAGTTGGAGTATAACATGTTTCATCAAAGGCACACGTTTGAGAGCATTGGTAGCTGATGGACCAGTTGAAAAGTTCCAACATGTCTGATAATCTTTTCTGTATGCGTTTTAGCTCTTCATCGTGGCTCGTGTACTCACCCTTAATGTAGATGTCGTGAGCAAGATCTTTGGAAAAGTCGAAGATATCAAAAATGAAATTAACGATTTCTGATTGCACTTTGTAGATGGAAGCATAAATTAGGAAATCCGTATTCCTTAAATGGAAGGTATGGAACACATAGTCATCAATGGAAATTTTGATGGCAGCTTCTCTTTGTGTCGCCGACCCATGGGTGGCATCGTTAGTATAGCGTCTGACGAAGTTGAAGGTGAGTAGTTGGATCCTGTCCGACACTTCCTTTAGGTTCTCGTGGTACAATGAAGAGTTCAAGTTCACAAGCATTGGACCGAACTTCTGAGTGATTGCACCAGTGATAGATTGCCAGTTGGTCTTGTAAAAAGGAACTGTGGGCTCCTTGTAGATCTGTTCAAACAGGTGGATGATGTCGTCCTTCAAGTCTTGGGAAATATAACTAATGTTTCGTCTATAGGCATTAGGATCGATATACGTCTTGTTGATGGGAGTGACCATATTGGAGAAATCAAGAAGAATTCGGTCTTCACCAAAATCATGGGTGTTTCCTGCCTGGCCCCATTCAAACCCAGTCTCTAATCTGAGGTGGCTAAGCAATAACGATCTATTGTAAGAAAGAGATTCGTAGTCAGGAATGTCGTCAACTTCATCACCTCTCTTGCCATAGTCATAGTACTTGTAAAACTCTCCACCTGGAGGTCCCTTGGGGTCGGACAGGCCCTTGGGGTGTGGATGGTCCCCAGCTTTTCTATGAGGTTTGTACGGATGCTGGTGGACGTATTTGTGCTCATCAGGAGGAAATCCTATGAGGTCATTTACCACACCCAACGTGACGTTGGAAACGAGTTCAATATCCTTGTGGAAATCACACAAGATCATCTCGTATCCCACTTCCAACCGCACAATTCCTTGCAACCCGAATTTTTCACCCCATTTGCAAATTTTGTCAGCAGCAACTCTCTCGTCCACGTACTCAGTGGTGTTAGTCTGGTTTGACAAGATCATCTGCTGGTCCATTTCGGAGCCAGATTTGGCAGCAGATGCTCCGTCCAAGAAAATCAACTTATCTAAGGATTTGGTGTTCTTGAAGGTAAACAAGGTATGTTCACGGCCCCGCCAGTTGTGTTCGATGACTCCCGACGAGTTGGTACTGCGTTGAAACCCAGCAAACGCGTAGCTGAACTCGTAGTCGAAAGCGACCCATTCGAACAGATGTGGTACATTTCCATCGCTTCGCGAGTGATAAAGCCGAGTATTTGGAGGTATATAAGCAGGAATGAAGGAAATACCAACCGGATGGGTGTTTGCATCCTTCTGCTTCAAGGCACCTTCCACCGTGTTGAACACGGCCGATGCGTTGGCCAAGTCAATGGGGAGGCGGTTATATATGGTGTATGGGTCAGAGTTTTGTGGGAGCGAGGCCTCAAATTTTTCTGATAACGAGGTGGACTTGAAAACATTAGGAATGGAGAGCGGGGATTCGTGGAGGTATTTATATACAAATGCCACGTTGATGACGAGCAACACGACCGTTATATACTTGTGGAATACCGATAGCTTCATCCTTGGTGATAGTTTGTACAACTTGGGAGGTGTTGCTAGGGGGGTTTAAAGTGCGAGCGCGGGCCGTGCGTCCATGGCACTTGTGATTAGCCTGTTTGCACCTTGTGCACCTTAATGGTTACAAAACGATAAGCAATACACAACTGAACATGTGCATTTGCTGGTGATATCTACTACGGCCCGGACCATCGATTCCTTGATGTTGTACCCGTCTGGGTGCAAAAGCACATAGACGGTTCGAGGTGTTTATTGACTATATTGACGTTTAGAGATGTTTATCGACTAGACAATCAACACCACAATATTTGGACCACATGCTTGGCCACACACATACTCGAGTCCCAGGGACCTATGGAAGAAGTTGTCATAAAATAATTCATATGTGTATGTCCACCTATTGCCCCAACGAACCCCGGTGCAAAACACCAGCTCCGGCCTGGTGGGTGGGAAAAATAAGGGTTTCGGCTATCACCACCTTCAAGTTTCTCGTCACCCCAAACACAATCGCCTCGGCAATGTCCTCGGGTCCCAACGGCTCTGTGTCTTCGTACACCTTATCGGCAGCAGCTTTATCGCCGTAATTTCTCACCACTGAAAACTCCGTCAAAACCGCCCCTGGGTCCACTTCCAACACCCTGATTCTGCTATTGATGGTTTCCTTTCTTAAGGCACCGGTGAAGGCCCTGATAGCTGCCTTTGACGCACAATAAATGCTTCCTCCGGGGTACGCTTCTCTTCCCGCGATCGAGCCTACATTGACAATATCACCTCTATTTTTGGCCCGAAAATGGGGCAAAAGAGCGTTGGTCAAGGTGATGAGACCCAAGACGTTTGTGTCGAGCATCTCCGACACGTCTTCGGCCTTGAGTTGTCCAACTTCACTGCGGCCCAACGCTTTGCCAGCATTGTTCACCAAAACGGAAACGTCGGCAAAGTCTTCGGGAAGGCCCTTGACAAAGCTGAGGATTGACGAGGTTTTTGAAACGTCCAACACGCGGGAAAGAACCTTGATTTCAGGGTACTGTTGGATCAAATCAGCTTTGAGGGTGGTGAGCTTATCTTCTCTTCTGGCGGCCAAGATCAAGCTGATGTTACCATTGGCAGCAGAAGCGAATTCTCTGGCGGTGGCCTCACCAATACCTGACGAGGCGCCGGTGATGAGGACGACCTTATTGGCCAATCTCTGAGCAGCTTTTGGACCAAATGACATTTGAGGGCCACAGGAGGATTTCGCAGTCCTTAAATACTGCGCGTGAATCACATATGCAACACTGCGAATCACAATGATGCAACCTTGCGAACCACAGTACAATCTTACGCTTTTCTACGGTTGAGAGTCCTGGAATTGACTTTCACCTCTCACGCTGTCGGTGTCTATCAACCTCTCGTCAACTCAAACTCTCATGTATTCAAACTCTTGTCTACTCAAACTCTCATCTATTTCTCCAATCATCTTCCATCCCCATTCCTACTCTTCTCTGTATAAATGAGTGGCACTAGCCTGGTTGGTTGAAAACACCAACGTCTCGGCCATCACCGTCTTCTGCTTTCTGGTGATGGCAAACACAATAAACTCAGCAATGTCCTCCGCGTACAATGGCTCGGTACCAGCATAAACAGCCTTGGCCTTCTCTAAATCACCCTTGAATCTCACATTGGAAAACTCCGTTTCAACATTACCGGGATCAATCTCAATGATACGGATCTTGGTCGAAATCAACTCCTTTCTCAACACGTGAGAGAACGACTTGACACTAGCCTTGGTGGGACAGTAAATTCCTCCACCGGGGTAAGGGTCTCTGCCAGCAATGGATCCAAGATTGATGATATCACCTGAATCCTTTGCCTTCATGATGGGTAACACCGCTTGGGTCAAGGTGATCAACCCCAACACGTTGGTTTGAAACATGGTGGTGATATCCTCGTCTAAAATACTGCCAACAGGGTCTCTTCCCAAAGCAAGTCCAGCGTTATTGACCAACACATCGATATCAGCAAACTCTTGGGGCAATGCCTCGACAAACGGGCGGATTGTTTCCAACTTCGATACGTCCAAGGCTACTGTCAACACCTTGATGTCGGGGAACTGTTGGGTCAACTCATCAGCGAGATCTTGTAACTTATCTTTTCTTCTGGCGGTCAAAATTAACTTGATATTCCCGTTGGCAGTAACAGCAATTTCTTTGGCGGTGGCAGCACCAATACCAGCGGAGGCACCGGTGATCAACACCACTTTGTTGGAGATTCTTTCTGCGGCCTTGGATCCGAATGACATATTGAAGGGTGTTAACAGAAAAAGATAAATTCGGGAATCGACCAGCGGAGGTCGCAAAATCCAATTTCTTTATCTGTTCATTATTTATACAAAAATATATTTATTCATCTTTTGCTATAAATTATTAGATAACTTGATTAGTAGTAGGTAGATGGAGCACGAGCTGCAAATAACTTGGTGGATTTTGGAATTCTGTGAGGCAATGGGAATTTCAAGTCTTTGGTCAAGAATTGCTTAACGTATTGTCTCTTGACATCGTCGACCTTTTCTAACTCAACAACCTTCAAGATGTGGATACTTCTAAATCTAGCTCTGTGTCTGGCAGCCAAGTCAGCGTACATGGTTTCGACGGCAGCGACTCTGGTAACGTCTCTGTATTCCTTGTACATGTTGTGGATACCGGATCTGGAGTCGTATCTAATCCAGATACCAAAGGTCTTGACCTTGGTTGGGTGAGCTTCGGCAATGACATTGACGGAGACAATTTCACCGGAAGCCTTCTTGACCTTGTGCAATTTTTGTAAAAAGTACCAGTATCTGGACTTAGCAACAACCACGTTAGGGGCAAAAATTCTCATACGGTACAACTTTGGCTCTGGGACAGAGTCAGTTGGTAAACGTCTACCGATGACTTGATATTCGTTAAACTTGGACATCTAAAAGGCTGTTAGTATTGGCGTTGCACACGAGACGATGGAAAACTGGTTCTTTGCTGGATGTGAGTTATGCCTCTTTGAAGATAAACCAACAGCGATGACTGCTGTTGGTTTGTTTATTGGGGATTCAGGCTTCGGGCTCACGCTCGGGACCTCATCTAATCAAATATGAACAACAGGTCGGGACACAAGGGGGTGACGCAGAAGGCAAACAAGAGGGATCCAGCCAACAGGCCAGCATATTTCTATCATCGGTTGGTATATGATTCATTTGGTTAAACATACTTCTTTAATATATTACAAGCTGTAGTGAAAATTAAGATGAATTTTTTTCACCTCACTTTTGAGAAGCTCTGGCGAACATGTCCTGCAGATGCCAGGGAAAAATGAGGCCTACTTAAGACAGTCACGGGTGCGTGTGATGGTCAGTTAGGGCGCGCGCCCCAGATGCCGTTCATGGTTGCAAACATTCCAAACTTCATTCAGCATTGTACACGTCAAAATCCTGAAGCGATAGTTTCTAAAACCGTCATTTCTTATTCGTTTAATGCATATACCTAGCTATATGGATACTTACTTGATGCCGTAGGTTGACTAATCTCTCTTTCTGTACTTACTTTCGGCCTTTCTCTGCAGCATCATCTCTCTCCTCTGCTTGGCCAACATCCCACATTCTGTCTTCATGATTGCATCACACCACCTAAAACTACTGGCATAGTTTCCAATAAAAAAATGGTGGTGCTCATCATGATGCTCAGCGCCTGCCCAGAACGGAACAAACTTGTTCAACGACCATGGGAAGTCGTAGCCCGAGTGCGAGTCGACTGCCTGGAATAACCGCAACGTGATCCAAATGCAGATGGTAAATAGGTGTAAAGGTGGAAGTTGTTTGTGGCTCAAGGCGGTATAGGCGTATACAATTGGAAATCCAACAGTACCAAACCCCAATGCCATCACCTCGATTGGATGAGCGTACTCGGCAGCAAACCCAAAGGGGGCTGCGTATCTATGATGCTGTTTGTGAACATACTTGTAGAAAATCCCGTAGTGGAAAATTCGGTGGAAAGTGTAGTGCCATATATCCTCCACGAAGAAGAAAAAGCTGATTTGGGCCAACATGATCTTCCAAGAAGGGAAAGGTACTGATATGGAGATGCTGAGTTGGGAACAAAGTGGATGGAATAACCAGATAGGTAATGCTTCCACAAGAAGATGTTGCTTGAACACCAACTTGCAGCATTCCCATTGTTCTTTGTTGGAAGGGATTTTGGTGGGCTGGATTTTCCATTGATTGAAGTATGGGATCCTATCGATAATAAACCACGGGATGCACCGTCCAAAGTACATCAACTCGTGGGTCAAAAAGAACAACAATCCCGTGGCAAATATGTCATTTCCAAAGTAGATATACCAACTAGCCCATAATGACTCCATGTAGTTCAAGTCTGTCGATTTCAAGTCTTGTAAGATTTGGGGGAACGTGTAAGCCAGGGACAAATATGCCAAAGAAGATGTCTCGTTGAACATGTTGGGTTGGGTGTCAAAAAAACTTTATGGGTTTGTTTTATTTATATTTCAGTAAACGATGCATTCTGTAGTGGCCTAATTGAAACGAGATTTTGCAATCATCCGATTTTTTTTTGCTTGCGTGGTGCAGGAGAACCTTATACGATGTTATACGACGTGTACATCCTGCTGGGGCGGTCATATACGATGGTGCGATCCAGCTCGACCCGACCTTTACGGCTCGTACGACCATACGACCACCGGGTCTTGGGATTTATTTCCGTTCGGATTGGGTCCTAATTTTTATAACTGGCAACATTTTGTGCCTTAAACAGAGCACAGCATTGGATGGTCTTTGAAATGCTCTTCATGTGGACCCTGCCTTTTCTGCTTTTCTTTGTGGCCCCACCCCTCCTGTGAGTTATTCATATCTCTTACAAATCATTCCTCACACACCATATTTGTAGTTTGGGACATTGAAGCCAACTTCAAACATGATTGGCTGCAAACGGATCATAGGTCAACAAGACCTCCTAATACATCTTAGTTTTTTTATTAGGGCACTATATGCTATACGAATTCATCCACCCTCATACAACTCTCTCTTTGGGCAAAATATCCACCAACAAACTGTCATCAATGTTCGATAAGTTCAATCCATTCTTGTTCTTGAAGGTGACAATGTTCTCAAAAAACTTGTCAAACAAAAACGCGGTATCCAAGGGACCACCCTTAGCTTCAGGATGGAACTGTGTGGAGAAGATGGGCTTGAACTTATGGATCATTCCTTCGTTAGATAAGTCGTTCAAGTTGGTGAAATATGGTTCCCATTCGTTATTCAAAGTACTTGGGTCCACTGCATACCCATGGTTTTGCGAAGTGATGTGACAGCTGCCAGTGGTCAAATCAAGAGCTGGAATGTTATGGGCTCTATTTCCATACTTCAATTTGATAGTCTTGGCTCCCGATGCCAATGCTAAGAGCTGGTGGCCCAAACAGATTCCGAAAATAGGAATATCATCGTGGGTTTTCATGGTAATTCTCAAGTTCTCGATGGTGGAAGAGCAGTGGGTTGGGTCACCTGGGCCGTTGGAAATGAAGATCCCGTCAAACTTATTAGCAACCTTCTGGATAGGATAATCGTAGGGGAAAACCGTCAAAGAAGCACCTCTTTCGACCAAACAACGCAAGATATTCTCTTTGGCACCGCAGTCGAGCACTGCCAAGTGTATGTTCTTGCTGTATTTCTTGGGACAAGCAATGTGAAATGGGGCTTTGGTGGTGACTTTGTGCACCAAGTTCACGGTTTCCGGGTTTTCAAAAGCAGCATCTTCGTCAGCATCGTATTCCTCACCTATGGTGATTTTTCCCAACGATGAACCTCTTTCTCTCAAATATGACACCAATTGCCTGGTGTCGACACCGGTTATGGCTGCCACTCCACTTCTTTGACACCACTGTTGTAAGGACTCGACGGCGGTCCAGTGCGAGTATTCCAACGCGACGTCTGCGACAACAATCCCAATACACTGCACGGTTGGCGACTCAACGTATTTCAACAAGTTAAATTCGTCCTTTTGAGAGGTCGATGGAACTCCATAATTACCAATCAAAGGCTGAGTGAAACATAATATCTGGCCCTTGTACGAAGGGTCGGTCATGGACTCTGGGTACCCGACCAATGACGTGGTGAAGACGGTTTCTCCGCTGACGTTCTTGTTGGATCCAAAGGAGTAACCACTGAAAACTGGCCCATCCTTGATGGTCAAGGTGGCTCTGTCTAATTGGGAAGTTTTGTTGAACTTACTGGCAGTTGCCATAGATCTATGCGCAAACCGGAATGCCGTCCGGGCATTGGATATGGTAATGGCCAACATGTTGTTTGTAGGACTGGAAAAACAATGTAGTTGAAGGTGAAAAATTTGAGTGTTGAAATCTGACTGATTACGAATCGCGGTTAATGAAAATTTTATACCTGAGTTACCCAATTGGGTAATGACTCATCGAGCTGCAAATGCGTTGATGCAATACCCTCATAATCATTATTCATTTGTGTACGTACACCTCTATGCTAGCCTATAAACTCCACTCTAACCCAAGAGCTTGTCAAGGAAGTCTTGATCAACAGGACCTGACTGGGGCGTCTGTATGCGCTGTACTGTTTCAGACTTCTTACCGGGTTTGGTGTCAAGAGTGCTGATAAAGTCGTCTATACTCTCTGGAACTTCATAAGCTTCGTCGTCTGATTCTATATGTACCTTCCCCAATCGTGTCCCAAGCAATTCGTCTAAATCTGCGTCTAGTGACACCACGGGTTTGTCTTGTTGAACGATTTTCCTGTTGATATAATTGGTGTGGCTCTGGTTGTCGGTAGTATAATTGTTCAACTCAAGAACCTTCTTTGAAGAAGTCGAGGAACCATTGAACTTCTGCTTGATCTGGTTGTAGAATCCTTGTTGTTGGCTCCTGGTCTTCCTGTGTATATCCTGTTGGATTTCCTCGTCTGTCAAGTACCTTAGCTCTACCTTAGGTTTGGATCTCATTTGTATATCCACCAACGAGTCCTTCCCCACTTCAAAGCCAACCAAGTCCTCAGCTGCAATATCTGAAACGTGGCTCTCTGCAAGCTTCTTCTTGTGCAATGCGTCATAGTCGTCCTTTTGTCTCAAAAGCTCATTGTAGTTGTCGATACCATATTCAGATAGAAGGTCTTCTGAATCGTCGTTGATGGGCAACTTACGGTTCTTGCGCTTCGTGATGGGAATCAGTGGCACAAACTCAGAAAGTTTCACCTCCGGCTGCAGTGGCTGCTCAGTTCCCAAGTATATTCCATCAGTCGACAGTTCTGGTTGCGAGGGTTGATTGAAGAGCTCATCTCGTTGTAACTTGAGGTCTTCGATCACCTGGCGCTTGATCTTCTTCTTCTGCTCTTCGGGCATCACTGGGAGCTCTTCGCCAATTTGTGGATAGAAGTAGTTCACAATGTCTTCATCCACATCCGAATCCCAGTCACTGGTCATCTCATCTATATCTAGCTTAAGGTACTGCTGGCTCTCAGTCTTCTTCTTGGACGTCCACTTGGGCCTCATGGGCTTGTTCTTGGGATCATTCTGCGGGATCAACCCGTGTTTGGCCATGTAATTGCGCTTGGCCTGTTTATCATACTTGGTGTTCTTCAAGACCATTTGTGTTGGACTCAAAATCTGACGCGAGCCTCAACAAAAAAAACTCAACCTCAGCCCTCACATCTGTTTAACATGTCTGATGGAAAGAAACCACTTAATAACAAATCCGTCGAGGAGTTGTTGAGCTTGCTCTCGATGGGGGTCGAGTTGAACGAAGCTCAAAAGAAACAAATGAAAGACCACAAGTTTTGGAAGACTCAGCCAGTTCCTGATTACGACGAACAGATCGTTAAAGAAGGTCCTATTGACCAACACAAAACCCCTGCTGATATTCCAAATGATCCGTACCCCTTACTCGGTGACTTTGAATGGTATGATGTCAATTTGGATGATGACGTTGAGCTCGACGAGTTGTACCAGTTGTTGTATGAGAATTACGTTGAGGACGAGGATGCCACATTTAGGTTCAAATATAGCAGAGAGTTTTTCAAATGGGCATTGAAGCCGCCAGGATGGAGAAAGGAGTGGCACGTTGGTGTTAGAGTCAAGACCAGTGGTAGGTTGGTCGCGTTTATTGCTGGAACTCCGTGTACATTGAAGTTGACCAAGAGTAACAGTACCATCAAATCGGTTGAGATTAACTTCCTCAACATCCACAAGAAGTTGAGATCCAAGAGATTGGCTCCAGTCTTGATCAAAGAAGTCACCCGGAGAATCAATAAACAGGATATTTGGCAAGCTTTGTACACTGGTGGACAAGTGTTACCTAGCCCTGTTTCAACTTGTCGTTACACCCATAGACCCATTAACTGGTCCAAATTGCATGATGTAGGATTTTCTCATTTACCTGAGAATCTGACTAAGGCTAAGATGGTTGCTCATTATACGTTACCTAATGCCACCAACACTGCTGGTTTTAGAGAGATGTCTGGTAAAGACTTGGACCAAGTATTCGACTTGTTGACCAAATTCCAAGAACGTTACGAGTTGATCCAGGTGTTCACCAAGGACGAAATGAACCACTGGTTATTGGGTGGAGAGTCTGTTGGAGACTCAGGTAAGTCGAATGTCATCAAAACTTTTGTGGTGGAGAATCAAGATGGTAAAATCACCGACTTCTTCTCGTACTACTTGTTGCCTTTCACTGTGTTGAACAACCCCGACCATAATGAGCTAGGAATTGCTTATTTATACTATTATGCTTCCGACTCGGTATGGGACTCGAATAACGGCGAAGATGAGAGTATTTACAAAAAGAGATTGAATTCGTTGATGCAAGACGTTTTGATTACGTCCAAGCAATTCGACGTCGATGTTTTCAACTGTTTGACTTCCCAAGATAATCCTTACTTCATCAAGCCTTGTAAATTTGGAAATGGAGACGGATTCTTGAACTTTTACTTGTTCAATTACAAGACCTTCCCTATACATGGTGGTATCGATCCCAAGACCAAGGAAGTCACGGTTAAGAAAGGAGGAATTGGAACCGTGTTACTTTAATTTCTTTATGCCACTTCAAGTGGACCGTACATATATTAGGTACTAGTTTAATAATACCCTACTAATCTGATCGTGGTCGCAGTGTTCTAATTCTGGCGAAGCTCATCTCACATCGCATTTGAAAAAAAAATTGGTACAGCATCAACCTTTGAATCACAATGTTATCTGCGTCTACGTGGGTACCAAGAGGCTACGCTGCTGAGTTTCCAGAGAAATACGAATTGGATGATGAGGAAATGGAGAGAATTACCGCCATGGCTAAACTCCAGCTTGGAGATAATGCACATGAAGAAGATGAAGACCAAGAAGACACTCATAAGGCTCAAGCATTAAAAGAAGATATCGAGATTGATGACGACTTGAAAGCATATGACTTAGAAAACTACGATAACGATGAAGAGAGCGAAGGCGAAGATGTTACTATGTTACCAGGATTATCAGGGACCTCTGCTAAATATCATGAAGGTGAAGATGGACAAGATCCATACTTGAGTCTTCCAACCCAAGAAGAAACCGAAGAAGACAAAAAAGAATTGCAAGTATTCCCATCTGATAACTTGGTGTTAGCCACCAGAACTGAAGATGAAGTCTCTTACTTGGATGTCTATGTTTATGACGATGGTGCTGGTAATATTGGACCCGACGACATTGTAGATGATCCAGAATTACAAAAAGGTTACATGAGAGAATCCTCTTTGTATGTGCACCACGACTTGATGTTGCCAGCATTCCCGTTGACAGTTGAATGGATCAACTATAGGCCTGGCTCGGACTCTGAAGACAATATCGGTAACTTTGCAGCCATTGGTACGTTTGATCCCCAGATTGAAGTGTGGAACTTGGACTGTGTTGACAAAGCATTCCCCGATTTGATCTTGGGAGAACCTGAGCCTGCATCGGTGCCAACTGTCAAGAAATCTAAGAACAAGAAGAAGAAGAAGTCAAAGTCTCAACATGTAACAACCCACCATACAGATGCAGTTTTGTCTTTAAGCCATAATAAGATCCACAGAAACGTATTGGCATCTACTTCTGCCGATAATACCGTTAAGTTATGGGACTTGAACACCGGTGTGGCTGTACGGTCATTCGATTCGATCCACTCCAAAAAGACTGTTTCATCATCGCAATGGCATCCTACTGAATCATCTATTTTATTGACCGGTGGTTATGATGGTACTTGTGGTATAACTGATGTAAGGTTGTCAGACGAATCAGAAATGACCAAATCATTCAAGGTTTCCTCGTCGGAAGAAGTCGAAGCTGTGAAATGGGGTATTAGTCCTGAAGTTTTCTACTGTGGAACCGATAGAGGTAATGTCTATTGTTTTGATGTCAGAAGGCCTGAACAACCTCTTTGGACATTACACGCTCATGATGCTGGTATTTCTTCCTTAGAAGTCAACTACTATCTTCCTGGTATGTTAGCTACTTCTGCCATGGGTGAAAAGGTTGTTAAGTTCTGGAAGTACCCAGTGGATAGTGAATCTAAAAAGGGCCCTTCCATGATATTAAGTCGTGATTTCGGGGTTGGAAATGTCTTGTCTACCTCTTTCTCCAACGATATCGAAGTTGCTGGTAATATTGTTGTTGGAGGTGCTGCTGTTGGTTTGAAGATGTGGGATTGTTTGAACAATCGGTCTATTCGCAGCTCTTTCAAATCGGAATTAAAAGACTTGCAAAAGCGTGCCAGAGAAGAGAGCGCTAAGCTCAATAAGGTGTCAAGAGTAGCTAGCAAATACCAAGGTGAGGAAAACTACAATGATAATGTCATCACCATAGACCCAGATAGTTCTGAGTCAGAGGATGAAGATGAAGAATTGGAAGACGAAGCTTAGAAACGATTAAACATTAATGTATACCGAATATACGCAATAAACATACACTGTTTCATTAATATATACATACATACCACCTATGGGCTCTTTGTAACCTGTTTATAGTAAATAACGGTTCGTATGTCTCAATAATAGTCATTAGCCTCGTACTCGGTGTTGCTTTCTTCATCATCAACGTCATTCAAGGAATCCATTTCTGCTTGATCATAATCAGCCTCGTTGAATTCAACATATCTATTTCTTTTGAGTTCTACCTCATCATCTGAGTTTATGTCTTCATCGTCGGTTTCTTGAGCTTTGATTTCTTCGTCCTGTTCGTCTTCCTTTGCTTCCAACTCAATCTTGAGCTCATGCAAAATATCAAAACATTCAGCCAACAAAGCATTCAATGTACCTTGGCCTTCGGGAATTTGATTATTGATGATGAACTTGCCGTCATTTCTTAAATTGTCTAATGAAGCCAACTTAAATTGGAACGGATATAATTCTCTCAAGTTGTTCAAACCATCAATTCTCTTTATATCCAAAAGACATCTTCTCACAGTGGATAATTGATTATGGATTGGTTGTAAAGACTCACTGACAGGCTCACTGCTTTCTAGTAATTTATAGATCAACGAGTAGCACCTTCTTAATAAATATAATAATAATACCTGGATGCTTTTGAATTTCACATTTGTCTTGAGGGTGTTTGAAGAATTCAGTAAAATATCTAACCGGGTGGTTTCAATATCCTTCAACTCGTTTTGAAAGTTATACAAGTCTGTCTCTCTCAAGGTCCATCTTCTAGTAATCAAAAGGTTTTCTAAGTTCAACTTGATGTCAATCAATCGGTCAATCAAACTCTTAAACTTTCTCATTTCATCTTGGCAGTTTTCATCCAATCCCAATTTACTGAACAATACGTTGAAACTCTTATCCTTATTGATATTGATATCCTTTATCAAGTTATTACAATCATCGAGTAATCCGTCCAATATGGGCCGGCTTCTGTCATCACAATTATTAAAATTCCCTTGTTCATCCCTCAAATCCTCAACCCTTTTCAACTCGGCTTGGAATTTATCCGTGGAATCCTGGGCATTACTATCAATAACCAATCCTATCAACCCTTTCCTCAACGTCAATAAGCTGTTGTAGATAGACTTGACATCATCAGGGATATCCTTGATTTTGGCCGCAAGTTCATTGTATAGGTCCTGACATTTGTTATACTTCCTCCTGATATAGTTGATTTGTTCATTTTTTTGGGGAGTGGTATGGTCCAGATCTTCATCTTGACTATCATCCTGATAGTTATAGTCGTCAATGATACGCTTTATCTCCACCAATCTGTTTTCTATGGGGGTCAAATCGTCCATGGTGTATAACTTCCCATCCCTCAAGTGGGTCAACAACTTATAGACGGTAGACAAGGAGGAATAGGTGGCCGGAGCAAATTTGGTCAATCCGCACGTGATGAAACACAAGGAGATCAACTGCCAGATGTCGTCGACCACCGAATCGTTGAGGTTGGGTAACTCGAGCTTCATTCCCTTGATTTCCTCATCTTTTCTGATGATAGATAACTCATTCAAGTGGTCTAAAAACTTATTATAGATGGCGTAAATTTGCTTGGAATCCAAGTATTGTCTCCGATTATTCTTTAAATCTCCCAACTCCTGGTAGATAGCGTTAAATTCCGTGTTAAGAACCTTTTCATATTGTGGTAAAGTGTTCTTCATTTCTTGGTAATGGTATTCGAGGAAGTTTCAAAGTCATTCCATTTTCGTAGCGGTTTCTGATAAATTGGCCCGCGTGGTTCGAGCACGATCTCCGAAAACTCACTTGGATACCCCGGAGATATTTGATTTACACCAGTTAACTATATTCATTTGATTACTTAAATTATAGACCGTCCGGGTTGGCCACCTGTAGGATTTTCCGAGAGTAGTCAGTTTCATCGGCCAAAGACCCTTCACTAAGTCGCCTTCTTCCCAACATTATTGGATTCAATCGCGGATCCACCAATTCGCCCGACCGCTGGTTGACATTATCAGAAGGATGTGTGAAAGGATTGGCCATGGGCATTTCAAGGCCGTTGGTCTTGGCCGACCTCTTGCTCTTACCGGTACCGTAGTTTCTATCTATTGAGCCGCCCATGGCGCCGGTGGGCTTATCGAAATATTCTTCTTCATCCTCATCGTCCTCTTCAGCCCGCTTGCGTCTGATAAAAAAGAATATCAAAAACCCGATTATCGCCAACGCCGCCACGCCACCCACAACACCGCCAACAATGGGACCGATGTTTGACTTCTTCGAGTGCTCATCACTGTCTTTACTGGAGCTGGTCGAGGTGGCTGATGCTGATGCCGAGGTGGAGGTGCTTGAGGGTTCCATAGTAACGGTCTTCACCACGGCTGTGCCGGAGCCAGACGACGTGGTGACGATCTTGGTATCGTCGGTACTGGAGGACGAGGGAGAGTCTGTCACCGAGCTGGCGTCAGACTCGTCTGACTGTGTGGTTTTGGTGTTGGTAGTGGACGAAGACGACGTCGCGCTTGATGATGGGGCCAGAAATGCGGTGCTCGAATCAGTATCGGCCACACTCGATGAAGAGTCTTCGCTGTCATCGGTGCCGGTTCCCGCATACAAACTGAAGGCACTGGCCCCTCCACAGTAGTCGGTACCATAACCGGTACACACGGTATCACATTCAGAGGAGTCCACCTCTTTGGAGGTGGGTTTTTTGCTGAGACAATAACAGGTGTCACCGTTGGTAATCGCCACGTAGGGGCTGTTAGGACACTGGGTGGCACAGTACGACGACGTCTGGTACTGGTACAGGCCTTTATTGGTTCCGGAAACCGAAGAATAGCATCCCAACGATGAATCAGCGCTGACGAGAGCCATATACGTCAAAAACACAATCAATATGGACTTCATAGTGTAGTTATGGGTAGGGCAGTGATGAAATGAATGGATCGGGGTTGATGATCCCGGGGTATGATATGAAAGGTCGTTAGTTCGTGATAATACAAAAGGTTCTGTTTTCCAGAAAGCTAGGTGATTTGGTATAAACAAATTTTTTTCCCTCACTGGCTCGTGTTTAAGATGGCAATGTGAGACTGAAAAGGGTGAAGGGTATGTTCTTTTCAAAGATAACGAGTGGAAAGGGTGCCCAGTCTGTTTATAAACAACGTGTTGAGAAGTTGAGAAAGAAAAAAACAGATATGATATATACTGATGTTCAAAAAATTTCAAGTTGTTACCACCCCCTTTGGAATCTCGAGACGTGTGCAAAGTTGAAAGGGGCGAAAAAAGAAACCCCTACAGTCGATCGCCAATGCGCACCCTTATTAAATGGGATATTTCACGCGACATTTTCTCTTCGTCTAGGTACATTAGTGTTGGTAGCGCGCATTTGGGGCGTGGTGGCCGGGCGTGCGCGACATTCATATAATAGAGGTGCATACTGGGGGATCCACTATGCCAGCGTTTGTGCCGGTAAAGCTGTAAGTTCCGAGAAAAAAATATATAACCCTCTGGATAATGGTTGTTGGTTCTGTCATGACCGTGGTCCATCGACGGCATCTGGATGTTCACACCTTTCATTTCCGCTCGAAATTTTTCGCATTTCGTGTTAGGCTTTGCTGCACTTTTAGTCGCGTCGTGCATTGATCTAGACCTGGCCATAATCAACCGAGCATCAGCACTCATTGCGGATGGGGCTTGTAGGGGTGCGCAGCTTGTAATGTCGTCGGCTACACAATCACACACATACATTCGCTCACAGTAAGCCTGGCTCAGCTCAATATAATTATCTATAATTCTTCATTACGGGAAAAGTGGCGCATTATATTCAACTTCGTCATAGTCCCAGTAGAACGTGAGCTCAGCCCGCTGCAAATCCCTATTATCACACTGGTCGTTATACTCCATGGACACGACTGGTTCTAGCATCGCCGAAACCTCTTGAAGACTACAGCTGAACCCTGGCCCGTACTTGCACCGCATGGGCAATACGCTGTCATTGAGTATTATCCTCACGTAGGTGTTTCCACCACACGCAAGCCTCTCAACTATGAGCCTTGTTGACTGGGGAATAATGTGACTTTTGGTGAACTGCCGGTCGAACTGAATCTCTTTTGCGTCGAGGTGGTCGGTGAACAATGAGAGTGCCGTGTACAATGTGACAAGGTCGTAGTCGTGCGTGAAGCTGATCCATAGTTTTTGTGGATTGGACTTATCGTGGAGAAGCTGGAGGAGACTTCTCACGAGCGGTGAGCCCGCTGCTTGCGAAAACCGGTTGCCGGCACCGACTTCGTGGTAGAGCAGCACATCTTTGTTGTATTCGTTCAGAACCAACTCATTGTTGGTAAAGATCCCGCACAACTGCGAATGGCCCTTGACATTGATCTCGTAGGCACATGCGTCAAAGAGATTTCCAATTTGTGTATCGGAGATATTGAGGGTGGGATTCTCAACCTGGAGCCGGGTTCTGATCTGAGCAAAATGTCGAGTATATTGCTTGTACTTGGCAATTTTAGCTTGTTGGAAGCCCAAACATCCCTGGCGTGGTGTCAAAGAGTTGGCTCCGGTGCTGGAGTCCTCGCCCATGATGTTGAATTTGACTTTGCGTGTGTTGTACTCGTCGCCCATAAACCCTTTGATGAAATTCACACTTGTATCGTAACAACGACGTGAATTGGTGGAAAACACAGGGAAAATCGTCAGCGGGTCGTAGAGGTGGCCGTAAATCCGCCTGAAACTCTCGCCATCTCTGTGAGCACTTAGACTGCCACTGTAAATGCTGTCACTATTGTTGAGAGTCACCTCCTGATCGAAGTTGTTGCTGTCAGTCACAAAGAATTCATATTGTGTGAGGAACTCTAGGGTGCCATTCAAAGACTGGCCCTTCAAGTGGTGGATGGTGGAGTTATACTCAATTCCGCTGTTGCCCGTGGGAAACCGCTCGCCGTGCCTTCCAATCAAATATGCCTGATCCACCTGGCACTGTGGAGGAGCTAAGGGAGAAATACCATACCCTGAGTACTGGAAGTATGGGCCCGAGCCGCCCAAGAAATTGAGGAGGTTATACTGTTCAGACGCCGCTAGTTCGGGAGTTGCCACATTCGGGTGATGCGGTAGAATCAATCCTGCAATCAACGATGTTAGTTTCATTAAGGGTATTTTTATCCACACACGTTGATCAAATACTTCGCGATGTTGGCTGCAAATTTTCCAAACCAAGTAAATTCTACGGATTTGGTTTATTGAATACAAAACTTTTAGTTAACAATTCTGGGAGCAGTGATATTATACGCCTCGTTTCCTTGCCAGTCCCAGTAGAATGTCAAGTCTTGAGGATAGTCGGGGTTAGGGGCACACACATCTTCCATGTCAAAGTCCCCAAACCTTTCTTCCACGTACTCTTCAAAGTCAGACAATTTACACGAAAAGCCAGGACCGCTGCTACAGCCCTTGATAGGTTTGACGGAGTTGTTGATGATGAATCTCACGTAGGACTCACCATCATTGCTGTAGCTGAACTTCTCAGTGATGACTCGGGCGCCCATAGGAATAGGATCAATATGGTGGTAGGTGTCAGTGAATCTCACTTGGTCGTTAGGCAAAGGCTCGATAGTGTCGAACAATCCCAACGCACTATGGAAAAGCTCGATATCGGTGTCATGGATAAAACTCAACCAGATTTTCTGTTCGTTATCGTCATCTTTCAATAACGCCAACGAAGCGTTCAATTGCACCCATCCAACGTATTTTGTCAAGTTATGGCCCGGGCCGGCCGAGTAATAGAACAGTAAGTCATTCTGGTAGCTGTTTGTCACATATTCGTCCTGGGTGAACAATTCACAAAAGGGTGAGGCCCCTTTCGCGTTCAATTCGTAGCCGCAAATTTGGATCAAGCTTTGAATATCAGCAGTGGTCAAATTCAACCCATCATTCTCATCCACCAATCTGTCCACAATCGTGTCTAAGTAGTCAGTAGGGAACTCTTTGACGAAGGCGGAGTTTGCACTGCTGTTGTAGTTGGTACAACCCCATCTGGGGGTCAAGGTGTTGAAACCCTGGGTGGCATTTTCACTGATGACATTATACACATAGTAGTCCTTAGTGAAGTTGGCGCCCAAAAATCCCCTGGTGAAGAAGTCGGCCGTCTGGACCACTCTGGCACTTGCACCAGCAAACACCGGCAATATCTGCGAGTCGTTGTACAAAGAGTTGTATTTGCTTCTAAAAGTCGCACCCGCTTTCCAAGCAGTCTCAAATCCGCTGTAGGGTGAATCACTGTTAGCAGGAGTGGTCTCATACTCGTACAAGCCTTGGTCAGGAACAAACCACTCGTAATCGTTCAAGAACGCCAATGGTCCCACAATTGTCTGGTTATAGCTCTGCAACCGGTCAATAATAGCTTCATATCCCAACCCCGCCAGTAACCCAGGAAATCTTTCCCCATGTCTCATCAACAATTGAACCTGTTCCAAAGTACAATTGTCAGGCAAGTCAGTGGAAATCCCGTACCCCGAGAATTCTAAGAACGGCCCAGCCCCCGACAAGTACTTGACGATATTGTACTGGCTGGTGGCTGCTAAGTCAGGGTTGGCCACTTGTCTGTAGACATCCAATGGTAAGCTCAAGAGACTCGAGAACAATGCTTTGGAAAGAGAAACCATATTTGGTGGATTGAGTTCAACCGGGGATTTTTTCTAGGTATTTATAGTGCGTTGCAGCCCCTGATTCACTGGGGGTATTGGTATATAGGGGAAAACGTTTTTATCATTATAGCTCGTTCAGGCCGCTCGCGCGGTGCCTATGCAGGTCCCAGTTTATTTCAGCTAATTAGGTGCAGCAAAACCACGTTGTTGGGGCGTAGAGAGCGGAGTTATTGTTGGCCCTACTTGTTGAAATACGAATTATAGTGTGCGGGGATGTGAGTTTATGGGTCTATGGGTCTATGTGCATATATATGGTGAGACATGTTTTTTTGTGTTGGGGCCCCAGTCATTTGTCTCCCCCCAGTCCACCAGCCAATGCAACGTGCAGCAATCCCATTGTGCGTATGGGTTGCATCCCAAAATCGGATAGTGGGAGCCGATAACTCTTTTTGGCAGTATCTTAACGCCTACCTTTCTTCTTCCCTCCGCCGACCTTCTGGCCAGGCTTACCATTCTTCCCCTTTCCTGAGTCGGCTTTCCCGCTTGCCGCTGGTAAAACTACCTTTAGTTTGGAAACTGGCACCATCGCGATAAGGTCATTAGCCTTGGCACCCTTAAGCGCTTCGTGCTCCTCGGGCCAGTCCAACTCGTTATCTTCCTTGGACTTGTCGACCTTTCTACCGTTGAAATATGTCAAGATTTCGGAGATAGACTTCCCCTTCTTATTGTTTCCAGGTTGAATCTTCACCTTATACTTGAATTTTTGGAGCGAGAACCATGGCCCAAATACAGGAACAAAATCCACTATGGTATCGGATTTGGTGGGCTTCGCAATCAAACCATCGAAAATCGAAAGATACTCAATCTCGTTCTGTTTGTCTGCCATATCTTGTAAAAGGTACTTTCGCAACTCTTTTTCGTCTTGTTTCTGTTTACGCTGCTGGATTTTGTCCTGGTTTTCGTACTTGGAGTTTTTGTTTTGTTGTTCTTGTTCAACCTCGATTTGTTTCTTGCGGTTTTCCTCCACTTGCTTCAACGTACCTAAGGCTTCCATTCTTAAGATCCGATCTTCTTCATCCTGGTCGGCATATTTCTCAGCTATCTTCTTCATCTTACCCTTCTTACCTCTCTTGTTCACGATCAACAAGTTTTGGAGTCCCGAGTCGAGCTCAGAGGGGACAATGCTACTGTCATTGGCAGCATCGTCTTGTTGCAGCTCTTCGTCATCATCCACAACTGCCTCTTTTTCTCGTTCTTTCCTCTCCTGCTCCATAATCTTCTCTCTGATCAACGATTGGTCAATGTCTTGCTTCTTATTGTCATTGGATAACTGCAATCCCATCTCTTCTTGCCGAACCAACCTCTTTTCGCGGGCCCTCTTGGTGGTTTCATCATCACCCACGAAGTAGATACCGAATCCCATAACCAATTGGACGGGGGGCATATGTTCCTTTTTACCTTTGAAGTTGAACTTTCCGGGTCTTAATAAACTGCCATCGATGTCTTTCTTCGATACTCCAGGACCTGGCAAATACCAGGCAGAAGAAGAAGACTTGTTGCTCCAAGATTCGGAGTTGCTCAAACTGAACATACCAGCCTGCCAGATGGTTGATGGAGGTACTGTTTCTCCCTTGTATGGGTTTTTTATGAACACCTTCAACGCTCCTTCGATATCGGAGTACACAAAAAAGTCGTCATCATTGAAGTACCGGTAGTAAATCATGTCATTTTGCAAGTCGTCTTTTCCACTGAGGCACAAATATCCGTCACTAGTAACAAACCAGTAGAACTTCTCAAACCAGAACTTTTCTCTCACCTTGTTCAACGCTTCAGACTCATTCTGTAATGCCTTTGTAAGGTCATGTGTGATCTTTCTTTCAGCATTCTGCAACGCAATCCCGGTATTCTTTTCAACTTTGAGTTGTTTTACTTCAGCACTCTTCTTTGAGTCAAAGAAAGTGCTGGCATTGGCATACGGAGATAATGACAAGTCGATCCAAACAGAAATGGTAGGCACGGATTTAGTCTTCTTTGACTTTGACTTTGACTTCTTCGTTCCTCTAAAATCCGAATCCGAATCCGAATCTGAATCCGAATCCGAGTCCGAATCGCTGCTCGAACTGTCAGACTCAGACTCGGTATCTGAACTGGACGTTTCACTGCTTTCGACGTTTTCATCAACATCCGTATCTGGGAGATTCAACTTGATTTTATTTTCTAATAAGTTCAAAGGTAATTGAATGGCATTGGTGATATCATCGCCACTCGATTTTTGAAGCTCAATGTACTTCTCAATGTCATGCCAGTCCATTTGCTTCTCAAGCATGCCATTTATGAAATCGATACACCCCGAAACCAAATTAGCATTCAAAATAATTAAATCTCCCTTTTTGATATTGGCGTTCTTCTCGTTGATTAAACTTTCAATCTGTTTGACTCTTTCATTCTTGGCTTTATCCAACCGCTTCATGGCCAACTGTTTCTGGTTTTCGATTTTAATCTCATTTTTCAAGCTCTCCAAAGTAGAAAAGAACTGATCAAGGGTTTTGTTGTATCCTTGGATGCTGGTGAACTTATACAAAGATCCGTCTTTAAATGGTCTAAAGGGGTGAAACTCATCGAATAAGTACTGCAAGTTTTCAGCAGTCTCCTCCGTGGCATTAGTATTCTTCTTGCTGACGATTATTCCTTCTATTTCACCTCCTTGTAGAATCTTAACGTACTCATCTTCACACTGGTTCATGGTTGCAACTATAGTAGACAACATCTCCGAGTCATGGAACTCAAAGCACGACGAGCTCGAACGGATCCCGTTTTCGTTCAACGTTTTCAATATCAAGTCAGAAGAAAGATGCAGGGCATTCACAAAGAGTAGCTTGTGGATCGAAAAGATCTTGGACTTCTTCAATTTGGTTGGAGTATGGCTATTGGCAAGCTCCTTCAACCTGTTTTGGTTATCTTCCACCTTGGTCTTCTCTTTCTCTATCCAGGAGTTAATCTGCTCCACCTCGTACTGGCGCTTTACGTAAGGCTCTGGTTCCTGTTCAAACAAACTTCTATCAAACATGTTGTATGTCTCGTTGACTGCAAATTTGTCATCATTGGAATCCACCACTCGTTGTAACATCAAGATTTTTCTATCATGGTCCAATAACACAATGTTTCCAGCACTGAAGAACTCTAATACAAGATAAAACAATCCGTCACTAAACTCCATGACCAAGATTCTGTCATCACCTATTTGCTTGATGCTACTTAACCGTCTAGTCTTCAAATGCTTCCGCAACTTGGTGACAAAGTTCAGGGGAGTGGGCTCGATGTTTCTCTCGTAATCAGTAAAGTGGATTCGGTTTCCAAACTCGACTATCATAAGTTTTTTGGAGTCGGGAATCGAAAACTTCAACACAAACTGTCTGGGGGAGTGTAACACATTGTAGATGTTCTGCAACCGGTAGTTCAATACAGACTGGAATTCGCCAGTGAGGATCTGGAGATCCAATGCAGTGATCCTTTGCTAGAGATGGGTTAGTATATACGTTGGGAATTATGTACACAATATTAGTTGCCACATACCTTCATTATTGTGGACTGCGATTCGGGCTGCTTGAAAATTTCGACATCTTTGTTCTTGTGAGCGTTATTTCTGGATGCAAATTTGAGCCATTTAAATGGGTGTTTGAAAAAGTCATCAATTCTACTGGCAGCCACCACCTGGAGATGAAGGTGTCTTAGGAGTAGAGTGGAGAGTGGAACCTGCCACTCAGGTATTAGCAGCTCGAATTCCAAGTTACATTCGAAGTGGTATTGGCACATCAATGTAACGTCAAATTATCTACAAACATTAAACAAGCCTTTGCTTGTCCTATTGGGTCACATTGATCCCGATGTATTACACCGGTTACATCGGATAGTGAACAAAGGGAATTTGTTTGTGGGGATTGGAACCGTTACTAGGATACACATCCTCCTCAAGTCAGTCTCAGTCAATAAAGTTTCACGTTGCATCTCCACAAACAGCGCCGGCAGCCTAGCTCTGACTTTTCTGTAACAGGCATTTCCAGTGTCACGATTTTTCGTAATCATATGGTTGCAATTTCTTATCTAATACTTGGGGTCAGATCGCGAGTCTTGAGAAAAATGTAACCTTCAAATAACGGTTGTGACATTTGTTGAAAAGTCCTAGTGGGGATATAAATAGCTATATATGTCCCTTGAAGAACCACATACTCAGACATACAGTATATTTATCTGAAAATGCCTTCCCAAATCGCTCATAAGCACCACGACGAAATCGACGACAAAGGATTCACTCTTTTGAAAGGATTCTTAACTCCAGAAGAAGTCGAAACCTACAAGGAAAGTGCCAGAAAAGTTGTTGAATTGGCACGCAAAGGTGACTGGAGTGAAGTCAGAACCAGAGGTAAGCAGTTCCCACCTTGGCCCAAAAACTTCAGCCCCGATATATGGGGAATTAGTGGGTTATTGAACCCTAAATTAGGGGATTTGTCACTTCCCTTTCAAGAATGCTATTCAAGCAGTAAGATGTTGGACGTGGTATGTGACATCTTGCAGACCAACCAGGAAAGCTTGTCGATGGAATTGTTCAACATGTTGATCAACCCTTTAACTGATTTCGGTTTGGACTGGCACCGAGACCATATCAAGCCTGAAGCCACTGAGGAAGAAGAAAGAGAAGAATTGCAGGCCAATCCTTTTGCAGGAGCCCAGTTCAACTTGGCCTTGACTGATGACGAGTGTTTAATTGTTGTTCCTGGGTCTCATAAACGGGTAAGAACCAGTGAAGAGAGAGAAAAGACCATCCCCAAAGACCGTCAACAACATATTTCGGGCCAAATCACAGTCAAGTTGAGTCCCGGAGACATGGTTTTCTACAATAGTAACATCTTGCACAGAGCTCAATATTCTGCTGCTAGCGAACGGTTGACTTTACATGGATCTTACGGTCATAAAGATTTTGGAAAGTTCAGAGCCAAAGGGGTGTTGCAACACGGGGTTGCTCTGTGGATCCATGAGTTCAAGCCCATCAATTCTAACTTGGAAATGTTGTGGAAAAAGCTTGTGGCATTGTCCGAAGAGTTCAAAGCAGAAGAATTGGGCTATTCTTTAGAAGGCTAATAAGTGTATATGAATGTATGAGCATTAAATTTCGCAATCGCACCGATTTCCATTATCAATTTCCCATGGTAGATATATCCAACAACTATCACCAATTGTGGACCACCTCAAATCAGGGAAGAAAGTCACCTTCTTCCTGGGTGCTGGTGTCAGCACTGCCGCCGGCATTCCTGATTTCAGAAGCCCCAAAACCGGGTTATATTCCAATCTTGCTCGTTTGAATCTACCCTACGCAGAAGCAGTCTTCGATATCGATTACTTCAAAGAAAACCCCAAAGCTTTCTACACATTGGCGGAGGAGCTATACCCTGGAAAGTTCCAGCCCACCAGTTTCCACTACTTTTTGAAGCTTGTGCAAGACAAGGGCTTGTTGAAAAGAGTCTATACTCAAAACATTGACACTTTGGAGAGAGTGGCCGGAATAAAAGATGAGTATATTGTTGAAGCACACGGATCTTTTGCATCAAACCATTGCGTCGATTGTAACAAGGAGATGAGTGTCGCTGATGTCAAGAAGTTCATTGCCAAAAAGGAGGTTCCTGTTTGTCCCGAATGTAAGGCATACGTGAAGCCCGATATTACCTTTTTTGGCGAATCGCTACCAGCAAGATTCTATGAGATGTGGGATGAAGATGTGGATGATATAGAGTTTGCTATCGTTGCTGGAACCTCGTTAACGGTATTTCCGTTTGCCGGTTTGCCTTCTGAAATCACTGGAAAAGTCACTCGGGTGTTAATTAATAGAGAGGTGGTGGGAGACTTCAAATCAAAGAATAAGAAGGATATCGTTTTACTTGAGGACTGTGAATTTGTGGCTGAAACATTGTGCCAAATGCTTGGTTGGAAGAACGAGTTACATGACTTGAAGAATGGTAGTTACAGTTTTGGAGTTGAAGACGAAATTGAGGAGGTCACGAAGAGTATGAAGGAGGTGTTGGGAGAGAAGGAATCAGGAACAGAACATGTAGACGAAGCTAAAGAACTATCACATACGTCTAATGATACGACAGACGATAAAAAAGACCTTGATTCTGACAAAAACGAAGATAAGTGGTTGGGTGCTAAGCTATTAGATAAATTGGGTAACTTAAAGATCTGACAACATTCATTTAGTTTCTTCTTTCATTTTTAATCAATAAAATACATAATTTCCTAACATCCATTGACTAAAGAGTTCTTAGGGAATGTGTAACCTGCATCTGTCCAACTTGTGAGATTGACATTCTGGTAGGCATTTAAGTGATCGTTGATGTAGTCTTGAGTTGGGTAATCATCAGGTTCACATGTGACACTCTTCTGATCACTTGGTTGATAGACTCTGACATAGTCTATTCTCAATTCGGATGGGAAAATAAGGGAAGGCCAGTTAATATATGCCCAGTTATTAGAAAGACCAAAATTCATCACGATACTCATGGGTTCTTTGGAAATTCTTCTCCAGCCAATATTACCATTTGGAGCTAAGGCATTGGCATAAACAGTAAAGGTTGGTTCATCACCAACATACCATGTACAATATCCATCAGTGTCATCATTCAAATACTCATAGCCATAATGTTGAAAGTGGTGTTCACCACCTCCCCTTTCGTACCACGAATTGTTCAAGGTTGTGACGGCCGAGACAGCTTGTTGGTAAGGCCCACCAGTATATGAATTCATACTTGTGACGGATAAGTTATAAATTTCCACAAAGTCATAATTGGGATAATACCAAATATCGTATGGAGCAATTTGCATGGATTGAGAAGCAATACCAACCAACACTTCAGTTGACACTTCACCTTCAATCAAATCGATTTCAGGGGCACCTCTACCGGTTCCTCTGTTGGGGTGGTCTTCTCCTTTACAGGTACAAACGTTCAATTTTTGGCCTGGCAAGTAAGAAATACCGTCTAAAGAAGATTGGTTGGCAGTGATACCAGAATCACAGGAATCATAGGTGTAAGGCCAGACTCCTTCGGTAGAAGCCATATAACCAGCTCTTCCCAAGTTACCCATGGTCCATAAACCTGGCCATAACCCAGAAATGTTACCGTAATGAGGTAATTTGGCGGAAATTTCAATCAACCCTTGGGTGAAACACATCTTGTTCCAACTATGGATCATCCCGGACCTGTATAATAAGTTATGGTTCTTAAAAGCGTCCATTCTCAACACCAAAGTACCATTGGCAGTGGTACAGGCATCAGGGTCGTACCATTCCAAATCGGTGGTGGCCGCATAATGAAAGTCTGGAGCGTAGAAGAACTGGTCATCGCCTTCGTAGAAGGTTCTACCTTCAGCATTAAACTCATCAGAGAACACCAAAGGCCAAGTATCACCAGATCTGGTCTTCTTGGTTAATGCATCTTCAGGGGTATCTGGATCAACCAAAGCGGTTCGGATACTGGCCATGATGGGATATGAATAATGGGTTAATATTTCGTAGGTCTCTGGAGTGTAGTGATGAGCAACACCTGTGAAGGTGACGACAGGCAATACCACGAAAATGGCCATGGCGGCAATGAATAACCCGATAAACGTAAGCAACCCACCCAAGGATCTTTTGTCCAAGGCCCTCAAATCATGTATAAATCTGTTTTTGTCATAGGCAGCATCAGCTATTGGGTCTGGATTATGCAAGTAGTCATCGGGCTCCTTCTCATCGATATGCAATGGGAAAGACGAGGCTGGGTATCCACCAAACGGAGAAAAGTCTGCCGAGTTCAAGAACGGGTTAGAGGCAGACCGGTTAGAAACCGAGGAACCCGTGTCGCTCTTAGAGTTGAGGTTGCTGGCGGCACCGCCGGCCTGGCCAGCGTTGGCGAAAAAAGTCGAAGATAACGACGTCGAGCTCACCACCCGTGAGCCGTTTATGGACGGATACCTATCGTACTCAGAGGGTACCTGGATGTTGGTGGAGTTCTTGTTGGCGTAGTTGGGGTTATTCAACAAGTTGTTGTTGATGGCATTCAAGCTATCTGGAGTATTGGCGGTGCTGGTGTTTGCCAACAAGTTGGATGTGGTGTTATTATTGCTGTTGTTGAGATAATAGCCATTGTAGTTGGAGGCGCTGGAGTGCTTGAGGTTGGATCCGGAGCCGGTGCTGCTGGAGATGGCGGCTGCGGTGCTGTTAAAGGGTCTACCATATTGGAATTGATCCTCATCCAGTTGGGATGATGATTGGTGATTCGACACAAACGAATCGGAGCTTTGTTCCTCTATGGGGTTTATGAACGGGTTGTCTTCCTGGTTCAGGTGGTGGTTGTACTCTTCATCCTCGTAGTTGCTCCGTGGTTGGTTGGAGGTCAAGTTTCTGTGTTGGGACATTTGCCTATAAATAAATACTCAGGAGGACACTAGACGTAAAAAAATAAACAGCAAAGACGGGGACAAACAATGAATCCAAGGATGTGGTATATTTCAGGGGACGATCTGAAACGGTTAGCGAGTGTCAGCTATGGATGCTTAAAGATTTAAATCAAATACCCAAAGGGAAAAATAACAACTGCCAGAATGTAAAAAACTTCAAAATCAATCTCACTGGGATTTTGTGCTACGGGCGCACGTAGTTTTTTTATTGCGAAGCTAAAAAAAGGCGTTTTTGTGTTGCTTTTGTTACAGCCTCGAATTCAAAATAATACTATTTTGGCAACCGTTTTTTGATCAACTAATGTTTTGCGCCAAGTGAGGGAGTTAGGAGAACATACCTATACACCTAACATTTTGACCACCTCATCATCTCGTCTTCCTAATCCTATAACAATACACAACACCTACGGCAACTCGTCTCTAGGGTCTGGCATATTACCATCTGCCGTCGCGACATTTCCCTTTTACTGTATGGGCCCTAGTAACTAGATGCGACTGCTTGATGGAGAAGCATCTCAGTTGCCGCAAATGTGGCTAAATATCACCAACCGCTCTACTCTTGACAACCTTGACGCGTAAACAAAACTATTGTCATCAAGCAGGACGTATGTGATGGATCTTGCACCTTTAGCAGCCCCTGCCTTTTCAAGGCTCAAACTACTTACCTGGTGAAACTTCGCACTCGCACGTCCTCCCGCCGGTGCCTGCGCTGCCCCGTCGAGAGCAGGTCGTGCGCACGTACTCCAGGAGCCGCTGCTGCTTCGCGGGCTCACGCATCTTATCTATCATTATCAAGCAGGCCATTGACTAATGAACAACCAGAACCGAGATAATGATACGTTTCTCTCGAGGATATTTGGCTTGAACTCGGTGTACTATAATCAGGCCAATGGTGCCAATGGCATTGGCAGCTCGGGTCATGGGTTTTATGACGATAACTCGGTAGATTTGGAGGCAAACTTCCCCATGGACTCCAACTCGGTTCATCTCCATAATTTGAACCTACTAAACTCTGAGGAAGAACCAGAGAGTGATAATAATGATGACTCAGACTCACATTCGTTGAGCTCGGCCGAGGATGACATAAGTCGTTTGGACGAGGATAACTTGGTATCAAATGATGTTCCACCAGGCGCTACATCCATCAATTGGAACTCACAGAGTCACCAGATCCCGCCAGAACCACTGGCAGACAGGGCCATTAAGTTCAATCTACCCAAAAGGCGGTCTGTGTTCAAGAACAACAAGTTGAAGTTCAATATTCCTCCAAAGGAGAGAGCTCTTTATCTATGGGCCAACATCGTCAACATGGATGAGTTTTTGAATGACATATATTACTACTACCAAAACAGAGGTCTCAACAATATTGTTTTGAGCAAACTCGTGGACTTGTTCATCCTTGCTTTTATCTTGTGGTTCTCCGTGTTTTTGAAATGGGGTATAAATTATGAGTTTTTCAGAAGCTGGGACCAACAGCTGGAGCACAAGATATATTTGAATGACTTAATCAAGGTCCATTACTTTCTGGAGATCCCTTTCATGGTGAAGTTTTTGTTACTTGGGTTTAGCGCATACATAGTCTTGAGACTAATACAGTTGTACTTCAATTACAAGTACAAGTTAAAGGAGATTCAAAACTTCTATTACCAGTTGATCAACATCCGCAACGATGATGAGCTTATGACCATCAGCTGGTCAAAGGTAGTGAGTAAGATTGTGCTATTGAAAAATTATAACAACCTCACATCTTCGGCCAACCAAATCATCAATACCAATGACTTGAACTCGAAAGTTAGGTTGAACCCGCAGGATATAGCCAACCGTATCATGCGGAAAGAAAATTACTTTGTGGCATTGATAAACAAAGATGTGCTAGACTTGGAAACTTCATTGGGCCCAATCAAGTTGACAAATTCAAACTTGTTGACAAAAACTTTGGAATGGAATTTAAAACTATGCATTTTCAACTTCATCTTCAATGCTAATGGACAAGTAAACTCCAGGATCTTGAAAGACTTTAACCGGTACCAGTTATCTCTCGAGCTAAACAAACGATTTAAAATGGCTGCTATCATCAATTTGATCTTGTCTCCTTTCCTAGTGGTCTATTTTGTTTTGTTGTATTTTTTCAAATACTTCAATGAATACCGGTTGAATCCTTCATCCATAATTAATTTGAGACAGTTTACTCCATATGCTGAGTGGAAGTTAAGAGAGTTCAATGAATTACCCCATTTCTTCAATAAGCGTTTGAGGTTATCATATAACCCGTCTAATAACTATATTAATCAGTTTCCCTCCAACTCCTTGTTGATTAATATGATGTACTTGATCAACTTTGTCAGTGGATCGTTTACTGCCATATTGGTCATATATGGTCTTCTCTTGGAAGATGAAAACCATAATTTTTGGTCGTTTGAATTGACCGAGAACAAATCGGTATTGTTCTACATCAGTATCTTTGGTACACTCTTTGCAATTACTTCAAATTCGACTGATAACGGTTCAAATACAACCAACTCAAGACTGAGTTCTGATGAGTCAACGACGTATTATGACCCAGAGGCATCAATCAAGTATGTGTCTCAGTTCACGCATTATTTGCCCAAGCATTGGAAAGGAATATTACACACCCAACAAGTGAAGAATGAATATTGTGAACTTTTCAAGTTGAGGATATTGATTGTTATCAACGAGGTATTGAGTATCTTGCTTACACCCTTCTTGTTGTGGTTCAATATCTCCAACTATTCAGGCGCCATAATAGACTTTTTCAGAGATTACTCTATCCACATTGATGGATTGGGGTATATCTGTTACTTCTCCATGTTCAATTTCGAGCAAAATGATAAGAATATGTTGAGCAAAAAGAGAACCCATAAAAGAAGAAAGAATCTCAGTGATAGTGACCTTCATATTGCTGGTGGTGGCAGTGTTATACGCAACGATGATGACAACGATGACGATGAGAATGATTTTTTTTACCAAGATGACAAGATGATCAAGAGTTATATGTATTTCTTGGAAAGCTACGAACCCGACAAATCAACTAAGCGTACTTCGAACACGAAGAGCTCCAAAGGACCATCGAATTCATTTCATTTCAACAAGACTTTAAATAATAGGTTCAATAATAGAGGTAATTTCAAACCTCTCAGCAAAATCAAAATGAGCCAAACGTTGGATCCTTCCAGCTCATTAATGAATGATGAATTCAATGATCTTGTGGACAACAGTGAAATATCAGTTGAAAAGATAGGAAAGTCTGGAGTATTGGGAATGTTGAATCAATTCTACAAGCAAGATATCAACAAACAGTAAATTTCACCATTTTTACTTTAGCGAATAAAATTATTACAAACAACGTCAACAGCAAAATATCAAAAATATCTATAGGCTGTGTTAGTTACTTCTTAGTATGTAGGATACTCATTAGCGGGCCTAAATTCTTTTGTCACGATGTATAAACTTGTCTAGGTTGCAAATTGGTTGGGCGGTCGTGCACGTCCAATATTATTTCTGATACAGGTATTTGAGGTAAAACGAGGTTGGAAACCAATCAAATCAGCAAATTATACAATTTTTCAGAATAAGAACTATCCCAAACCTCCAACATCTCTTCCACTGGAATTAACTTGGTTTGGTACTTTCGCTATACGTACTCATCTACCTACTTGATTTCTAGTGCTGATAGTCGCGAAGAAAAAAACTCATCTCATCTCAAAGCGTTAACATGGCAGGATCACAATTAAAGAAGTTGAAGGCCGAGTTAAAGTCGAAGGGGTTGGTTGGTCAAACCAACACCAAGTCTCGAAACAAGAGAAACAAGGCTCCTTCCGAGAGCAGAAAATCAGACAAGGAAGAGATATTACAAGGTATCAGATCCAAGTTCAATGTGTTTGATGCTAGAATCAATAGAGTCAAGAGAGATGTCACCATTATAGAAAACGGAAAGTTCGTTAAAATGGGTGAGTCAGAGAAGAGTAATCCCACAAAGCTGAACTCTTTCATGAACAAGAACTTGAAGATAGCGTATGATTTACACAAGTCTCAGAAGGGTAAAAACAGTAGACTTGTTGATAGAAGATTTGGAGAAAATAGTGGATTAAGTCAGGAAGAGAGAATGTTACAGAGATTTGTTAAGGAGAGGGAAAGTCTGAGTAAACGTAATAAGTTCAGTATCGAAAGTGATGAAGATCTGGACGATGACGACGAAGCAGAGTTCATGCTATCCCATGACGGTAAAACATTGGCACACGATGAAGAATTTGGAATGGACATGGAAGAAGAACCAACCCAAGCTCTTGCTCCAGGACACAGAAAAACAAAGGCCGAAGTCATGAAAGAAATAATAGCTAAGTCCAAGTTCCATAAAGCCGAAAGACAAAAGGTATTCAGACAAACCCAAAATGAAATCGATACGTTGGATGACCAATTTCAAGATATATTTCAGGAAGCAGGAAAGGCCACAAAGAATGGTCCTCAGTTTAGTGACAAGAAACAAGAAGACATCTTGTATGATGAAAGAGTGAGAGGTTTGGTGTTCGACAAGAGAGCTGTTCCAGCAGACAGAACCAAAACCCAAGAAGAGCTTGAGACCCAACACAACGAAAGGTTAAGAAAGATTGAAGATGAGAGAGCAAAGCGAATGGAAGGAGAAAGAGATGCTGAAGGGGATGATCTCGACCAGTTTTGGGGAAGTGAGAGTGATGAGGAAAGTAGTGAAAAGGCAGAAGAATTAGACAGAGACGACGAAGACGAAGATGTTTCTTTCCCTTTGACCTTGGAAGAGTTCAGTGATGCGATAGAAGTGGAAGAGGATCCCATTGAGTACGTGAACAAGATTATCAAAACATACAAACCACATTTGAAGGAAGGTAACAAGGATAGAATGAACAAGTTTGTTGCAATCTTATTCAAATATGTTACCAAAAAGCCTGATGATGAGCTTATAAAAATCTTGAAAAAATTGAGTGAATCGTACAACGAAGAGTTGGTAGGGTTTCTTCGTGCAGAAATGCAGGAGATTCAAGTACGTATTGGAGCTCAGGCCCTAGAAAAATCTGACTTGGTTTACTTTGCTTTGTGTGGTTTGATTTTCTCCAGTTCCGACAAGTACCATTTAATTATCATTCCAAACTTGATTTTGATGAACGAAATATTGAGCACATTTATTCCACAGGACATGAGTCGTATCGAATTCAAGCATGTGGGGCAGTGCCTTTTCATAATTGATACAGTGCTACAGTACCAAAGATTGAGCAAACGATTCGAGCCGGAAGTGAACAACAGTTTGATCAAAATATTAAAGGCCTGTGCCAGTATTAATGGAACATCCACTGAATCGGTATTGTCGCTCGACGAACTCTTCGTGGAAGAACCCAAGGTCAGCTATGTTAATAAGACCTATGAGCTCATTGATAGAATGTCTGGGTTATACAAGGAATATTCGAGTTTAAAGAACTTTATCGAGCAGCTTATGCCGTTGTTATCAAGGTTCCAAGCCAAGAAAGTTGGCAACACGCATAAGTTACAAGCCGTCATCGACAAGTTGAACAAGTTGTCGCACAACATCAAGCTCACTCCATTGGTGTTGCAAGCTCATAGAAAGATTGCCATCAAAACCTTACAACCCAAATTCGAAGAGAACTTCAATCCCGGTAAGAGTTACGATTTGGACTTGAATAAGCAAGAAGTCAATAAGATGAGAGCCCAATTGAAGAAAGAAAAGAAGGAAACCTTAAAAGATATTAGAAAGCAAAATGCATTTGAGACTAACGAAAGGTTGTCAGAGAAGATTAAGATGTACGACGAATATCACTCCAAGATGTCTAAAATTGTCAATTCCATTTCCACCATCGAAGGTAAAGAGAAGAACGATTATGAAAAGGAGAAAAAGAGAAGAAAGTGATTTAGGTAGCATTTTAATAGACATAACTCATTTATCGCAGTTGCAGCCAACCCGCATCTCAGGCATCTCGGAGAAAACCAAAATTGCTCGTCATTATTCAGGAGTGGGCGAAAAATTCGATTGTCACTGGTGTGCAAACCCAATGACTAAAAGCACCCAGCAATCGTAAGTAATGGACTAGATACTATTGTAGGCTTAACTCAAATTAGTTTATTGACTAAAAGTGACTTTTACAAAACAAAATAATACACTAAACACAGAACACTGATATTCAAAATAAAGGAGTTATCTAAAGGGGGAGGCACACTTCCATACCACCACCACTTATTTTGAGTCAACCAATAATGTCGCATTCAAGAAGGGTATGGGGGTAGTGGTAAGAAAATGGACTTAGGCCTGAGACATGGTTGGAACACCTACTCTTGGAGCAGACTTGGAGGAAGTGCCAAACAAACCACCCTTGAGAACGGAGATGAAAGCAAACACCGTCGACACAAAAAAGATAGCAAAGGAAAAGTAAAGGAAGGCAACCGAACCTTGGGCCTTTCTACATCTTCCGGAACTTCCTTGAGCAATGGTGTTGTCATCAACGTAGTCATCATTAGAACAAGAGTGAACATGGATGGCAGCAGCAATGGCAGTGGCAGCGGCAAAGGTGAAGATGAGGTTCAAAAAGTCAAACACCGCCAAAATCAAAGGCCAGGCAAAGGCGGCAAACAAGTAAGCAAATACTCCATAGACACTTGAGGTCAAGAGACCAAAAGCAGCAGCAAATACAGCAAAGTTAACTTGGGGGTTTGTGTGGTCAGAGGTAGTGGCGGCCAACGAACCGGTCAAACCTAAGGCAATGACCAATATAACAAAGTTAAAGGCTCTCAATATAACGTCACCAATGGCCAACATGATACTAGTAAATTCTTGTTGATTTTAATAAATTGGGCAGAAAGAACAAGTTATATAAACTATGAAATTTTCTGTAGTGGGCCTTGAATTTGTAGTGAGGATTTCAAATGGGTAGGTTTAATTGAAGGGAGTGTACATGCGCTCTTTGTTAACTATGAGACAGGGATTTCACTATCAAATTAAGCATTTTTATAAATAAAATTGCTAGTATTGCTAGCGGCCTAATGAGGGAATTCCGTGCCGGCACCAATGTGGCGCCTACCGGTTTAGGCATTTTCCGGTACATAGTCCCAGAATTCCCTGTGTTGCTGATTAGCCTGTG